ACTACCTAGTCAAAATGTCGCTGTGAGGAAAACCAATTCCATGCTTGTTAAAAATCACAAGAAGAACATTTAATTCTGTTTTCAACGAACTTATAGACCTCGTCATTTGAAACCCACTGAAAGGTAAAGGAGAGACTTATAAGCTACTTATAGGCGGCATACGTCATATAATTTCGATTGGGGTTTCTTCAAAACGAGGAATTAGTACCAGGAATTTATGTCCAACTAAATAAAAAGAATGGGGGGGGGGGAAGAAGGGAGGGGAGGACCAGTATCAGGCGCGTTCAAAGGATCAATCAGCAGAGAATTTCGACCAAGTAAAGTGCCCTCCCTTAATAAAAAATGTAAAAATTATAGAGGTAAGTGTACCTTGTTTCTTTATGTTACCATTTACATAGAACCCAACAGATTCCGTTCGAGCATTGCGTTGAGTATTTTAGCAGGGCTGCGGGGGAGGGGGGACTGGTGCCATGGCAGAAAAAAAACAAGTCAGGAACACCCTTCATCACTAGGGACATTTAAGCAGTGCAGTACTTTACTCATTGTGTTGATTCTTTAAAATTCAATAACCGTGAAGGCTTTAGTATGCTGAACAAGATTTTATTAAGTGAGTAATAAAGGTAATGAGGTTAATGTGCACAGGTATCTGACAAAAACACGATAAAATAAGAAAAAGTGTAGTATGTGAATTTCATTTGGCAGTGCATATATTCATGCGTATTTTAGAGATTGAATGTGTTTAAACACGCATCAAAAACTAAAGTTATTGGTAATATTCAATCATCAGAAGCGCTTTGTTTAAGCATTATACTTTCTTCCTCCATACAAGATACAATTGAATATAAAGAAAAAGACACAGATCTAGAGCAAAGAAGGGAATGTACACCATGTTTTCTTTTTTTGTTTGTTTCTAAATATGGTCCCTCAGTTTGTCAATTACGGTAAATCTTTAGGACAAGACCATTACTTTAAAGCGTGAAAATGCTGAAAAGTAATGAATGACTAAAATATAAATGCAAAAAAAATAAAATAACCTAATTTTTTCTTTTTATGCCGGTAGATCCGTGTTTATATCTAAAAAGCACTGCAGGTCCATGATCATCCTCCAAAAAAAGAAAGTTGAATTTTCAATTGAATCCATGTACACATTTATGCGGTGTTTTTTTGTTCTTTTTAGTTGAGTGAATGAGCAAGAGTTTCAAGTAACTTGAATATGAAAAAGCCAAGGAAAAGACTGGGTAAATCATACTACCAATAGAAAAGATCACGCCTCATCCAAGCTTTTTTTTTTTATTGTATGAGATGAACAGCCGGCATACATCTTTTGAGAGTGTGTTGTGATTTTAGTTTTTTTTTTTTTCTTTTTTTTTAAAAATAAATAAATAGAGGACGGCTGTATTCAAAGTTAAATGCAGAGGAGTTAACCGAGAAATAACATGCCATTGTTGACAACTTTTGGTAAGAAAAGCTTTTTACTGATAGTGTACAAATAGTCTCATGCTTATTGTTGTTGTGGCACTTTAATTAAAGTAGAGCGGAAAAAGGGGAGGGGGGAAAATCAAAGTACCGGTGCTAGCGGAGTAATGAGCGTTCAACAATTATTGGGCCTTCACGTGCCAGTAAAAAGAATACATAAGCTTTTTTTAGTCTTTTTTGCTCTTTTTTCCCCCTTTTTCTTTACTTTACACATACAAGAGATATGGCAGAATTAGGTAAGACTTAGAAAGAGCAAGAAAAAAAGAGAAGGAAAGACTGATAAGTAAAAAGCAGCGAATCATATAGGCACATCGTTACAGAGAGTGCCTTGGGGAATATGGGCATTATTACCGATTATTCTTCAGGCGATATTTAGAAGAAGAGGAGGATACCGTTACCGTAGTTTTATATCTTTAGTTTGTTTGATGATTTCAGCGCTTTACGGAGTGGCAGCCTCTGTGACGTTACCGATTCTTGGAAAAGCGCACTTGATAAATTGGACGGTGGCTCGTTTTCACAAGATGATCAATAAACGCTTTCTCGACATTGGCTCTCAGGTCGAAGGAGAAGAGAATTTCGCAAAGGACGGTCAATCGGCCATCTATGTTTGTAATCATCAAACCTTATTGGATATTGTTTATATGGGCGCCGTCTTCCCCAAAAGTACGTCGGTTGTTTCAAAAAAGGCACTCAAGTATTACCCCATCCTTGGCTGGTTCAGTAAGTTTTTGCTTTAAAGAGCTTTCTGTAAGTTGGATTTTAACCCTTTTTTCTTTTTTAAAAGTGATCTTGAGCAAATCCATCTTTTTAGACCGTACCAACCGCGAGGGAGCCATTAAACAAGCCAGACAGGCAGCAGAGGACATTCACCGAAAGAAGACAAGTGTGTTTATTTTTCCTGAGGGAACTCGTAGTGGAGTTGAGAAGGTTGATTTGTTGCCGTTTAAGAAGGGTGCGTTTTACATGGCAACACAAGCCAAGGTACCCGTCATCCCTATTGTTGTTGCCAATTATAAGGAAATTTTCAACCCCAAGCAAAAACACTTTGGTTACGGCGATATCAAGATCAGGGGTAAGTTTTTTTTTTTCTTTTCTTTTCATTGGGGAATAACACAGCTGAAAACATTTATAATTTTAGTTTTACCGGCTATTGAAACAAAGGACGTATTAGAAGATTCGGCATCGATTGATACATTAGCAAATAACGTGAGAGATCAAATGCTGACAGCTTTATTGGAAATATCTTCACAAGAAGATGCCAAAACTAAATAATAAACAATCTACATAAATAATATTTATCTGCCATTTCTTATTGCATGACTTGATCTTTTTACTTGTGCGGATCACATAAAGGAACTATTTGCTGAAATAGATGAATCTCGAAAAGAGTGCACGTTTTTACAAAGGAGACTTTGCCCTCCTAATAACAAGATGAACAGAACAGGTTCATCCTTATGAGCGGTTGTTTAATAGAATTTGCTATAAAATTAATATTAAATTACACGTGTTGATTCGATGTTTTTAGCAGCTAAAAATAAAGGGGATCGACACAGGAGTGGCTTTGATTGTTTCTCTCTCTTTTTTTTTAAAAAAAAGTGAAACCTAATCACTCTTTTTCTTTTTTCTCTTTATTACACACACACACACACAACCCACAATGACGAGTTTACTAGATGCACATCGATGGCGAAGGATGGGCTGGTCCCGTATTGCCTTGTATATATGTTTGTTTTTATTAACGGTGCATCTGATTCGCACGTTTAGTTCGAATGAGGTTGAAACACTTGTTGCCGAAAGTGACAATGGACACCATTTCCCCTGGTATCAGCAAGCACATGTGTCTTTAACAGACCTGAAAACCAACAAGTATACGACTACACACTTGAGCACCAAAGAACGTCAAAAGCTTACGAACAATATGATTATTAAGGCCACCCAAGCGGTGGAGGATGAGTTTGCACAGATCCAAGGTATACCCGGTTCGGTATTCAAGACAGACGCAGAGGCCGCTCAATTTCGAGCCACGGTTGACTGTTGGACACGAGGTCATTGGGTATCTGTTCCGTTTACAAAGGGCATGCCTCACTTTCAAGATCCCTTATACGGTAGCTGTGATCGTAAGTTTGCCAAGTCCAATACAAGTGGACAACGAGATGCTGTCAAATATGTGTGGGAGTCTCAGTGTGGATCCACAGGGGTTGAGGTGGATGGCGAGAACTGGTGCAAAGTGTTGCGTGGTCGACATGTCCTGTTGGTAGGAGATTTGGTTCATTATCAGCTACATGAATTATTTTTAGACACACTGCGGGATGGCCCCGCTGTCTGCTTTGGGGAACTCAACTGCAAAGGTTATTATTATATTTATTTTTATTAATAGGTCTTGAAAAATATATATATATATATATATAGCTAATACTTCTTCAAAAAACCAGATCATACAGTATGTACCGAACCCTTTATGGAGACACGATTGAGATATCTCCGTAACGATATCTTATCAGTGCGTCGCAAAATGAATGCAAACCACGGACATCCAAAAGCCGACGTCATCGAATGGCCATTTACCAGTGCGTCTATTATGCGAGGCTATCCCATTGTCATCATCAACCGTGCACCTGTGCTTGAGAGCGACGAGAGTTTTATTCACGGACTGATTGAAACATTGCGTGTGATGCGTAAAGGTAACCCCAAGGCTTTATTAATTTACCGGTCCACGGGTATTGGTCACCCCTTTTGTAACGAAGCAACGGGACCCTTAAAGGAGCCATTGACGGATGAAGCATTGCGAAGTTTGCCTTTTGGATGGAGTGAGATTGGGCGTCGTAACGCTATGGCACGCGTGATTGTGGAAGCGGCAGGAGGGTTATTTGTGGATTTAGCTGCCTTGTCTGATTTAAGGCCCGATGGGCATGTCGGAGGTCAAGATTGTCTTCGTTACTGTATTCCGGGACCATTGGACAGCTGGGCTTTAATTTTATACAAGGTGTTTTTAGGCTTGGAAGGACATGTGTTTTAAGTGATAACAATAAAAAAAAAAAATAATAATAATAAAAAATAAAAAAATGTATATATTAAGAAAAAAGTGTGTGTGTTTATGGTAATAAGTATTAAAAAAGAACAAAAATTATTTAAATCTTCTTGGTTTTGGGTCTAATTTTTTGATCCTCCTTTTGCTTGCGAGCAGCGGCCTTCTTAGCTTGATAGGTGATACGATAAAAGTTGATGAATAAGACCAAATAAGAAGACAATAAAAGACAGCCGAAGAGAGCAGAGGTTTCTGTACCAGCACAGCTTCCCATATTGGGAAGATGAGGCCAGTAAGTAAAAGTGAAATAGGTATAAGTACAGAAATAGATGACAACAAGGTCAATGATGAATTGAGTGATTTGAAGTGTGGTCAAGTACTTTTTCCACCAAATCTTGGCACCAGCTGCAGTACGGAAATAGTAATAGTACATGAAGACGTGGACAGTCAAATTCAAGGTGATAGGTACCCAAGACTATATAATGTAAATTTTTTTTAGTACCACCACCCACTTATTCCCATGTGAAAATGATGCTATCCTAAAATCTAAACTTACCACGGAGGTTCGGCCGTTGAGCTGAGTGAAACAGAGCACCATAGTCAAAGAGTGATGGTAATAATGGAGGAATTCTGTGTATGGATGTTAATACCATTGTACAAACACATACACACACACATACACACACACACACACACACACACACACACACAACACACAACTTACCAAGGTTCTTCTTCTTGAGGACTAAAAAGATGGTGTCAATAAGCTCCCAATACTTTACGAGGTAATTAAGGTAATAAAGCAATTCTAAAGGTTGAGTCCAAGTAGCGTCAGCACAGATAGCGGCCATGACACCATTGTGGTAAAAGATGGGAAAGATTTGCTCGACCATCAAGACGAGAAGAAGGAAGGAAACAGCGGTCAACAAAAAGTTGTGAATCATGAAGGGAATCTGGAGCTTGAAAGCGGGCACATTCTTCATGAGGTAACGACCACCAAAGATGACGATGAAGTAGGTCACACATGTCATGGTGACTATGGAGCGAGATGATGAGATGGAAGAAGGGACGCGAAAAACTAAAAAAACTTACCTTCATTGACGGTGGAGAGGGGAGTGACTTGAGGAACATAGTCAAACTTACTAGCAGCTGTACCAGTGACTGCCTCGAAAGCCTTTTCAAAGTAAGGATAAAGAGGTAACCCAAAAGGTGTTTCGGGTGTAAAATGAAGTTGTTTCAACTGCTCCATAATTTGTCGTGCTTAATACAAGAAAGAAAGAAAGAGGAAGGGGGCCAGCTGCAAGTCAAATTTCTCTTTTTATGTTCAGATTTTTTTTTTTTTTTTTTTTTTATCCGCTCGCTCCCCCAAAAAAAATATATAAAGTCAGTTCATACAATGAGCAATAAAAAAAACCTGCATTTTGCTTGTATTGTCATTTTAATTATCAGCCCTTTTCCACGCCCATGTCAATTTGACATGAGAATATTTATGATATTTATTTCTGGCTTATGGTCACACAAGAGAGATAAATAAGGCCTTGATGACATGGTGTGTTACCTTAGATAAAAGGGGCTTAAGGGGTTTCCGAAGGGCTAAGTGCAGGCGTCTATCCTGCTCTCGTCCCTCTCTTTCTCTCTCGTCCCTCTCTCTCTCTCTCTCTCTCTCTTATTTATTTAAAAGGATGGGTTATACGCTGTGGATTGTATTCATGCTTGGATGTCTCATGTTTCTTGTGTCCGCCGGACCTGGTACACATCGGTATAACACTGACGCACATTCAAATTACGGCAACGAGAAGAAAAACAAGCAGTGAGTAACATTTTGTACACACGCGTTATCAGGTAGAAAAAAGTATTCACATGTAAAAAAAAAAAAAAGACATATTCAGGAACATATCAAAGCCATGGTCAAAAATGATACCGAGGATGCACCAGAACCCAGTGAACAGGACATGATTTATTACCTCTTTGTTATTCATGATACGAACGGGGATGGCTATTTGGATGGTCATGAATTGAGAGCTGCCTTTACTGATTTTGATCATCAAGAAGAAGGAGAGAAAGAGCATGATTTAATTCCGTTGGATGAAGTGAATGCGATGGTAGACCATGTCCTAGAAGAAGATGACAAGAATGGCGAGTAAGTTTTTTTTAATTTTATTTATTCAAACGCGTCTTGCTAATCTTCTATTAAAAAAAGCGGTCTCATCTCTTGGAGTGAGTATTTGGAAAGCCAATTATATCATGACGACGACAAAGGTTTAGAATAAAAAGTTTGCACAGATCATTTGTGTCAAGTGACACAACATTTAAGCTCCTCTTTTTTTTTACCGTTTCCACGGCAACCCGCGCACTGAAAAAAAAAAAAAAAAAAATCCTTTTTTTTTTTTCTTTTTTTGTTCTTTTTTTTCTCTCTTACATAAAGAAAATGATTTCCGATGATAATCTTAGTGATAAAAAACGACAAAAGAATCTACGTTCATTTTTATCGAATGGAAAACTTCATTTTCTAAATAGCATGGGTTATCAAGGGCACCCCAAAAAAGGTACTCTTCCCATTAAAAAAAGAAACAAGAGAGTTATATTAAAAAAAAAGCAGGTGCCATGATTACAAAGGGCATCTTTGGAGCTCCGTTAAAATCGGCCTCTTTGTGTGGCTCCTACAACGAGTATGGTTTGAGCGTACCTGATCCCGTCTATCGATGTTTTGAAGAGATTATCAAGCGAGGTAAGTTTAAAAAGAAAAAGAAAAACAATAACAATCTGCTGAGGTCTAAATCTCTTTCTCTCTCTCTCTTTTCTCTTTCTCTCCGCGCGCGTGTGTGTGCTGCATGATTTTTTTTTAAAAAAAATATAGGATTGCTTGTCGAAGGCATATTTAGACTTTCGGGTGCAGCACCCGAAGTAGAGAATTTATTGTTGGATTTCGATAAACCACCCACGTATGGAAAATACATTGATTTACGAACGTATGATATTCACGCTATCACGGGCGTGGTCAAGAAGTTTCTCAGGCAATTACCGGATCCTGTAATTCCCATCATGTGTCACAGCGAGTTTATCGAAATATACGGTACATGCAGATTCATTATTTTTCTTTCTTTCTCTTCTTCTTACATCTAACTTAGACCGGTCTTTCTCGACAAAGGCAACGATCAATGCACTGGCACTAAAGATTCAACAATTGCCACGAGAGCATTTTCACTTGATTTATTACATGATAATGATGGCTTCGTTAATACAGAAACACGCGGATATTAATATGATGAATCCGGAAGCATTGGCAGTGGTATTAGCACCTGTCTGTACTGGGCTCGAACATAATTTAAAAGAGATACCTTCTTGGGTGAAACGACACACACGCACAAAGATGATGAACGATATGGGCCAGTTTATCGAGACCAACAGTAAATGGACACAGATTTGGACTTTATTAATCGAATCCAGTGATCAATTACTAGCTCTCTGGAAAGACTCTTTATTCTACACCTCTGTAGGACATCACACTGTCCCCTGTCATCCTTCTTCTTCTGCAACCACTATTAATTCTATGTCACACGGAAATGGGCGGCATTCCACTAGCCTATCACTTCATCCTCATCAACAACAACAACAAACGGAGTTGTTATTAGATATCGTGCCACCGACGAAACCACCCACTCCACCACATGCCTTTATTCAAAGACGATCCAGTCATTCCACTAGCGATGAGTTATATAAAGTTGTGGTAATGAGAACAAGACAGACCACATGTAAATCGTTAAAGAACCGTGTGTCTTCTTCCGCTGTACTTGATAGACCTTGTTGTACTCAACTCGTTCATTCAAACTCAACGAGCACTGTTTATTCAACTCCATCTTCTTCTCTCACCAAGTAGAAGATGTTTTTCTTTTTTTTTATATTCATTTATCTAATATACCCCCCCTCATTCTTTTTTTTCTAAGAATCAATAATAAAGGAATTGATTGTATCTATAACAACAAATATTTTGTGCTGCAAAACATAAAAAAGAAAAGTGTATCACTTTTGTTTAATTTTGGAAAGAAAGTGGAGTCAGAGCTTAAAAATTCGGGTTGTGACACACATATTATATAATGTCATTGCTACGTTATTAGGTCTCGTGAGGACAAAGGGTGATACCATTCGACCCATTTCCTTTTCCAAGCAGTTGTTTATCGTGCACCCCACCCTCAACAGATTAAGAAGGTGCCTATCATTTTTTTTAAAAAAAAAGTGCTCTCCAAAAAGGCAAAGTGTTATTCCATGAGGGTTACACATATCGAAACTAAATACAGAATTGACAGAAATAATGTGTGGGACCTTTGGAAAAAGCATAAACAATTTCCATTATATTCACTGTGCAACATGATGGAGCTTTTATTTATTTATTGACACGTACAATATACCGACTAGCAACAGCAGCAATTAATGCCATCAACCCACCAAATGCCAAGACTGTAGCCACATTGGATCCATCTTTCCCTTGCACAGGACCCTCTGCAGCAGAAGCCGCAAAAATTAAGGAAGAAATAATAGCCACAGCAAATTGAGGAAAGACAATGTACATATTATGCACACCCAAGATCATGCCGGCGTCAAAATCATCCTGTTGATCCTCCGACCCAACCACGACCACACTCGCACCTTTTTTACGCTGCTCATCTTCATAACTAACATACTCGCCCACAAGAGAAAAGGGAATCCAGAGCACAATGGCCCAAGGAATACCCATAATGGCCAATACTAACGTGGCCCAAGATACGGACCGAATGAACCAGGTGGATAAAAGGGCTGCAGCAATAATCAACTGAGACCCCGTGTACACATTCATGAGGGACAACCACCATACCCTTTTCTCAAATCGCATTACCAAAGCTGGAATTACCATACCGGCTACTACAGACACCATCGAGTTACACAGTAGTGCAAATGAGCCTGCTCGTGTACCTTCGGCCCAGTTGACATCTTCGGCTGACGTAGGTGGGTGCGCTATAAAGTAAAGATCCGATACCCACTGCGTGCTTCTCTTATTGTTAATTACAATTACAATAAACACTTTTCTCTCTTTTAGTTTTACCTGTAAAACAGAAAAGGAAACCAACCCATCCATGCAAAGAACTGGGTGTTACACAGCGATTGAATGGGTTTTGGCAAGAAGCGAAAAGCACGCCAAATATACTGCAAGGTATTATACCAAGGTCTATAGCACATATACTTAATACACACACAAACACAGAATATAGAACACACTTACAAGGTATCCTGGTCCTCGGTCTCGACGTGCTGCTTCTCCTGTACCAGGACACAGGTGATGGCCAACGTGACTAAAAAGACAGCCATAGCCACAATACAAAAGACCTTGATTTGAGAATCACCCATCCAAGGGAAATACTTTACCAGATCCATAAAGCCTACAAAATAGCCCACCACCATGGCACAGTTACTCATACGGGCACTCCAAGCATTTGCATATTCTTGTTGCCATAAAGGGGGAATGTCTAGGATCAGGGCGCGACAAATAGCTTGTACGGCGTTTAAAGTAAAGTCGAGAAAGTAGAAAGAAGAGACGGCCACAATGATCGCATACAAGTGCGCCTACAGTAGAGAGAGAGAGATGATCAATATACAAAAAACCGACATGTGATTATAATATTTACAGTTTGGTCAAATGAGTCAGGGGAATAAAAATGACGTGCAATCCAGGCACCAAATTCCTTTGCATAAGCGACGCCAATCATGGATAAACAGGTCAGGAACCCCGATACCACAATAAAAGGTCGGCGTTTACCAAACCGAGACGTACACTTGTCACTGAAAGCGCCAATCAACTATTGAAAGAAGTTGAGAAAAAAAAAAGAGAGAGAGAAATCATCCTTATTTATTACTTACGGGTTGCACAAGAAGACCAGACAAAGGCCCGGCTAGCCAGACTAATGCCGTCAGTTCCTTTGATAAGTCAAGTGATAACAAATACGGTGTACCATACCTTTTAAAAGTTAATATATGACATTTTATATAGATGAGATTTAAGTACTTACGATAATTCTACAGTCCCTGAATGTTTACAAATGTACATGTTTTAATATAAACAAAAGATTAAGAAATGAAAAAAAAAAAAGGATTTACATGTAAATTGGACACCAGCCATGCAAATGGTAAGACCCAAGATTTGAGCAAGCGAGAGGCCTGGTTCTCTACCAGAACCTCCATCGGAAGGTGTATCGGCTATAGTGCCAATACTATTATACGTGGCAGGATCAAAAGAAGATCGTCTTCTACGTGCCTTGGGTCGAGTGGACCTTGGCGGTTTCTGTTGTAGTAAAGATGTTTGCTCACTACTCATTATACACCCTTTTTTAATGTAAAGAAGAAGAAAAAAAAAAGAAATATAATAGGAAAAGAGACTATTTATATATACAGCTTTTTCCATATCATATGATCAAGGAGAGAAGTTACCCCAGGTATATCATATTTCTAAAATGATGAAAAGAACCAATCAACACGTAATAAATCATCTGGTTGTCATCCCCCTTCTATAAAAAACACGGCTTTTTTTTTCCATCCTCTCTCCCCATTTCTACCACCCCTGAATTGGGAAACTCTCTCTTTAACAAATAGAAACTCAGTAATGGGTGCACATTATTTTTTTTTTCGGAAAATGCATAAAATTAGAAACTTTAATTTTGGAATAATAACCCTTTCCAGCATTGTATGGGCCGTGCCTTATAAGATTCTATCTATTTAAATAGGGACTTTGATTAAGCAGTTTTCGAAATGATTTTCTGCTTTTTATTTTTTATAAAAAAAGTGCTGACATTAAGATAATTATAAGAATAAGGGACTCACATGTCACTGCCAATCATTCTTTATGCGTGATTCGTTATGACGCCTAGGTATACAGGATGAGGTGATTGATTGCTTAATCAATTAGGTAATAAGGCTTCAAGCAGCTTATTTACAAAACAGTAGTAGTTGAGGTGTGTGTACAACTACAATCACTGTATATTCAATTTAGATTAATAATTTGCATGATACTTTTGAGGTAGTTCTAATGGTAAAATGTATATGTATTTTTTTATAATTGTTTTATTTCTTGTTGAATGTTCCTTTTTTTTATTTTCGAGAAAATGTACCACAGGATTCAAAAAAAAGATGATTCGAATTGTAAGTGGGAAGATCACTGTATGAAAAAAAAAAAAATCTATTTATGCAGCAACCTCGTTCTGTGCAAGTTCACGTCTCTTGATGGTGGTAGCAAGTACCTGTGATCGGAAAGAAAGACCCTTTGTACGTTCAATGACTTGTTGATATACAGAAGTAACTGGTGTGTTCATGATGACGGTATTTTCCTCAAAATCAATCTTGGCATCGACACGTGTATCTCTAATCAAGTTGACGATCCATTTCTCACCTTCTTCCTGAGACAAGTTGAGTCTTTGTGACATTTCCTTGATATCGATCTTTTGATGAATTCTGCAATATGTCTCTGAAATGAACTGTCTGGCGCTTTCCATGAAATCTTCGTGGGTGGCGGCTAAAAAGAAATCATTGGAAAGAACATCTTCACATTCCTTCAACTTCTTTTGAGCACCTTCGAAATCGAAACGAACAAAGAGTGCTTCAACAAATTCGGTGACGGGGTCTTTATATTCGTATGCTTCTTGTTCGATAATCTTGACAAGTTCCTTCATTTGGTTCTTTCTACGCTTGTTGGTTACCACAGCAGTGGCAAGGTAACGCAAGATCCAGGGACAAGATGTTTGGATGGTGTTGATGTATTGAGGCGTAAGGAACATATCGACGATACCGTCACGACCCTTGGGGTGGTTGAAGAACACGAACAAGGACCAGTGAAGGAGCCAAGTACGTTGTTGAAGTTGTTGAAGAGGCGAACTGTTGCTCTTTTGATCAATGGCTTCTCTCAACTTTTGCATCTCTTCCAAAGCTGCGTCCCAGTTACCTGTCAAGATCTCCGATGCCATCTTACCCCAAGTGGCAGAAAGAGAGCGTTCGTTATCGGTAGACTATGTAGCATTGAGTGTTAGTTTCCTATATCGTTCCCCTGTTCTCTCTATTTATCTTTCTTTACCAAAACGCGGAAATGGTAGAGATAGTCAGCAGCTCCTCCATAATCACCACAGTTGTATTGGAATTGACCGAATTCGTATAAAATGTTGATGGAATCATCAGTAAACTTTTTACAAAAAAAAAAAGACGTGTTAATGTCAAACAATCCCTTTTCTACCCTACTCTAGAAAATTTTACCTTGTAGTTTTCCTTCAAGTATTGCAAGTTTTGTGCCTTGTCTTGACGAAGAGCAGCAATGACTTCGGGCTTTTCAAGAATGTCCATGACCTTTTGAGCCTTGGTTCTTAATTCCTCCATTTGAGACAAAACCTTTTCTCTCTTTTCAGTGAATTCTACATATAGATGGGGTGTGTGTCAATACGCGAGGGGTTGATATAAATGTCGTCTCATTCTACGGATGTAAGAAAGAAATAATAATAAGAAAAAAAAAATTACCCTTGGGAGCTTCTTCGGTCTTGTGAAGCTTCTTGTAGAGGTCTTGCACGAAATCAACCATGTTGGAATTTTTAAACAAGTCGTACTTGGCTTCGAGTAATTGTTCGGGAGCATAAACCTACAAGAGTTTTAATAACATGATGATGAACAGATTGAAAAATATACTTTACTTCCTTCAATTCCAAGAATTCAATAAGAGGGAAAACGAGATGACGATCCAAGAATGGAATCATTCTCATGGTCAAATCTTGTGTGGCAGCCATGTTTAATTAAATAGGTAGATTTGCAACAAACGAAAAAAAAAAGTTTTAGAAGGCTTGGTAAATAAAAAAAAAATAATACAGCTGGTATTCAATTTTTTTTACAACAGTCACTTCATGAGCTATTTTTTGGATAGAAACCCAAACATGATGGTATCCATGGTGATATCCATAATGCTGGAATTCGTTTTGTTTTATTGTGGAAAGCATTGTATTACAAAGTAAAGGAGACCATTTAGTTTGTACATGATGGGCTGAGTTACGACCTATTTTTTTTTTGTTATCAGCTCATTGTTCCCCGTTTTCATTTGTCTGAGAGTCTAATACCCCCCAAAGCTACGTTCATCTTTTTGCTAATTGCCTAACAATTTTTTTTTATCGCAAAGTAAATTACTACATAACCGTGTTTTAAAAAATATTAACCTTTTCTATTTTTCCAGGAATGACGCCGTTTTCATCAATGCCGAGAATGATTTTTCTGTTTCTCTGAAAGTGATTAGAAACCCAGAATTGTTAATCCCGGGGAGAAAAAAGGCGTCTATTTTCTGTGTGGCTAAAGCGATGAATATAAACATGATTGTTTTAAATCAGCTTTTAATTTTTTTAATAGCTATCTCTTCATGGTATCTACTAATTGTCATATCTAGGAGAAGCAATAGCTTCAAACAAATTGGCACAGTTGCTGTCAACCTAGATTTGAAGATATCTGGGAAGCAATTTTACTTGGTAAAGATACATAGAAGTTCTCTTTAATTGTAAAAAGAATCTAATCATCAATATTTTTTCAAACGCGTTGTCTTTGAGCATAAATAAAGAAAGAACCGCATTTTCGGATAATCGTGACAAACTTCACTCAAATGTCTTGTAGCACTTGCTTTTGAGGGGAGGGCGTAATTTAACTTTGATACTAGCACCGGCATCCGGCCGTTACGTATTTTCAAAACAGGATAGAATTAAAACATGCCTGCTAATTAAAAAGTGATTATGGGATGACCAAGTATTTGCTAAAAGGAAACGCACACTGCTTTTATCATATTGTCATATACAGAGTTTGAAAGGAAGCCTTATTTTTTCCTCACAAAAGCATTGCAATTAAATCAGTTATGAAATAAAATAAAAAGTCTTAAGACAAGCACACAAGTGCAATTGTGAGGGTATACCATAATATCACTCTTTAATATATCCGTTAAATCTAGCTTCTTACACGCTATTCGGCGCACAAAGATTTATGATATTCCTGCTTGAGTGTAAAAAACATCACGTTAAGTTCAAACTGCGCGCGTTTTTTGAACACCATTTTTTTTTAGAAAGTGGTGTGGGAGATACATTTTCACTTTATAGAATACCAATGACTGAAACTTCGAGTGTTTTTGGTTTGCGACATCAAGTATGCATTGTATAGAGGAAACATACGATCCGAGATTAATGAATTTTTTTTCTTCTTTAAAAAAACAAAGGCGAGATGTTTAACAGCAGTGACTAGCAGTATAGAAAAAAGCAAGTTTTTAGCGGGTACAGTGGGAGCAAAAGACAATGCGATTTATCTTTTGGAATACAATGATGATACCATGGCTATTACACCCACATTGTATAACCATCCCGAAGAAATATGGGATATCGTCTCTTGTCCAACCGATGAAAATTTACTATTTACAAGTCATAGTCCAGGTAATACCCCTTTTGTTGTTTTAAAAAATGCATCTTTGTTAATAATAAACGTTATGTGGATTTAAAAGTGTCAGGAAACCCGTTAAAAAGAAAAGCTACATTATGGCGTAAACCTGGTCTGGATTCGGAAGGAAAAGAAGATAATGATCAACGTCATGATTTGACCTGTATGGTTACTTTGGAAAATGAAGGGGTTAAAAAGCAAGTGACAAAAAATAAAAAATAAAAAGAAAAGAGAGAACTGTTCAGAATAACGCATTTATTGTATTCTAGAGTACTTTGGAACCCTCAGGAACAAAGTCAGGAAATTATATCAATTGATTCCAACAAGATCTATTTGTCTAGTTTAGATGATACATCAACAGCACAGGTAAAAAAAAAGAAGCTTTTTCCTACAACTTCATCATTATGGATAATCTAATAAGCGAGTGAATGTAGACTTCTTTAGTGATTGATGTATCATCAACGTTTTCCAAAGAAAGCGATGCTCCATCATTACGTCAACTTCAGAATGCGGTCTGGAATCCACACGGAGCCGAACTAATTACTGTAGGAGACTGCAATCTGTCAGGATGGGATTTAAGGTCGGGCAAGAACAGTTTTAATCGATGCCAAGCACACAAGAGTACAATCCGTGCTGTAGACTATAACCCCAATAAACCCTATCATGTAGTCACGGGAGGAGACGATGCCAAAGTGTATATATGGGATATTCGACAATTGAAAGAACCTATTTTGGATGTGGGGCAAGAAGAGGATTCCCATTCACACTGGATTTGGTCAGTTGCGTTCAACAGCTTACAAGATCAGTTACTTTTAACATCTAGTTCGGATAATCTGGTCAATCTACATAATGTAGTCTCGGTTTCTGCTGCTTCTTATTTAGATAGCTCAAGCGAGGACGAAAAAGATGTGCAATCAGATGATTACGGGAGAAGCACGTATGTAAACTGATAAGATTATTTTTAAGTCTAAAAAAAGTTAAAATTTGTTTACATGTTTATATAGAAATAAGCCAACAGATGGTCTAATTTATACTTACGACCAACATGAAGATAGTGTCTATAAAGTTGCATGGAGTCCAGCAGATACTTGGACTTTTGCATCTATCTCTTATGCCGGTAGAGTTGTAATTAGTCAGGTACCAACCAATGAAAAGTTCAAGATTTTGGGCGTGTAAATAAAACAAAAAAATATAATTTATTATTCATGTATGATGGAATTACAAATTTGGGAGGGTAGAGGGGGTATATATTAACGATGACTATGAATTTATGTGTGTGTGTGTGTATTAATGCGTGTAATTTTTTGTTTTTTGTTTAGTTGCGGTTAGGATTTACATCAAGGATTCTATCTGGTGTATAAGACATGTCTAATTGGACATGATCCGACACTTTTTCATCGTGCTCTTGTTGGCTTAAATTATCTAGTCGTGTTTGCTCTGCGTTTCCTTCTTTTTCAATATCAGCAGCCAACGTGGTGCCAACACCAGCACGTGTTCCCCATCCAACTTCATGGAGAGTAAATAGTGCATAAACCTTCATGATAGCAAAATAGTAATTAAATAAGAGCCACGCTGGTAAATGGATGACGTCTTGAGGTCTGCGATAGAAATGTGGTAATAATTTGAGGCCTCTTGTCAGTAATAACCAACCAAAATAAGATAAGATGACATTCCAGATAGGTAAAGGAGCGTTAGTTGGACCTGCGTTTGCAGCTTGACCTAAAGCAAAGATAATGACGAGAATGGGACCTGACAAGAGTGAGATTGGATTAAAGATTTTATCGACCATAGTAAAAGCAACAAATGGATGTCTGCTCCAGATCTTTCGTTCTGTAAATAATGATCTGAAATCAGAACGCCATGTATTTCGAGTCCATCTTAGAACTTGTTTGATAAATCTCCAATTATCTTTGAAGGTAGAGAATAATTCTGCCTCTGGGCAGACTTGAACAAATGTATTCCAACCATGAGTGACCATCCATCGAGTCAAGAATTTATCATCGCCAGAATTTAAAGGGTATTTTCCTAACCAGAGATCGTTTTGGAAACCGAATTGGAAAGCAGGGTCTTTAAGAATCAATGTTCTATAAGCAGCCGTTCGACCTGATAAACAACAAACACCTCCATCAATATGAGTGGATGCCGCGACCTCGATATTTCGAATAGTAAGACGGAAGCCAGCGAGTACTTCCCAGACGGTTTGATGACCATTTGGATTGACAGCATGAACTGTTTGACAAGTTCCGACACCACCCATCTTTAAATCTTCAAAACAAGCAAGGATATAAGTAAGCATAGTAGGTTTCCAAATAGCATCATCGTCTGCAAAAACCAATAGTTCGGTGGTGGTAGCATTGACACCGGCCACCATTTGTAGACGTTTGTTAGCTTTTGAGACAGTCAATACTCGAATTTTGGTGGGATCAACTTCGTTGGCTAAATCTTCTAGTGGTCCTCGCATGGACTCTTCGGTGATGATGACAATTTCTTTAGGATCGCAAGCGAGCCAACTACGAGCGGCAATCTTAAACTCTTCACCAGCATCAATGGTAGGTACAATAATGGTGACATCTTGGGATGGAATATAAGTTGGGTTGGCTTTGGGCTGGACTGGTTCATATACTATCCATGCAAGTACTTTTATAAAGAACCAAAGATATCGATAAAATCCGATAATTCCTAATGGAAGGAAAAAGGGTAGCAAACCTAAATCATTTGTAAGATAAAGCATTTATTTTGAACCAAAAAAGAAAAAAGAAGTTGTAAAGAAAAAGAAGAATAAAAGAAAGAAAAAAGTATTTTGTGCCTTGAATAAAAAATATCAGAAAATAGACGATATACAAAGATGGTGGCATTGCATTTTTTTTTATATATATATATAAATAAATATATATTATGGACATGCATTATTGTATGAAAGACATGATTATCAGAAAACAAGGGGATGCATACAAGAGAAGATGAATACAAAAGAGAAGGGGGGGATGAGAAAGAGTTGGGGGTTGGGGGGCTAAAACCAAGTTGATGAGGAGAAAGACTAAGTAAACATCAGCCTTTTTTTTTATGGGGAAGAACATATTTATAGCATTTTGTTTTCTCATGTCAACTCAAGTATATCTACGCAACTAACGTATTTGCATTAATAAAATCATCTTGATAAATTGTAAATTATTGCTAGATTGGATGATAAATTTTTATTTGTATATCAACTTGATGTTTTAATAGCATGAGTGTATGTACATATTAAGAAGAAATGGAAATAAGATACCACATCCATCAATATAGAGTATTTATACAGAGATATCTCTCCTTTATAGATTATACGATTTGTTGGTTATTATTATATCCTGTACCTTAAAAAAGAAACCCCCTTACCTTGTTGCAAAGCCATGTTTTATTTCTTGCCTTAGATTCATATGTCTCTTTTACATGCTTGTTATTGTGCACCGAGCACGTTTACTAAAATATTGACATAATAAAAAAAAATGCGTATCATATGTTTAAAGATTGAGAGGGGAGACGACGATCCTTTCTTATTTTTATGGACCGATCAACTCGGATTACAAGATCAAAACAAGGAGTTTTCTCACTGGTAAAAATAGCTTATTTAAGCTATATGAAAAAAAAAAACTTGTTTATAAGCTTTTTGATGGAAAGGCAAATGTTTCAATTCGTTATCTTGAACAGATTATATAGATTAGGACATGTACAATGCTGTCTTAATAAATATGCATCCACGTGTAGATAGATAATAATTCTATTCGTCGTTTGGGGGGTATTTCTTCAATGTGCAGGTGAACACAGCATAATAAATATTACGTTTACTTTTTTTCGTTTTTTGTTACAAATAAAAAGAGAAGGGGTGGGGGGGGGCAGCTCCGGCTTGAGCGAAGCCAAGTGAGCCACCCGGAGCAAAAAATTATGCGCTCGATATGTCTTGATTGCCATACCGCAAGAGTAAATCAAGACTCCTGACACATTGGCCTGAGGAAAAAGAGAGATTACTCCCAACTTTTTCGACAGAACTTCGTGACGCGCCCTTTTTTACCGGATCACAAATTGCAGTTTTCAGTCAAGATTGTATTGAAAGTCGGTAAAATACCGACTTGTGGTGGCTTGACATTTCTCATGAATTTTTCTCTTTGTGAAAGTGATGCGGATCATTGGATCTATGCTGGCGAAGGAAATCTAAATTTAGTAGTAAGATATACAGGAGACAATCAGATCTATGTAAGTCTTTCTCTTTTTGACTTTATTTGCAGCATAATAAAACTTCTTTTTTTGGTTTCGTAAGAAAGGCAAGGTTTTGCGTGTTATAAAAAATAGCAAAAACAAACAAGGTCCAATTCAAGATACCATAGTCTTTAAAAAACAATTTTCTGAAAGGGTGATTCAGCCATTACTAGGAAAAGAATATGTTGTACAAATGGTAAAAGACAATTGTTGGGATGCGGGGAGGACAACGTGGTTAATCACTCAGTTATAGTCTCCTGTCGAAACTTCAAGTGGATTCCTTAAAAGATTGGCAAAGCACGTCGAACCATTCCGACCTGCATTTCGAACAGATAGACAAATCGTAACTGATTCCCCGATTTCATTTCTTTTAAATGACCTGACACAAGTTTGGCCCAATTCACCCACATTGACCTATGAGTTAAAGGTAACATTGAACACCGATTAGAGGAAGTTTCGCAGGACTGAAACAGAAAAACAACGATTAATAGCCAAAATGGGGATTTAAACCGGACTCATCGTTCATCTCAAGGAACGATATAAAAAAATCCAGCTGTCGATTTTGCATGCATTCATATTTACGAGAGATCCCAGCCAATGATTTCTGTCCACTCGATCTATATTCAGCAGACCGATCCAGGATCCAAAAAGCAGTACGCGTATTATTTACAGAAAAGTCATTGAGCAAAACCTTATCCGTCTCTGTAGATGGCGAAAAGTTATCATTAGGCAGTGTAGATCGCCAAAATTTACTGGGATTTACGAACAACGATACCGATTTGATGCAAGAAATTTTGACGAATGTGATTTTAAAGGACCCTATATTGCAAATAATCAAACAACTACAGACTCACTTGGATGAATTGGATGTGGAAGGAATATATTCGCTATGTCATCAGAATAAAGATCTTTTGAGACTTGTGACAGATGATATATGTATATGGAAAGATGTTGTAGACCTTCATCAAAAACGAAGACAAGATAATCCGGGTTTCTTTATGGATGGTGTTTGTAATACAGAAGAGCAAAAGCAAAGGGTTTACGAATACATATTATCCATGACATTTAAAGACTGTTCCATCATGATTAATGTAACACCCAGTCAGGCAACAGACATTAGCGACAAGACCATCAGGCTTGCAAATGGCCTGTCGTTTCGATATGATGTGAAGGTAATTGATACTGATTTAAAAAGTATTGAGAAGATTCCATACTGGTTCGAGTTAGATCAGTCCATTGTAAAACATGCAACGGAAACAAATTTCGAAAAAAAATGCCACTAATCCCACTGCAACATACGAAAAAAAAAAGGAGATACAGAACCAGTCTTTTCTAGTAGGTACGAAAGTCCCATATAGCCAAAAATAAAAGATACGTACTCTAAGTATATCATATAATAACTAATCAAAAAGATTAAAAAAATGGTGCATTACTTAAAATGTTACATGGCGTACAAGTTCTTAAAAGTCCCTTAAAGACAACGCCCAAAATTCTATTCCATTAAAAACAAAGTGAGTGTAGGCTATTAGGAAACCGAGGTTTGGTAACATCAATTCAGATTTATGACTAGTCCCTTATGAAATTGGGAGTGCCTAACAGCTAAAAAGTGAGCAGATGGTCGAATATAGATTTATGTAACCACACACAGAACAAAAGTTTTTTTGTGGCTCCCCTTAACTAACGGCACGGCATTTTAACCCCCATTTATTGAGGAATACCTTGAAAACTTGGATAAAAAACACAAAAAAAAAAAAAAAGTTTTATCGTCTTTTGTGATAGGACAGATTTAAGCGCGTGGTCTGATGGAGAATTTCTGCTTTTAATAGCGCGCTTAAAAGAGTAAGTTCCAGCAGCACAAGCTTATATGATAGTGTAACTCGATGTCTTCGCGAAGTATGGCTACGGCATATTGCCTGTTCCATGCTTCCAGCATGCTGTTATAAGCCAGCATTTCACAAGGGAAACAGTAGAGTTTTGTTTTATTGTGTTTCCAATCGTTCTGGTCTTGAAAAAAATATAGCTATTTTAACAAGAAAGCCGACAGCGTAAGCATTGGTAACTGTAGGACATTCATTGAGCATGCAACATTGAGGAAATTTTTTATCTTGTGAAACGGGTAGCTTAAAATTAAAGTGATGTATCTTGGTGACGGTGATACGAAATCACACATATATGAATGATCGTTGTTTTACCCAATACTTTACTCCTTTAGAAAGCACTATTACGTACCTCTGGTAGATATATTAACGCGCCATTTTTTTCCCGGCATGTGTCCATAAAACAAAAGCGGCTCAGATTTTGAGTCTATGATTACTCAAGTATCTCTGATATACAGTTCTCCATCTGGAAATTATCCCTGTTTCGGTATACTACTTAAAAAAGCTCATGATGATTTATACTCGCTAAAATTTTCTAGTGACAAGTGCGAGGGTCCGGTTTTTTCTGTTTTTTATTATCATCAAAAGGAAAAGTATATCGCCGTATGTATGCACTTATTATTGTTGGTTGTGCAATTCAAGCATTATTATGTAATCATTTAAACTTAAGCTATCGTAGTCAATAATACAGTGCTCGATTTTTAAATACACGTTTGGGTATCTACTAGTACTCACTCGACTATTAACAAGTAAACTTTTTTTTTTTGTTAATAATAATATCCAAACGCCCTATTAAAACTGACCTCGAGCTTTTCTGTTCTATTATGCCGCAGATACATACTTATTTAATCTAAAACCCTTTTTAGGCCGCCTTTTTAAATTTTTAGTACTTACAGTATTGAAAATAAAAGCTGTTACACTCAGTAATTATTTGTCCTACTATTTACCGGCATTGTTTACAGCTTACTATTGTCAGTCGGCACATTTGTATGTACAGTATTCTTAAACACAGAGCTCTAAGATGACCCATCAATATCTTATAACAGATCGAATTTCGACTGTCATTTTCATAAGTAGCAACAGTGGGCGTTAGCATAAAAAAGTTAGTCTTTAATATTATAATAATAGCTTCCTAGGTTCGCTACCAGAATGGGTGAGCGTTTGGCTGCATCATATGGTTAATCACACATATATAAAAATTTGACATCTTACAACCCAATCTTAATTAAAATATTCGACACAAATAGCCAGTTAACGAGATATTCAAAGATAGCAACGTTTTCAACTGCACACAACTATATTTGAATCTACGCCATTTTTCTTTTGTCTAACGTAGACATTATACCTATTATAATTCATGAGATAACACAAATACTAAATCAGTGAGTAGATATGAGTAATAAGGTTTCAAAATAAGCTACTTTTGTCTTTCCTAACGGGTTATACACGCTACAATTGGTTGTAGAGATACCTATACGAAAAACTAATCGGTATTTTGCACAAAAAACTGTTTGGATATTAATCATGCGGGTTATACATTGGAAACGGTACCCATCTTTATACGGATATTTTGTATAATATAAAATTTTCTGTCATGGTATATGTTCTTGTAAAAGCATGCAAAGTCTTTAAAATTTGGTGACACACGAACATTAAAAACTCGTGCATTTGCTGTCATTTGATTTTTTGTAACATTGATCGAGTCATGCGTGTCAATTTGACCGTCGCTTTTTAAATTTCAATTGGACATTTTTGTGAGTCCCAATTGGTCAATTGTTGAAACTCAACTGGCGTTCTTCACGTAGTTTACAGAGTTAGAAAGCCTATGTAAAAAGGGTGAAAAAATACTGTGCGTCGAAAAACAGTGCATGAAACCGTCATCATTTTAAAATTCACAGCCACAATAAAAATTGGCAAATGAGTTTAATAAATTGGTTATAGAGGGGCTGTGAGTCCTGAACGGCAGAAAAAAACACACACACACTATGTTAGCATTTAATGATTTAATAATGTACACTTGGGAGAAAAACTAAATCACACGAGAGGGCCACAGGGAAAATGTCTAGAACTAAAACGTACTTCTTAGAATTACGCGATGGTCTACAAATAAGTCTTTACGTCGATTGACATGTCATATCATCTAAAGTTCATAGGATGATCGATTTCTCTTTTCCATAAAATCTGCTTCACTGTCATTACAGGTTACTACTGGAACGCAGATAGACAATTACCGAGTTCTGACTTGCTTGGGAGTTTTTTCAAGTGTTTCTATTTTAAGTAAAGGCTCAAACATTATGGATGGTAAAATAGACAAATTAAATCATCCTGACATAAGCCTGTTTATCAGCCTACAAATAAAGCTGGTTCACACACTTTATTCCCCCCCCCCCCTTTTCTTTTCCCTTAACATACTTCTTCTATCGTCTGAAAGTAATCGATAACGTAAAAATGTTAGTTAGTAATGACTCTTGTTTCTTTCAAAAGACGCTAAATCGAAAAATATATAGCGATATTGTGGCTCCGGCTAGTCTTTTCTGTAGGTGGGCGACCTCCTAGGCAGGGTTCTTTAGTTTTGGAACTCACAGACAGTGAATAACAGGGGTTGCACTTTAAATGTTTGTGATTATACTGGCCTGCTGGTCTTGGCCAGAATTGCTGTAAGTGGTATAAAAAAAAAATACGTTTGAAAAAAAAAATACGGAGGTCTGGACATTTCCCTAATAAAGAACATGTCATTGCTTGTGATAGGAAAGTGCCACTGAAAAAAGCAAATAAAAAAACACATATAATGTCAACATCAAGACGAATCATGGTACAGTTTATGGTGATGTATTCAATTATAACAGTTCGAGCAGAGAGGACAAGAATCAAAAGGTTGATCACGTTAATAATAAGTCTAGTACTTGGATTATTGATAATCAAGAAGATGTTCGGGAGGCCATACGTCAATATTTAAAAACGTCAATCAAATGTGATCCCTCCATCCTAGATGAATTATGAACTTACTTCAAACATGATAATTACACGATTTCAACTCCCTTTCAAACATGTAGTCAATATGCTTTAAGCGTGTTGACTGTCATGAAAAAAAAAAAAAAAAAAAAAAAAAAAAAAAAATTAAAAGCTATAGAGGAGGCGCTTAAAAGTTTGGAAATCACTGAAGAAATTTCTAGCACCAGCCAAAATTTTATAAAGGAATTCTTTTATGTTTGCCTTTACATTTATAGAAGACCAAATTTATATTACCGACTTTCCATAAACGAAGCGAGCTTTAACCATAGTTTCATATAGCTTATAATAGAATTTATGGTGGACAGTATGCCGGATATCACATTGAAATTCTCACCTGGATAATGTTTTCTGAAATGGACAAACGAAGAGTACAAAGCAGATGCTTGCATTTCAGCCGAAGAAAATGAATTATCTACACTGAAAACATCGGGAAAGATACTATAGGAAGATAATTCGAAGTATGGTAGTGACCATATTAAAATACACTATGGTGCCTTGAGCATTTTCAATGCTGTATGCAAAAAGTACTATTGGGCCACTGAAGCAACCGCTTCAGAATTACACATCCCGTTTCTTCATGCCAGGCGTACGTAAAACTTATTGAAAGTTATTCAACAGTGTTAAGGATATCATAGATATAATAATAAAGTCAATTGTCACATCACATAATAATATAAAAGTTAATCATGAATCAGACATTATCCCGCTTGTTCTCATCCTACCGTTGAAGTCTGTACACAGGGCACAATCCTGTGGCGAGTAAATTTATTCTGCAAAAAGCAATACAATCGAATGGGCCTGGACTATAGAATATTAATAGATCCTGAGCACAAATATTACTCTTGTCATTTGATGTTATAACTGTTGATCCCTCTGACTAATATTTATATATTCAGTATGGAAGGGCTACATTTAAAGACATGTTGATTATCATTTATTATCACCAGGCTATTACATCATAATCCAATAAGGCGCTTAAAATTTTCCCTAGAACCATCAAGTTCTTCATATAAATATCCATAGTTTTTTCTCGTAGACCATCATACGTTTTTAAATTAGTTAATTTTTTTTCGTCCATAATAAAGTGGGTTTACTTTAATTTTGTTCTCCATGCAAAACAATGGTTCTTTTTTATGTGATCGTTGAAAGAGCTAGAAGTAGAAAGTCTGCTGGGACAATTAGGGCAACTGAATTTATTGTTACTTTCCCATGATCGTTTTACTGTTATCATTTCAGTCGATATTTTGCATGTAAAGGCACAGAGAGCTAAAAACTTATTCTAGCAAAATTTAAATGTATTTTTGAAATAAAACTCTTTTATTATTATCATTCTACTATAAGACTAAACGGACATCATATTCTTTGAAAGACGCTCTTCATCTTCTTCTGTATAATTTAATCTCTTGAAAAGAAGTCTTTTCTTTTCCTCCCATTCACTGTCCAAGATGGAGAAATACGCGGTGTCCCTATTCACACCCTTAATAAGCATATGTTGTCTCATAATCGATTCCGCAGTGTACCCCAATTTGATTGCTGCTTTTTTAGAAGGCTCATTTTTAGAATCACATTTCCATTCAGCTCTTCTATACTTTTGATTTTCAAACAGATAGTACAATAACAGTAATGAACTTTCTGTGTTGGCATATGTTCCCCAAAATTCTGGTGTGTACCAGAGTCCACCTAATTCCGCTCTTTTATGGGAATGTACGATATTCAAAAGATTGATCTGTCCAATTTTTCTGTTTGATGCTTTATCTACTACCACAAACTGGATCCACATGGAGTCATTGTTTAAGTCCAAAAGAAATTGTTTAAAGTCACCTGCACTTAAAAAGGGCTGCTTGTAAGTATCAAAGTACAGATAGTCCCAGATGGTTTGCTTTTGTGGTGTTCCATGAGAGTTTTCGTAAAGCTCCTCATAGTCTTCTTCAGGGTTAAGTCTTTGGAGTCTTATATGCTTGCCCTCAAGAGGTCCTATGCAGTGGTCCCTAAGTTGAAAAGTGTTCATGTTAATTGATTATTCAATAAAAAACCTAGATATTTTTCTTTTATGTTAAACACATATTACGGCTTGTGAGTCACAGTTTGTAAGCAACGATGGCGTAATAGCGACGGTTGATATCTACATGCACTCAAAAAATAAATAAAACTATTGATTACTTAAAGCTCAGAGACCAGTAGGGTACAATAAAAATAGCGGTGTTATACCTATTGCTGACTGATTTGGTATAGTTTTGTAGGCATGCAGATGCGTTGCCCTATTAGAGCAAAACATCAAATCATATTCATGAATCACTTGTTTTCCTATATTTTATTTAGGTAAACACGGATAAATTTGTATAAACAAATCATCTGGCTCCTCTTTCCCACATTTGAAAAAAAAAAATTGAAGTTGCTAAATATTTCGCCGAGCTAGTATTTGATATCCAGCTTGCGACCAATTACATCTTTTTTTAAATCAATTGGAGATGTGCCTATCTAAACCATAAAAATTCACGAATGTTTTCTTTATCTTGATATTTAATGGAGAGCTTACGTAAAGAAAAGTGTTATAATGTTTTCCTTTTTGGATAATTATTGACTTTATAGGTACTTGATACGTGACGATCTTAATTTAACTTACAATATTACACTAGTTGCTATCCTCATATAGAGCTCATCCTATGACAAGAATCGCTCTATACATGATAACAAGTGTGTCACAGCTGTTTATCTATTTCTTTTTTGAATTCCCAAATATGGTTTGTAGAATAAATCTCTCCCTCGTTTTTCGTTAAAATACGTTTCTACTGATAAAGGTTTAGTTAATAAATGTATTTTCCACCAGTCAACAGTTAAAATAAGAACATGCCAGCTCAATGTGGCCTATGAACTTTTCCCGCCGTATCACATTAACTGTTACACTATTGGTGTGCCTGGAAAGTAACACTGATATGTAAAACTTTATGTGACACAGATCAGTGACTGGAGACAAGTAAAGCACGAAACGATCGTTTATGTACCCTGTATACTTTCTCAGTTATGTACATTTTGCACAACGGAATTTTTCCTTTTATTCTCACGAAATATAGTATAGCCTATCTTTTTGTACACGGAAGAGAAATATAAATTGAATTATTCAAGTAACGTTTATGTTAACATGATTATAAATCATGTGAAGATTAGATGTTATTCATGCTAAGCTAATGCAGGGCTTAATTGTTAATATAAATGTACAGGAAGTCTTAGATAAGTAATGCAAGTGGAGTTAGAGTATATGTAAAATGGGATTTTAGATGTATGTCTTGTATCACAAGAAAGGAACGATCATATCCTGTGTAATAAAGGGGCCTTTGAAACACAGAATAGCCGTGGACCGTTGGGAAAGATACATCTACTAGATGCAAGTTTAAATTACTTTGTTCCAAATACACATGTACTCTCAATAGTTACAAGCTGTAACCGCACTTTGTATAACCCTTACTGATACAACGCTATAATACACGCGTTGTATCCAAAGGGAATTTTTAATAGAGTTTGACAGATTTTTATTTAATTTCATATAAAAGAGCATGATCGAATGCCATTTTTTTTAAAATTATCAACCATCCTCCTTCATCCCCTTTAATTACCTACCCCTTCCATATCATTTAATGGTTTCTTTCACCACTATCGCTCAAGGTATTGCCTTGGTCTCTATCTTAATTATGAGATCTGAAGCCGCTCCTGCTGTTAGCGGCGTGGATGCCAAAGTCATCTCTGGCAATGAAACATTTACTGTCTCTCCTATTGAAGGAACCGTCTCCCTTCCTGCCATTACTTTCGAGGAACTTCCTCCCATCATTGCTGATCGTGTTGTCCCAGTCACTAATCCCGAATTCATCGCTGATCTCAATTCTGAAACGAGAATTATTGCTGAAAACAGACAAATTTTCGCAGCCAACGGTGGCAATCTCACTCGTCTGGAACGACGTGAAGTCACCAATGTTGCTTCTACCGGATTAACATTCACTGTACCTGCAAATGCTCCTCCCGCTACTTTTTTAGCCAGTAGCTCCGTTACCACAGCTACAACGGCGCAAATCACTAAATTCAAGCTGTTCTCTGCCATTGCTGCCACCACCTACTGTGATAGTGTCACAATTTCTAAGCAATGGACTTGTACCTACTGTAAGAAGTATGTTCCCGATGGTAAGATCATTGTTGCTTTCGAAACTGCTAAGCATAAAATTGGCGGTGTCTTATTGAGAAGTGACCTTCAAAAGACTATCTTTGTTGTCTTCCGTGGTAGCAGCAATCTCGATAACTGGATCACTGTAAGTAACTTCTTCATTTTTTTTTACCGCAACTTTATTTTAATACGTTTATTTAGAACTTGGAATTCATCAGAGGCAGCTATACCCCTGTTTCCGGAGCTTCCGCTCACATTGGTTTCTATAATGCTTATAAAGAAGCCTCTACCTATTTCTTCCCTCAATTCTTGGCTCAACATAAGGCCTATCCTACCTACAAGGTTGCTGTTACTGGGTAAGTTACAAAACAACTTAATTATGCTTTATAATAACTTTTCTCTCTCTTTCCAGTCACTCTCTTGGTGCTGCCCAAGCTGTGCTTGGTGCTATGGATATTTACCAACGTGTCGCCACTATTAATAAATCCAATTTGAGTATCTACACTGGTGGTTGTCCTCGTATTGGTAACGACGATTTTGCTTACTATGTTGATGCCACCAAGGTTCCCCATTACCGTTCCGTTCATAACAGAGATATTGTTCCCCATGTTCCTCCTCAAGCTTTGGGTTATTATCATCCTGGTATCGAGGTTTGGACCAAGACTGCCACTACTGGTCGTAAGTCATTTATAAACTATATATATTTTGCATACAAGGATTAAGTATTATTTTATTAGAACTTTGCTCTGGTATTGAAAATGATGCCTGTTCCAACTCTATCGTTCCTTTCACAAGCACTGAGGATCATAGAACGTAAGTTTTTATAATAGATGCAAAAATTCACATTGGTATTGGTGCTGACATAATTTCTTTTCTAGTTACTACGGTATGGTCAATGGTGCGTGCTCTTAAAAACCTTAATTTTTACTGTGACGTGTTCTATTGATGTAGGACACGCGAATTTTTTTGAAAAAAATAAAATATCAGTCCTTTTCCTCTGTGGGGAAATAATAACCAACTTTTTTTATTTCTTCTCTTTAAATTTCCCCCCTTTCTTTATAAGGATGACCATTAAAGCTGTTATTTTTGATATTGGTAAAATTCATGCAAGGGGGACGATCTTTTTCATGTGCATGTAGTTAAATGATATTTTAGGTGGAGTATGTGTTGGATCTCCCATGGCAGGTATTCATCGATATGAGCAACAACATGGATTGCCCAGAAATTATATCAATGTTGCCATGTAATAAATAGCTTTAGTGTTTTTTGTGTACCCCCAAAATATTAATAATATTTTATAGCGTACAACAAGGTGAACATGGAGCTTTCCAAGTAAGAAAACATGATATCCAGATTGAATACATACTCACAGCTAGAATAGAAATTAGAAAGAGGAGAGGTTAAACTTGATCAGTTTTATAAGGACTTTGGATCACAGCTGTCCCACCCGACCAATAAAAAGCATTACAAGACCTACCTCCAAAAATCCGGAAAGGGTAAAATATGCATTTTCAAAGATCCTGAAAAGAAAAAAAAATCGTATTTAATATTTATGCCCCCCTTTAAAATAGATGCTCCAGACAATATTCCAGATATTTCTGTAGATGGCAAAGAATTGTTTGCTACAATGATGTCAGAAACTGCCAGATTAGACGAGCATATATTTCTTGCTATCCAGAAATTGAAAGGTACATATCCCGTTGTTTACTTCATAAGTTTACTAAAAAAAAAGTGCATTAGAAAGCGGTAAATTTAAACTAGCTGCATTGACCAACAATTTCGATTTGCCCGAGGATGACCTGAAAGAGGCCGAGGCCATGGGAGCGTCTGCAGCAGCTGAACTTCGCAAATTGTTTGATTACTTTATTGAGTCTCGACTCATTGGTTTAAGGTAATTTACATCAGACATTTGTGTGAGAACCGAAACAATTAAATCTCTAGTAGAAAACCAGACCCCAAAATTTATCATTATGCTTGTAAAGAAATCGGAATTGAGCCTAATGAAGCGATTTTTTTGGATGATATTGGCATGAACCTTCGGTCAGCGAATAAGGTTGGGATGAATACTATTCGTAAGTTGTGAAATTTTGTAGACTTTTATTGGGGGATATAAGATAATAATACATAATATATAATTAGAGGTCAAAATGGGACACTCTAGAGAGGCAGTGAAGCAGCTTGAGGCATTAACAGGTCTAGATTTGCACAGCAAACCTGGATCCAAAATCTAGGGGAATAAAGAAGCATTGTAAACGATGTATATTTTCCTTCCATCTCTTAGAATTTCATCTGATTCGGATAAAGAGGGCTAAGTTTTTTTTTTTTTTTTTTTTTGACGTATTAGCAATGCATTTTGGATTTCTTTAGGATAAAACTCACCAGCAATGACCCTTTAAATTGCTCGTTCTGGGATTCTATCCAGGTTATGAGGGCCTCCCTGACCAAAGAATCTGGAGCAAGGGCAAATTTAGCATCGTCATCATTCTGCTGAAGAAAGGTGTGATTGTTTTGCCACCAAAAGGTAAAGCCGTACCTTCTTTGGTTCTCAGAACATTGTGAGTCAAGTGAGACAATAACGATCTTCAGCAGCAGTACGGCGTTTCCGTTAAATGAGTTGGATGTCTTGTACAATAAACCAGAAACATTTTGTAAAGTGATTGCATTGGCCTTTATAATAGTATATTGATTTAGCTGATAAGATCGTTTCAATAAGCCTTTCAAGCTTTGATGGGTTTTCTGCAATGAGTTTAGAATAATGATAATAAAGAAAAACTTGGATTTTATTGCATATTTACGAAACTTTTTATTTACCTTTTGTACATGGATAATATGAGGTAATAAAATTAAGGGTTCAGAACTAATTTCTGCTGTATTAATATCGAATTGGGGCGAATGAGGTGGTGTTAGTAAACCAGCAGTAACACCCAGATTATCCTTGTTTTCGTTTAGGAGAGCATGTTCTTCAAGTGGATGTAGCGCTTCCAAAGCCACAGGGGACTCTTCCTTACTAGGTACCTTTTCAATTTTGAATAGGGAAGCATCTCTTCTAACGGCAACGTGTATATCGGATACGCTCACAATTTCCTCATCATCATCGTCGCTAGATACGATATCTTCTGGCGCAAACGATATCCTTCTCTTTGTTGTTGTTATTGTTTGTTTTCTGTTTGGTGTGACAAACACGACATTCTTTTCGTATTCTTTGGAGCAGACATCTACAAGAATTGTATCTGCACTTGGTCTTCGAATATAAGAGGAATTTGTTTGAAATTGCAATGAAGTTACTCGATCTATAACACGATATGAATGACCATTATAAGTATGATACCGAGATGGACTATCTAATTCACATGTGAGTAATTGAGTCTCCCTAAAAGTTATAAGAATGTATTTACCTGTAAATAAAACAGCTGGAGCATTGCCACAGTAGGTAGTGGAAGCGTCACTTGTATGACTACTACGGCTACTACCCGATTCACTGCTGCTATGATAGAGTTCAGGGTGGATATTATTAAGACTCCAGGCCGAGTTCTTTTTTATCATTCGTCTATTGATATTAGTGTGAGGCTTGCATTTCACATCTTGAAGGGCTTCTAATTTTGATTGTATAACTTTCGACATTTCGATAACTTTGATGTATTTTTCTCGGTCTTTCTCTGATTGTAATGACGATGCCAGCTTGGATAGTTCTACCTGTTGAGATTGAATAGATGACATGAGATTAATTTGAGAGCAAATATCGGATTTTCCATCTTGCTCCATCTTTGTACTTTATTCTGTTTTAAACAAGAAGAAAGATATAAACAAACAAACATTATTATTATTTTTTTACTTGAAAAAAGGAGAAATCTTAAGGGGTATCCAAATTAAGTCGAGTCTCCTTTTTGTCATAAAATACGATTGACTGCTTCATGTGTAAGGAAAAAGAAAGTTGGTGTCACTGCCTATTGTCATGGTAACCTCCCCCCAACCCCCTTTGTATTACCATGCCACACGCACACAGAATGATTCGGAAAGTTGAACAGATTTATTCCGTGTAAGCCGATCATATAAATAAGAGTGCATATAACATAATTAAATCTTTTTTATTCATAAAAATTAAGCATAAAACGCATGGGACATATATGGAAAGGAGAGGGGAGGGGTAAAATCATAAAATGAGGAATTTAAAGCAAATCGTAGGCTTGGTAGTTCAAAAAGATGGGCGTATTGGAATGATCAACAGGTGGGTAATCCTTACATAATGAAGGAAGCCATTGAGGATTATGGAGTGTGGTTTGAATAGGTAATTGGTTGTTATAGTAATGGTTGGTGTTACTTTGGAAAGGAGTTGGATACCAGTTGTTCATATTAAAGGAAGGTAAAATGATGGGGCTGTAAATCAAGTCTTCATCCAAAGTGGCAGCACTATGTTCAGAGTGTTCAGAAGGTGTTGGAGAAGCTGGAGAAGCTGGAGAGGCTGGTAGGATGGAAGCTGCGTCCAACTGTTGCTGAAGTATTTTGCCGTCATTTAATACATCATCCAGAGGTCTCCAGGATAGGTTTTTTTTAGGCTTCGTCTTTCCAGAAATTAGCATTTCGTTGAGAGGTCTCCACTGTAAACACGTTCTCTTTGTGCTTTTCGTATGAGCTTGTTTCTGATGCTTTGTCATGATTATCTTCCTTGCAAAATACTTGTTGCAGCCATCAAAGGTACATTTGTAGGGTCGTTTTCCAGTGTGAATTCTTCTGTGACGTGCTAATGAACTGCTGTCGCTGAAGGATTTTCTACAATCTTGGTATTCACATTCGTGTGGACGTTCGCCTGAATGAGTTCTTAGATGGACTTTTAATGCTGAACGCTACTTAAAAATTGAAAAGAGTATTATTCGAATTTTGTTTGTTTTAATATATTGAATTTGGATAATGTTATACCTGTATAAAGCTTTTTCCACATTTGAGCTCGTGACACACATATGGTCTGATAAAGGAAGGTTAGACAGAATCAAACGTGAGGAGTTTAAATCGCCGATGTTTACCTTTCATTGGTGTGTATTCTGACATGCCTAGCCAAGTCGGAGCGTCTTCCTACAATACAAGACATTGGATTAATCATCAGTTTGATTTTTTTGGCGGGGTAAATTTACCAAATGATTTTAAGCAGCCAGGTAGAGTACAGGGATGTGCTTTAAATTCGCCAACTGGAGATCCATTATCGATCAATTCTAGGATTTCCATATTTCTTCAGTGAAAAAGAATGAAATTGCCAAATATGATAAAATTATAAATTGCCAATCAAATAAAGAAAAAAAAAAAAAAAAAAAAAAAAAGAGGAAAGGATTGAATTGAATAGAATTTTTTTCGTCTTGTTAAATAGTTTTTTTTTAATATTTAAATCCCAAAGGGGAAATTTACCCTCATTATTGTATATAGTCTTTTTTTTTTTTTTTTTTTTTTTTTTTTTTTCTTTAAATGGTTGACAGGGTTCGGGCCGTTTTGAATGAAGTCATCGCGATTTATTTAATTGATCAACGATTCTACATGATTCTTTTTATTCTTTTAAGTAAGACCCCCCAAAAATAAATCACACGTTTTATTCAGTTGACGATCGATCTTTATTTCTTTTGAACCAGTTTACTGTCACACTCCTTGTTTGAAGTGGCGCTAATTATTGTTGCGATCTACGCAATAAGTTACGTCTCACTCTCAAGGCAGTTGCGCCGGCACCTTCAGCAATTTCTTGGGAAAGATAAGGAACCTTCTTCCAAGGCACATTTGCAACTCCATCAGACCTTTCCAACTTATTATCCATCATCATCCATACAGGCAATCGAAGTTCTCCCTTGATTATACCAGACACCTTTTCAAGTGTACTAGCAGGAACAGGTGTCAGTAATAAGAAAGCATGTCGAGATGGATCGATCGCTCTGACAATACCAACTCCATGACAGGTTGTCATGCGCGGTACTGGGGCTGGGTGATCTAAAGTATTTAAATATGTAGGAGGAGTCTAAATATAATTTCCTTTTAGTTCATTCAAATTGTATTAATTATTATTAAACACTTACAAAATCATCGTTCAAAACTTCCTTCTTTGGTCCATTTTGTGCTTTGAAATCAATGACATCACCAATTAATCCAACTAAACCTCCATTTAATGCATAAAACAATTCCTCCAATTTGACTTCTTCATAAGTGACCCATACTTCATTTAAACTTTGACGCCAATCAATCACATACGGGATCTTTTCTACCATGTGTTGATTGAAATTCCACGTAGGATGCAAGTAATGTTCTACACCCATACCATTTTGATGAAAATAGGCTCCTAACGTAATATCACGCATTTCCAATGGTATAATATTATCTGTAAAAGTCGACACAGTGGGATCTTGTAACACACAATCCAGGTGATGTACGATAGGTGCCTCTCTTTCTACTTGGAATTCTTCGGTTTCAATAGGTAATATATCCATTGCAAATGTATGAGGTATATTCTTGTATTCAAGAATATGATGGTGCATAGAAAAGATATCGGTTGGCATCAATTTTTGAATTTGACTAACAAGTAAATTATAGCCAACGCCTGTAATCCAACCTTGTGTATTTACAACTAATGGGATCCATTCTGATTGTTCTTCGCACATAACTTTGGCTTGATCTTGCTTATAATGTTCGAACAGCTCATAGATACAATCCAAAAAATAGTCGGGGTTGCCTTTAGGTGTGTTTGATCCGAAAAAGAAACTACGCTCCGCTTCTAATTGTTGATGGGTATAAGCTGGACCCAAGATTGGATTGGTAAGATAATGTAACGATAATAACCCAGCAGGTGTAAATTCACTTTGTCCAGCATCCGTTTCGATATAAGCAACTTTTTTGTATTTGGTCAAGAGTCGATTCACAAGATATTTAGAGCAACTTGATTTGCCCATATCTTTAGCACCACAAACAACACTGACAGGAGGTGTGCCTCTTTCAGCTGCCCTTTCAAGCGCAAGATCTGATCGTGCTTCCCAATTTTTCTCGATCTTGAAAGCTTTTATACCACCAGTGACTTTGAGAATAGGATGGAATCCAGGTAGAAAGTTAATTTCCAACTTCTTTTTGCGAGATGATTCTTTGGGCGTCATCTTAAGCAGCTTTCTTCCATATGCGGCCACTGCGTCACTCGAATTTTCTAAACCAGAGATTCCGTCCAAATCCTTAATCACAATAATACTTTCAAATTCACCCTCTAATGCATTAAATACTGCTTCGGTCAAATTCTCATCGATCTCTGTAGTATATTCATGCAATGGAATCGATGCTTTATCAATAGATTCTGATCCAATACGTAAGAGTGCATGTGTACGTGGTGAAAACACTGGATAGAATGACACTAGCACATCTTCCTTTACGTTTTCAGTCTTGGGAACCTCTCTACCGGACGAAATAACTGCTCCTGCAACTGTCATACATCCATATAAAGGTGCTGCCAGCACTTGTCCCATGAATACGACGTCCTCTCCTCTTTCAAGTCCAATAAAAAGATAAGTATCGTTTTCTTGCTTTATAACACAACTGTTTTTGTTCGTTGCCTTAAAATTACTGACTGAACTGAGATCTTTCAATTTGGTTCTATGATTGATAGATATGTTTAAATGCGTTGTCATGATGCGACCTTAATTTTCACTTACACTTTGATCTTTGCTCTCTTTGGCTGTTGTTGCGAGGAAGTAGAAGAGAGAATGGGAATAGAAGGAAGAATGGGAGTAGAAGGGAGAATGGGGGTTAGATCTTCAATAGGTGTGGTTGCTCCACTAAAGGGTACATCAACTTCAGCATCCATATTTTCTCTCAACACCATATCGTCTTCTTCATCTTCTTCGGTAGCACTTAGCACCTCAATACCTTCGCCATCCTCTTCCTCCTCCTCCTCCTCTTCTTCGTCAGAATCATCCATAGTAATATCCTCTTCAGGTTCCGTATATAAGCCGGATTCAATAGCGGCTCTTCTAGCGGCAAGAGCACTTAAAGGGGCAGCAGGAGTACGTGCTTTGACAGACGCATGAGACGTCTTAATTTCCACAACTGCGACGAGTTCTACCTCGGGTTCGTTTTGCTCTGATTCACTTTGCTCTGGCTCGCTTTGTTCTGGCTCACTTTGCTCTGGCTCGCTTTGTTCTGGCTCGCTTTGTTCTGGTTCGATTGGCTCAGGTTCGATATTACGTGTTCTCTTCGATGATCTGGTTGGCATTTTGACATTATCAAGATCTATTTTAAATAAATATCCTTAACCAATGTTTTAAATACATTAACAAATTCCTTACTTGTCGCAGCCTTCTTAGGCTTTCTAGTTTGATTGGCGTTGGTCTTTCTTTTGGGAGGCATTTTTGAAGTTATTGACGAAACGAACAAAAAATAAGAGATCTAGAAAAAAAAAACTTTTTGATGTGAAATGCTAATCCCAAGTCACGTTAGCGGAAGCATAATATTATTGGGGGAGTGTACAAAAGGGACTGAAAGATCTGGGGGTTTTTCTTTTCTTTTTTTAATATTAAAAATTATCTCAAATGAGCAAATTCACTAGTCAGTTTACTTCTTTATCACCACTTGTACTCACTTCTCAGTCTGAAGAAGTCGATCCATGTGAATGTGATAAGAACACTACTTCCATCACCATGAACAAGTTTGACCCTAAAGATCATGAGTTGACCAGTCTTATGGATAACAACAAGCGTTGGGCTGCTGCTGTTATCAAGGAGGACCCAGAATTCTTCAGTGATATTGCTAATAAGCAAGAACCAAAGCTTCTCTGGATCGGTAATAGTGAAACAAACCCTTGTATTACAATCATCTTTTGTTTACTAATTATCTCCTTTTTTAGGTTGTTCTGACTCAAGAGTTCCTGGTAATACAAATCAAACGCTTGTTTTGGCAGTGGCATTAACTCTTTTGTTTGTTTTATAGCAAACCACATTGTTCAATTAAAGCCTGGAGAGATCTTTGTTCATAGAAACATTGCCAATGTGGTTAACCACAGTGACTTAAATTGTTTGTCTGTCATTCAATATGCTGTCGACGTCTTAAAGGTGGAACACATCATCGTTTGTGGTAAGTATTTAATCCTGGTCGTGTCTTACACTTACTGACTACTCCTCAAGGTCATTACAACTGTGGCGGTGTTACTGCTGCTGCAGGCTCAGGTCAGTTCGGTTTAATCGACAATTGGTTACGTTCCATCAAGGATGTCTACAGATGTAAGTTTAGGACATGTGACATCTGTTGCTTTCAGCTGACCGTTTTAAAATAGTGCATAATGAGGAAATGGATGGCTTAAAAACCGACCAAGAAAGAATTAGAAAACTTGTTGAGTTAAATGCTATCAATTCTGCCAAGAATGTTTGTCATTCTACCATTGTTCAAAATGCTTGGACTAACGGCCAAAAGTTGACCGTTCATGCTTGGGCATATGACATTGAGGACGGGTAAATATGAATAGAGACCACATGTTTGTATAAACCTGCTTACATTTTTATATTTTAGTTTGGTTAAAAAGTTGGATTGGTGTGTGAGTGATAATGAGTCACTCGAAGATATCTATCATCATGAAGTTTAATAAACAGCATTTGGACGGAACAGTGAATTCATCGCTTTTCGTCCCACATTTTGAGCAATTATGGGATATAATCGAAAATAAACAAGATGAATTTATTCGTGAATAAAATGATATCTATATTAAACACACTCTACTAAAAGAATATAAATGCATCATAGCAATATTGTGACATCAGCCCGTAACAAAAGGCTAAAATTTAAACATATATCAACTGTCGTCGTAAAATCCTATTATTTTTCCAACCTTCTCAAAAACTTTCGGAATCCGAACAGGTCTATATCCAGCAAGAAACGACTTCCGAATTCCAGACTACAGATCAGCCAAATCATGTTATCAGTTATTATTGTGACAAACAAACAGCATATTTACCAGAAACAGCTATAGTTGGACTACCTTTACTGAAATCACAGGTTAAAAATATATTGCCCATGGCGGTTTTATTTCATTTTCTCCGCAGGATATAAAAATCAGCTCCACAAGTAGGTCCGCTGTTTGATAGTGTGCCTATATATGCAAAATAGAAATAATGTACCCTCTCTTTCACACCATCAAGTTTCGACTCTTTCCTAGGGTTATCGCATGTTTTGGGGCCCATGATCATGATATTTGTATACATTTAACATCGTCAGGATGTGGTTATGAAGAAGCAAATATTAGCAACTTATTTAGCGAAGCAGTTTGTATTTCAACAATGTCATTATAACCTGACTTGACGGATGGATTGCACCTGCTTAAAAAAATGAAGCGTACAAAGCAATTTAATAATATCATTGCTTGAGCTTGAGTCCACTAAATCTGAGTGTGATAATGTGCTGACATTGATATAACAAAGCTTTTATGCACCTATTTTACACGCCTCTTCAATGCTGTTAAATCCAGGTTGGACGGGATCTGCACAATAATTACCACAGCCACATACGGAGGCAAACAAACGAACATTATCCATTGATTATTAAAAAAACGATATCTGTTAACAAGAGCTATCAAAATTAATACAACCCCATTCATCAGTTGTTACTAAAGTAAAAGGACAAACGAGCTGGATCAGGGATATGCTCTTCCTTCCAAAACAACTGATTTTCTCACACCGGGCGGATTGGTGAAAGATGAACATAGTAACCTAAATTCCCCAATTTTTTGGATACTCAGGTTTATAAAAAAAGACCAGTAACAATTTTAAGGAACAAAAATAAATTTTATTATAAATTAAGGCATTAATAAATTAAAGACAAAGTCCTTCATTGATATCGTAGTAGCTGTTGTTAAACATTGTTAGTACAGTGATCCCAAATATACAAAATTAACTTACGTCAAATGATCGAAGAAGCTAACAATAGGGACAATGGTATTAGAGCAGGATTGGCTTTCAAGGTTGGTGGGACAGATGCCTATTCAAAATGTTAGTTACAAATATTTTATGCTTCTGTTAAAAAAAAAACTTACTGTAACCACCAAGAGTCTTATCCCAAATTTCGACACCAGCATGAAGGAAACCCATAGCTTGAGGAGGAAGATGAGGAACAGGATCTCTGTTATGTACAGAGCGGTAAAAAGGAATACGGGTAGCATCAACATAGTATGCGAAACTAGTATCACCAACACGAGGGCAACCAACGGTATAGACACTCATGTTATTGGGACCAAATCTTGAATCACGTTGATAAAGATCCAAAGCAGCCAACAACGCATGAGCACCACCAAGAGAATGTCTAAGTATAATCATGGTGTTAGAAAAGCATCGCAACAACATATGAAATAGATTGAGTGCTTACCCAGAAACTACGACTTTGTAATTAGGGAAATTAGAAAGTTGTTGTTGAACATAAGGGAAATACTTGTCTGCAACTTCATTGTAAGAAGCTAAGAATCCTGTATGAACTTGGGCACCGTTGACAGGAGGGTAGTCAGTTTTTGTCGTGACCAGATCCTAAATAATTGTGTTAACAAATGTCGATAGTTAGAAAAAATAAACATGTAGTTTACTCACAGTGATAGACTGACGAATGGAATTTGTACCACGGAAGACAACATGAATTGTTTTTTGACTATCGCTTCTCAAAACAAACCCAGTGGTATCAGATATAGGGGAACTGAAAGTAAAGATAAGCTGACCATCAGGAACATATTTTTGGCAATTTTTGCAATCCCAACGACCAAGACCTGTCACAGTACGACAGTACGAAGTGGAAGTAACACCAGCATAAAATGCGAGAGTGTTAATTTGTTCAGGAGAAGCAGCTATAGAGATATCATTGCCATTATCAAAACGGCTCAAAGTATCCTTGGCACTAATAGCAGGGACTCCAGCGGGGAGATCGATAGCCATGCCATGAACGGACTCCAACTCTTGACGTTGAATCATGCCAGGATAGTCAAAACCAAGTTCCTTGAGCCATTCTATATTGTCTTCCATGTTTTGAACCTCTCCTCCTACTCCAGCGACCTTCAAATGAGGAGGTGCGGGATGAGTACGATTTGTAATGAGAGGTGGAAGAGTGAAGTTACTATGTTTGGCAGAGTTATCTTGGGGAACATCTGAGGGTACCTCAGAGGAAGGAGGAGCGGCGTGGGATGTTCCGATAAACATCATGGAAACGAAAAAGACACCCTTACTGATAGATACGAAAGAGACCATCTTTGGCTAATAAATTAAGTCGGAAGGGATATATTAAGGTGGTATAAAAGAGAGTTGATATTGATAATGATAGAAACTTCTTCAGTAAAAAAATCTTTCTTATATACATGGCTGGAATATGTTAATATTTTAAAAATACATCAACGAAAAATGTTAAGGAAAATGAAATTTCAAAGTAGTCGAAATATCGTAAGCTGCATAATTTGCCATATCACATAATCAATACCTGCATAGAGTTTTTTTTTTTTTTTTTTTTTTTTTTTTTTTTTTTTTTTTTTTTTGTTGTCAAGAATGTTTCTCACTCATTACCGCGCCTTTTTTTTTTTTTTTTAAATGGAGCTTATTTGATTTAAGGATGGCAGAATAAAACCGTATTTTTAAGCAGAAAAAATAATCGTGGTCCCCCAATTAAGCTTCTGTAACGCAACATTAATGTGAGGTTACATGATCCGATATAGTAATTGTGATGTGGTGTTACAGCCACCCCCATCATCTTCATGAAACCTTATTTTCCTTCAAGTAATTTAAACTAAGAAACACCAAGACGTGCAATTTGCATCAATGAGAACCTTGTGGACGATCCTCGTGCTATTTTAAAGCTAACTGACCCCTTTATAATGGCAATAGACGTTACGCCATTAAACACAAACTATATCGGAGGCTACCAATGATGTGGAATGAATTCAAGGTGAATCCTTATTAACGTGTCTTTCGTGTTTTTAACGCAATTACCGACTAATGTATTTTAACAACAGCAATTATGATTTAGGAAAAAAAAAGTGAGCCGATACAATGGATCCATATGTTTAAAAATAGAAATATTTTATAAGCCATACATTATGAAGGTAATGTTGCACAGTTTTCCAGGTTAAACAGAATAGTATGTAAGGTTTTCTGTCAGTTATTAGACTATCCCCTCATGTTTGCAAAATTTGGAATTTATACATGCATTCCTTCTTTGTTATTCTATTTATTCATTGTCATATTAGCACAATAATTTTCAAATTGCTTATTTTGTACCGCATTGAATAAACCAAAACAAAACCAAATCTTACTATAATCGCAGCTCAGAAAAATTCCCAATGATCTACAGTAACCTCATGGCAACCCGGTTGTATTCACTTCATGTTTGATCAATGGTTTTCAAAAACATTTAAAGGCCGTCGGTAAATGTAAACTCCGCCACTTGAAACTTTATAGACAAAAAATCGCATATTATGTCACACTAAATAAGTATACGTACAAAACATATTGAAAAAGAATAAACGAACAAGAAAATGACACACCAAATTATTAATTAAAGTGGCAGCGGCTATATATGGTGCTAATCAGTAATTGAAGACTGTCGTCAAGTAGACGCAAATCAGTGTAACACAAGAATACGGGGTATTATACATTAATAAGAGGAGATAGAGATACACACCTCTATTATTTTTTTGCTGAAACGGGATTATAAAGATTCAAGTGAAAACAAGTTTCGCCGATTAAGTAATTACCAGCGGTTAGTGACTTTACTATCAGGGGTATCAAAGCTATGAGATACAAGAAGAAGAAACCTATACATCACATTAAAACTCGACAGTATGACCAGAGACTCTACAGCTCAACAATTATGCGTTAATTTGCAGCACATTGTTGTTTAGTTTTCGGAGAATCGGTATTGTTTAAAATTTTTATTTACGAATAGCACAATAATGTTCAATCGTGCGTACTTCTGGCAGGAAGCACTATTTAGTATGCTTAATGCAATTTTAAATTTAAACCTAAATGATAAAAACCCATTGGAAGACGGCAAAATTTATTTATCAGATGTCACTCCTTTAAAATAACATTTAATTTTGGGAACGACTTTTAAAGTCCCTGAAGCCAAAGGCCGCTAATCTTAGATAACTATGGACGTTAATTTTTGATGCGTTTTAAATTTTACGAATGACTGGTATATACATGCCCGAGTCCAACGGTAAATAACAAACACAAGGATGGAATTACTCTGATTTAGCTGTCATAAGAAATACCCGAAATTGCTTTCCTCGAGAAAAGAATGGTAGCAAAAAAAACCCTAAAATGGATACATAGGACCCATCATCAACTAAAATGATCGCGATTCAAACAAAAACATTATTGGAAAACAAAGCAAATCCTAGAATGTTGAACCTGGCCAAATTTCAGTCTGTAAATATATTTTAGGCAAGGTATACTAACAAGAATGTTAGGTTATGGTATTGATACTTACCAAACATAACAACGGAATCTCATTTTTTTCAGGTCTTAACATGGGAGACCAAGGAATATATTAAACAACAGGCCAAAATTATTTATTTTTAGAAGTTTAATTACCATTATCAACTAAACGTTACAATATGAATACATTATCTGCCCAAATGTGCTTATTTATGTATGCAATGCTTATATTTATGATTAAGCTTTTGTCATAGGGCATCATTGTAGATTGCTCACCCGATTTAGCAATGGCGTTAGTTATGCTGTTACGAAGTTTAAACTCTCTGCGTGAATTAAAAGTGATCTTATTTTCCCTTATGCTAAATAAATTTAAAACGATTAATTATTAAACTCTATAATAAAACAAAAAATTTACTTTAGTCACAAATTTACCAATCAATGAAATAATAGTTCATGCAATTGATAATTCACCTAATAAAGCGTTGCGCCACATTCTCTCTGTTTGAACGTGGATGTATATTATTTATTTTGACTATAACTTGTATCACTAAACATTTACTGTAATAGTCCATATATATATATATATATATATACATGTTGCTATTAGATACAGCTGCGTAGTATCTACTGAAAGCAAACAAGGGATTTTCATTGTTGAAGAGAATGGATCAATATGCAAGCACAATATTTTATTTTTAATAATTTTAAAGACAGAGCCCTTCATTAATACCATAATAACTAAAACAAAAAGCACATTAGCGAGTATTACTTATAAGACAAAGGTTAGAACCTTACGTAAGATGATCTAATATGTGAGTAGCAGGCGCAATAGAGTTAGAACAGTAAGGACTCTCGAGTTCTGAAGTACAAATGTCTAGAAATACGGGAAAAAATAAATTAGATGAGAAAATCTTATTATATCCATTGATACTTACGAGCACCATAGCCAGGCAAATCCCAAATTTCGATACCAGCGTGGAGGTATCCTAATTCTTGGGCGGGAACATGAGGAGCAACATCTCTATCATGTACAGAACGATAATATGGAATTCCAGTACTCTTAACGTAGTTTGCAAAATTAGCATCACCGACTCGGGGGGATCCAACAGTATATACGCTTAGGTTCTTGGTATTAAATCGACTATCACGTTGATACAAATCTAAGGCAGCAAATAATGCTTGAACACCACCAAGAGAATGCCTAAGAGTTAATAATTTTATAAGCGTGTATAAAGATGACTTTTTAAGATAAAAAATTACCCGGAAACAACAACCTTGTAATCTGGATGAAGAATGATTTCTCGTTGAAGGTAAGGGAAATATTCATCTGCAACTTCCAAAAAGGAGTTATAAAAGCCTGCGTGTACCTGAGTACCAAAGGCAGGCGTATAATCTTTTTTGATCATAACCAGATCCTAGAGAAATTTTTAATAAAACCCTAACTAAAAAAGAGCTATGTATCTACTTACAAGGATTGTTTGACGAAGGGAATTTGTTCCACGGAAAACGAGATTAATTGTCTTCTGGCTATCACTTTTTAAAATAAAACCAGTAGTATCATGAACAGGGGTATTGAATCTGTAAACCATTTGACCATCAGGGACAAAAGTTTGACAGTTTTTGCATGTCCAAAGTCCGAGACCTGTAACCGCGCGACAGTAGGCAGTGGCAGCAATACCAGCGTAGTATTTATGATCCGTTAACTGGCTTGGGGATGCTAGGATCATTGAGTTACCTAGATTCGCGTCTAATCGACTTTGAAGATTCTTTTCGCTTGCAGCACGAATATTTTCTGGAAGATCTAATATCATTCTATTCAAAGTCTTAATGTCACCGCGTTGAACCATACCGGTATAATCGATTCCCGACTGTTGAAACCATTCTATATTTTCCAACATATTTTTGGTTTCACTATCTAAGCCGGTATTTTCTAAATGGGGAGGTTGTGGTATTTGACAAAATATTACATAGAAAAGTAATGAGATAAAAGTATATTTTTATTAGGGGTAAAAATAGACTAAAAGAACTCTGCTGCTATGAAATAATTGATCCTTTTTATATTGCACAACTCTCCTGAGTTTTAATGATGAGTCAACCTTTCTGGTTTTGGAATAGATCTATACTTTGTTTCCCGCCTTGGATTAAATGGATACTACTCGTTAGAATTGTTTCCAGATAACGTTGTCCCATATCAGTGGATCGGGAGCATGAGTATGCTAATAAATCTTTAGTATTACGAGACACTTATTTATCAGATCATGCAACGGTTACTGTAAAAGATGCATACTTGTTTGTCAAGTGTAATTGGCAATAGAACATAATAGTTGATCATTTATTCATTATCTTTGTAATGAATAAATTACGATCCCAAATATAAAATGTCTTATCGATATTTGTATATTTGGTTGTAGAAGCTAGGTATCCATTAATTCATACACTATTTCTTTATACTCTTTATCAGCAGTATAATTATATCAATATATAAGTAAATGAACCATTTATATTAATAGCTGTTCTATTCTCTCTCTGGGTAGCTAATCCATTGAGAGAACTATTAATATTAAGTTTCTCTTTCTTATAATTCTTGATTGATCTGAGAAGTTTCTCTTCTCGATCGGTGATATCGTAACTCAGTGGTATAGCATTCTGTATCCAACTGTCATTCGTGTATCGTATTTAGGCCAATCATGCAATCTTTTATATAGAAGTATGTACTCGAAGTAGGAGAAGTTGTATAGCAGTATACAAGCGTATGCTGATATGCAACATCAAAGGTTGTTTCAATTTCATAGTTTATTTATTTAGACGATTTGCTTAATTATTCTTTAAGTGGATCGTACCCAAATACGACAGAGGTACCACCTGTGTACGACTAGCAATGAACGATGGGAGAGTGATGTTCCCAGGATTTCCTGCGCTATCTTGAGACAAATGGGAGGGTGCTTCAGATAGAGGAGGGACAGCATGGGATGTCCCGATTAGCACGATAGAAACGAAGAAAACTCCCGTACTAATAGAAACAAAAGAGACCATATGTGACAAATAAATTAAGATGCAAGAAATAAATTAAAATGCTACGAAAAGATAATCGAAAGTGTTGTTTATTCTGTTTTCCGTGAAAAAAAAATGTCTTCCTTATATACATCGCTGGAGTATACTAAATCTTTAAATAACTGTAAAGAAACTGCTTAAATTCCTACCATCAAAGGACCACATGCACATAAATAGTTTTGTTAAGAATGTTATTGTTCTTTACCACCACTATTTTTGGTCGTTATTTTTTTTTTAGGGTTTATTCGATTTAAGAACGTGTCATTTAACTCACATAATATTTTAAGCTTTATCTTTCTTAAGCAAGGACTTATTATAACCCTTCGATTATTCTTCTATATTACAGCATGGTCTGAGTTTGTATGATCCTACAGAATACATACTTGCATTGTAATTTATAGAACCAGACTTCCTGTACTATATATCTCTTCGCGAAATTCCAGCCATAAAAAAATAAGATGTGCAAATTACTATTTCAAAGCTGACTAGACCCTATTAATGGCAATAAAACTACATACCTCCCCGATTGGTAGATTTTAAAAATTGATTAGTCGCTTATTATTAGACATGTTATATAAACATTCTACGTGATATTTCGGTTTTCTTTAGTAACATACATCAACAGATTTTGGTTGAAATGTATTTGGAACAAACTTGTACTTTCGAAATTGAAACAATGTAGCCAGTTTTGTGCCAGCTAGTTGTTGATATAGATTGATTTAGGAAACTTGTATCATGTGTTATAGCGATTATACTGTTTTTCGTGTAAGTTTATATCTTGAAAAATGTTCATTGATTAAGCAATAGATCGTCACATTCTGGAAAACACAGTTAATCTTATTCTTTATTATTTTCATTTTTGTACTTTAAAACGGACAGGAACTCTCTTTTTTTTTTTAAATGAAATGGGATCAACAATGCGAGCACAATTTTTTTGATTGAAACATTTAAGCAGTGAAAACAAGTAATTAACTAATAATCACACTCTACGATCAACATAGAACCGTATTACTATTGTATAATGAAACGTCATAGAAAATTACAGTTATCATATGATTATAATCTTTTTTTTTTTTTTTTTTTTTTTTGGCATAGCTGCTAAATAGATACTAAGGCCGCATTTATCGATTATCTCTAAACCCTTGTTAGGGCAGTTAGACAAAAAAATACTATCTTTGCTCTCAGAATAAAAATTCACTTTAAATGCGAAAAGAATGTCTTATGTTGGTCTATATAATACTTTAGATACCGCCGTTTCGCCGCTTTTTATCGGTCACCCAAGTTTTTATTATCAAAACGATAAACTTAGAAGAGATAGGGTGTATGTACTTTTATAAACCTACCAAGCTATACATTTTTATATTGGGACAAATAAATAAATAAATACTAAATCAATTTTTTGCACTTTACACGTTCTCATTTCTAATGACTTGTATAAAATTTCATAATAAATACTAAGTGCAAGGGTGGAAGCGATTTGTTTTAAGTGTTAAAATAGACACCTGAAAGTGGGTTGAAAGAAAAATTATAACAGCTATTACAAATATGAGTTTATAAATTTTATCATCTTAATCTGCAAATACATTAAAAAAGTCAAAGTGAATGTTTGTATCTATAAAATTTATGCTGCATGATTATTTGTATAAAGTCAAATTTGAATAACGGTTTGAGGGTTTATTACTATCATACCGACAAACAAATCAAAACAATAAAATTTGGCTTTGTCAATTTAAGCTTGCATATAAATTTTAGATAAAATAAAAATCACAAGAATGCTTGGCCAATATGTACGGGCCACAACAAAATAAATAGATGTACAAGTTATATCACGAAATTGCTATGAACTATAAGCCAGTTGTTTAGCTTTTAACAAATTAGCCAGCATTCTTACAAATACTCATTTTAAGCTTATTTTAAATTGACAATGCGTTCATAACCCTTAATTGTGCAATTACAACTGTTATAGTCATAGATGCTGTAAGCAAAGCAACGGATTGCGATTTTGTTTTCTATTTGAGGATATAATAAGCGTTCAACATAGTTTATTTTAGAAACTTTAAAGACAGAGCCCTTCGTTAATACCATAATAACTAAAATAAAGCACATGTTAGTATTTTGTATATTACTTGTAATACAAAAAATATCTTACGTAAGATGATCTAATATATGAGTAGCAGGTACGATAGAGTTAGAGCAATAAGCACTTTCGGTTTCGGAAGTACAAACATCTTGTAGAAAAAACAGATTAAAAAATTAGATAAAAACAAAAACTGACGGTCATCAATACTTACGAGAACCATAGCCAGGTAAATCCCAGATTTCAATACCGGCGTGGAGGTAGCCTAAACCTTGAGCGGGAAAATGAGGGATAACATCTCTATCATTTACAGAACGATAGTAAGGAATACCGGTACCCTTAACATAGTATGCAAAATTAGTGTCCCCGATACGAGGAGATCCAACAGTATAAACACTTAGATTGCTAGCGTCAAATCTACGGTCACGTTGATAAAGGTCTAAAGCAGCGAATAATGCATGAGCAGCACCAAGAGAATGCCTAAAAATTAATATACTGGTTAACAAGTACAATTTAATTAATTAGAAATATAATTACCCGGAGACAACAATCTTGTAGTTTGGATGGGCGGCAATCTCTCGTTGAATATAAGGGAAAAATTGATCTGCAACTTCCAAATAAGAGTTATAGAAGCCTGTGTGTACTTGAGTACCATCGACTGGAGGGTAGTCTTTTTTGATAAGAATCAAATCCTTAGAAATATTTTAATGAATAGCCAAAATAAAAAAAATAAAAAAAAGAGAGAGAGAGAGAGAGAAGAGTACTTACAGTGATGGTTTGACGAAGGGAATTCGTGCCACGGAAAACGAGATTAATTGTTTTCTGGCTGTCACTTTTCAAAATAAAACCAGTGGTATCGGCAATAGGGGAATTGAACTTGAAAATAACTTGGCCATCAGGAACATATTTTTGACAGTTTTCACATGTCCAAAGACCAAGGCCCGTAACCTCACGGCAATAAGCGGTAGCGGCAAGTGCAGCATAGTATTTATGGTTATTTATTTGACCCGGAGATGCTATGACAATTTCATCACCAAAATTAACGTTTAATCTATTCTGAAGATTCTGTTCACTTGCAGCACGAATATTTTCTGGGAGATCCAATATCATTTTATCCAAAGTTTTAATGTCACCTCGTTGAACCATGCCAGTATAGTTGATTCCTAGCTCTTGGAACCATTCTATGTTTTCCAACATGTTTTCAGTTTCGCTGTTTAAGCTAATCGTTTTAGAATGGGGAACTACCGCCTGTGTACGGTTAGAAATGAGTGGCGGAAGAGCAAAATTATGAAAATTGGTATCGCTACGTAAGGCGTTGGATGGTCCGTCAGAGGTTGCAGGAGCAGCGTGAGATGTTCCGATTAAGGCCATGGAAATAACAAAGATGCCTTTCTTAATGGACGTGAAGTAAACCATCTTTGGTCCAGAGACTTTAGGATTAATGGAAGACTGGTATTAGCAGAAAACTTTATTTTAGAAAAGATAATATATCAGTTATATACCCTAACAGAATAAGTTAAAGCTGAGAAATGTTTTAAAAAGTATACCAATTTGAACTTGACATCTATCAGAATGATCAAGAATGTTTATTTCTGTTTTTATTTAATGATAGATAGGCAATTTATTGTTAATAAAAACGACTTACTGCATCGATACCTTCCGTTTACAATACAACACACTACATATTTAAACCACTAGTCAGGTATAATTGAAAATTGTGGCCCCATTTTAGTATGTATTTGTATTGCAGCATGGATATACAAGATTATGTAGTATTCTATGATAGTAACAAATGTAATTGGCAGCTGCATTTTTGGTGGGATTTTTATACATTTTGCGACTTTAAACATTAGATAAAACCATAGAAGAAGAAGCCTTAATCAGCGAAAATCGATTTAAGTTTGTTCGCTGTCATTTATTTTGGAAGGAGATCCTGAGGAGGACCATCTACATAGTTTTATTCTTTTTGAGACTACTCTCAAAGTATAATAAAAGGATACTATTTTTTGTCGCGTATAATAGAACAGTTCTCGCGTTATACACAACACGCAAAAATGAATTAGAAGCCGATGTAAGATATGCAAATGCAAAGTCCGACCGTTACTGATAAAAGAAAAAAAAATGAAAGCAGTTAAAACAACACGCATACCGATCTGATTGGGAAGAGAATGTGAAGTAATGCCCAAAAGCGTCTGTAAATTTTAATACAAAACCCTTGCTTATTCACTTGTCAGTACATCACAACAAACTGGTACTAACAAATAAAAAATAAAAAAAAGCCTGGTAGCTTTTTAAGATTTTATCTCAATTTAAAAAGATCAACAGATAACTTTGTTCTTAAAAATTAAATTAGAGTAAAAGAATAAAATTTTATGGTAAAGCTCAAATTTTAAAACTGTAAATGTTCGTCATGCTAGAATTTCATTATAATCAATCATTCACAGACGATATTTGTTTGTTTGTTATCGGTTAATATATCGTCCATTCCCAATTTATAACAATAAGACGAGGCTTAAGATGAGCTAACTTTTAACACAACTTTAGGATTAAAAACGCCTAATCAATAGGCAATTTTTTTATTCGCAATTTTTTTAAAGACATAGACCTTCATTGATGTCATAGTATCTAAATTAAAATTGGTTAGTATGCTTCTATCAAACGTTTATAAAAACCGTGTAACCTACGTCAAATGATCGGTAAAACTCGTAAACGGTACAATAGAATTGGAGCACTCTGAGGTTTCGATATTATCAGTACAGATATCTACATATAAAGGAATTTTCATTAGCGAGAACACGACATGTTTATCATTATATTCTTTCAATCTTTACAAGTATTTGTGGAAGAGCGAGACCAAGCTTCAACGCCTGGATGAAGGAAACCGGACGATTGAGGGGGGACGTGAGGAACAATATCTCTGTCATTAACAGAGCGAGTTATAGGAATTCCAGTAGAGCTAACATAGTATGCAAAAGCAGGATTGCCAATTCGTGGGCCACCAACCGTATATACACTAAGATTTTTTCCAGTCAATCGTTTGTCACGTTGATAAAGATCTAAAGCAGCGAGCACTGCTTGTGCACCGCCAAGCGAATGACTAAAAATAAAATTCAGAATTTACGCTTTAACAAATAGTTAAACCATACCCTGAAACCACAACCTTGTAAGACGGATATGTAGTCAACTGTTCTTGAACAACAGGAAAATAAGTTTTTAGGACCTCCTGGAAAGAAGCATAGAACCCAGTATGAACTTCTGCACCACTGACTGGAGGATAAGATCTCTTAATGAGAACCATATCCTTTAAGAAAAATTAGTCTACTATGTATTATACAAAGAATTATGTACGTACAGTGATTGAGCTACGAATAGAATTTGTTCCACGAAATACAAGATGGATGGTCTTTTGAGAATCGCTTCTCAAAACAAACCCATTGGTATCAGCAAGAAGTGAACTGAAAGTAACTAAAAGTTTGCCGTCAGGAGCAAATTTCAAGCAGTTTTTACAAGACCAGATTCCAAGAGGTACTACACTACGACAGTAGGCTGTTGAGGCAATACCAGCAAAATTTTTGAAAGTGGCTATCTGAGCAGCACTTGCTGTAATTACGGTAGAACTCGGTACAACATTTACAGGAGGCGCGTTTGTAGGAAGATCCATAGTCATACCACCGACTGTTTCAGAAGCACGCTTAGTAACATTTTTATAGCTACCTCCATGTTCCTCGAACCATTTTTTGTTTTTGGCAATATTCTGAGCTTCTGCATTAAGATTGATTGCGAAATCAGGATTAGAGACAGGCTTGACACGGCTGCTAATAATTGGGGGGAGTGTAAAAGAGGCAGTAGACGTAGCATTGGTATGGGGAGCAATATAGGGAGCAGTGGGAGCAGTGGGAGCAGCCTTTGAAGACCCAATTATCATAACTGAAATCAGGATTATACCACTTGTAATAGATGTAAAGGAAACCATCAAAAGAGCCGAATTTAAAGGTAATTTAAAGAAATGTGGAAGTGTTTAGATAGGATTATTTTTTGTTTGAATTAAAAAAAAACTTTTCGTTTCTATACCATCAGTATTTATACATTTTTTTGAAAATGTCAAAAATAGTCCATCAAATTTACATATGCTATTCTCATAATTTATTTCGTATTAATCGGTTGCGCCATCTATATAACGTTTGTTATATGGTGGTACCAGTTTTTCGATCATTCCCCCGGATTATTCGTTAAGTGAGAAAACGTATAAGCCGGTACACATGCGTAATTCTCATTACCTTTTTATTGTCTGCATACATGAGATCGTACGCATACATTGTTAAAAATACTTCTCTTTTGGGTTATATTTATTTTGATAGATAAGTACCATAGATACAAATGACTTTAAAAACGCTCTCTATATAACAATAACTAAAACATAAAGGAGTTGACTAATGATCGTCTTATTTAGGCACAGACCTACCGGCTACTAGGAAATACTCTGAATCGTGTCATAAGACAGACATGAAATGAAAGATTTTTGGTTACACTATACTGCTTAAAAGAGGTTAATAGAATTGGGCCTGGTTTTTATATTTGTGTTAGGCGACACGCAAAAAAGAGATGGAAAGTGTAACCTGAGAGGAATTCAACATACACTTGTGGTACCTTCAATTACACCCTGTTTTTGGTCACACCAACCTTATAAAAGTTTATTTTCTCAAAGTAATAAAGCTTACATAGACATAATCATTATGGCTTCCCACTTACTATGTGAAATATGAACAATACAATCCAGATCAGTATTAATTTCCGAATTCAATATGCTACCATATGATCATACTAATACATTAATTCATACCAATTTCTTGTATTGTAGAATGGTGCATCCAAGCGGGTTTCTTTTGTAATTAGGCCTTGCATATTTGTATAACATTAAACCAGTCAAAATCAGACAATTGATCATGTAGATTTATGGAATAGACTGGATTCAGTTACCAAGGTAAAAACTCATTTTTCCTTGCTAATGTTAATATTTATGTACTGCTTTATTCATCGAGACGCTCGATAGTTACTTTACTAAAAAAATTGCTTAATTTAAAGCCTTTACATTTTAACAAACACATTCTATCATTAATATCGGTCTGTATGTGCATACTTTGGACAGGGGTTTCTCATCTCAATATATCTTATGCTCTTCTTTCTCTAAAGATATTTAGTATGTCTTGGATTTTTTGAAACTTAATGTGACATGGATGTTCATTTCGAATATATCGCCTAGTTTACAAACCATTCACTTTGTTTAATATACTAATCTTTTGTTTTTAGTATAATGGGTTTTTTGAAACAAATTCCATACCGTCTGTATCTAGAATAATTATCAGAGATCATTGTGTATTTTTATAAGCAGAAATATAAGAATAAGTTAAGAACGAAGTTGATGTATTAATTGAATTTATCTGTTTGCATTTTTACTTTTCTTCAAAAGTTGTAGTAATGGATATGTTACATGATACACATTTGACTAAGGTTCGCAAGCAATCACTTTCTAATAAGCTAGTTATGCAATATTGTAACTTCTAACGTATTGCCGATACCTTTGTATATTGAGACATAAGACACTGAATTACTACTTTTTCACTTCACATGATTGTCAATTCAATTGAAACAAATTGCAACATAACCAGTATCTATTATGTCTTTTTTTTTATAGACAACAAGATCTTAAATGGCCTTTTCCATAGTACTTTTTTTTTTTTTTTTTTTTTTTTTTTTTTTTTTTTTTTTTTTTTTGGAAGACTTAGTAACTGTATAACTTAACAAGTTCTGATTAGCAAAAAATGACGAGAAGCTCTTAACGGGTACTTGTCTTAGGTTGTATGTCAGTGTATAAAATAAAAGCAATAAGTCCTTCTACATTCTTTCATCAATTTATGATGACAATTTTCATAACAGAAATATTCTTTCATAAGAATTAATACTTGTGGTATTAGAGGATTCCACAAATCATACAAAATAAAACAAATTAGGGGGTATTTTGAAATTCATTTATCCATTTATTCAGTTAATTTTTTGGAATCACTTACTCTTATATCTTTCTAGAAGAACTTTGGGTTTTTTTTATCATCTTCTTCGGCCATATTATAAATATAATTTTCGAGACTTTATATTTTTTGACAATGAAAAATAATTTAATAATAAAAGATGAAGAGCCAAGCAAATTCTGAGCGCGGTGTGTGTAACGTAATATGTTACATGTGTTATCGTGTAAAAGTTTGTGTTTAACAATGCGCTACCTGCACTGTTTTTGCTCCTAATTCGAATCTTATACTTTGCGTTCCAAGCATTGTCAAAATTATATAAATCTCTCGGAAATCTTAACAATAATAATGAACAGACTAAAAGTAAAGATACAAACGTCTTTTTATTTTAAGGTTATTCGATATGGTTAATATCAATTCAAGACAATAAAATTGTATTTCAACGGTTAATTATTATAGACAGAGGCCTTCGTTGATGTCGTAGTAACTAAAATTGATAAATTTTTGCATTGTCAATATCAGATAAGTTATGTAAAAAAATTTGCGCGCAAGCTTACGTTAAGTGATCGCTGATAGTGGTAAAAGGTACAATCGAGTTAGAACAGTACTTTGTTTCGATGTTGGCACTGCAGATTTCTAGAAAATTTATGTAAATAAAAAAATCGTCAAGGTCAAAATATTGTAAGGACTACTTACGGACATTAGATGAAGATCTGTCCCAGGCTTCAACACCAGGATGAAGAAAACCGAATGATTGAGGAGGAACATGAGGAACAATATCTCTCTTGTTGACAGAACGAGAAAAGGGGATACCAGTAGAATCAACGTAGTAAGCGAACTCGGGGTTACCTACTCGAGGGCATCCAACAGTATAAATGCTCAGATTTTTAGATGTGAGTCTCTTATCACGTTGATAAAGATCCATACCAGCAAGCAAAGCTTGTGCGCCACCAAGAGAATGGCTAAATTATTTTTGGTTAGTCAGTAATAAGAAGGTAACGATAACAACTAGTACTTACCCCGAAATTTCTACTTTATAGCTAGGATTAGCAGTAATTTGAGCTTGGAGAATAGGGAAAAAAGTATTAACAACCTCGTTGTAAGAAGCCAAGAAACCCTTATGAACTTTTGCGCCTTTAACAGGAGCGTAGTTGGTAAAGTCGAAAATTAAATCCTAAAAATGCATGCGTCAAAATTCTATGTAATACGACATAATCATAAATTAATTTGTACTTACGGTGATAGCACTGCGGATAGAGTTAGTTCCACGGAAAACGAGATGAATAGTCTTTTGAGCATCACTTTTCAAAACAAAGCCATTGGTGTCGGCAAGAAGAGAGCTGAAAGTGACAAGAAGCTTACCATCAGGAACATACTTTAAACAATTGGCACAATTCCAGCTACCAATTGGAACAACACTACGGCAATAGGCAGTGGCAGCAAGGGCAGCATGGAACTTGAACTTGGTTATTTGAGCAGAAGTTGCAGAAACCACAGATGCAGCATTTCCTGAGTCAGAATCAGAATTAGGAGATGAAATGCTAATGGCGGCAGGCATAGGAGGCACATTTTTAGGAAGATCCATTGTCATACCACCGACAGAGTTTGAATCACGCTTCGTAATATTGTTAAAGTTACCGCCATGTTCAATAAACCATTTTTTATTCTTTTCGATGCTCTCAGCCTCAGCGTTAAGATTACCGGCAAATACAGGATCAGATACAGGTTGAGTACGGCTGGAGATAATGGGAGGGAAAGTGAAGTTATCAGTAGTTGTTCCATTTAAGTGTGGGGCTGTAGATGCAGAAGATGTGCTGCTAGCAGGTGCTGCCTCGGAAATACCGAGCATCATGAAGGAGAGCAAGAAGACACCTTGAGTAATTGAAGTGAATGCGACCATTTTATAAATTTCACTAAATATAAAATATGCTTTTAAACGAGAGGAAATGAAGGGCTGCTTCAAAGGAAAAAGAGTGGAAGGAGAAGTTGTGTTTGTTGATGAATTGAAAAGTTTGAAGTGAAAGACAGTACTTATATATACCAATTTAAAAAATTGCTTGAAAGCACACATCTTGAACAAACGTGTACAGGAAAAATTGCATTGGGAAAAAATATGCGGCTAAGTCGTTAAAGGTTGTACAATTGATCGTTCATTGTTACAATTGTCTTCCACAAAGGTAACGCAAGCATGTGTATATTGGCTTCTGAAAATTTGGCTTGCATTAAACATGTCATTGGATTGGTGTTTTTATTTTCGATAATGTATATTCTTCCTATTTAAAATACACAGTGTTTAATAGGTCAGGAAAAACCAGGTCCTTCCTGCTGTGTCACAAAGAAAAGAAAAAAGTGGAACTTAAATTTTTTGATTGACGGAAAGTATTTTTCCAGATATTCCATTCTATAAGACATATGTATTTACCTAGCATAAATCATTCTATTTAAAAACCAGGAATCATATTAAGTTACAGTGCATTAAACTAAAAGCTTTACCCCGGATACTTCGAAAAATTAAAGACTGTTGACAGCTAATGAAAGACAAATTTCTCAATGTTTATAGAAATGGTACTTCTCTTACTCAACCTAATACGATATCTTGCTTATCAATATCTGATAAAGTTTAAAACATTTCACGAAATGTCAACTGTGGATTTAATAAGAAGGTACAAAAAACAAAACGCTCATTAAATTTTTTAGCACTTTCAATACCATATCAACTCAGCTGGTACCAAAATTAATTTTATTCCTTCTCTCGGGATCCTTTAAACTTGATGCACAGGAGAAAAAGCACAAGTGAAGTGGACACTGTTACATAAAGAGACTGTCTTTAAATTTAGAAGTTTTTCCCGGAAAAACACTACACTGCTATGAGCGAGTTATATTTAGCACTAAATTGTTCAAATAATTGTTTTGCTCCTTATTAAATACACGTTTCTCAAAAAATCAACTATTGTAGCCTGTTATTTCCTCAAAATACTATCTGTTACTTCTGATAAGACAAGGGTAAATTTTTTTCTTGAAATTAGAAAGACACCAAACTGCTGTTGGTACACCCGGTACATTTTAAATCACATGCATTTTCTTGTAATATGCAGGCTATCTAATCTTATAAATGGACACAATAACTAAAAATACTTCAATATGTTAATTTAGGTAATTAAGTTTTAAGCACAAGATATGTTGAAACATAACAATTTACAGTGCATGGTGAAACTATGTATTCTTAATAATTTTAAAAGATACGTGTCTCTAAAATCAACAAATTCTAAGTGTGTCAATCGAAATATCATGTCATAGCAGTAATTTGATCAATTGCATGTACCCTTATTTCTGTATGAAGTCCAAATGATTATAAGTATCTAATTGTAGGATACATATAAAAAAACTACTGTGGATGAATGCCAATTATGTCAAAGCAACCTATATTTTTTTAAGTCACAAAAATTTGATACCCCTATTGCGAACCTGTTTCCTTCTATTGTTGTTTAATAGCATGTGCTACGAAGACACTCCAGATTTTCCCGACATGATTGAAAGTTTAAAATACTACGTGTAGTGAAAAATGTCAATTTTAACAGCCGAAGAATTGTATAAATCCATAAGAGTGCCGCGTTCAATGGTTTACCGCCATTTACCCCTAAATTTCGGTCTATCACACGGTGTTACGGATTATAACTGTGTAGATTCTGTGCATCGTTTAATAAAAGACAATGTTATGTGCAGATTTGATTTGTATTATTCAAACATTGTTGTGGATCCAATTTAAGTGGACATACAAACATCAAATTAACAGCATCACAAGATAAGACGTGCTAGTGATTCATTATTTAAGCTTTAAGTTTAGAACAACTCTAAGCGGGCAATAAGTTACCATTCAGTAGCAAAAAAAAAAAAAAAAAAAAAAAAAAAAACCAACCCTGGGGTCACATAAAGGCCCGATTTCGGATCAAATTGTATTTTAAGCTCACGATGCTCTTATTTTCAAGATCAAAAACCTAAGGGGTATACGTTGGTTACAATTTTGTGCAATTTTTTTTTTCGCTTAAATAGAATATCTACTTGGTTTGTATAGTTCAAATATAAAAAGATGAGCGATAAACCTCCTGACTTTATTACTGATTTGTGCCATCAGCTGCTACAACAAAATCTAGTCAGAGTGCTATGATGTGCTACATGAACAAATGTGGTAATTTAGCATATGAAGAATGCTCAAGTTCCAAAAGCTATTGATACCTTTCTTAGAATTACTAAATAAAAATTCATTTAAATCGTTATGTCGAGTAAGATAATCCAGGTTCTATATTTTATATCCTATGTCGTTTTATTATAAAGGTGGCGCTATTTTTAGTTTAGCTGAGGTATCAAAATAACCGGTTGGGTTTAGGAACCCTTCGTTGTTTTACGCTAAACTACTCATATATTAAGAGCTTTGGGTTGATAATTAAATGTTTAAATCAGAACTGTTATATAGTCGTTCCGTTTAAACAGTGATACGATACGACAACATCAAATCATGTAAGCTTTTTGAGGCATATTAAGCGGATATTATTGTGCTATAGGGTCCCGTAATGAGCAATTTACCACAGCTTAAATATTTTACACTTTCAAATCCGGTGAATGTTTTAGACTTAACAATAACTTTTGTAAGTACAACAAATACAAAGTACTAGACCGTATCTACCTCCTATGTCAAAAATATAGATTAGTTTATTTTTATTTTCCTTACTTATTTTTTATTTTTTGATCGATTAGCTAGAATAAACACTTTTAACAATCTTTGTGCTTGAAATTCTTGAAGGCTTTTCAAAAAATTGTATACGGACTACACTGATGCGACTTGTCGCCATTGGTCCGTTCATTTAACAATAGTTTTATGTTCTCGGCTCACTTCTTGGTAATTTCTACTTGTCAAAATATAATGTCAGGCAGAAACTTTGTACAAAATAAAACATTATTCTTATAGTATGCTCATTATAGTGTATCAAGTTGCAACCATATGAAATAAAATGATAAGATTAAGTCCGTACGACATTTAATTTGAATTATGATTATTTTATCATATTAAGAAGAAATGCACTCTTTATATTTAAAAGCAATACCTGATCCGCGTTATAGTTTAGTTCTGACATGACTCTCTATGAGTAACATTTTTAAAGGTATCTTGAGCGCTGCCATCTATACGCACGATAAAAATTATTATGATTGTTCATCTTACAGTTGTATCCAGTCTTTGTGGCATTATTAATGAGCTAAAATGTAAAAGTGATATTCTGATATGTGCATATATCGGGGAAGGCTTGAGTATCAATCATACATTATCATAGTATTTATCCCCTTTGCCACCACCTGAATTGACCCTTTGACTCCCTTTTTTTGAATAAAGGGAGTTCTTTATTTTTCCATAATATAAAAGGTGTTATACTCCAATCGTCTTAATTTCTAGCTTCTATAAGAAATCACATCTATAAAATTTATATATGCATTATAAACGTGTTAAATCGTATCGAGTTTTTATTCCTTGTGCACATGGCAATTCAAAACATGCTAGTAATGCATCGGTTGGAGATGCATACTAAAAGTTATCAAGGCGTAATGACTGTTCCGGAATCGGATTGATACTACAACTATTTGCCCGAGTTAGATATATTGCAAGTGATTTTTTTCCCTGCATGAAGAGGGTTCTCAGGAAAAATCAGGCTAGACTAATGACGTTTAACTCTGGTTTTCTGTATTTATGTACGGGACGGCAGCTATGCAATAAACGTGTCGTTAAAATGACCTCTAAGCACGATATAATCATGTAGTGGAAATATGTATACTGCACTATTAATAATTGTAAATTGTTTCATTTATTGTCATTTTCAAATCGAAGAATAATACAGGTCATTAACTTGATGCGCATACAAATGGATTTTATGAAATGTTTATTGCCGAATCTATCTAGTATACCGTAATTGTGTTTTCTGCACCCTTATTATTATTAAGCATCTATGATATAATGTTTTTCCCCAAATTAGTTGCAACAGCATGTGTTGCCCGTAAGTAGAAGAAGTCTATAGTAGTATCATTTTACTCGTGCACCCGTTTTTTACAAGCTCGCTGCTATTTGAAGCTTTTCTCGACACAGCAATATGACTTATAGCTGACTTTGTTGATGATGCAACCGATATATGCACTGTAGTAGCAGTGAAAAGTAGTAGTTAAATTAACCATTGAGCATTTCTATCATGACCATTTATTTTGCATGATGGTGCATGTAGGTGCTCTTAAGACCAGCGTTTCTCCAATTCAGCAAAAATGATGAAGGAAAGTGTTGCCTAATTTGTCTTTAACATTTTTTTTTTTCTTTCACAACATCACCGTCACCAAAAAAAAAAAAAAAAAAATGTTCGCTACTCCTGAAATTTAAAAAACACCCCCTTCATTCGTCTTTATCCCGTGTTTTACCTGTTTTATATAAAATGATGTGTTACTTTCTACCTTTCTTCTTTTTTTTTAACCATACATAAGCTTATATTCGTTACTGTTTACATCAATTAGTAAAATGCGAGAAGAAGGCTCTATTGTGATTGACTATGAAACAATCGCTACTAAGCAAAAGATTCAACAATTCTTTGGAAAGCTACCCAAGTTTTTCAAAAATTACTTTGCAAGTATATTTCCAATTCTTCAGTGGATCCATAGATACAATCTCAGTGTAAGCATATCACCATGCATTCTATAATGACCGATGCATTATGACTTAACATTTATATTTATTAGTGGCTCGTACAAGATGTCATTGCTGGTGTAACAGTTGGGATAGTGATTGTACCTCAAAGCATGGCTTACGCCAAAATTGCTAATTTGGATCCTCAATATGGTTTATAGTACGTATTGTAACGGCTTACTTACTTATAACCTGATCTAACTATTTAACAGTACTTCTTTTGTCGGTGTTACTCTTTACTGTTTCTTTGGTACATCCAAAGACATAAGTATCGGTCCTATATGTAAGATAAATTCTCGCGCATTCCTTAGTCAAATATTCATATTCTTTTTTTTTAAAAAAAAAAATAACAGCTACGGTATCGTTGCTTGTAAGTACCGTTGTTAATTCCGTTATCAAAGTCAATCCTACAATCACACCCTCTGAAGTTGCAGTTACTCTCGGTCTTTTTGCTGGAATAATTAGCATTATCATTAGTCTGTTAAGACTAGGTATGTTAGTAGATTTTATACCAGGTAAAATAGCAATGAACTTTATATTCTTCCTTTTGTGGAGAGAAATATTTGGATTGAGACTAAACAAAAACCTTAATTAAAAACTTATAAAGAGCCCGCCATTGCCGGATATATGACAGGGTCTGCTATCACAATTGTTCTCAGTCAATGGCCTAAACTTTTCGGACTCCCTGATGTAACCACACATGCTCCACCTTACCTTATATTCGGGAATATTCTTAAAAAATTACCACAAACTCATCTTGATGTTGCCTTTGGCTTATCCTCGCTTGTTTTTCTGTACGGCGTAAAGTTTATTTGTGCTCGGTTTACATGCCGCTCACCTGTCTTACAAAAATCAGTTTTCTTATTCGGTATCATGCGAAACGGCCTTATTGTTATTTTAGGTACATTCATTTCATTCTTGATCAACATGGGAAAGGAAGTAAGTCCTATTTCGGTCATCCAATCTGTACCTCCAGGTTTTGATCACATGGCCGTTCCTCGTCTTCATTTTGACATTCTTCAAGAAGCTGGCGGTGTGCTTCCTTCCATTGTGATTATTCTAATTCTGGAACATATCACGGTCGCAAAGTCCTTTGGAAGGATTTATGATTATCAAATTGATGCAGATCAAGAGATTTTAGCTATCGGTGTAACAAATGTCGTGGGTGCATTCTTTGGGTAAGTAAAAATAATATTACATCATGTTCATGCTTTTAACTTTTCTTTTCTCTTTGAAATAGAGGTTATCCGGCTACAGGTGCCTTCAGTCGTACAGCTATTATGGCAAGATCCGGTTCAAGAACACCAATTGCTGGTGTCTTTTCCGGTGCGGTGGTTGTCCTAGCCTTATATGCTCTCACACCTGCCTTTTATTATATACCTGATGCAGTCCTTGCCGCTGTAGTTATCCATGCAGTATCTGACTTGGTATCTGGAAGTAAATACTTGAAAGAGTTATGGCGCGCGAGTACGGCCGAGTTTATTGTCTGGGTTTCTGCAGTTGTTGTCACTATTTTTGTCGATGTTCAAATGGGTATCTATGCTGCTGTAGGTCTTTCTATGCTTATAATGCTCTACAGATTTGCTCGGCCTCCCATCCAAAGTTTAGCTAGAATCTCCCTTGATAAAAATGCCGATGAAACAACCAAACAAATGTTTTTGGATAAATTAGGCAACAAAACCACTACCGACGCTGCCACAGATACAAACAAACATTATTTGTATGTAGATGAAGTCGACCCTAATTTCCAAAATTATATTACTGAGTTACCGTCAGGCTTAGTGGTATTGCGTCTTTGTGATTCCATACTTTATCCGAACGCCGAGCATATATCAGAAGCAATTACGCATCTCATCAAACAAAAAACGCGATGTGGTAACATAGAATATATGAACAAAAGTGACAGTGAAAAATCGTGGAGCCAAAGTCCCCATACCGAAAATTTCAATGCTATCAAACTTCCGGTTCTAGAAGCAATTGTTCTAGATTTTGCAGCTGTGTGCAGAGTAGACTCAACTGCTTTACAAAACTTAATTACTGTAAGAGAAACTTTGGATCGATATGCTGGTTGTTCGGTCGAATGGCATTTCACGGGACTTCAAGGTCAAAGTGTCCGTGGTTCCTTACTAAATGCAGGTTTCGGGTCGTATGAACAAAGTGATAGATGTGGTATGTCTTCGTCTTTGAGTTCTGGTAACAATTCATTAGTCTCTCTGGCCTCTGCTGGTAATCATCACCCTCCTACAAACGATAAGTTTCCGCTTAAGCATATGGTGGTTAACAATAAGTCTGGGCTCGAATCCACCGGCAACTTCATTTACGATTTGGAAACATCCGGAACTGCTAATACTACAGATATGGATAATACCATTCCCACAGATGTTCATGCAGATTGCCGTAGTCTAAGACCTAATTACTACACTCCCACTGATCGATATCCATGCTTCCATTGGGATGTTGACTCGGCTGTGCGATCGATTTGCACCAGATGGTACAATGAGACTTTAAGTTCTCCTTCAGAAGAAAAGACAGATGTTAATGGTGTTGTTGTGACCACAGCCGAATTATAGATTTCAGCTGAACACCTTTTTCTCCTTTTTATTATATTTCCTTTATTTAGTACCCATTTTTTTTTCATTTACAAACCTTGATCTCATAATTAGATGAGATCGTAGAAATTTTTACCATACATAAATAATGATACCTTTGTATAATAAATAGAGCTTGCCACGAGTACTAGTGGTAGGCGATGTTTCGGATCTTAATATTCAAACGTTGATAACATCAATACAAAATAATGTGAAATTTAATCATATTTTGTCATGTGTCTCGTTATATGCCCTTTCAAAGCAGTACATCGAAGTGTGCGTGTGAGACATGCATTACCCGCTTAAATTACATTCAGGGGTTTCGTTTGTGTTCTCTTTGCGCTTTACTGTGACTTAATATAAGGAAGCACCACGTGAGACAACCCACACGACAAAGTATTGTCTGTGTCTTTAATAACGTGAGCAACTCGTCGCTGTTCTTTCTGTAAAACGTTACCTGTTCTTTTAAAAAGAGAATAAAGTGTGACCAATCTAACTCCTGTTACAATTTATGTGGTTACTTTGCTAGCAGAAAGTCTCACATTAATATCAACTTACTAATCTCATTCATAGTTTAAACAGTACTGTTGTCATTTAAAAGACAGCGATGAAAAGTTCTTTTGGTTGTATTTCCAAATTCGGTTAAAAGATGTGTCTCCTTGGAATTATAGCTGCAACGACAAAGTTACTACAACAGCTTACACTAAACCCAGCAAATCATTTACTTCTGATTAAGTTGCTTTATTGACGAGAAAAAAAGAAATGGCGTCAAAAACCTGTTTTTGGGAATATTATTTGAGTAGATCAATTAGTTTTACTACTGTACTTTGAATTCGGATGAATACAATTTGTATTTGAAAAGACTTTAATAGAATTCTAAACAGAATAGTTTATTAAAGCAGCATTCGTGTTATTTTTCAGGAAAACTAAAAGTCATGGTATTACACAAATTTGAATCTCCAAGTTGTACTTTGACCAAAACGATGTGTATTTAGTCAAAAATTAAGATTGTGTTCGATTCTATCCCAACACTTCGAAATTGGTCAGTACAGGAGTCTCATTTTTCCTAAATTCAAAAAGTTTAGTGAAACAACTATCCAAGCATCTTTATATATTACAAAGTTTTTTTTTTTATGGCTCTGAACCTTTTTTTTTTTTTTTTTTTTTTTTTTTTTTTTTTTTTTTTTTTTTTTTTTTTTTTTTTTTTTTTTGCTTTGTTTCTTTGCATTTGTCCAAAATTAATTACTGTAGTTGACGATTTAATCAACCCTGATAATTAAAGATTTAATAGAGCGTCTTTAATTTGTATGGTTCCTTTTCCCTGATATTTCCATATTGTATTAGATTGCTTTTCAACAGTAGTACAGCTACAAATCACAATATGATGTACAGTGAACATACAAGCCCTCATGCATGTACTTTCGATTTGATGCACAAAAAAAAGTATCTAGTTCCACTACAAAAGGTCTTTTTTTTTGTCCTTTTGTTCTCCTAAAAATTTGTGGAGGTGCTTTTTAATTTTATCACTGGTTTATCTGACTCTCATACTTTAAATTAAAATCCAAAGAAAACATCGCATTGCGAAGGTGATGTGACGTACCTGCAAAATATTTTGGAAGGTATTAGTGTAAAAAAAAAAGGTACCTTTAGCTACTATTACATTATAGATTTTTATTTTGTACTTAATTTATTTTGTGGTAATGAATAAATAAAAAGGGGATCTACCCAAAATCGATTTCAATATAGATTTAATTGGCCCTTTCATGATCGCTTGTACCAAGCAAAAAAAAAAAACTAATTTGTTGGATAAATTTATTTGTTGCACAATGTTGTCTCCTGAATATGGATCATGTACAAATAACAAATAAAAAGCAGGGAGATCGACCATTTTATCTTTTTCTTTTTCTTTATCCTCTTATTCATAAAAAAACATATATCAACATGGTTAAATCTAGTCTTATTATTGCTTCTGTTGCTGCTATCGCTTATACAGTTTCAGCACAAGATCAAAGTCGTATGTAACGCCTAAAATTAGCTTTATTGTGATTTATTAACTCATTTAAACGTTTGTAGTTCCTACTTCCATTCCAAGTCTTAGTCTTAGTGGCGTCGCTATTCCAGCTATTCCTACAGAGTACGCCTCTGCTGTTAGTAGTCTCATGAAGAATCCATCTGGTCTCCAGTCGTATATTTCAATGGCATCCGCCAAGGTATCTCAGCTTCCTTCCGGAGTCCAGGGTTCTGTTTATAGTGCATTATCAGAGGCAAGTAAGACATTAGATACCGTAAAACCCAAGAACACTGGACAAAGCAGCACTAAATCCATGGGTAATACTGCCCAAACCCCTCGTTACTTCGCAGCCTTAGCTATTAGTATAATTGTAGCAGTTGTTGTAGTATAATAAAGCAAGATACATATAATTATTTATTATTTAATTGGCAGAGGGGGGGTTTTTTTTGGGGTGGGTTTGTTTTTATATATATTAAATTTTTACTTAGATTCAGCAAGACCGACTCTGTTATTTCCGAGATCATATACACTATAGAATTTACGAAGGAATACATCACCAACAATCCAAAGAGGACCAGCAGGTTCGGGGATATCCATACCCATAAATCCAGAGATACATTGGTCTTGGACCTTGAGCACATAGTCCTCACCAGCTAAACAGAAATCCTTACCAGCAAATACGAAACAGAATTCAGGAAGGTTAGGTACAAGAGAACAATCGAGGGTCCATTGACCAGCCCAGTTCTTGACAGCACCGATTTCATGATTGATTAAATCAGCAACTGTGCTAGGAGCGACAATAAGAGAAGATCCAGTATCGATAGCAGCACCGACGGGATCTAAATCGATATATTCACCACCAAACTTAATGTTCTCAAGATCAATTTCCCAATAACCCTTTCTTCTGATAGGAGCCCAAGTAAGGTTTCCCTTGAAATGATCTTCATCAACACCACCAAATACAAGCTCACCACCTTCTTCTTCGCCACCCTTGTTGACATCATTCAACCAGAATGAGAATAATTGTTCATCAACCAAGTCATTGTTTACCATATGGTAGAAAGGGGGTACAGTGTGCTTTACGGAAATGGTATCATAACCAAGGCCAAAGATACCATCAAAACGAGCTAATGCAAAGGTGAATCCGGGTTCCTTTACAGATTCAGCAAAACCTTGATCCTCGATTTTGATGCCGCCCACACGGAGTGTATCTTGGCTAATGAATCCTTCCAAAGAACCAGTACCATATTGGATGGCGAATTCGGTTCCGTTTTCTTTAAAGGTCTCTGATTGAGCAGAATCATAACGACGATGCATGAAACAAGCAATAGAGTTACAGTGAGTAGAAGGAACCCAAAGGTTGGAAGAACCAGTATCAAACACAACGGAGAAAGTTTGAGGAGGAGTACCGATTTCAATATCACCATAATACTACGTTGGGGTCATGGGGGAGGTTAATATTTTTGACAAGCTTATGAAATTTGTATGTGTGTAACATATAAATATTTACCTGAGCATTCATATAATTTGAAATGGGGACACCATGCTCGACACTGCCATCAGGTTTAACATGGAATGGTAAAACGCCCTTTTCAGATTGTTGACGAGAAGAGCCAAAATACTTTTGTGCCATATATTCACCGGTTTGAGCATAACGGTTAAGTTTCTCTGAAGGTGCTTCATTAGCCTTCTTGATGGCAATTCTAAAAGACCTTTGTTAATAACCCTGCATTGCGTTTCTACGGGAACTTTTTTTTATATGTTTATGCAAACAAAACAAAAAAAGAACCCGAGAAATTTGCTAATGTTTATGTTTACCTGGAGACTGCAGCTTCAGAAATGGTTGCGAAAACAGTGGCTACAATGGCCGATAAAGCAAAGATCTTCATATTTTAGTTTTATGAAAAGGAAAATAAAAAGAATAGTTAACAAGAGAAAAGGAAAAATAAAAATAAAAATAAACTTCTATTGAAGTTGCTGCTTGTCGGGCTTTTTTTTCCCACCTGAAAAGTTAAAGGGCCTCAAAAATCGTATAAATGATGTCATTTGAGCCTTTTTTTAATCCTGGTTACTGCCCTTCATTTAAGCATATTCTAAAAAGAGTAATATGAAATAGGTCATAATTATTGTATGTACTACGTATCAGTGAGCAATGACCACATGAAGTGCACCCGAATCCGTTGTTAGAGGTAAAATATGTAGAATCAGTTTCCCGCTATGGACATGTATTTTTTAACCCGCTTTTTTGGACTAGTTTTCACAATACACAACCTGTATTCAGATATTGAACCTGACCGCAAGTTGAAATGACACCAATCATCTCTCATACGGACAGTCAACATTTATCCAATGAGGAACATCTACCTATCTTCTTTAAACTTTAAAACTCGATCTTTTTCCGGATTAAGTCATTTACACCCAATACTGACAATCTGCCGCAGTATAGTGCTTTATCTTTTAAGCATTCAGAAAAATGCTTGGCGGAGTATTGAATGAAATGTAGTGTATAAATCCTGAATAGGCACGTCTCTACTGCTTTGAGATGAGGGTTTTCATTTTATTTAATTTTACTGATAGAATGTGAGACATATGTTTATATGAATACATGATGAACCATACCATGGCTGTAGGTCTGGGTATTTATGTTAGGTGTATCTTTTTATTTCAGTGAAACAATTGTAAAAATCGGCCTAGACATAGTACCATGCAACTTGGAATATAAAAATACGAATAGGGGTTCGGAAAATCACAACAGTTGCTTCATTATACCTAATTTTTGTTCGGCTTTAGCAATATCAGCTTTCTTATCTTCCAACTCATCTTTCAGAGCACCGATAGAGTTGTTCAAAGAAGTTCGCCATGCAGGTCCATCATCATTTTCAATTGAATCAGTGTCATGTGTGGACACGGGCGGTGTATAAAACGATTGTCGACGGTTATCTTCCTCCACTAAATCCTCCTCCAACATACGATCCATAATGTCATCTTGTTTCTTTTCAATATACGTACGATATCGTTTAAAGGTGATGGTAGAAGGATCTGTCATCAAGATTTCTCTGTCTCGCTTCCACCTCATTTTCTCCTCAGCCAGCTTTATTTTCTTTTCATTCGACGCAACAAATTCCTGGAGTATTGTCGCCAAGTCGAGTTTCTCATCACATTTACTTTCCTCAATTATATTACCTCCCATAGGAAGTTCATCAACCACTATGGCTTCTGTAGGACGTTCCTCAATCACATTAGGTTCTGTAGGTCGTTCATCAACCACTATAGGTTCTGCAGGACGTTCCTCAACCATCCTAGATTCCGCAGGACGTTCCTCGGCCACTGTAGGTTGTGCAGGACGTATTTCAACCATTTTAGGTTGTGCAGGACGTTCCCCAATTGACGTAATTTCCGCAGGATGTACCGCTGGGTATTCATCATCATCTGATTCGTTTGGAATTATTCTGGCTACTCTTCTTTCACTTTGTTTCATCTTAACTACTCCAGGACGATTCAACCACCCATAGCTTTTCTCGAGGATCTTCCAGCAATGCAAGAACATGAAACCTTTACTATCCTTTCCTTCTTCATCCTTATACATTTTCATGGCTTTATTGAGCTTTTTTTATGTAATATATACGATATCAGTTATCACACATAAGTTGAGTAATTACGTTTTTGAATGATATGACATACCGCGTCAATGAGGTTCTTTTCACCAGTAGAGGAGTCGTACAAACAAGTGTGGTAATACTTACAGAACTTATTGACAGACTTTGCGATAACACCGAATCGCAACTTATGAGACCCATCGGCCCTTTCTATAATTGGGAGTTGGTAGTTTTTTACATAGTTTTCATTGAAATCCTCCTCCACGACGCTCCAGAATTCGCGACTTCTTTGGTCATTACCCATAAAGGCCTTTTCACACGTGGCTGACCAGGATTCGCACAATTGAGCGTCTTCGCCTGTAGACCAGTTTATACCACGGGCACGCCTATAGCCTGGAATGGTATGCAGTTGTTTAGCCATTGTAATTGTTTTTTTAAAAAAAAAAAGGTAAGAGGGATCCCCTTCGGATCACTGAGTCCGTTATTTAAACTCGCGTATTAGATCCATTCTCCAGTCACATATGCAATCTTAACTTGTTCCCAGTACCTGTTTTCTCCAAAATACGAGTGTAGCTCTCTTAATGAATTCAATCATTGGCAGAGTTATAAATATTTGTGATAAACAAGTATATCATTTCAAGGTATACTTATGTTTTGGGGCGATATTCCAGTCATGGATAGCCTTACTCCAAAGAAAATCAAGGTGTCCTAAGTATGCATATTATAAGTGAAGTCGTAACAATAGGTGATAACATTGACAAATATGGTTTCTATATCGCTGTGTATGTGACAAATTTGCTTGCTGAAGGGTTTTATGTTATGTATGAAATCGCCTCTATTCCTATGCTAGCGAATCTTGATGGCAATATTCATTGCTTTTAGCAGACATACCCAAAACTGTATAGAAGTTTGGCCTTCTTTTTTTTTTCGAAATTGCCTTCGTTTCGTAAATAAACAGTTCGTCTTTACCGCATTGTCGAAAGTTCCACCTCGATCTTCAGCTTTTGGGATCTTATTTGCAACGGTAGGTTTAAATCTTTGACATTGTACCATGTCACACGAACGATACAAAAAAATTGACAAAACGTATCACCCCATCATGGCATGAAAAGTGAAGCAATATCTTTAGTATCAGCCAGTGTGACTGAAATTGACCCTCCTGAAAAGTAGTAAGAGCTCATACCATTATACTTATAAGAACCAAATTACAAAAACAAGTAAATTACGCTGTTATCATGACAAAAAAAAATTATCGTTTTTTATTTCAATTTGAGGGAGGGAGTTTTCTTTTAAAAATTAAAAAAAAAATTAATTTAGAACTTCATGGCGTGAGGGAATTGACCCTTTTGAAGAGAGAAAGTAGAGACAAGATATTGACGGAGGAAAGGAGTCTTGGCAACAACTTCGAGGAGAGCCTTATCGACAACCTTTTGGTCAGCAGCCTTGGAAGCAGGGAAAGCAGCCTTCTTGGACTCACCTTCGAGGAAAGCCTTATCAGTCTTGGCAGCCTTCTTGAAGTAGGCATCGTTGATCTTCTCATCAATCTGATAGAATGAAATAAAAAAATAGATTAAATTAGTACACATCTTACATCAAAAAATTATAAAAACCAAGTTACCTTGACAGCAGAGAGGTCGAGCTTGGTGGAGGTGGCGATGACGTAGGCTTGGTTGACACGTCTCAAGGGGACACCGTTGATCTTGAAAGGACCGGAAACGAGGAGGAGACCAGAATCGAGTTGCTTCAAGACAACGACACGCTTTCCACGGTAACGACCAGCGAGGAGAATGACAACGGTACCAGCAGTGATGGTGGAACGGAGACCAGTCTTCTTGGCAGTCTTACGACCGAGCTTAGGTTGGGGAACATCCTCAGCGGGGTAGAAACGAGAAGCCTTTTGAGCGGGGACAGTACGCTTGGCACCGTTCTTACCACCCTTAACTTCAACAGTCTTGTCAGTGGCAGCAGCCTTAGGGGCAGCAGCAACAGTGACGTGCTTGCGCTTGTAAGCGGCCTTCTTGGCGTAGGCAGCAGAGCGAGAGAAGCGAGTAACGCCAGGAGCAATGAAGCTGTTTCTAGGTGCGTGGGGCATTTTAGCTGTAAACAGAAATAATTAGTGGCCGTACACTATAAACACTACTTTTGAACAATAGAGAAGAGTATAGAAAAGAGATGGCTGTATTCCTTTCAATGACAGCAAGCATATACAAAAAAAAAAAAACGAATCCTCATTTTTGGTGTTCCATTATTCCATGCATAAACATGTACTGAGACCAGTGTAGTCGTAAACCTGGTTTCCATTGTCTAGGCTTTCCATTACTTTTTTTTTTTCATTGGGGTGTAAACATTGATTGGAGTTGCGGGAGGGAAATGATGTTGAAATCTAAAAATCGTTCATTGAAAGGTTTGGAATTGAAACCCGAGTTCATCAAAAAAAAAAAAAAAGTTGTGGATTTTTTTTTCTTACTGCCTGGTTTCGATTGTTGGATGATGCAGGCCTGATTTGATTGCAAAATATAAATAAAAAATAATATCGAGTTGGAGTGGGGGAAGGGAGGATATATTATAAAGGTTGTGAACGGATGGATGGGTTGATATCCTAATACATCGGTTGTTCAATACGTCCTCCTCCACCTCTCTCTCTTTTATCACTTTAACTTTTTTTTTTTCCTTTCACGCATGGGATGCATAAAATGGCGTTATCCATCCATCTGTCATCAAACGGTGCTGCTGCCATGATCTATCTACTCTCTCATTGTTCAAATATTCCTAATATATACCTTTGGCAATCACGAAAAAGAGGATGATACGTTAAAGAATCGCTTTGGTTATTTAACCCATAGGTAGGAAGCCCGCCCGCCCGGCGCGAGAGAAAGATTTCGGAGATTCAATTGTTCACTCCGGGGCACGTGATTTTTTTTTTTTTTTGCGCATCTGTTTGTTGTCAGTTAAAGCTTCAAAAGAGTACACTAAACACAGAAACTTTTTTTTTTATTATCATTAGGTTTTACTATTTACAATTTCATCGAATTAAACGACCATAAGCGAACAAATGATCTATCTATGGAATGAACGACAGCGTAAATTTTGTCTTCATCAAACCCCAGATTCTTGATTGAGAAATCAGGCAACTCATCCATGCTTGATTGATGAACATGATTGTTGAGAGTCACTTGACATTCCCCCTTTTTGGCCAAATCCCAGATTTTAAGGCCTGATTTATCTCCGCTTACCAAGGTTCGTCTGGACGGGTCGATAGCCAGGGCATCCACTTTAAATGTATGTCCGTATAGTGTCCTTTTAAAAGCAATGTCGAGTGTATGATCATTAACCCGAATAAAGTATTGCTTCATCGTGTTGTTTGGATGCGCCGTAATTAAATGGGGTGGAGCATAAGCCATGGATGTAATTTTTTCGGAGACTGTATTTAGGGATGGATAAACAGACTCAAAATCAAGAGCAAATCCATGTTTGGATGAAATAACTGCACTTGTAGACAAGATGAATTCCTGCAAGTAAAAAAAAAAAAAAAATGAGTTATATAAACACATATTTGTAATATCGGTATCTGTTTATGTTACCTGTACACCAATAGACGACGTAAATCCTCCACCGGATAACCCAAAGCAGACAATCACTTTCCATAGACCAGTCTTTCTTTTCGACTCGTGTTTCTGAATCTCTATAGCAACGGGAGACCAATCCATAGGACTTTGTAAACGATGTATCAGCTCCAATGAAAGCGATGGAGTGACATGAAATACAGATAGTTTCATACTTTCTGTGCAGACAAGTATCATGGGATACTCCATGCCAACGGACGTTACCTTGTCATGTTGACTCGATGGATTGTAATTTGTAATTTCCCTCAAGTTGGTCCCGGATATCTCCCAAAGGGTAAACCCACCATTTGAATAGCCAGCTATTAAACGGTTTATAGGTCCCTCCACCAACTTTAAAAAGCTAATAAATCCATCGGTATTCTCTGTGGATTGTACCTGATGCACATGGACAGATCCATTTTCTACATATTTCCAAACGTCGATCCCGGAACTCGTGCTATCCCCGACTAGAAAGATGGTATCATGCAGCACTTGTATTTGGTGGAAATTGTCTGTGTTTTCCATTGTATGTGACAGATCGTTGATGTAGCATTGGCCTCGTAGCCAATTATGGTGTATTCTATATTTCGCTTTCCAGCTTCCTCCTTGTCGTGTCACAGAGGACCGTCGGTGATACTGAAACTTTGTCTTTCTATCTTCTAATAAAAGTGGATCCCTAAAATGACGATTGAACAATGGTTTCCAAAGCTATAATGAAAAAGAGTTGTGAGTTATATGTACTTGGGAGTAGAAGGAAATAAAAAATTTTAAAAAATTAATCATTTTACCATTTCATCGTTGGCTATTCTACGCCAATCCGTACTCACTGCGGCACATTGTATTAAGTCTTTGAAAGATAAGAAACTGAACACATGCAGTACCAACTCTTTTGAAAATAAACTTGTTGCAAAGTTCTTTTTGATTTCGTGTTTTGTTTTGAGGCCTGATCGTCTTTGTCGTTTTCTACATTGAGGTGCTTCCATTCTTTTGTATGGAAAAAAAAAAAAAAAATGCAAAAATAAAGGGGCAAAAAAAAAAAAAAAAGGAGAGAAAAGGCTCAAACATTTCAGTGAGCGATCTGAGCAAGTCACAATAGCTGTTTAAAACACTTTGGCTCTCTATTATATCCAAATAACCAGAACATGAAAGATGTCTGGTGAGGGTATGAATCGCATTTTGTCAAGGTACAAATCCTTAAAGTTTACCATGAAACTAGTGGGTCCTTGATTTGATTTGGTTATCCTTTCATCTCAGACGGTTTTTTGAACTACTTGGTAGTCACGAGTGCGTCTGAGCAGTTACATTTGATAGTATATCTATAACATACATATTCCGCAAAATAAAAACGTTAGCAGATATACACCCATAGTTTCTGATACTCAAAGCGTAGTTTATTCTGATTCAATGCCATACACGATTTGTTTTTGTAGGCGTGTTATTATAAAAAAAAAAAAAAAAAAAAAAAAAAGACTTTACCCCAGCCGTAATTATGGTCTGACTGGAAATGCAAAGTAGATTCATGCGCCGTGGCATAATAAAAAAGTACAGACTATTCGGTTAGCCATCTTTGTCTTTTTGAAAATAAAACTCAAAAATTCATGGGAATACTCTTAAAAATAATGCATTGATATGCGATAGCGAATTTGAAAAAAAAAAAAAAAAAAGACAACTAGCAGCATAAGTAAATAACGCCATCTTTAGAAAAAGAGACGAATAGTTTATCACTAAAGGTCTGTAAATTAAATAAATAAACTTTTTCGTAATAACATGCTTAGCTTATTCAGCGCAGTTTTTTTTTTTTTAAAAAAAAAAATACGCGCATTCCTTTTAAACGTATGGAACCAAAAAGATGAAATTTCCTTTAAGTATTAGTCATCGAGTGTTTTTTTTCTAATTCCTACATTTCTACGCTTTTTAAATGTATAAGCCAAACGATCAAGGTAATACGTTATTTATGGATAGAATGGCGTATTTTTTTTTCGAAATGGAAGATTTGTAAAGAGTCTAAAAAAAAAAAAAAAAAAAACGGTCCCTTGAAATGGGGTTAGCGATATGGCCTTGGCAAACAATAATAAAGAGGATTTACGCTTAACTATGGTATGCTCGTTCCTGATCATAGTGTCCGTGTTACCCGCCCTTCTTATTTCATACCTAATTCCGATGCTTTTTTTTTGAAGTGCATGTGTGGCTCTTATCTACGCCGCAAACATTTGCATGGATTGATTCTTTTTTTATAGACTAGTTAGTCCTCCCCCTCCCCCTTTTTTTTCGCCATCAGTATGTTAATGATGTGTCTTGAGTTGATCACTTTTGAAAGAAAATTCTAACTTTAGAATAAGAATACATATGATTTATTTTATTTTTTTGAGAGAGAGAAAGTGTTGTCAAAAAGTTGGGTAGTGACGACAAAACCTTCTTCTATTTTCCTACGGGCTGGTTGTCATAACAACCGGGTAATTATGTAATTGTAAATATTTAGTTCATTTTGAATACAAACGATCAGGGCACTTTTTGACGTATTTATTAAAAATCCGTGTCTCCGTTTTGTTTATCCATCTAGTTGGGTTTTTTGTTTTTTTTTTTGTTTGGGGAACTTTTTTTTGAAAAATGCACAAATGTATAAGGTTGGAAGAAGGGGAGGGGTCATAGCGATGTAATGTTTGTATTTATTATGTTTAAGGACGCGTCCTGGCACTAAAAGGTAATCGGGGACCTTGGGCTAAATGGAAATAGCGCTGTAAGTTGACAACTCAATGAATGATGTCAATACTCATCATTTTCGGTAATTTTGAACCGCACACATAACATTTTGAGCCGAAAACCGCCGTTGCTACTACTGTCGCCGCTGTTACCGCCGGGAAAGGGCAGCTTTCGCATGGGGCTTATTTTAAAAAGAGGGCTTTTAGTTTTGAGTCATTAACAAGTTTGACAAATGATGTTGGGGTGGGGGCTCTTCCGTTTTGTTTGACCTCCGGGGAGAACGGGTCTAGGTTCCGGTATGTTGTTGCGCTTTTTTTTCCTCCGTTTCTGTAGATGGGAGTAGTTTGAAAAAAAAAAACAAAGTTTGGACCAAGAGTCCGTCCTTCTCCATATGCCCCGAATAAGTATTTTGACAAGCTTTTAACAAGACCCCATAAAAGAGACAAGTGACGAGATCATACGTTAAAAAATATAAGATTATTAACTGATTATTTTTAATAAATTTATTGAATGATAATTTTTGGGGAAATTGAAATGCTTTTTTTTGGGGGGGGGAGGTAGAGATAGGATGCAGTAGGAAAAAAAATAGAGAGTGAATAAAATCTATGTATAATATATGTATATATAATAAAATAATAAGGGAAATGCCTTTTCGGAGACGGGCAAAGTGTCAGTTTTTTTTGTTTTTTTTTTTTGGGTGTTTTTGGGTTAGGTCAGTATGTGACACAGGGCCATGCAAAAAAAAAGAGGAGAAAGGTATTACAAGCAGCAAAAGAGTGATTTCAGGTCAAGGTATTTTGGGATTGAACTAGTTACGTATCATCATCAAAGAGTGAGGATGCTGAAGGAGAACTAGGTGTGCATTGGTAAGGAAAGTATTGGTAGTTGGTACAAGTAGAGGTGGTAGCATGTTGCATACTGGCAGCAGAGGTGGATCGACGACGATCATACGAAGGTTGGAAAGAGTACAGAAAGGGTGCAAGAATAGGTGAAGAAGGGGGTGAAACAAGCGAAGGTGATTTGAACATGTTCAATTCGGGTTGAATGCTTTTGGGCTTACTGTCGTGATGATGACCAGTGTTGTCTTGGAAGCGACAGGATTCGGAACAGTAAAGCTACAATGGAAAATATATGTTAGTTTTCCTTGATTACAAGTAACTAGAATGAGATATAATATTTACATTATTGTCAATACAATGACGGTCGCACATGATACACCAAGAAAGATCCATTTTTATTTTTTTGTATGTGTAAAAGAGAATAATGAAAAAGAAGAAGGTTTATGCGTTCTCCTTTATATACCGAAAAGAAAAAAAAAACTCAACATTAGTCATACGGTACTTTCAAAACTCAGCAATAAATGAGTAATAATTTGTTGAAATGGTCTGAGATATTTTCAAATTTGCAATATTAGATTATCTGATTGGCTCGAAATGTGATAATCTGTGATGAATCTTTTGATTTTATTGTGGGAAAATGACGATTTCATTTTTGAGTCACCTTTCCCCCCTCTCTAATTAACCCCTATTTGCCCGATCCGACTGTCTTTCTCTCTCTTTTTATATGCATAACAACCCAATTCTGACGATAAACCACTTTCTAAGCAAGCCGATACCTATCGTAATTTGACAGATGTACACACTCATCTTTTTTTTTTAATAGTAAAACCCTTTTATTTTAATTTCACTATATAAATATTGTTAAAATGACAGACGGGAATACAATGAATGACTCAATCTAAATTCAGGCCATCGTTCCTCTTTTGATTTTGTATTCTCCCCCTATATCCTCAAACGTGTAATAAGTTCAGCCAATACATGTTAAAAAAAAAACCAGTTTGGATCATCTGAACAAAAAGGAAAAAGTGCGCCCAAAAAATCCCCTTGGAATAACCACAAAAATGGCATGACACATAATGCAAACAATTTAATAAGAGATTTGGGAAAGGGGGAAAAAAGTCTGTGCAAATCTCCGAAACATTCTGTGATATTAAAAACTCGAGTATTAAATCGATCCATCATGTAACAGTGGTACCTGAAAAAAAAAGTAATGTATAATAGTTGTGTTTCATATCTTTATACACTCTCTTTATCATCCTTTTTTTTTTCTAGACACTTTGTTGTGCAACCCTCACTTTTTGAAGGAGAATGAGCCGATTTTATTATTTCCAAACAGATGATTAAAGTTAGAAAAGCACAGATGCTGTGTCACTGTAATGATTGTTGTCCTTTTTTTGTATTATTCATGAGCCGGGCATTTTTTTTAATGGATGACAAATATATATTTTAAACCTGTTCAATGTTGATTACAACAACTAAAAAAAAAGTAGCTTCTTTTAATCAGAGTAAACCAAAAAAAAAACTAGATAACCAAAAAAAAAAAAAAAAAAAAAAAAAAAAAATCGTACCATATAAATCAGACAAAAACCCAGTTTTAAATATCACGGTTGTTGTTATTGTTTCTGTAACATTCTTTACCGAACAATATATAATCCAACCCTGCTCGATTTATTTTAAACAACGGGAAACGGGTAAAACTAAATTCAGCTTCAACCTGTGGCTGGTGAATGTTTTTTTTTATTTTATTTACTTATGGGATATATACTATTGGGACAACATAAACTGTCCCAAGCCAATGGGTCGCTTTTGCAGGATCAACCCAAAAAAAAACTTTATTCTCTCTCGCCCTCTCTCTCTTTACAACTTGGACTCCTTACGTGCAGCAACAGCAGTGATCAGACCTAAAAAGAGAATGAGGAGGGGTTATTATTATATTTCATCATTTTTCCCTCGCACTACAATGTAAAAAAAAAAAAAAAAAAAAAAACTTACCAGAGGGATCAGCTTGAGGATGGTAGACAGCAGCATTCTTGCCAGTGTTATCAATATCAAACTTGCTCAAATCAATACCAACATAATGCTTATTGGGCAAAGAATAAGAAACTTCAGCGACTTGAGGGTATTTTGCCAAAATTTGTTGTTGCATCAAATAAAGTGTAGCTTGAACAGAGGCAGAATCATCTTTGGCAAAAGTGTCGCATGTGATTTGTCGGACACCCGCATGAATCGCCTTGAAATCCACATGACGAAGCGTCTCAGCGGACTTGGAAGTAAAAGTCCATTTGGCATCAACAGCGGTAGAGAAGATACGATCCCAGGTAGGGACCAAAGTAGTGTATTCATCCTTGTAAAAACCATGGAAAGCAGATCCAGTGGTCTTGAGGACAAGAAGCTTATCCAGACCAGAAGTGATGTTAATTTGATCACCGGCACGATAATGTTGAACACTGGTGGTTTGAACATCTTCTCCATCACGTACAAATGAATGAGGGTGAGGCTTACCATCCACCAAAAGACGAGTCCACTTGTGCTTGATAATATCCACAAAAGCACCAGAGATATGACTATATTGTTTTAACATGTGGCTAGTAATCTCTTGAGCAAACACTTCAATGTTATCAACATTCTCACTACGCTTAGCAAGAATATTTACAGTGTTCTTGCAAGTATCTTATAGAGGTACAAAAAATGTCAATTTAGACTGGGCTTCCCCCCTTCCTTATTTCTGTATATGTGTAAATTACCTGTGGCAACAATCACAGAGTTATCGGCCTTGGTGTAGGAAGTTTCGATATCACCTTCCAACAAGAGTCGAACCTATACACAGAGAATGGGGTTTAGTTCCATCCTCTAAACTTTATTTCACTTTATATACACTTACAGTAAGTTCGGTACAATGTTGAACACTTCCTTCCTTGTAGACTCTCATAATACGTACGAGATCCTTACCGTAACGAGCATGCTTAAGATAGACGTTGGACATTTTTTTTTAATGTTTTGTTATAAGGAAACCTTAAAGAAGAAGAAAAGAGAGAAATATCTATATCTTTTTTTTTTTGGGTTATTTTTATATGAAGATAAGAGCATTTAGAGAAATACTACTTCTTTTGGAACAAAAATATACAGGTATAATTGACTTTCTTTTTAAATCTCAGTTCCATATCTAAATTCCAAAAAATAGATATATATATTTATCCATCTTTCGTGAGAAAAAGATGTAATTGTGGAAGTAGGGCACAGTTGTAAAATATTAATGGCGTGATGCTTTTAAAGATAGCTTTTTTTTTTTTTTTTTTAATGCAGAAGATCCTCTTTGATTGTTATCTTATCTTTATTTTTTTATTATTATTATTTTATATTTCCTACATGACTCATTTTTAATGATGAAGGATACCTGATTGAGCTTGAGCAGAAGTTTCAGCTCTCATGATTTCTCGTAAAGCCATAGTAGCGTATTGAGAGGTACCAAGTGTGAATTCCACCTTCAAGGCTAAATATTCACCATCTACCAATTAAAAAAAAAAAAAAAAGAGAGATAAATATATAAAGAGGGTATATTTTTTTTTAATTTTTTTTTTTTTTTTTTTACCTTCAATGCCGACGGGCTCGGGAACACCTTCAATTCTATCAATGTCTGTGTTACAGAGTTGTTCAGTGGGATCGTTATAACGGATAAAAGACCAATCCATATGATCAGGCTTGGATAACATGGTTCTGTAATCACCGCTCAATCCTTCGAAATGACCAGCTCTCTTTTCCATGGAAATACCGTCCTCAGCTTTTTTTTTAAAAAAAGAAAAATCATTAGAAATCACACACACACGTTTTCTTTTAATACTCTTCTTTTACCCATAAACTTTTCATAGAGTCCCTTGATTTCGTTCTCGGGATAAACAGTTTGTCTGCCAGGTAAAGGATAAACGACATCGGCAATAGTGTAGTTTTCTAAATCCTCTTCTGTAAGCACCTTGGGAATCTTTTTCTATATATATAAAATGTACATTCGATTCAATGGGTTTTATATATACATAAAAAAAAAATGGACTTACGTTGAGAGGATCACGTCGACCAGAGTTATTGAACTTGCGGTTATCGGGTGTCTTTGCTTTACTTTTACCACTGACCAAAACGAGATCACCCACTAAAGGCTTATCGTTACCAAAGAGTCGAGAACGTTCCGTAACAACGCGGTTCCAAATGTAAGATTGGTAAGCATGAGAATACAAGGACAACATGTTCTTGGGCAACTATTTTATAATAAAAACCGGTAGGTTAGAACTTACCCGACCCGTCACAATTCATTTCTATGTTTGTTACACTTACACTCTTAATGGCTTTGGCATGAGATTCGGGGTTTCTGACATAAAAGTTAAGAAGTTTACGTTCAGAGTAGGCTCTCTTGGGGAATATTTCAAGTGCTGCTTCAGGGTCATGGGTATCTTTCCAAAGTTTTCTAGCTGTATCAAAGTCCTCACGATCTATAACATTATATCTACAGTGTGAGTTGTTCAATCATTCAAAGATAGAGGGAGAAGAATAAGATGTTACCTCCTTCACGGGGATCAAGAATTAAATCAGAAGCGCGCTCGAAATCCTTCTTCATGATGGCACAACCAACCGTATGTGTCAAGACACTGCTTGTACCAAATCGTTGCATACCAAAGTAATTCAAGAATCCATTGTTCTTTAAAGAAACTAAAGACGCTTGTAAATCCTCTTCAGTAGCATCCTTGACGTTACGAAGCACAATGGTGAAATGGTTTCCACCAAGGTCGCCCAAGGTCAAACCATTAGGTACGAACCTTTTTACTTGGTGTGAGTCTCTCTCTCTCTCTCCTTTTTTGTATATATATATATCTCCCATTGTCACTTACTTGAAATCACCGACATAGATACCAGCCTTCTTTAACTCTTCTTGGGCCATGACAATACGTCCAGGCTTGACACTCTTCATGGTAAGTGTTTGGGTAGTGATGGCACGGGAATCCTTGGTACCTGCATAACCGAAATGTTTGGTGTGCACACTAGATCCATCTTTATCAGTGTCACATATTTATCAAAGATCGAACATTTTACTTACGCAGCTTTGCTAGAGATAATATTGATGGCGTTCATGGTATCGACACCAATCTTGCACATGTTGGCTTGTAAATATTCACCACCCAATGCCTTCCAATCAATAAATTCTAAAAAAATAAATGTCCCTATAAGTCCATCGCTCTGTAAAAATGATGGGAAAAAAAAGTTACTTTACCATCGTTGTAGACAGAAGAAGGCCATCTGACGACAAGTTGACCTTCTTTACCACGACAATTGATTTTTGTTTCCAAATGTTGTTCAACGAGTTGATAAAAAAGCATACGTTGATCCTTGTCGGTCTAGATAGAACACAATGTTTTTTTTTTTTAGAAAAGATTGAACTCGTTTATGCGTACATGAATACTTTACGGGAGTCTTGATGACAGCATCGGCGTTTTGAGGGTTATTGAGGAAAGAACGTAACTCTTTAGCGAATTCCTTGGTGAGAATTTTGGCAACCTCTTTATCAAAGACTGCAGGTTTATAGTAATCCAATTTGACCTCCTACATTTTTTTTTTTTGTATCCATACTTTTTAGTTTTTGTTTCGATGACGCCCCTACTTGTTACTTTATACCTTGGTTTGTGTGTTGGGTGCTTCTAATGATGTAAGGTGGACGATATTGCCCTCCATATCCACTTCATTCACAAGGAAATCTTCAGCTCTATTTAAAAAAAAAATATATTTAAAAATTTAAGCAAGTCATAATTTTTTGTTTTTAATATTTTCTCTCTCTCTCTATTTTTATTTTTTTATTTTTGTCGCTCATTTTTACCTGTACTTCAGGATGCTATGGAAACCCTTAAGAGCAGGATTGACAAAAGCACCAATACCGACCTCACTTTCCTTGATGATGACGGCAGGTTCATTATCAAAACGTGCCTTCTTTTGTCGACCTTGAGTCTCCTCAGGATCTAAAGCTCTCTTGTTGCCCTTACTTTGATCGTTGGAAGATCTCGAAAATGCGTTTCCCATGATGTTATTTTGAGTTAAAAAAAAAGATCTCTAAATTTTTTTTTTTTTCTCACTGTTTGCGGGTCTCACATTAAATCTCATCTTTTATTTTACACCCCTGGGTTTCAATTTTCTCTGTCAGTGACCTACTTGGAATACAGGATGGGGAAAAATGTTGTAAAAAAAAATATTGTAATTTCCCGGAGACTTGTTTAACCGAAAATCGTAGGAAAACCGATCACACAGGCTTGTACCTTACAAAATGCATGAATTTAATGCAAAGTGAATTTGTTATTGATTATAATATATATTTTAAAAAGAAAAAGAAAGAAAGAAAATGTCTACAAGTCTTTTATGCAACAGACATAAACTGTGTCACGGCATCTTTTAATAATTTACCGGGCTTTGTTCATGTCTGATGCGATGATTTGAATTTACTTGGAGATTTTTTAATACGAACGAGGAAAATTAATGCTGATCGTTAGTCAGATGTTTTTGTACCTAAGCAGAGTGGAGGTGTTCTATTATCCCAGATCCATTCACTTTATGACCCATCGTACACTCGGATAGACAGGAGGTCTTAGTTACTTTTTGTACAAAGCACAAGCATTATTGGTACACATAATCGATCCTTGGTATTTCTTAACAAAACTCGATGAACGTTAACATGATCGCCATCCTTCAAAGCAACTTTTTTTTTATTTTTGTTGGGAAAATAAGAGTTGATAGCTTTCATTGCCCACCCAATGTTAAAGTCGACATCGACAAACTTTTGTGCATCTTGCCGAGAAAAGTACAGGGGAAGTCTCAACAACGTTGTTGAAAGGGAATAGTGTTTTAAAACGTTACTTTTTTGACATGTTTATTAAAAATCAGCTAAATCATTGAGTGGCTTAATCAAATCCGGTTAAACCAATTCCCGAAAATTACAACATTTTTTTTTTACAACATTTTTCCCCACCCTCTTGAAAACAGTACAAAATGGGAATCGTACAATGTAATCCCGCACCCTCTCCTATTGCCTCAAACACGTAGAGGACACTTTCTTTAATTTCATGCGTGATCCCCCACCCTACCATGGTTTTCTTATTTAAAAAGAAAAGAAAAGGACAGAGCTAAGCCACATTTACGCTCACGTCTGTGCGTGCTTGAGTGTGTGTGTGTGTATATGTGAGCGGGGGAGAAATCAATCTTTCTCTCTTTGTTTTTTCTGCATTTTATATATATATATATATATATCTCGACGATATGGGAGTTACTTGGTAAAAAATAAATAAATAAGGGGTATTGAAAAACTAGATGTAAACTAACAGACGTCACTTCCAAAAGTCTTGTGCGTTGGAAGAATGCAACGGGTATGCGTGATTTCACCTTGATTGCTGAACATGTAACCAAGACGTTACATGGAAAGAACACGGGACCATGGTCACTTTCGTTCAAGGTCTTTCGCGACAACCATCGTAAACAGACGGTTGCTTTAAAAGACAGCAAGTTATTGTGTCAAGTGTCTTTGGCACAACAACCTGGTCATGTCTATTGTATGGTCGATGACAGTGTTGTAGTCGAAGCCGAGAAGGAAATGGAACTCATTCTTTCGCGATTGAAGAATTTGTGGCAATTAAGACAGAGTGTGACCATTGAAGGTACCAGTTATGAAATTGGTGATTTCACCTTGCGCGTTGCCAATATCTTGATTGGCTCGACCTACAAGGGCCTGTTATTGGAGGTAAAAAAAAAAGAGAGAATAGTTGTGATCTATTTGCTTATGCTAACTTGTGTGTGTATTTTTTTTATTCACACACACATTAGATTGATTATCATCCATGTTCCACACCTAATAATGCAAATGAATTGTTCAAGGAATTTGTGGAATCTATTGTACCTCCTACCGCACAATTGTCATGTGAATACGATTATAACTATGAATCCGTGGGTCTCAGCAATCGTGAGTTTACCACGGCTCACACGAGTTATCAATACATGCAATTATTTAGAAAAGATGGCCTCTTCTAAAGAAATAAAAACATTATACCCTCCCCTTACATATAATTTTTTTTTTTTTTTTTTTTTTTTTCAAAAAAAAAGAGATTATGTATTAAAAAATTAAATGTGTGTGAGTGTGTAATTTAAAGAATAAGGGCGGTGGCAACCATGGCAACGGCACCGATAACCATAGCAGATGCCTTGAAAGTGACACCGGCAGCGCTGGTAGGAGCAGGAGTGACAGAAGCAGAGGCAGTGGAGGAAGGTGCCTTGCTGATAGAAGCACTGGGGGTGACACGAGTGACAGAGGCAGAAGCAGAAGCGGGGATAGAAGAGAGGGCAGTAGCAATAATACTGCTCTTGGGAGGGACAGAGGAAACAGCAGTAGCGATCACAGAGACAAAGGATTGGGTGACAATATCACCAGTGGTACCAGTGAGAGTGAATGCAGCAGAGTAGGAAGTAGCGCTATTTTTTTTATAGAGTAAGTAATACATTCTACTATGCTCATAAAAATAAAATAAAATTACTTACGCAGCCTTAGTGGTAGGATCAACATAACTGATTTGCAAGGAGAAGGTAGCATTTTGAGGAAGGTCAGTGGGGACCTGGATAAAAGAAGAAGAAGAGTAGATTATATATTTTTAGCGTAACATTTAAAAATGCCAATTATAGGCAAGAAGCACGACTTTTTTTTTGTTTTCTTAGTTGGACTTACTTTCCAGTCGTACTCTTCAGCAGAACCTTCAACGTTGAATGTAACACCAGTGCTGGACATGGAAGCAGCGTTAACACCAGTAAGCAAAGCTACCTTGGTAGAACCAGCGACACCATTTTTCCATTCTATGTTTTAGCAATTAAATAAATAAAAAAAGTTAGTGAATATGCCATTGCATGTTTGTAATGATATGATTTTTTTAAATACCAATAGTGACACTAAATAAATGCGATTTGCGTTTAGAAAAAGATAGAATTATTGTAATAAAGGAGATAAACTTACGTGCTACCGGCCTTGAAGCTATCACCTTGGAGAGGGTGGGTGATATAGAAAGGAACGGTGGATTGGGCAAATACAAACGAGATGCAGAGAGCAAGAATGATGAAAACAGCCTTCATTGTTTTTTAAGGATAGGAAAGAGATAAAGAAGTAATAATAAAAAAAAAAAAAAAGTTTTTTTTCGAAAAAGTGCAAATTTTTATATTAAACATTTTACTTGTGTACCCGCGTAAAATTACATATATATAAAAAAAAAAAAAAAAGAATAAGCACTGTGTTCTCGAGATTCGATAAACTTTTTGTATAATTAATTTCACTTTAGTTCGCGTTTCTCTGTCATTTGTACTCGCAGGTCAGTGCATTGCACAAATGCGTGTTGTTTAACACGTTGTTGTTGTTGTTGTTGTTAGGTAAATGTTGTTGCTAGGTAAATGTTGTTACACTCTATTTTTTAAAGCCAGTTTTATTGTTATTTGACAGGGCCCTTTATTTTTTGTTTTTACACTTTGCATTAAAAAAATAAATATAAAAAGGCATTGAATAGTGTGCGTGTGTATAGAAAATGTATTTATTTTTTTGGACAAAAAAAAAAGAGAATTTATACAAGTTGAAAAATTGGAGGAACTTAGGCGGAAGCCTCTTCCTTCTTCTCCTCAATCTCAGCCTTATCGAAAGACTCAACCAAGTCGGGGATCTCATCATCGTCAGCACCGGCAGCAGCGGCACCTTCACCTTGAGCTTGTTGGAAAGACTCGGCGAGCTTCTTAAGAGCAGCCATGGAGTCAGGACCCAATTGGTTCAAGATTCCGGGAATGAGCTCAGCTAATTCCTTCTCAGTGGAACGACCGTGAATGGCAAAGGTGTTGGCATTGGCGGCAGCAGAGACTATGGAAAGTATTAGTCTCGTCATATTACACCCACATACACACACGCTCTCTCTCTCTTTCTTTCTCTCTCTCAAACAGATTGTTACTTACCACGGGGGTTGTTGAAGTGGATAACCTTACCGTCATCCTTGAACATGTTGACTTCATCAACACCAGCAATGGGTTGAACGTTCAACTTGGTAAGGGCAGCAGAGAGCTTACGGTCATCACCGGAACCAGCCTTGTTAACGGCCTTCTTGACCTTACGACGGGGAGTACCCTTACCACCGATACGGACTTGAGATTGGAGCTTGGCGAGTTTATCAGCGTTCATTTTTTAATATAGCTATTACAACATAAAAACAAGCATTAGTTGAAGCTGTCACGCGAAAACCACATTTCTTTTGTTTCTTTCTCTTTCTCTTTTATATTCAAAGGGGGGAGGGGTTCCTTATTTTTTACATTTAAAAAAAAAAAAAAAAAAAAAAAGTCAGACTGTACAAGCCACCCGTCCTTTTTTTTTCAGAGATGTTTTTTTTTTAAAAATGTAATGTCGAGTAGAGTCATGTTCGAAGCTGATAAGAAAATGTACCGTATCCCACAAAAAAAGAAGAGAAAGAGAAAACAAGAGATTGTAAATAAAAAAAATAGTAGGGGTACGCACCTATTCCAAAAAAAAAAGAGGGAGAAAAAAGAAAGAGCAAGAAATAAAAAAAATTTATTTTGGTTGGAAAAAAAAAAAAAATTTGCAGCGCGCTTTCCCCTAATAATAATTTTTTTTCACTTTCATTGGCTAGTAGGAGTTTCTATATGACTTTGTTTGATGGAAATCGCAACTGAAGTCGTTTGATCATTCCATTCACATTGTCTCGTACTTGCTTGGGCGTACTCAAGCTCTTCTTATCCAGAATCATAATCTTGCTATATTGAACCACACTTTTTTCTCGGCTCTTTAGTAGCTGATGCAGTATATAGTCAATGATGGCAATCACAGACACTATCTTGTAGTTAGTAAAACAATATGATACCATCTACCACTACTTTTACTACTCACCACCGCAGTCAGATCCGTTGTCTTGCTGTGGAGTGGTGGCGGGTATAAATTGCGACGACTTGTCTAAACGTAGCAACGGTTGCATACGCTTGCACGTGATTTCTGCATTTCGTAGGTTATTAAACCTTAGCGTGTCATAATAGTAAAATGAATTGACAGCACGCACATACACCAGCAATGACCAATGAGTACCACTATTGGCTTGCGCTGGATCTCCGTCATTTACCGGAATAAAGATCGCCTCATATCCATCCATGTCCTTGGGCAGTGCCGGCACCAAGTTCATGACATCCCCTTACTCAACGTATTAACACCTCCATTCTTTTTATTTTCTTTTATTTTTTGCTTACCTTCTGCAAAGGTGATGAGTTGTACGATGCCTGGTCGCAGAAACAGATAGTGAGCATCCTTGGGTACAAACGTGCGTTCCAAAAACTCCATGTGGAATTCAAGCATCGTATCGTTTAACCATTCTCCAGGCGCTAGTGTATTTAAATCCTGATACGAGCAATGTTATTTTAACATGTGACTATCAGTACAAAAAGACTTACAGACTGTCGAATCACTACATCGTGATAATGCAAGATGAGGTTATCTACAAGTGCAGCAGCCATTTTATGAATATATATAGAGAAAAGAATAAAAAAAGATGAAGAATGGATCTAAAAAAAACATGCGAGGATAGTTATCTGGCATTGTTTCGTAATTGTGCCTGAATAAGCCACAGGACAAACATGTAAAAAAAAAAAAATTAAGGAACAAATTATTTTTAAAAAAGAGCAAAAAAAAGCCTTCGTATTCAGTTTTTATGGTATCTGCAAAGAGAAAATGAAGGACTAATAAAATATTACTAAAAGAATTTGTTTATATTCTGGTTTGGTTTGATCTTTAAGAAAAATATTTCAGAAAAAATTTAATAGGTAGCTACAAACCTAAAAAAAGAATTGTTACACATAAGAAAAATTAAAAGGCAGTTTTATAAAAGCTAACTTACAATGTAAACGTCGACGAATTTATAATATTCGGATTATAATGAAGGTTATTGTTATTATCTTCGGAACATGATTGGAATCTCTTGTGTGGTAATGAAAGTCTCGGAGATATGATGCATGTTTCTTGATGCATTGATGTCTCTTTGCCATAAGGTGTTACATAAGTGATTTAGGCACTATAACACGCCGAACAAACGAACACCATCAAGAACGGACCGAATATAAAGATTGTACACGGCTAAATTTGCTGTCTTGGAACTGGCAATACTTCGTTCTGCTTCCAGAAAGCCGACATCATTGTTTTTCAATTCCAATATTTGATTGTTCGTTTTAAAAAAACCCTGCGCTAATGTAATATTCGGTTGTCGAGTACTTTCTTAATTGATGTCGAGCATCGCCCTGACCATCGGAAGCCGTAAAAATATTGACCATCCCAGGATCAGCACCCCATAGATGAAAGTTATTTTCAAGAATATTTATGAAGTGATCTTAGACGATAAAATATATGGGTAAAGCAAATAAATGTAAATCGATAATAATACAGTCAGAGATGAGAAAAGAATATAGTTCTTAGATGTAAAAGAGTAAAGAGTTTACGACGGGTTTATGTAAGAAGATGTAGTGATTTTATAATTACAATGGACAACAAACAGCAACAAAAAGCGTAGGAAATACTACTTAGTATCAATTACAAGATAAATCCCAAATTTAGGTGAAGACAAAACTCAAGAGTATTTATAAGATCCAATCCTGTGTAACAGCAAACCGTATTATTATTGGCTGCGACAATGGTAATGTATTTGGCCAGATAAGACCAAAGTCTTTCCATGCCTTCACCGTCAGTCAACCCAAAGTGTGCGATGTACCTCGGATTGTACTTGACCTGACAGTGCATTACATGGGCGTAGGCATGGAAGACAGACAAACCCAAACGGTCAGAGCCGGCGATTCCGGGGAGGTTCAGCTAAAACTTATAAATTAGTGATATGATAATTGTCAATTTTTGATATAACATACCTTGATAGATGGCTCCAGTTTGCATACAATGTCACACATGGCATGTAAAGGAATCTTTATACCAATCTGGTTCTCCACAGAGGCTATAGCAGCCAATGGATACTTAAACCTATAATATATTAATAAATATCGATTTGTTAAAAAAACAGAGAAAAGCGAATGTTACCCTTCCCCGGCGTCCATGTCTGCAAGTTGGAACACACACCCTAAAATAAATCAGCGATCAAAAATTGAAAAATATCGCAAACAAATTAGAGCGGAAATAACGATCTTTTTTTTAAAAATATCGCGATTGGCGATATCGATAAATTTTTCCAAAATATCGCGATTGGCAATATCGATCAAATTTTCCAAAATATCGCGATTGGCAATATCGATCAAACTTTCTAAAATATCGTTATTGGCAATATCGATCAAACTTTCCAAAATATCGCGATTGACGATATCGATCCATAAATCAAAAAAACAAAAAAATATCGTTGGATGGGGTAAAAAAAATGGGGTAATCGATAACCGATATAATATTACTTTTACACCCCTGCTAAATCAGGATACAGGCTTAAAATTGATACGTTTGTATATATTGGAAAAAAAAAAATTTATTTATAAAAAAAAACTAAATAACGTCGAGTCTGATCATGATAGACCTCTTCAAATATAGAAAATGACCAGTAAAATATGACCAGAGACAGACATAATGAGAGGAACTACGATAGTGACCATACGAAGACCTCGGAAGAGCAGCAGTATTCACTTACCTGCATAAAGATGGTTTACGTTAATAAGAGAATAAATTATCAAGTTTAGCAATGTGTACCTTTACAAAACCGTGGGATGTACGAGCCTCAAATAAACAGCGATGGTAGCTAGCTTTAGGAATTTGGGTTAACTAATAATAAACACATAAACCAAAGTCGAGATATTTACCTTTTCACAAGCGGTGAAAGTAGAGATGGCTTCAGCTATACAAATGTGTTAATACATATAAAAAGAGTAAGTAAATTTACTTTTAAAGCAAAGAGTCTTGGTTTAATCCGTTTGGAGAGTGTCAGCACGTTTAATGTTTAGTCACATAACTATATCTTCATTTGTAAACAAATGGTTATGATAAATCATATATTCACAAACTATACACATATACAAACCTTAAGTTGAGTTTTTATTTGAAAGAAATAGAAAGAAAAAAGAAAAAAATAATAAAAAAATCAGAGTTTAAATAAGAAAAAAAAAAAAATTCAGGCTCAATTCTATTTTTGGAAAGCCCTTGAGGGTCGACTATTGGTCCCAGATGCTATTTCATCAGCCTTTCTTTTACCTTTTGGACGGGTAGTACTTGGGGTGGAGAGGGCAGGTGCAGAGGTGGGAGGAGGAGAGTCAGAGGTGGGAGGAGGAGGCGAGTCAGAGAGAGGAGGCATCTCAGAGGGAGGAAGAGAGGTCAAAACAGGATTTTGTACCAAAGCGGAAGAAGACGATGGTGCAATAGGTCTGTTATCAGGGATCGAAAATAAATTTTCAAACAGGCCCATATCCAAGTCTTCGTACCTCTCTTCAGTACCCGAATTGACACCAAGGTTTTCCAGGCCAGTCAAAAATGAACCCGAGGTATCATGAGCAATGTCATCTGGCTAGAGTTGAGGTTTATGTTAATGTTAAAAATTCTTAATTTGATATCTAAACTTTACTTACTCTTGCTGAGTTCCTCAACATTATCTGGATCATATTTTTGGATATCCAGTTTTTATCGGCGAGGTGCATGGGTAGCATTGGGTTCTCGGCGTCAATGACAGAGATAAGGTCTCCAGGATATGCCTCGAGGGGTGTACCAACGTTCAAGCCAGAGCGCTTGTTCCAAAAGTATGCAATTCTTTCGAACATATACAATACTTCATTCTGCTCGTTGGCAGGAATCCCCCTCCAAATGACACCATTCTTTCCAAATCGTTCTTGGTACAATGCTTTCAAGAAATGTTGGCAAATGGTGAAGACATTGTTGTAAGCTGCTGTCGCCCTTTCTTTAGCTTGATCCTCAGTATAGGTACCTACCAAAGATCTCCAGTACGCAGCAACCTTGTCTATGACGGTTTTCTTTGTATAAGTACATACGGTGATGGATCTTACACCGAGAGAATTGCAAGAGGTGTGAATACCATTGGGTATAACATGCTCCTTGTAATAGGCGACAGCCTTGACCACGGTTTCGTACATTTGTTGAGCAGCGGAATTTCTTGCTGAAAAGATAGGGCAATTATTAACTTAATTCGTCTTACAAAGTAAAATAAAATAAAAACGTACCAGTGATATATCCAGATCGAGAAGTAATTGCAGAAGTACCATTGGATTTGACCACTTTCTTAACCTTGCTGCAGCATTCACAGTGTTGACCAACTGGCAGGTAGATATATTCTTTCATTGTGGCAGGCATCGCATCAAGCTTTCTTTGCATATCGTAAATGGCATTAACGAGTTTTTCAATGACTTCGTCTCGAGAATTTGAGTTTTGGGTACCGTTCATTGTGATAAATAGAGTGAAAAATCGATGTAAATGAGAAAATAGGTGTAAGTATTGGATCTTATATAGATGTTTTAAAGATACATTTTTTTTTTCATTGTCATTTACCTTGATGTAAGTGGTTCAACTTATTTGCACCAATCACGGTACAGAATTAAAAAAAATTTCGCTTAATAACCTCGTTACACGAAAATCTAACAATAGATCAAGCTTGAAGTCCCCAAACAACGATTTCTAGTGGTTTTGAAAGGTATCCATAGTCTACACAGAATTACTATATCCTCTCTATTAATAATTATAAGATAACTTCACGAGTAATTCCAATTGGTTCTAAGAACGGTCAGTGACTATTAATAAGCTGTAAATAAGATGTAGCAACATGTATAAAACTACACGCAAAAATCGGTTCCCAACTTACCAAAAACGAAATTTTAAAAAACTTTCAAAATGGTTTACCCCAAAATTCAAAAACCCAAGAACCTTAGAGCTTCTCGAAACGGCGCTAACCAACGTCTTTTAAGAGGCACATATGAACCCTTGGCCGTTACTGCTGCCTCCATTGTACCTGGCCCAACTGACACTTCTGTTTTTGCTGTATCCTCTTCAGTATCTACTGGCTTCCCAACTGCTATAATAACCAACCGTACACCTTTTGACTATGACGAAGAAATGGATTTTTACGATGATGTTGATATGGCTGACCTCGATAACCAAATCGCTCTTCCCTTAATTGGACAAATGTCCATACAAGACGTAGATGCTGAAGATGAATCCTCTGATGATGGCTTTGTTGTAGACGGTGAAGTAGACGAGGATTTGTATGAATCCACGGACGAAGAGAACTTCGAAGGTAACTAAGGATGCTCGAGTTGTTGACATCATGACAACTTACCGGATGTATTATTTTCACTTTTAGAACCATTGTCACTTGATCATAATGTAACAATACAGGACAACATCAAGGATATCATTGTCCCCATTAACGTATTTAGCACCAGCGAGCTGAGTAGTATTATGTTCAACTATCTTACATTTAGTAGAAACATGACCATAGAAGCTGTGCGCGTTATGAAGAAATTTTTTGAGAACACTTTGAACCAAAACAACAGTATGTTAATGATTTGTATTTACAAAGTATCATTATTTACTAATTTAGTTTACCTTTTAGGCCTTGATAAAAAGAAAAAAGTACTCGCATTGAAGGAGTGTCGTTCGTTGATCAAGAAGAAACTTCCACTTTCTTTCAGTCAAAGCCATGAAATCTGTTCCCGAAAGGGGTGTTATCTCTTTGATCCTGTCGATGATGCCGATAAAACCGCTTGTCCTCACTGTAACGCTGTTAGACATAAAGAATCTGTGGTAAAAATGATTGATATTGGTGAACATTTAAGTCGTATGCTAGCTTGTGACGAGTTTCGTGATGAAGTCGAAAAATACCGAAACGTAATCGATTCCATGACAGACGATGATCCATATACCGATTTTTTTTCTGGAGCCGCGTATAAAGAAATGAAATCTAAAGGTCTCTTCACTGGTCAGCACGATTTAGCCATCGTTCTATGTGTTGATGGGTTCACTTCGAAGGTATCAAGAAAAAGTATGGTGATGGTACACGTTATAATTGCTAGCATTGATCCGTCTATCAGGTAAATTTTGGCTCTATATACAATACATCCAATCTTTTTACGTCGTAATAACACCGTTTGCAGATACACCGATGAATATACTTTTCAAGTTGCAATTCTTTTTGGTGACACTAAGAAAGACTTTGACTCGTATCTGCGTCCAATTATTGAAAGCCTTGATCGTTTGAGTCGTGAACCTGTTGTTGTTCGCAAGAATGGTGTTCATGTCACGTCGGCTAGAATTTTCAATTTGGGTGTCATTGCAGATGGTATAGAGATCAACCAGCGGTTGTTGATGTTTAGTGGTCATACCAACTGGTGGGGATGTAGATTTTGTATTGGTAAGTCGTCAGTTTACTAAGCTATGACCGTGGACACTAACAAAATGACCCTTCTAAATTTAGTTAAAGGCGGTCACCCAGTTGACGGAGGAAAAGGTGGTATGTACTTCTTTGGCAGAGACTCGGCTATCAGAACCAAAGCTTCTTTATTACTTGAGAAAGACGCAGTAAGTATTAACTTGTGTAGCCTTTTTTACATATTTTAATTGATTTACCTTTATTAGCCTTCTTGTCCCAACCACAACTATGGTATTAAAAGTGCTTCTCCCTTTGGTCAGTTGAGTACCTTCCTCTCCATCGACTTTTTCATGTGTGACGAGCTACATATGTTTTCGAATGTCAGCAAGCTTTGCTTCGACATGCTTTCACCAAAGCTCAACACTCGGTTCAAGTTTGATGGTAACGAAGACACGTACCCGTTTGCTCTCGAGACTGCTGATTTTACTCGCATCAAAACCGCCATGGATGACTCCCTTCGTGCAATTCCTGCGGATTTCAGTGGTTCGTTTGCTGGTGTCAATCTGGATAATGTTAGATCTATTTATCGTTCGGTGGACTGGATCGCCTGGTTGGTGCATGTGATTCCTACGATTGTTGCCCCACTCTTTCACGCCAGAGAAGCAACCACAGGATTTATTGCCCTGTCTCGTGGTATTCAATTGAGTTTGCAATGGTCGATATCCGAATCTGAAGTGAAGGAAATTGAAAGGTAAATATTCATTGTTGAGTTGTAATTTATGTAGTGATATTTACTTGAACATTATATTTGCTTATGATAGATGCTTTAAGACTTGGTTTGATTACCTCGATACCTGTCTTGATAGCAGCTCTATCTCCAGAACCGTATTCAGATCGAACATGCACCAACTGAACCATATACCATACATGATAAAACGAATGGGGTTAGTTATCGATTGTCATCATAGTTATTAGACTTCCCTTTTGTACTAATTTTTCATTTCTCTGGTAGACCGTTAAGGTGTTATTCTGCAAGATCATTGGAAAGGTCTATTGGCATATACAAGAAGCGAATCCGTTCATCTTTGAATCCTGGTGTCAACGCCGGTAATGTCATGGAAACTCGTGAAATGTTCTCTTTTTTGCAATCCGATGGTATAATCGATAGTTCCGCCTATGATTTGAAGAAGGATAAAGTTAACAACTTCTTGCCCCACCCGTCCAACGATCCATTGTTGCCTCAGCTGTGGTCACCCTTTCACTGGCGGGTAAATACTGTAAAGCTGGGCCAGGTTGTAAAGCAAGCAAAAGAAAAGCACAATCATACCATTGGCGGCTACCTGGCAAGAGACTGGCTTAAAGCACTCTCTCAATTTTTGATTCGTCTGACTGGTAATACTTCGGCTGTTATAACTTCGTTCCATCAGCACCAATTTGTCAACATTTCTCAAAAACTCTGGACAAACAATCAAATATACATATCTGATTTGTGCAAATCGAAGAACGCAGCAAGTTCGCGTGGTGGTGAGTTTGTTATGTTTACTGCAATTCATAAAAATCGGTAAGTTGATGTTTGCAAATCAAAATTATTGTGTACTGACTTATTGTAATTAGGATGTTCCGGCCTGTCGAAAACTGGTACGTTTGTAAAGTCTTGTTCTTTTTTGACTTTACATATCAAGAAGGTGCTCCGGGCTCGAACTTCGTTTTTGGTGAACTTATGAAGAATCATGACGTCTCACCATACTCAAAGGCTATCCCGCGCGTGAAACCTTACGATGAGGCTGAGCAAAAAAAATTTGTGGTCTTTGATGCCGAGGATCTTTTGTCTGCTGTCGGATTGGTGAATGCGGTTGACGGCTCCAATAACAAATATGTTATAAAGACTGGTGACGCTTTTAAAGTCGATATGAGTAGTACTGCCGGAAGTGTTGGAAACATTGTTTTCCGCTGAGAATAAAATATAAAATCATTAAAACCCACAGTCACATGTCCCGTTTTCTCATTTTACTTACGTAATCTGAAGTTGTCTTTTTCTTACCCTGGCTATCATCCCCATAAACATTTTTTTTCTTTAAAAAATTACGTTTATCTATTAACATGGTATTGCTACATCTATTTATTTATGTATAAGTTGTTTTTATAGAGATTTAAAAATTTGGCTTTGCGATCAGCGATCAAAAAATCAAAAATATCGGAGATATCGATATTTTCGATTTTTTGAGCGATATCGCCAATATCGATCAAAAAAAACATTTTGATCGCTGATTTATTTTAGGGTGACAGTATCGTGTCTTGCACAGCCACTGCCAAAGATACCTCGAACAGGATAGATAGCCGAGGTGCGGTTCTGGTGCACCAGGGCTTGAAACGTACGTGGCTCTCCCACCGTGGCCTTGACGGGCAGGCCCTTGACGGCGGGGGTCTCCTTGGCAGTAATATTCTTGGTGGTGGTGGCGGTGGTGTTATTGGCAATGCTCTTTGTGGCCTTACTGGACTATATGAAAAAAAAATTAAATACAAATTGATGCATCGAACGATGATATCCCATGGTTATTAGTTACCTGCTCAGACTTGTCAAACCGTTTGATCAGGAATTGATCCATCCACATGGTCTTATACCCACTAAGACCAGAGATCTTGGATAGTTCGTTATCCTGAGCCAACGATTTGGTATTCTTTAAACGGAAGTTTCCATCCATGATCACGAACTGCTTGTCGTTGGCATTTACTGAACTAACCTGATGAGTAAGTCAAAAATTCAAAGTTAATAATGGGGTTTTTTGTTTTTTTTTTTCTCTCTTTTTGTTTTGCAAACCTCAGGACAGGCAGGACATGATGTGGAGACTTCCCCTATAACCTGCTGTTCAGACAACTCAATCATCTTGTTGTACATAAGGATACTGTTGGAGCATCCTTCAGCCGAGAGACTACTCTATATGAGGGTTTAGAAAATGTAACACACAACTGTTTATAATCGTACCTTCTCGGTTCCGACAGCCCAGTCCTTATAGAACTCTGCAATCTTCCCAGCAGAACCAGCAAAGATGTTTCTAAGCTTAATGAAAAGATCACAGAGACTGAAATGTACTGCTCCGGATGGTTTAATAGGCGAGAAAGGAAACATTCCTACCTCTACCAAAGCAATAGGCAATGTCTTGCACAAGGAGCAGTACGCAAATACTTCGTTTTCTTTGATTCCTATAACCAACTTTGCATAAGTATGACGAATATTGAATAAAGACTTCACTTACCCGAAACAAAAAAGAAAATGATCTTCACCAATTTAATAAACTCATGGGAACACTCACAAGAATTACTGAAGCCGGGACCAACAGCTATCTTGTTGGGCAAGTTGTCATTACTGCTCAAAAAAGCCAGGTAAGCTGTTGGCAAGTACTTCATCAAGTCCTTCCAAGCAGTAAAAAGCTTTCATTTTTTCAACCGATGCTCGTTCTGCATAGTGGTGGTATCTTTGATAATGACAGGGCTGTTGGTTACAGACGTGTTGGTGGCAGCTTCAACCTCAATCGCAGTCTCAGATTCACTGACAGGAATCGGTTGTTGGAACTGAAACGATTCTTTATAGTTGTCGTTCCATTGGTCATCGAAATGCTCGTCACCGCCACTACAGCCATCTTCTTGCACAGCAACAGTCTTGCGAATGGCCGCATACTTGTAAAGATCGTCAAGCATCGCAAAAGCGGCAGCTTCTTCTTTGTCTGCAGCGTCCACCAGCTCTTGTCGCATACTATTCAGCAATGCGATGTCTTGATGGGCAAAACCCAAATCTGATCTATTTTTCTTCCCTGTAGGTATTTTAACTGTAGAGGGTTTACGTTTGGTACGTGTAGGTGCTTTACGTTTGATAGGTGCCATTATAAGTGTACTGTAAAAAAATGAGAGAAAGAGCTCAAACCTCAAAGTGTGCCCGGGCAGTAACAGAAATATCTTTGTGACGACTTAATTTTTCGATTGTTAATTTGTGTTTTATTTCCTGTTTTACGTACATTTAGGCAGTACACAAAATTAAGGTACCTTAAGTTAGCCCAAGACGGAGATGAAAATGATAAAATATTTTTTAATGTAGGTGTGAAGTGCTTTGTGCCTGAATAAGCCACAGGGCAATCATGTAAAAAATTAAGGAACACGAAATGTATTGGACAAAATATATATATTTTTATTGAAAAAAGAGAAAAAAAAGCCTTTGCATTCAGTTTTTATGGTATCTGTAAAAAGAAAAATGAAGGATTAATAAAATATTACAATAAGAATATGTTTATATTTTGGTTTGATTTGATCTTTAAGAAAAATATTTCAGAGGTTTAAAAAGGTAGCAACAAACCTAAAAAAAAATTGTTACACATAAGAAAAATGAAAAGGCAGTTTCATAAAAGCTAACTTACGATGTAAACGTCGACGAATTTTTAATATTCGGATTATAATGAGGGTTGTTGTTATGATCTTTGGAACATGATTGGGATCTCATGTGTGGTAATGAAGGTCTCGGAGATATGATGCATGTTTCTTAAAGCATTGATGTCTCTTTGCCATAAGGTGTTACATAAGTGATTTAGGCACTGTAACACGCCGAACAAACGAACACCATCAATCTGAATATATTCAGTGTCATTACCCGAGCAGTTGGAACATGTCTTCGAGGTTCTAAATTCAGTGACAGGAACAGTCACCAGCAATCCTTCCCGTTCAGCCTTTTTTAAAACTTTGATTAAACGTCGTGCCAACCCAGGAATCGTTCCTTTCATGATTGAGGGAAACACAGCATCACCCAAAGCGACCAAAGGTATTCTCTCATCGTCATTTTCAAAAGGGAGTGGTCTTCTCTTGGTAGAATTTTTCTTTCCTTTTTGTCTTTCTTGCTCTTCATTCACCTGTCGTCTTGCTCTTGCTACGGATGTTTTTCTTTTCGGGTCTCTCCCTTTTTGATTAACCTCCCGCTTTAAATACTTCTTTCCACCAGTAATAAAGATGCTGGCCATTTCTGCATCGGCTCTTTGTCTTCCAATATAGTTCAAAAGCCTGAAGGCGGTAAACCGATCGTCATAGAAAGCAAGAATGGTAGGAAGACCAGCAGTGGGAGGGATTGACCGAGCCATGATATAGTCGATTCCGTAACCGTCTGTACGGACCATGTTCGTAAATATACGTCTTAAATGACTGAAAAAAAAAAAGGTTAGTACAACTTATATAAAGAAAAAGTCGTGTATTCACTTACTAATTAAGATCAACCCTGATAGAATCAAAATCGAATATCTGACTATAAGCGTGTGTTGATCCTTCATTTCCATCGGTTAAATCGCCTACATCAAATAGTCTTATCGGGCTTCCAGTTTTTCTCTGAACCTTGAGCAGCAGCATCCTCAAATGAACTACGTCTATTACTTGCGGGTAAAGCTGTACATAAATATAAGATTAAACAGTTTCCATAGCTTAATGGACGGCCTCATATCAGGTCTGAAGCATTATTTAGCAGGTATTCCTTCAGCGTCATCATTGGTGAGAAAAGTCCTTGAATTGAGTATCTGAGCTTGTTTTGCTAAAGCCAGATTTTTGTCCAAAATGTTTCTGATAGTAACCGTGGTTGAGCGACCTGTAGATTTGGAAAAAGGCGCCATACCAGTTGAACTTGAAGCCTCTGTTTCAGTATTTGTCAAAGCGATATCAATTTTTTTGGTGAGAAGTCCCTCTTCACTAGTAACATCATTCCGTTTTCTCTTTTCTATTATTAAGTAATGTTTTTAAAAAAAGTCAAACGTTAATAGTGATTAATTACATACCTGCTACAGTAGGATCGTGATTCTTATTCATAGGACACGCACGACTCCTGGCATCTTTATGGCCTAGATGCCCACAACGTTTGCAACGATTTTTTCTTATATAAATAAAGAAAAAATAAAAGTTATAAGAAAAAAATAATTGAAGTAGACAATAGACTTCCCAATATACCTTCTTTTTCTAGTACTGCAGCGGCTATTGCTAATTCAGTTGCTGTCACTCCTGCTTCCAGACGTCTCTGTTTGTTTCTCTTCTTTGTTTCAATAAGATTCAGGTTAATAATCCTTTGTCTGTTTGGAGGCATATTGGTCAGAAAGCCTGGAGTAAAAGAAAGAAGAATTGAATGGAGGTGTTTAACAAGAAGATATTTAACAAGAAAAAAAAAAGGTTAAAATTAATCTTTTGGACTACTTTATATAGTGATTAATTAATCAATTTCATAATTTTCTGTAATTTTGTACTTAGCTATTCTCTTTTCACTGTTCAAATATTCCCTATTTTTTGTTATTTTTAAATTCACTGTATGAATAGATACACTTACTTTCGTTTACATCGTGATAATTTAGTAATATATTGTATATGCTTAAGTATTAAAAAGCATAATAAGAAATGTTTTTTTCTTGGTTTAAGCTGGAGAGTTTATCGTATATAAAGAGAAATTTGGAGGTCCTTTTACAAACTAAATATCACTTCAGTTATAACATAAAAGGCAACGTATTACTTACACAACAGAGCATGCATATCGCTTTAAATCAAGTGACCTATTTTGGTACGATTCATGGAGGACTAAGCTGATATAATCATATAATTATACGACTGATAGGTGGTGTATAATAGAAATAGTGTATGAATTAATGGATAACTACTTTTTACAACCAAACATACAAAAATCGATAAGGCTTTCTATATTTGAGACCTTGTTTACCCCTTACAAAGACAATAAAATAATTTCTTCAATGAATAAACGATTAAAAATAATTATCGGGATCTTCCTGCCAATTGTATGTACTTGGAATCAAGTGCTCATCTTTTCACGGAAAATGTTACACGAAATCTTATAAGCAAGTGTACCATTCAGTAAGTGTTTATCATAATACTTGTGTTCCCGATCCACTGATATGGGACAATGTTACCTAACATCAATTCTAACGAGTATGTAGTATTTATATAACACAAAACCGGAGACAAGGTGTAGATGTATACTAAAATCAGCAAGATTGGCTCATTATTAAAACCTAGGAGAGTAGTTGTCATGACCGAAGCTACATATATTTTTTCCATTTGGTAATCCCAAGTATAATTCTTATTAATACTTTATATTTAATACTGATCATTTACTTTATAAACAGGCTTTATACTATACCATTCCACATACAGTATTAAGATATACATATAAATAATAACATCAAAAGATGAAGGCATAAAATGTCACATCAACCACATTTAGGTGCCACGGCTATATCTATTGGAAAATACAATTTCCCCTGAATATTGTACTACAAAACATACACATTTTAAAAATGAATGTTATTGTCATCGACACCGCATTATGGCTTCTCTGTATGGGATCATTACATCCGAATATTATTTATACAAACCAACGCTTTTCTGCGGTACAGCCAAGGTGCACGTTTAGTCGCAGTCTAAGATCTGTGTTTTGACATGGAAACAAGAATGTGCAATCAAAAACATTGGAATAGTTACGACTAAAAGTATATTGAACGATTTATACTTATTTTGGCAATTCTGTTATCACTCTTTCGCCCTTGGGCTTGTTCGATCTTAATCTTACGCTGAAATATTAGGGTCAAGTCCAAATGAGGAGCTGAAAGTAAACCATAAAACACACAGACAGGTTTACCATATGTTGGTTGTGATAAATTTGTATCTGGTTCAAGACGATAACTTATATTGATCTTTTAATGTCAGTTAAGGTATCATAATCAGAGATTACAACTAAGCGCACTCGGGCTGTCCCTAAGAGATCTTTGAGGCCCTAGTTTCTTTTGCAAGTTTGATAAATTTCTTGTTTTTATTCAGAGATCTTTATCGATTTCCACAGTTGTGCAGTATGAAAAGGATAAATTATTTCATAGCAACAGGGTTCCCTTTTAGTCTATTTTCATTCTAAATGAAATTATACCTTTATCTCATTATCTCATTATTTTTCAAGTGTTAAACATCACAAGGAATCTTCAAATAAATATAGCTTATAACAATTTCTTAACAATGATGAAGGGTCAGAGTATTGGTCAACTTATATGTGTTAGGGCATCCACAACGGAGTTGCTGAAATATATGATTTTCCATATTTGGAACCCCAAGATAGAACTTTGGTTGTTCAAATAAAGTTTCTTTCCATTCTGTTTCAAAATTCGGAACCGGGATGGAACCTAAACCCTTTTTGTTGTTGTTGTTATTTCCGTTATGATTGATAGGAGTATGAGGGTGACTGATTCAACAAAAAACTACTTAATTTTTGAATTCGATTAGTTGTTCAGGAAGTAAAAAATCCATTTTATTTTATTTGGAAGTAAAAAAGGATATTTAATATAGGACTGCCAGTGTGGGAAAACTAATGGTTTCGAAATTGAAAGCGAAGAAAGCAGTCCAAAATAGAAATTTTTATAGCGCCTCTGTGGATGCACTAATAAGATCTCATTTACACAACTTCTCAGTTAATTATTACATCTAATCAGAGTGGATGTTGTATTGTATTGTCGCTGTGTCTTTAGACATTAAGACAGGCTAAATCGTAATTATATAAACAATTAGGGAATCGGGAGAGGTTATCAGTGCCAAACACATAATTTTACACGACACTGAGCATACTTATCAGCCTTATTTCGTAGCTGTGCCTGAATAAGCCACAGGACAAACATTTAAAAATCAAGGAACGCGAAATGTATTGGACAAAATATTTTTATTTTTATTAAAAAAAGAGAAAAAAAGCCTTTGTATTCAGTTTTTATGGTATCTGTAAAGAGAAAAATGAAGGATTAATAAAATATTACAATAAGAATATGTTTATAGTTTGGTTTGATTTAGTTTTTAAGAAAAATATGTCAGAGGTTTGATTAAGGTAGCTAGATGTTTGTCGTCAATGGATCCCGAAGGAAACCTAAAGTCAAATGCCTAGATCATCTTTGTATTTTTCCCAAAAACCAAATACCCAAAAAAAATAGAATTGGATTTCTAAACTTACCATAAAATGTGAATGAGAAACCTACAAACACTCACGAAAAACTGCCCTTTTTATCCCCTTTGTAAAAATTTTTTTTTTACTTGCCCGCAACGGCCTACATGTTCCTTTAATTTAAACAGTCCCACCATGTTTTCCCCAAAAGCGGGGTCGATCCCCTTTCAAATTTACAATCATAATAGGTCGATCATTACAATTGACCTCTATTATATATGAGAGGTGAGGCTTGTTCCATTTTCATCTGAATGCACTGATAAAATGGGCTTAGCCTTATGATGAATCCAGCCCACTTGCTGGGCTGAACTCAGCAATCACACAAAAAAAAAAAAAAAAAAAAAAAATACAATAGGTCAACCCTGGTGTAACACTGGTTTCAAAAAACCACACCCTTTCACAAAAATGATTGAAATTTTCTGCAGCACTAATCGTAGCTGCTGTGAATCAAAATAAGGTGAAGGGTCACTTTTTTTTTATTTTTTTTCATGTCACTTTTTTTTTCTGGGTAGTCAATGGCACTGCGTTTATGATAGAATACATTTTCTCTCTCTCATCATGACGGGGACAAGAATGACGCTAGTTAAAATGAGGAGGTCCTTTTATCCTCGGTTTAGTGATGAAGTCATGATTTTGCCATTTGTTTTAGACTACTTTCAATAAATAATGAATAATCGTGATATCATACTCGTATATGTCTTATAAAATATTGTTTCTTGTTTCGGGATAAAAACCAGTTGAATCTTTTTTTTTTATTTTTGTTCACCACTGTTTGTTATCCTAATAAATTAAAATAAAATAAAATGATGGAGAACAACATGAAGACACAAGCACCACCACCTGCGTATCAAAATGGACAATCAGAATTACCCGGACAAACTTATTACCAGCCTCCCCCACCACCTGAGGGAGGTTATGCTCCACCACCGGGACCACCTCCTCCAGCAAATAATATGGGACAAAAATTCACACAGTTTTATGCACCTCCACAGAACCGTAAATTGGGTCTAAAGCGTCGACTATGTTCGGCCATTTGTTGCTGTATTCTCATTGGCTTGATCATCGGTCTTGCTTCGGGGTTGACCACGCGTAGACGTAACTATGGCAACTATGGAGGAAATAATAATAACTGCAACTGGTAAAAAAAAAATATAAAATATTTAATAACAGTCATGTGTGTGTGTGTGTGTTTGTAATCTCATTTTCATCTTGTTTATTAGTCGAACCAATGCAGATTGCATACGGAATTTCGGTAAGTTTCTGTTCCCTTTTTTTTTGAACATGGATATTAAGATCAAATGAATATTATTTTAGGCAGCGGTACTTTTTGTTACTCTAGTTGTCAGTGTGCACGTAGATAAATGAAAAAAAGGGCTCCTCAAAAAGTGGCTACTCATGAACTCAACAAAGAAGCAAGGGACCATTTATTGGATGCATAATAGGGCCATCTTTATTGTCAGGATAGCCTACTTATTAATCTAGGGTTAAATTGGCAAAAAATGTAAAATAAAAAAAAAATAAAAAAATCTGTTTAAAATAATGAAAATAAGAAAACGAAAAAAAAGTACTCCCTTTCACTTTCCTCCACCCCCCACAAACGACAGAATGACTTGCTCATGTGTTTCTGTTCAGAGTTGTGTTACAAAGATACGAGACAACAAGAAAGTAGAAAAGAAAGTGGGATAAAAAGGGGGGAAAACACAGGTTTCGTCATTGCGGAAAAACCTTAATCACGCGGACGCGCCCAATGCGCATTTTCTGATATAAAAAGGACAAGGTTTCTTTTCTTTTTTTTTTTTCTTTTTTTTTTATCTTTCTTTTTTATAAAAAAATGAATTCTGAAATCCATATTCCTTACTTGAGTCAAGAAGAAAAACTCTTTTTAAATACCACAGCGACCTACAGCAAAGCACGTCGAATGTCACATTCTATCGACGAAGACCACCATCATCATCATCAACAACAACAGCAACAACAGAGGCGTCAAGTGGTCTCTGTTTCATCCTTGGCGTTTCTATGGAAACGCAGAGGATCTTCATCTTCCTCACTGTTATCTTCCTCTTCTTCACGTTCGATGGATTTCTCGAGTCAATTTGACGAAGAAGAATCTCCCAAGGCCAAGGAATTAGAATCCTTAATATTTGATCAACCACAAAGAACCGTTCGATTAAGCCTAACACCACGTTGCGCCGTTTAATATCCCCTATTATTTCTATTCTAAAGCGTATATCCTAACCCCCGATACCTCTCATCAAAAATGGCTGAAATCTTTTCTTTTTCACCCTACAAAGCCTGAATGGCCTTAATACATAATATACATAATTATACATATACCCTCTATACTCCCTTCTCTGGAGATACTTATAAAATAAATCTTTTTTTGGCTGCTCTCTCTCTCTTTTTTTTCTTTAAATATAGATTAATTGATAAACAAAGTTTAAGCCCAAATGGGCGTGATCATTTTTTCCTTGGTATTGTTGTGTTTATGCACCTTATCAGTTAACCTTTGATAAGTGTCTTCTGAGCCTTGCATAGTAGCGTGTCATTGTTACCTTACTTGTTCAATGTGCCACAAGGGTGTGAACAGTTTTTTTTTTTTTTTTTTTTTTTTTTTTTTTTTTTTTTTTTTTTTTTTGGTTTACGCCTCTTCACTAATTTATTCATTCTTGCTATAAAATTGGGGGAGAGAGGGGGGTTAAAAGAGCATCATTTTAATATGTACATACACAATATGTGTATATTTTACGCATCTCTACATGCATCTTGACCAGCTTTGTTGGCCTTTATAAATAAAAAAAAAAGAGCCCATGTGTAACTTTATTTAGCGTTTCAGATTAGACATTCATGGAGTGGCTGAAGCTTTTATTTTTTTTATTTTTTTTCACAATGGGATTATTTTTTATATGTTCCTTTGTCAAATGATTTGCTTTTTTATTTTACCCGCGCTTTTCTCTCTAATCTCTATTGCTGATGTATCACGGGTGAGCAGATAGAAAAGGGTTTTATATTAAAAAAGAAGACTCTTCCTTTTCACAAACTCTTTAAATCAAAGGATCATCCAAAGCGTTTCTACCCGTCGAATGATACATTTAGCGTCTTTTAAAAGCAGCATTGTTGTTAAGGGCATGGTGTCACGTAAACAAACGAGATGAACTTGCCCAATTCCATTATTTACACACACACACACATACAGATGGTTTCAAATAGCGGACAGCAGCGGCTAGCTGTATATTTCTCGGAAACAGAAGCGGCTTTTAATTTTAGAGATAAAATCATTGGGGGGAGCATAAACACAGATGGTATGACTTTTATGTTGGGATTCCATTTAGGCTAAGATTATCCATGCATTCACAAATTGCAGTGAAAGAAAAAATATTCTCCCTTCTGATGATCAGATTGGGTATTGTTAAGCACTGACGAAGAGGAGGAGGTCCAATTAAACACGGATGATCCATGGATCTACACACACATTTATATATATATATATATAAAGTGCGTGACTTTGTTACAATTGTTGACGTCGGTCTTTTTTAAATTGAGGATTTTTTTTTGTTTAATTTTTCTGGCATAGTCTCGTGTTTTTTTTAGCATTCACTTCTTTTACCTCGTAAAACAATGTCTAAAAGCGACGACGAAGATTCCAACTTGTATGGAGATCAAGACGAAGATAATAGCGTGACGCAAAACTCTGATGAAGAAGGAGAAGAGATTGGGTATAACCGTAAAAACTCTGGACTTGGCAGTGACGATGACGACGATGAAGAGGAAGAAGATGAGGATGAAGAAGAAGCTAGAAAAGTACGCCCATTTTTTTAAAGAAACTAATCTCCATGCATGTTTCCTTATTTTCTTAAAAAAAAACATAGGTGGCGGAAGGCTTCATTGTAGACGACGAGGATTCTGACACTTCAGACGGAGTAGCTGTACGTCGTAAAAAGAGAAAGAAGGTGGAAGATTGTAAAGTTTCCCCACACACACACTATAACCCCTTTTAGCCGCTTCCATATTAACCCCAACTCATTTCAAATAGACGACGAGGATTTGGACGAGGAAGATTTAGACTTATTGGAAGAAAATACCGGTATCAAATTAAGTCGCACTTCTGGCGTGAGTACACTACTTATTTTCTCTAACACTCAATTTAAATACTAATATACGTTGCTAGCCTAAATTAAAACGTCTTAAGCGTGGTCGTGAAGAGATTTCGCGTGAGGAACAAAAAGGCATTGACAATATTTTTTCTGACGATGATGACGATCAAGTGGACCATGTGGAATCACACGCTTCACCTGCCCGAAATGACCAACACCACCACCGTCGTCGTGAGGACTATGCTGAAGAATACGACGATGGCAGAGCAAGATACCGTCAACGTGACGCCTATGATGATATGGGCGATTTCATTGCAGATGAAGATGACGAGGACGATGATTTAAACGAGGTTTTGGGTGAAAGAGCTCAACCTCGTTATGAAGATGCTCGTCGTGGTAGAGGAAAGGCCAGTAAAGAAATGATGGATATCTTGCCCGAAGGCATCAGTGAAGATGTTCTTGTTGATATGTATGATATTTTTGGTGACGGTGGTGAATATGAGTGGGCTCAATATGAAGACGAGGTAAAGAGAAAAAGAAAAGAAAAAAGAAAAAAATCGATATATTTTAAAATAAATCACATCGTGTTAAAATGACAATACAGGAGACGGAAAAGACAAGAGAACGCGAACCTCAACTGGCTGATATTTTCGAACCTAGTGAACTTGCTGAACGTATGATGACAGAAGAGGATGAAGAGATTCGTTTACGTGACGTCCCCGAACGTTTGCAGATGCGTTACGAAGGCACCAAAAAAGTATTTGAACAGGCCAGTAATGATCAGGTACAAGAAGAAGGTGCATGGATTGCACGTATCATGGCACGTAATCGAGGTCAAGAATTAGCTAGCGATGCATTCACCACAGCCGTGTCCTATGTCGTGAGTTTCTTTACACGTGAATTCTTGGAAGTGCCTCACATCAAGGATCATCGTCGTGATTTCTTTACGGAGGTAGATCGTGCCACAGGCATCAGCAAGGAAATCTTGACAGAGAAAGATCTTTGGGAGATTTACGATTTGGATTTCAAATACCATAGTTTCATTGATCGTCGTCAAGCCTTACAGGAATTTATCACCAAATGTTATATCCATGACGAATATGTTGATACCATGATGTCACGTGTTGAAAAGGTGGAGGAAATTTCGGATTTGACAGATTACATCAATTTGAATTTCTCGGAAAAGATCAATATTATGCAACAACAAACAAAGGGTCCTAAACGTCCCATGAACAAATCATTATTCGAATTAAGTCAAAAGACAAGAATGCACGACTTTTTACCCAGATTCGGTATCACCGCTAAACAATTCGGTGCCAATTATATGGAAGGCAATCGTCGTCATTTCCCTGAAGATTCAACCGTCGATCCTGTGGTAGAGGCTGATATGTATGTCGATGCCAGCTTCCCCGATATCACCAAGGTGTTGAAGGCAGTACGATCTGTCCTTGCTCAAGAAATGGCATTTGATCCTCAAGTCAGAAAAGCCATGCGTAAAGACTGGGAATTGTATGCCACTGTTACTGTCAAACCTACCGAAAAGGGTTATCATGCCATTGATGAATTGCATGTGATGCGTCCCTTCAAATTCTTGAACGAGAAACCCATCAGTGCTTTTACAGATGGTCAATTCTTACATATTCTCAAGGGTGAGTCTGACAATCTGTTGACTATTACCATCAGTATTGCTGATTACCCTGCCTGGTTCAATCGTATTGCTGAATTCTATATCTCGGATGGCTTCAGTGACTCAGTGCAACAATGGAACGATCAACGTAAAGAGATTATCGAGCAAGCATTAAAGGAACACTTGATGCCATTAATGTCTAAATATGTACGAGAAAAATTGCGCGTGGAAGCTCAGGAGTCGATTTGTCAAGCCTCCTTTACCAACCTTTATAACAAGATTAATGTTGGCCCCTTCCGTGGCCCTGAATCTCAATTCAAGAGTCCCTTACCTCGTGTTGTCACTGTATCATCAGGTAGTGGTACAAATAAGGATCCTATCGTGGCCGTTTTTGTAAACCAACGTGGTAAAGTCTTGGATCAGATGGAAGTGCCCAACCTGAAGGATGAACGCCATTGGAAGGAAATGGCTGATTTCATTAAATCCAAAAAGGCAAATGTGCTCGGTGTGGCTGGTTACAATGCAGATACTCGTCGTGTGATTAAACATATGCAAACCATGTTGAGTGAGATCAACCAATCCAATGAACACAATGGGATTTCTCGCATGGATATGGTGGTTGTGGATGATGAAGCCTCTCGTCTTTACAAGAACTCTCGTCGTGCACAAGAAGAATTTGCAGAGCATTCAGAAACCATGCGTTATTGTATCTCGCTTGCACGTCGCTTACAAAGTCCCGTCTTGGAATATGTTGGTCTCGGTCGTGATTTATTAGCCATCCATCATCATGATTTACAATATCTCGTACCAGAAGATACACTTTATTTCTTTTTAGAACGTGCCTTGATTAGTGTAGTGAATGATTTAGGTTTCGATATGAATGCTGCCATTCAAAGTCCCTATCTGGCCAACGCGCTTCAATATGTCTGCGGTTTCGGTCCTCGTAAGTCTCAAAGTATCCTCAAGAAAATTGAAGCTACAGGAGAACTTGAAAGTCGTACTGCTCTTGTGCTTCGTAAATTAACTCCTGCCAATACATTCATGAACTGTGCTAGTTATTTACGTATTCGTGATATCGACGGTGCTGATATCTTGGATGATACACGTATCCATCCTCAAGATTATGACCTTGCTCGTAAAATGGCTGCCGATGCATTAGAGATTGATGAAGATGAAATGGATGATTATGACTCCAAGGTAGCCGTCGTGACACGAGTAATTAAAGAATACCCCGATAAACTTAATGATTTGATCCTGGATGATTATGCCGTTGTCTTGCGTAAACAGTACAATGCACCCAAAAGACAAATCTTGGAACATATTAAATTGGAATTACAAGGTCCCTATCATGATCGTCGTCATCGTTACAATCGTCCTACTTCTGAAGAGACTTTTATTATGGTGACGGGTGAAACACGTCAAAGTCTGAGTGAAGGGTTTATTATTCCTGCCATGGTGGTGGCTGTACGCGGAAAGATTGCCAACTGTGTTCTTGATTCGGGTCTGGAAGGTATGATCTATGTAGATAACGCCTCGGATGATCGTATCATGAATGTCAGTGACGTGTTGCAGGTGGGCCAAACCATCAACTGTAAAGTGCTTCGTATCGATCGAGAGAAATTCATGGTAGATTTGTCGTGTAAAGCATCAGATACAAAACCTGGCTCGGATTACCAATTACGTCGATTGGCAGAGGACCCTTATTATGATCGTGTAGCAGAAACCCAAGAATATGAACAGCATCGCGCCAGTCGTCGTAAGCAGTCTAAATCCAAGCGAGTGATCAAACATCCCTTGTTCAGACCCTTTAACCATCGTGAAGCTGAAGATTATTTGTCTACACGTCAACGAGGCGATCTTGTGATTCGACCCTCTTCACATGGTTATGATCATGTTGCCATCACTTGGAAAGTGGATGAAGATGTCTATCAACATGTGGATGTGGTTGAGATCAAGAACAAGAATGATGTACATGGTCACACACGTCTCAAGATTGGTAACCAGACATTTGAAGATTTCGATGAATTGATTGTCACCTATATAGAAGCGATTGCTCGTAAAGTGGATGAATTGATGGCACATCCTAAATATCAGGCGGGAGGTATTGATGCCTTAAATCGACATTTGACTGCGTTGACACAGGCGAATCCTAAAATGTCTGCTTATGGGTTCTGTCAAAGTGAGAAGCCGGGTTACTTTGATTTGGGCTTCAAGCTGAGTTTGCGTGGTCCTCCCATGCGTTGGGTGGTGCGTGTTTTACCCGATGGATACCGTTTACGTGATGTATCATACCCTCAAGTAGATGATTTAATCAATGGCTTTAAACACATTCAACAAGCTGAAGCACAAAGACAAAAGAAGAGAAGTATGCAAAGCAGTAGATATTAAATAATTCATATATAAATAAATCACAAAGAAAGAGAAAAAAATAAAATAAAAGCCATGTAAAATAAATAAAAAAAACACACACAAAGAGATTCCTTTTTATTTTAACTTTTTTTTTTGTTTTTTTCTATACATCAAGAAGTAATCTTCTGGGATCTTCAACCAATTCCTTAATTCTAACCAAGAATTGAACAGCCTCACGACCATCCACTAAACGATGATCATAGGTCAAAGCAATGTACATCATGGGACGGATTTCAACCTTGCCGTTCACAGCAACCACTCTTTCCTTAATACCGTGCATACCGAGAATAGCAGTTTGAGGCAAGTTAATGATGGGTGTACCCATTAAAGAGCCAAACACACCACCGTTGGAAATGGTGAAAGTACCACCAGCCATATCCTCAATAGTGATCTTGTTATCACGAGCCTATTTTTTTTTTTTTTTTTTTTTAGTGACAAGGGATATAAAAGACTCTTTTCTTGCTTTGTACCTTTTTACCAAGAGCAGCAACACTTTGCTCAATCTTTAATAAACCCATATCTTCGACATTACGAAGGACGGGAGTAACCAAACCCTTGGGGGTGGAAACAGCGACACTTAAATCGACAAAGTCATGATAGACAATCTCAGCACCATCAATGGAGGCATTGACAGCGGGGAACTCGGTCAAAGCACAAGCAGAGGCCTTGACAAAGGCAGACATGAAGCCAAACTTGACATTGTGCTTCTTGATGACAGCATCCTTGTATTCAGAACGAAGGGCCATCAAGTTGGTCATATCGACTTCATTGAAAGTGGTTAAAGAGGCAGCAGTATCTTGAGATTGCTTAAGACGTTCAGCAATACGAAGACGCATACGGTTCATCTTGACGCGACTTTCGGTACGCTTACCAAAGGCAACCTCTTCGGCAACAGGTGCTTGAGAAGCCTTGGGGGCGGCAGCAGCAGCAGGAGCAGGAGCAGCGGCGGCGGGCTTGGGGGCAGCCTTCTCTTCCTTCTTCTCTACCTTCTTTTCCTCAACCTTTTCTTCCTTTTTCTCTTCCTCAACAGGCTTAGCTTCTTCCTTCTTGGGAGCAGGAGCGGAACCTATTCAGATGTATGAAAAGTTAAATACTGAGTAAAGTTCCAAAATGAGAATGCCGCTTACCTTCTTTAGGTTCACCGAGTTCCAACTTGAAGAAATCAGCACCGACAGAGACATTGTCTTCTTCTTGGGCGTAGATTTCGACAATGGTACCTGATGCAGGAGAATTGACAGTGACATCAATCTTATCAGTTTCAATTGTGGCTACCTCATCATCTTGTTTCACGTAATCGCCCACGTCTATCAATGACGATCCTTAGTACATGTTTTTTTTTAAATCATCAACGTATATCCCACTCTTACTTTTAACCCATTGTTTCAATGTTCCTTCAGAGATGGATTCAGCCATTTGAGGTACTTGGACGATCTTGTCAGCTAAATATTTCATAAAAATAATGCAAAATTAGAATAAAAAATCTCCCTTTTTTTCAAGTGAGAACAGGATAAAGGAAATTTATCATTTACCGTAGAATCGTGTTTGCATCCATTGGTTAGATCTATAAAAGAAGAATAAAGGCAAGGGTCAGTGGCCTTGTTTTAAGGGAAAATAAATAAAGGGAAGGCTTACTTGAATTGCTTGTTAGCAACCATATTTAAAGCACAAGGTGCCTGGACGGAAAGTTGTCTGGTAGCATGACGACCGAGATTAAGAGCCGATCGGCTCAAGTGACGCAAAGTCATGGGTGTTGAACGTAATGCAGTTTGCATTTTAATAATAATAATAAAAAATAATACAAGGAAAGAAAGCAAAAAAATATGTGTGGGGTATGTTTTTTTTTAAATCCAAGAGGGCCGGTCATTATTTTTTATTTTTAATTTTTTAAAGTGCAGAAATGCATTACTTTTTACTCTCGTCTGCTTCGTCCCAACGGTGACCACAGCCTCGGTTACCACATACGTAATAAAGTGTCATTTTTGCATCAGGGCGTCTGGAAGAAGATTGGAAGAAAACAGCTTCGGGATTGCCACATTTTGCACAAGTAACATTGGCACGAGGCTTTACGCGAAGTAAGAGTTAATTTTCTGAATTATAAATACATTATTGTGAGGCAACTTACAAGAGTAGGATCAGTACTCAAATCAGCCAACATCATGGTCTGTTCACTTTTGAAAAAAAAAAAAATGGTTAAAAAATCAGAGAAACTAAAACAGATTCATCATGTCATACGAAGGTGCATGTACGATTTCGTGTCTATACACACAGACATTCTCGGCTTCTTCTTCATATTGACAATTTCTACATGCAAACATCAACTTTCTTCTCGATTTATCTTCTTTTGGGTATAACAAGTTATTACTACAAAATCACATGTCTTGTTTAATATCTTTGTTTTGTTTGTCGTCGTCGTCGCATGCGCGCGTGCACACGCACGCACGCACGCAACCTGTGTTTATTGATGTAATGTACCAGTCTAAACAATATTTAAAGGTTGCCATTGTATGTAAAAAAAAAAAAAAAAAAGTAAAGCACTCTCTTTTTTTTACAAGCCAAAAACAGAATTTTGTCCCTTTTGGAAAGTGTGACTTCAACTTTTTTGGGGGCCTTTAAACTTGATTTGATGGACTTGGTAAAGCTTAACCTGATTTACATTGCGTTTAGCTTCTATCGCCTTTATAAATGCCATTATCATTATTTTCCAAGTCGCTATAAGAAAAAGGCTTATTTTTTTTTTATTAGTATCAGATTGACATTGTACAATTAATTTATTCCTGGCCTTAGAAAGGAAATTGGCTGTGTATACAACAAGAATTTATGCGACAGATTACTTTCAATTTGTAATTGTCCACAACTTATCTTATACAGTTCTTTACATCGCATTAAAATGCTTCGTAAACATCAGATAAATTCCTACCTGGTTTAAGGATTAGTCTTGTTATGATGGATCCGGATTGCTTTTCTTAAAGTCAATAGTGCTTTACTTTTTTATGCGTTGTATTAATCAGCTCTTGCACGATCAAACCAATGCGTCTGCTACAGACTGTTTCTATTCGACATGTAGCGTGTGTTTGAGATTTTTGAACACTTAAAAAAAACAATGTCTATTTCCAGAATAAGGTGCCTTTGAGTGGAGCACTCCAAGTTAAGCTCTAAAGCCATCATGCCACAGCCTCTATAAATTCTTGGTGATTCCTACAACCACATGTATCACATTGAATTTAGATTAAGGAATAGATGGGATTCCAAATCAAGTAGTCAAAGCGGGCATAAGGCGATAAACCAATCCATGTTGGAGCTGGGCAAGTAACCCATGTTTGGGCTTAATGGCCAACGGGCGAGCAAGGAGACCAAGCGGTGAAAGTTTTACTCTTGCAGACATAAAGGCTGAGGAAGCCAATTGATAAAATGATGGGAGTTCCTGAGGTGGCTGTCTCAGTTGGTTATATGGTGGGTATTTACAGCTGAGGTATTTTCCATGTCAGCATTGTTTGTGCCAACAGATAGTTGATCTGTGGTTGATTGATCGGTACTGTCGCTAAGACTAACGCTTAGATGAAATACAGACTTAATCAACTGCACGTCTGGTTTTTTGCACGGGAACGTAAAAAAATACTTACCTTGTAAATTTTCAGAAGACATGCTTATTTCATCCACGATTGTGCCTTCTGTATCATATACAGTACACCGAAACCTCACGCAATGGTCATTGGTGGCAATATTTTCTTGTATTAAGCAGGTAAGGTGTAGACACTTGTTGAAAGGACTTAGCTTTTAGTCCTCAAAGTTTGGATTGGTTTTGTTCAAATCTAGAATTGGTCTTCTATTCAATTTAAATTGGTGCAAAAGGTAAAAATTGTTTTTCTTATTGTTTAAGATATGAGAGACAGTAAATCATCATGGAGAATAAAAATCGGGAAAAGACTTTATTTTATGATACATAAAGAAAAAACTACTGTAATTTGTATCAAAGATCATATGGCTAACAGGACATCGAGCACATTATATGAATGGATACAATGTATCACTATTTGATAAATATATTGTGAAGTTATTAAATTATTAGACGTTGTAAAAACAGTTGTTCGATTGATAGTAAAGGCATTGTATGAGATAACATCATGCGCTTTGTCAGTTAAAAGATATTACAGTGTCAATTATGCGCAGAAGTAAACCGTAATTCATTCAAATAGTGTATATTAAACACTTATTCTTTCCACACAATGAAAATGTCGATCTTTTTAAATGATCGCCATACACACAATGGGGCGCGACAATAAATCTGATGGATGCACTCATAGTAAATTTCATTGTCTACAATAAGAAGTAGAAATGCATAATTATTTTGTCATTCATTCAAAGACAATCATTGACAGCTCACCCTCCCCCCTTTATTTTAAGTATATGCATTTACATTAATTACAAATGGGAGAACTAACTTTCATTCAGTTATTATTATTACTCCCTTGGTATTTATATTTCTGCACGAGGGATCTACGTTTTATATATTAGCATTCTTCAAAAATGGGTTATATCCGGGAAGGGCCCCACGACATTTATAACCCTGGTATAAAGAGACCGGACCAAATATTAAAACTGATAGGAGTTGACCAAATCGAGATGGTCTACTGCGTTCATTAAAAAGAGAGAAAGAAATGTTTTCTTTTCGGGTCTCTTAGGAACAGCTGTCGCTAAGAAAAGCGGTTTCTTTTTTAAATTAAGATTATTTGATTTTACTAGTAGTTAAGGTCGCAAATGTTTGATCTTCAATGCTTGGTTGATTGTCGTTAGAAGTATCTTTTTAAGTGAATAGCAATTTATTCGATTCTCCTGTTCCTCGTATTTATAAAGTTTGCTAAAACTAGTTATTATTCAGGATGAAGAAGACCAACAGAAAAAAAAACATCAGATCATCTATTAAGCACCTCATCCATCGTTTCTAACATTGTAATCCCTGTATATATACCAAATCTACTTATCTTCTCTCACACTTCTGAGAGTATATATAAACACATGCCTATACAAAAATGCATACTGTTTTTGTTTTTATCATATGTCAATCTATAGCTAGATCACACACACCCCTTTTATTTTTACAAAAATCACGTTACACTTAAGCATATACAACCCTCTTTTTTATGAACAGTTTTGATGACACTTGATCTCATGAATTATGCGTGCGGCGTGTTATTATTATATTCTCCCTTAGGAGCGCGTGTTGCTTGCTGTCCGTGATAACTTGGTCAAACGTTTCCAATGGGTTCGAGTGTATAGTAACAACTATTTTCTGTTCTTAATTCAACAAGTTTGGAACAAGAAGCTTGGACTTTCAGCTCCCGTTGTTTTATTGGTAAATTTGATCTGCACATCTTTTCATACTTTCCGTGTTACCATGGAATCACGTCACATTTTATTATAAATATAGACTAAACATTTCTTGTTTTCCTCTGTTAATACCAAGGAGAAATGTCGATATCTTTAAGGACGAATCTGCAAAAAGACGGCGAGAAAAAGGTCATGCAATTTTACGTTTTATCTCTATTATTTGGTAAACCACTGCTTAGTTTTACCTAACTCTCATAGTGAACGGAGGCTTGCAGTTACAAGTGTTTCCATAGTGGTTCCGAGACATACAGGTATACAAAAGTAACGATACATTTAACGATTGCATAAAGTTACGAATACATTCGACGTGATATAAACAAATGACAATCCAATTCTCAGATTTTCAGTCAGGCTCATTCTTATGCAAGGCCTTTAAATTGAAGATCACCCATAGGCAAATGGTATATCGATGAATGAACCTGCATTAAAGTGTACAAGAGAAAAGTATGACATCATCTCGCCATACTATCAAGCACTTTTGTGGACCTGGTCAAAGAGTTATTTTTTTGTTACATTTCCTCGCGACAATGGTAATTGTAAAAAAAAAAAAAAAAAGTCTAAGTCCCGATATCTGCTGATAACTACGGACTGCATTTGTATTTGGATGGGGCTTACTTTGTTCTATATGGGGGGTTGTGCAAAATAACATTAGGCTTGATGTAGTAAGTTTTCTTGTAACACTTATGATGGAAGGTGCACCATGACTAGGTTGTACGAATTAAAGCGGTATAATTAAAAAAAAAAGTGATCGTAAAAATAGTTAGAGTACATCTTTCTGCTCTCTACCCGTATAACATAGTCTGTAAGTTGTGAGTATACCACGGAAGATTGAATTTTTGAAAAAACTAATGTATAGAATTCATTTATTAGTGTATCAGCTGTTACTTCACTATTTTATAAGCTCGGTAAAACTGTTTAACCCAATTTAAAGGGATGAAAGGCCAGTGCACGAGCAAAACCTGATCTAATAATAACTACGAACAATAAAGTAATATGGGGAAAAGGGGGTCACAAGGGACAACAAATACTGATATCATAAAAACAATAACAATACAAAGAAAACTGTCAAATGTGCATGGCTTTTAATTCATGTGCATGTATTACTGTCCCAATTTTTTATATATATGAAACAAAGGCTATCCCGGTGTAACTCATTTTTTTATTTGGCAATAATAAAATTCCAAAAAAATTTCTTTCCCCTCCTTTTTTATTTTCTTTCTCCACTTCAAAAAAAAAAAATGTCTATCGCAGATAACTCTTACTTCGCATACAACCAAAACGATTATATTGACTTGGAGACAGCCTTGGCTGAAGAAGAAGCAGCTTCTGTTAGTTACAGTCTGCATAGTAATGAGCACGACAGAACATTTCGATTAAGTTTTAAAAACTATGACGATAATGCAGTCCAAAGTTTAAGACGATCACTTGTAACGCCATTGTCGGCCACCAGTCGAGAAGACCCCATGTACAAAGCAATGGAGCAAAATACTTGGAAACAACACTCAACCTACTCACCACGCGTCGACAATGAGCCTTTATTGAGAACAAGAGTTTCTCTGTCACCCTCTCCTTCTGTGGCTGATAGTCTTGCCCATTATAATAAACTTATTGATGGTAAAAAAAAAAAAAATACATCCCATATAAATTACCTTTTTATTAAATCAAATCCTTTAATTGATCAGACAGCTCAGAGGTTGACTTGGTAAAGAGTGACCTTAGGGATTTTATGGGCCCATACGGCGTCAATGAAGTCATGTTACGACCCGATTATTTGACTCCTTCCCCACAAAGTAATCATCGTTACAAAAAAGACGCTTTGGTAACAAGGTAGAATAAAAATATTCTCACACTATTACGTAAATATCAACTCTTTTTATTTTTTTATAATTAGGCTCTCTCCATTATTAAGTGTTAATAACACCAGAAGCTCTCCTGAGTATATCGCTCCAAGCCCAGTTGATGAGCTCAAAGAGGCATGTCCTCCGTATCGAGGCTCTTTATTACTTGAATTGGCTTCCAAACCAGCTAAATCCGATAAAAAGGATAACATCTCCACAAACGAAATGCAGCGTCACATTGATGTACCTTCCGCACGTCGTAGCGTACAAATTTCTTCTCTTCCAGAGACCATCACTGCTCAAAAACGCTCATCAGAGGCCAAAACTATCGTAAGCAGATATTCACAGAGGCTTCCATCTACCCTCAGAAGAGCATCTGTAGAAGAATCTAGCAGCGTCACACCGCCACTTGATTCTCTCCTTAGTCGTTACAGCACCAAAACTCAAGATTCCGCAGCAGAAACTCACCATATTCAACGCAAAGATGTTACTGCATCATCCCGATATTCACAACGACGTCTTTCTGCTGAAAACACTTCTAAAAATCAAATCCAGAACACTGTTGCAGAATCAAGTACTGCTGCTTCTCGATATACTCAAAGACGATCTTCTAATGAGGATAACAGTAAGACCATCACCAGTCGATATTCACAACGACGTCTCTCCACGGATCATACTGATACCAAACCAAAGGTTGAAACAAAGCGTTACGAGCCTCGTCAATCTACAACCACAGCAACACACCCAAAGCCACGAGATCTCTCTACTGTAACAAGTCGATATTCTCAACGACGTCTCTCAATTGAAAAGGCAATCGATATCAAGCCTAAATTAGAACAAAAGCGTCCTGATTTACGTTATCCGACCACCACAGAAACACGTAAGCCAAAATTACCAACTCGAGATATCTCCACCATCAGTAGTCGCTACTGTCAACGACGTCTTTCAACTGAGAATACTGATACCAAAAATGCAGAAATCACAAGATCCCGAGCTACATCCATTCGATTAGAGCCAGCTAGGACCAATACCTACCAAAGCCAATCAAATCGCAACTCATTTGTACCAAATGAAGCTACTAAGGATGCAGAACCTATTGAAACTCGTCGCTATTCAACCCGTGGTAGACTTACAACAACAGCAACATCTACCAATACTAGGGATGCTGAAAAATATGTACCCAATGATACTAAGCATCACCAAGCTGGGATAACTGTTACTCGAAAATTATCTCTTCGTGATCGTACGCTTACATCCAACCGTATGAATGATTTAACCAAGCATCCTTCAGAAGCCACGCCCAGGGATACCGGACAAAATCAAGCTGGATCTAGTCGTACTCGAAGGGTCTCTTTTAACCTTGACGAGCCTTCCCATGAGAATCCATCCGATAAGCATCCCACATTAAATATTAATAAGAGGGATTCCTATCATGGCAGCTATGATGAACAGGTTAATGTGAAGGTAACACCACCACGTCGTCCCAGATCCTTCTCTGTACCTAATAATGAGGAAAGACACTCTTTGTTGCCTGTCCTATCAACCCGTGTTCGAAAGTACAGCAATCCAAAGCCCGAAACTGTACGCGAGGAAGAAATCATGTCATCGAGATCCAAGGAAAAGCGACCTTTTGTCAATACACAACAATTGATGTCTCCTTCTCATAGCATTGGAAGTTCTATCTCAACAGATTCAACCCAATCAGGAGATTTCGATGCCGGACCAGCTACACCACCTCGTTACTCTTATATGGAACATCAACAAGTACGTCCAGCTAGCAAGCCTATCAGTCAATCTGTATCTGCTGTTCTTTTACAAGTAAAGCAAAGCAGAGCACGTACCGCTGCCATTATCAACGGCATGTACAAATAATTTACCCTATCGAAAAAAAAACTAAAAAATATGTGAGCTGGCTTCAATTACCCTTTACCAGCATCAATATTTTTGTAGTCTCAATAAAAAGAAAATTAAGTGTTTTGTATTATTAAATTTTTGTAATGAAGTTTTGTTTATTTGTAATTGTGATGAATTGGAGCATATTGCAAAAGTTTGGGGTTATGTTTGTTAACGTTCAGAATATTACAGTCACACCTTCCCCGTCCGATTGAGCTGTCGTCATAAACTTATGTCAAATAATGGATTGTTGATTTGACTATCGTACTCGAGATTTGTATTATCAAATTTTGATCTCTTTGATGTGAAGTTACCGATATACTAGGGTCTATTATATAATTATCAAACCGCATAACTCCTTCTGCATGAGTTTGGGTAGCGTGATATCGTATAATTATATATACCTACCAGATGTTTTTTCTTATGAGTTAGTTATATGTAAGAACGTTTCTTTCAGCTAACACTTGTGGAAAGAAAGAGAATAAGATGACAAAAATAGAAGGGTTAAATATACGTAGTTACAAGAACGTATTTTTATAAACCCATGGATAAAACACACATCTAGAAAATATATCACAGTTCCAAATTAATAGATTACGAACAGCATCTAACGAAAAGTGACAAAAAAACATGCAAGGTTTTGCATTATGGAATAATTTTTGACCTGATTTCACACCTTAAAAATAAAGTTGTATAAATATGTATTACTATTACATGTATAAGCTTTATTTGTTTAAAACGAAAGATAAACCGGCTTTCAAGACGTTGACAAATTCAGATAAACACTCACCCAATGTTGTACTGAAAATGTCACACCACACTTCTTAATTCCAGGATTGGGTGCATTAATTTTATTTTCAACCGTTAAAAATTTCCAATCGACTTCATAAGCTTGTCGATCTGTGGCTTTTTGTTGCGAGAAATAAATCTATCACAGAAAGAATATTTCAATTGGTGATTCTGGCTTTTTTTTTTTTTTATTTCGGCAGCAAAACATCAACAAAAATGGTCCATAAGATATAACATAGTTCAATGTTTTTCAAAATATAATCAGATAATAGAGAAAAATAAAGGCATCGTTAAAATTTATATAACAGATTCTCTTGCTACTCAGTTCAAGCAATCGTTTATCTTTTTGGGTTGTTGTTAAAATTGGACATGACGTTGAGCTAGTTACCAAAAGTAGGTTATAATTTATCCATAATAAGACTAATTCCATTTAATAGTACATATGATCCTTCTTTCCTTCTAAGACCATTAATTATTAACAACCTTATCTATTATCATAATCGATTAGCTGCCAGTGATACACTAGCAAAATTTATTATGCGTGATCATCATCTAATTTCTGGACTCTGCCTTTCGATCGTTACTTGAACGCAATGCAGAAATCCCTTTTTATTACATTTTCTCATACTCCTTTGTCGTGGCTTTATAAACAAATGGAAGCCCGATTTGCATACATACAAGGATACTCCTTATTAAACATAAGCAGTGTTGTGTTGATTCAGAACAATACGAGAAAGATAAAAATTGAAAAAGACAAAGAGTTTATATGATACAGAAAAAAGCTTTTAATTTTTTATTTTACAAGTGAGATAATTACAGTGGATACATATATATACAAATTTAAGCCATGATACTGGCTTGCAAAGCGAGTGACTTTTCAATAGAATTACAATAGTTTTGATACTTGATGATTTCACTCAAGAGGTAAAGAGATTTGCTTTCCCAGTTGTTCATGGCAATAGCATTGAATCTAGAACCAGTAAAGTGAGATTCCATCTTGGACTTGATATCATGGTGTTGATCCAATTGATTGGTCAAGTCTTGAACATGTTTGTAAAGAGCTTGGACTTGAGCAGATTCTTCCAACATGCTGCTGGAGATAGGAGCAGCAGGTGATTGCCATTCATAGACCATGGCACATGAGACATTGGTTTCTAAACAGTTGACCCAACCATATTCCATGGATCCAACACCACCAATCAAAGGCTCTTTGCTCTCACGAGCAGCCCAATAGTTGCAGGTAGAAATCCATTCTTCAACTTGTTCATCGGATCCAACTTGGAATACATGGACTGCACCATTGGATTCTTGAAGAGTGAAAGCATGTTGACGCTGGCGGCTGTAACCAGAAGGAAGAGCACTAGCAAGAGCATGCTTGAGATCAATAGCACCCATGAGCTGAGCATGAGCCATCCAATTACCTCCACCAAGAGTGACAGACTCAGAAGTAGCGGTAGTATCAAGCTTATACATACGGAGCTGGCTACGTTCAATAACCATGAAACATTCTTTCCAGTCACGATGCTTGGCCTTTTGGGTCTTAGACTCTAAAAGATGCTTGCGAGCAACCATACCCTCCTTGTAGTAAGGTGCGTTGCTAGTATATGAGACAGGAAGATCAGTGCTTTGGAGATGAGAAGCAACAGCTTGATAGTGCATGATAGAAGAGACAGCTGATTTAACAGACTTGATAGACTCATCATCACGAACAACTTTCTTCTTGATGATAGAGCCAACACTGCGTCTAAAGGTAGCACCAACACTGTTGTGACGAACAGTAGTGACAGGAGAAGAAGGGTCGGTAATTTGACTACAACGAATGCTACTGTACATTTGCTTGAGCATGTTTTTGACCTCGATTTCCCAATACTTGGAGGCACTGGAAGATTGAGTAGAGGTACTGGTGTTGCTATTAGTACGTTGAAGAGGAATCCAAGCTTCAGAAGAGAGCATGTTATCTTGGATAGTGATAGCACTCATTGTGTTCTTGATGAATGCAGATTGAGACATCTTTTTGTAGTCACCTTGGGCAACATGAAGATCAGTGTTCAAGAGCAAGAGAGAATAAACAATGGCATGTACAACATCTAAAAAAGATCAGGTTAATAAAATGAGAATAAAAGATCAGCCATTTTAAAATATTTACCAATGGACCCAAAGATGCTTTGAGGGTTACACTCAAAATAGCGAGCAGAGAATTGAAGCAAGACACGATCAATTTGTTGTGTTTCACCTTTAAGGTAAAGCTTGGAGCACAAGGTACGGAAAGCTTGTTCGAGTTTCAAGCCTTTGAAGTCGAAATGAGACATATACGATTGAAGAATTGAGTTACTTTCTTCTTTACCGTTACCGATCCATTCAACGATTGAATCCAAGCTTTTGTAGACTGTGTTATCTTCTTCCCAGATACGCTGGGCTAATTCGATAGCATTAGAGGTGATTTCACTGTTATCGTACCAGACAATTTCAGTGACTCCAGCTTTAGATTCTAAGACGGTTTCGCTCTTTTTAACAACAGGAACGAATGTGAGCTTATATTGGGTTTGAGCTTCTGTTGATTTGGTACATGTTTTAGGTGATTTAGTGGCAAGTTTCTTAAAGAAACGGCTTAAAGACTTTGATTTAGATGATTTAATTTTTGGTGGTTCCTGTGTAAGAAAAGGAAGCGCAGCTTCCTTTTGTGCTGGTGTCAACTCTGCAGGAATAGTAATGGGTTTTGATGCAATTGGTGTAACAATTTTAGATTGGCTCATTGTGGTAGTATATGAACAAGGAAACACTGTTGATGATTTAATTGATAATGTCATGGGGAAATATATAGTGATAAATAAAATAGAAAATATGGTATTAATAATGTGCTGGATTTGACTAATCATAAGAAGTAGGCAAAAAAAGTTATTTAAAGATGTTTGAGAAATAATTTTTATTTTTTTGGGAAAAAGATGCTGCCTATTTATATGAATTTGGATTTTACCCCTACATCCCTTGAAGATCCACCCTTTTTTTTTTTATTGTTTTCCTTTTTGTGTTTGCCGATTTCTGTAGATTTGCAATACAACTTTAAAATAATTTCCGTATGGCTGGATAGCGCTTTCTTTGTAATAACTCTTGCTTTAAAGATACGAGTCTGTTGGGATTGCTTCACTGATAATCAGACTTTAACTTTTGTATGATATTGATGATGATGATGGAAAATAAGGCAGGTCTCCTGCCTAAAAAACAATTATACATATAGGGCTATTTATTTTTTTGGGGGGGGGGTTCTTGGGGGCGCCTCAGAAAACTTTCTTGGGGGATGGGGGGAGAGATGGTGGGGGATGCTTAGATGGTGGGAGATGTTTTTCCAAGTATTAAGAGTCTCTGCTATGATTTATTTGACACTTTTTTTGACAACGCTATCAATTAAACATGTTGTTTATAGTAAATAATACAATTGTAGTAGCACATTTAATATACGTTATATACAATATTAAGTTATTTGTCAATGATGGACGATATGTTATCGACAAGTCAGACTTTAGCATCAACATCATGTCTTTAGACAGAGACCAGAATCGGTAGATCATTATCGGTTTTTAAGCAGACCAAAGTCGATTGATTAACAGAACGTTAATTACAAGTTGTATACATCCAGCAAGACTATAATGTCTAAATGGGGGTATATAATATCAGCGCATTGGGGGATTAGTTTTGGGTTGATTCAGTCAGCTTTCAAGATCGAGATGAAGCAATTGAAAAGCGATGTTAGCAGCTACGGCCCACAATATTAATAGATGTGGGGGATGGGGGGTCCGCAGTGCCAAATCTTGTTATACCTTGTCAAATCGTAAAATGGGCTTTTATTTTCGATATCGATGAAAAAAGGAGTCCGCTTAAAGTCAAAGAAGGGGTTCAGCCATTATTTCCTGCACGCAAAAACCTTATTGTTTATGTAAGTGGCCGCGTCAGTTAGTTTTTGCAGTGGCTTCCGTACCCCTCAATTGACAATGTTTATAATTTTCCCTTTTTAGGAAAACGCAAAGACATGTTACAATGTTATTTCTGAGTTGGGGGATAGTAAGTCGACAAAGAGATATCATATTTTATTTTTCCTTATTGATATCATCTTTTATTAATCTCCTCTCTCCAATTATCACACATTTTTTTTAAAAAAAAATCAGAGTTAAACCACAACAACCATCTGAATTCAATTGATTTTTAAAATACAATATTCGCGACATGGAAATTGCCTCAGCTTTAAAATACTAATAATAGAATACAACGTACATTGGGGGTACCAGTAATACAAAACCGTATTTAGGCGTTGGGGGTCGCAAATTTACCATGTTTTAAATTGGGGGGTTGTATAAAAATTTGGGAGTGCATTATATTGCTGGTTAAGTGGCTTTAAGGGGTGATTCGTATTACACGATAAAAATTATTCAAATCCCTAGATACTAACTTATTAGCAGAAGCAAAAAATGTTCAAAATGACCAAATTAAAACGTTCCTTGCGAAGTAGTACGTCACGATGACTATGCTGTTGCCAGTTCCATCAGGAGATACTACATTCTTAACTACGAGATTTATCTTTATATTGAGCTAGATACTAATATGATGTACGCGACAGTTACACATACAGAAATGGAAGACTCAAAAAAATAACGTTCATAATATTTGTGAGCCGTTGAAAAAATAGTTCAATAATTCTAGAACTATCTTGCCGATCCAGATCGTTTAATTCGGATGAGAAAAAGGTTCACTAACAGGTCTAATTTTCAATTTATGCACCCAATGATGGTGATAATTGATTCGTATATCGGAAGTCAAAGCCGGTATGGACGATGTTCATATACGATTTAAGCCGTCACCTTTGGGACGGACAGACAGTTTCTAAATTTCGACAGAGCAGTTTAGACACGAGCTTTTATGTTCACCCATCGACAGTTATATAATAAGTTTTTCGATTTATACGAAATAGTATGTCAAATAACACGAGATTATTCAAAAGGCAATAAGACGATTACGATTTATGCAAAAATGATGTTCTTGCTACTTCAAAGATCAAATTCAGCTTTAAAAGATAACTTTAATGCCCATGGAAAATTTGACGATATAATTGATGTTATCTATCGGATAACTGTCTTGTAATAAACCGGATCAAGTATTATTTAAATGACATCCTCTGATGACTTACACAAAATCAATATAGTTACAGTCTACCACGATTTCTGAAAGTGAACCCGAAAGTTATAAGCTTGACATATAGAGTTACATCATTTGGAAATAAAGTTAGTTAAACTCATAATCATTTATTTAAAAATAATCTTATAAATGTACAAAGCAGTGATACAAAAGTGTATGGGTATTTCAGAAAGACGACGTTACGAGGACCAAACAATAGAGAGTAAGAGAGCTAAAAGTAAAACAGATTTATTCGAGATACAATTCATTAATAATGACAGATAAATAATGAACATAGATAAAAAGAAAGAACATTATTTATTAAATATTCTTTCGCATATAAAAACATAGCATCTAATGGCTATTTGGCTGTAAACATCTACACAAACGTGTGTTTATCACTAAACTGACGAACTTCATGGACGATCAATTGTGACTGAAAAAGTTGGTTAGCAGTCTTATCACGTGATGTCTAAATTTCCAGGAGAGCGGCCTCTTTTCCTGGTTGAACTTTCGAAATTTCATTTTCATTTCTGTATTTTTCTTTAACACGTAACGAATGACTACACTCCAAGTGTACGCACACAGACTTAGCGATCCAAACTTGGGTACAATAAAATAACAGACTTTTGTTCATCATGTGCTGGAAGCTAATCCCGTTCTTCTGTAGCACCTCAATTAAAAGTAACTATCGCCAATGAACTTAGAGATCAAGTTGAAGTATTTCAAACACTGGAATATTCTCGTTTCTTGGCAACTTTAATACCTGTATTTGTCGATATTTTACAAAATGGAAATCCAGTTTTCCAAAGCAACGTGCCTGAGCAAGTAAGTATACGGCAGAGTAAAAGTGTCAAAATAATGATAATGTGGATTAATCGAATAGTGATAGAAACTTCGCAACATCATATTAGAAATCATTTATCGACTACCGCAAACAGAAACATTAAAAGAATATGCGCCAGATCTGTGTCGAATGTTGATGCATCTTTTGAAAGTGGAAAATGAAGATAATGCTGTTGTATGCGTTAAAATCATTATTGATTTACACAGAACATTTCGACATTCCCTTGAAGATCAGGTACAACCATTTTTGGATACAGTGCAGGAAATATTCAGAAACATGGAACAAACAGTAAAAGATGTATTCGATGCTCCAAGCACTCCGATTGGATCTGCAACCGTAAGAAGCACAAAAAGAAAAAACAACGTCCATTGACAGTTTTGTTTTTTAGCCTGGCCTTAATCCATTATTAGCCACATCACCGAGACCTAATTCACCTGCTGCTGCCGAATTACCCGAATCACCTTCTAAACCTTTACCGAAAAGCATGTACAGTTTCAAGGTCTTGACAGAATGTCCTATCATTGTTGTTTTGCTGTTTCAATCTCATCGCAGATACGGGACTGAAAATATCATGAAATTCGTACCACTGATTTTTCAGGTACAGACTCAATTTGTTAAGTTATTTAATCAAAATTAATTTCATATAATCTCTAGACTTTAAGTTTGCAAGCTAAACCTCAGGCCGAGGCTGCTGCTGCTGCACAAGCTCGTGGCGAAGTGTTTGTAGGTGTTAGTCCAGAAATCCGTAACCGATCTGTATATAATGACTTCATCATCGCACAAGTCAAGACAATGTCATTTCTCGCTTATATTTTGCGTAGTTATGCAAACGCTTTACGACCATTTCAAAATCAGATTCCGGATTTTGTATTACGACTCTTACGAGAGTGTCCACCAGAATCTACAGCCACCAGAAAAGAGCTTTTAGTAGCAACAAGGCATATCCTCTCAACCGATTTCAGATCTTCTTTTGTTCCTAAAATTGATTTATTGTTGAATGAGAAAGTACTCATTGGTGCTGGAGTGACATCTCATGACACATTAAGGTTTGTTTTAATTAAACTTTTTCAATGGGGAAAGGCTGATTAGGTAAATGTGTAGACCATTAGCCTATAGCATGTTGGCAGATCTTGTTCACCATATTCGATCCGAATTATCCCCTGCTCAGCTCTATCGTACTGTATACATTTATTCACGTAATCTCCATGACGCTACACTTGCACCCAGTATACAGACAATGTGCGGAAAACTCTTACTCAACTTGATCGATTGTATTATTAAAATACCAAACAAAAAAGAAGGGCGTGATTTACTAATGCGTATTTTGGATGCCTTTGCATCCAAATTCTCTGCATTAAACATCCAATTCAAATCATGTTTAAAGCAACATATCAAAAAGAACAACAAAAATGTAGATAAAAATGAGATGGAAACTGATAAAATAGTCGATGACTTTGACTTTGACAAAGCAAGATCGATACACACGACCTCATTCACATTGGATCCTCAAGATGGTATCAAGGATGGTCGATTCCTTTTCAAAAACTTGGCGATAGGATTGAAACCATTATTTATCGGTTTACGCCATTGTAATCCGCCACCAACCACAGAAGTAAATCCACAAATATACATGCAATTTGCCCGAGCATTTTCCGATGATGATATGGATGTATTCATAAGATTATTTAGAGAAGGCTTAAAATGCTTCGAATACTACAATATTGATAATTACGGGCCTGATGGATGCTTACCAAACGAAAAAGTGAACACTGACGAAGTCAAAGAAACTTCAATCGGATCCAATGACTTATCACTCAAGATTGGTAGCCAGGTGGCGGCCGAAAAAGAGATATTGGACATGTTTGCTATAGTCTTTACATTCCTGGATCCATCCGTATTTCAAGAAATCTTTGTTTCCCAAATGAATTTCTTTTATGATCGTATGCTTATCAACACATCATTAGTACATGTTGCTCAATACTTTCTGGTCAACGAAATTTCATCACAAGGGTTTGCCGGCATTCTTTTTCGTTTCTTGATTGATCGCGTTGACCATTTAGGTGATGATGATATGCATTATTCTGCTGTCATGCTTCATTTGTTTCGTCTTGCTTTTATGGCTGTGAATCTCTTCCCTGATGCGAACGAATCCATCCTACAACCTTATCTTGGTAATCTTGTCACTTCCTGTTTTAAGTTATCGGCCAAAGCAAAAGAACCAGCGAACTATTTCTTGTTATTACGCGCACTTTTCAAGAGCATTGGTGGTGGACGTTATGAACTGTTGTACAAGGAAGTCTCCCCTTTACTGCAGGTCTTGCTCGAAAATTTGAATTCTTTGTTAACTTTAGCACACCGTACAGAAATGAGAAATCTTTTTGTTGAATTATGTCTGGCAGTGCCTGTTCGTTTGAGTACTTTGCTTCCATATTTACCTTATTTGATGAGGCCTTTGGTGATTGCCCTACAAGCCGATCATGACTTGGTTACACAAGGATTAAGAACAATGGAATTATGTAACGACAATTTGAACCCCGAATTTCTCGATCAAATTATGGCACCAGTCATGAAAGAATTGATGGATGCTTTATGGAGCCATCTTCGTCCTCTACCTTATAGTCAACAACACAGTCATGTTGCAATGAGAATTCTGGGTAAACTTGGCGGTCGAAATCGACGTATGCTTAACAGTCCACCAGATTTGGAATTTGAAAAAAAGGTTGAAAGTGGTGCATCTGTGGAGATTTTATTCGATGCCAACACTACGCCCCATAACTTACCATTGGATAAATGTTTGGAAATTGCATGCAATACATTGGAAAAATGTGATGTCGACATATTTTACAAAAGACATGCATTTGAGTTCCTTAAATCTAATATTGTAATGATGTTGGAATTAGAAGAAGGCCCCAACAATTTGGCACAATCCTTATATCAGCGTGTTAAAGATCACCTTTTGCAACATAAAAATGCCGACGTGGAAGAAAGCACAGCCGATGGTAAAGCTGCCGATAGTAACGCCAAAACAGATTCTAAATCTCCGGAAGAGACAACTGACAGTATGGATATTGACGACAAACCAACGGTCGAGGGTGAAAGTACAATAGTTGGTGACGCACTTGAAGAATCTGGTTTAAAACCTAAACGATTGACCGGAAATGGCTATACCAAATATCTCGCAAAACGTGTCGCTCAAGAAGACTCCCTGAGAACCATGATGGTTGCTATCATAAAGGCCTCGACTTTGACAGAGATAGCAGATGATGCATGGCCATTGTTTGAAAATATATGTCGCCATTTCATGTTGTTACATATTGGCGAAGCTATTGAAGCAAAAGAAACCGGAAACAAGCCTCTGTCAGATATGATGGATGAAAGGCTATCTGTTCAAAGCTTAAACACCACAATCTTGGTAGACGCTATTGTGAAGGTCATCTCCTCCGAGGATCCAAAGCTCAGAAAACGTGCCGAGGAGTCTATTCAACTTTGCTTCGAAACTGCAGTCAAGGTTTTGGGTAGCAAAGACTACGCATGGCAATTGCCTATATTTCGTGTTTTTGCCTCTCAATTTGGATCATGTTGTTACAAACAGGAGTGGTTTAATAAGCGCGGCGGATGTCTAGGAATTTCAATAATCAGTTCTCAGCTTGATATGGGAACTAAATGGATGCAAGAACATGAGCTCGATTTCATTCGCTCTTTGTTGTTTGTACTTAAAGACGCCTCACCCGAAATGGCCAATGTAAATACTGCTGAAGCAACACAAACTTTATCCCACGTCTTAAAGGTATGTAATCGTCCTGAGAATGATGAATCACAAGAAGCCCAGCAAAAGTTTCAAAATTTGATCGCTTTACTTTTGAGTGAACTATCCAACTCAAATAGCGCTGTGCGTGAAACAATTCAATCATCTTTTCAATTATTGGCGGATCTTACTGGAAATGAGGTTACTGAACTGTTGGCTCCCGTTAGAGAGCGTTTGGTTGCTCCTATTTTTGCAAAACCTCTTCGTGCACTTCCTTTCGCCATGCAAATTGGTCATATAGATGCAATTACTTATTGCCTCACGCTTAGACCCCCTTTCTTAGAGTTCAATGATGAATTGATTCGATTGCTTCATGAAGCTTTGGCTCTTGCTGATGCTGAAGATCAGGCTCTGGTCAGCCGTAGCTCTCAATATAAAAACGCTACCTCTTTGATGAACCTTCGCATCGTTTGTATCAAGCTTTTGTCTGCTGCCATGGCATGCACAGACTTTTCTAATCAACGTCAATCTCATACCCGTGCTCGCATTATCCAAGTATTTTTCAAATCACTCTATTCCAAGGCACCCGAAGTGGTAGAAGCAGCACATCGCGGATTAAAACAAGTGCTAGCCCAACAACATAAATTACCCAAAGAGCTACTCCAACAAGGTCTTCGACCCATTTTGACTACATTATCTAACCACAAGACCCTAAGTGTTGCTGGTCTTGAAGGACTTGCCCGTTTGTTAGAATTATTGACGAATTATTTCAAGGTTGAAATTGGTAAAAAGTTGTTAGATCATCTAAAACAATGGGCTGAGCCCAAGGTGCTCCAAGAGGCTGCTGGAAGATCGTTGAGTGAAAATCACGAGGTCAAAATCATTGTGGCCATTTTAAACATCTTCCATTTATTACCTGCTGCAGCACATATATTTTTGGACGATCTTGTTACTGTTGTTCTTGAAATGGAATCCCATTTGCGTAGATCAATTTCTAGTCCGTTTAGACCCAATCTGATTAAATACCTAAACCGTTATCCAGCAGAAACCGTCGCTTATTTTTACGAACGTCTAGATCAATCTGGTCACAGTAGCTTATTTATTGATATCCTTAATACAGAAAACGCTGTTCAAATTCGTGATGAAGTAGCCAAGTCACCCAAGGAATTGATTGAAAAGACGTTTAACGTTGCGGATAATCAAGCTTTACATTATCAAGGTGTTCTGATTGTCCGTGAAATTGTTGGCTATGATTCAAACTGGTTGGTTGGCCAACCTGATGTTCTCGAATCCCTCTTATCCTTGTGGAGATCACCTACAAGGTTTGAAACAATGAAGAAAGATGACGATCAAGGTTTGCAAGTGACCCATGAATCGTTGTATATTTCCCAAATTTTTATATCTTATCTTCGTGAGAACCCGGATAACATTGAGGTAATTTTTGAAGTTGTGGCACTCTTTGGACAAGAATCTGTTATGGACCTTTCGTACCTTCGCGAATTCTTCTTAAATGATATCGCTTTGAATTATACGGCTAAAAGAAAGCGTCTTATCATTGAAAAGTTCCTTCAGCAATTTAACGATTCTTCTATTTCGTCCTATTTAAGGATGATGACACTTCGCCATTTCATTAACCCCGCTTTGTTGGTATCGATCACGCAAAAGGATGGTGATTATGCAGAGATCCTGGACCCAAATATCATGGAGCAACTGGATAATAAGATTTGGGCTCATCTTGGCTCCGACCCTGCCGAAGAGGATCAATATGCTGAAGATTCGCTACGTATTGAACTGCTTCAACTCACAGCTATGATTGTTCAATATGCGCCTCAACTTTTAACTGATTTAAGAAAGGAGATTATCAAATTTGGTTGGAATTATCTTCGACTCGAAGATGCTACCTGTAAACAAGCCGCTTATGTCTTGATAGCTCGATTTATCACTGCCTTTGATACACCCAGTAAGATTGTCATTCAAATTTACGCTGCACTTTTACGTGCTCATTTATCTGAAGCCCGTATTTTGGTGAAACAAGGCTTAGATATAATTGCACCTGTACTTCCTAAACGTGTACCTGTTACTGGCTCTGAAAGGGTGCCCACTTGGGTCCGTTTGACTCGTAAAGTCGTTGTTGAAGATACACACAGTATCTCTCAAATGGTTAATGTATACCAGCTCTTAGTACGTCAACCCGACCTATTTTACGATTATCGAGAACACTTTTTACCTCAAATCGTCAACGCTTTGCCTAAGCTTGGTTTGCTTCAAAACGCTACACCCGAAAACAAATTATTGACAGTGGAATTAACAGAATTAATATTCAAGTGGGAACAAACACGCTTGAAAAACCAACCTGTAAAGGAAGACGAAAGCCTTTCTCCTCCTGCCAAGAGGCCATCTGATGCCACTCCTGAAAATCCCAAGAAAAGGGCAAAGGCCGAGGGTACGGACGGTGAAGTCAAGGGATCTCCTGCTACAGCAGAGTCTGGCAAAGAATTTGTACCCGCCCTAACTTTGCGGGAAAACACTATTGGATATCTCGTCCGTCTTGCTTGCAGCGTCTACAATCCTTCTGATTTGATCCAAAGAAGACTTGTTCAACGTATTTTAGACCTTATCAAAAGATTTCTCGATCCTGGAATCTGGCCTGATGTACATGTCAAATTTGCCCATTTGGAACGCACTTTGACTGTAAAGGAGATGAGCGAAATTCTTATTTCAAGCGTATGTAGTGCACTGGAGATATTGAATATAGATATTGCACATAAGCCTTCTGAATGGTTTATTGTCAACATGAATCAGCTCTTCCGTCTTTTGGAAACCAGCATCAAGTCAGATAATATCCGCATTCATACCGCTCTTCAGCCTGTCTTGTCGCATATTTTCCATGCTATTCAACAAACAACAAACTCAGATAATAGAGAAGAAATTCAGCATCCCGATGTCGCTGCTTTTGTATCTCTCATTGACTCTACAATCACTGACGGTATGGCTAGTATGAATAACATCTATGCTGTATTGAAATTATTGCAGGCTGCAAGCAGTAGCAGAAGCGAGCAACTAGATCCATTTGTGCCTGGTATTGTTAAGGTGTTGCAAAAACTTACCAAAGAACACATAAGTATTGCTGTTGTGGCGACCTCTGGACATGATTCACAAGTAAATCTCTTGATTCTCGGCTTAAATCTTTTGAAGAAGAGAATATCGCACTTGGGAGATCAACGTCGTTGGTTCTTAACCTGTCTAATTCAACTAATTGAAAAGTCGCCAGATGTACAATTATTGCATGCCATTTTAGACATGCTCACAGAATGGACTTTAGGAAAGACAGAAACCTTCCCAACCGTTAAAGAGAAAGCTGGTCTTTTGGTCAAAATGATGACACTTGAAAATAGAAATAATGCGCGTCTTACTGAAGATTTTCTTGATTTGGTCCTCAAGATTTACAGTAACCCCTCTTTTGCTCGATCAGAACTGACGGTTCGCCTCGAACAAGCATTTTTGATGGGTACACGATCTGAGAATCCCCAAATCCGTAGCCAGTTTATGCGTGTTTTTGATCGTAGTATTAGTCGAACTTTATATACTCGTCTTAATTATATTATGGGTGTTCAAAATTGGGACTCTCTCTCGAATACTTTCTGGATTCATCAAGCCTTAGATATGTTGCTTGGGGCAGTCAAAGTTAATCCCCAAACAACCGCACCACATACACTTAGAATCAAATCAATTAAATCTATTGGTAACCAACAGTTGGAGCCAACTGAGATAGATGTCCCAATTGAACTTACTGAAGTTATCCAAACCCACCAGGCATTTTTGAAAGATTTACAAGAATTGGACATCAACAACTCAATTACTAATGCACGATATCTTCAATATTTGGACGATGATGCTGCTCTTAAGCTGTGGGTTGATCTCTTTCCCATGTGCTGGTCTGTATTATCTAGTGCCGAGAAGCGTGACATGGACAAAGTTATGATTAATTTGCTTGCCAAAGACTACCACAACAAACAAGCCGAATTACGCCCAAACGTAATCCAAGCCTTATTAACAGGTATTGCTAAAACAGCTGATGAGATACGACTCCCTCCTCATTTAGTCAAATATCTCGGTAAGACACACAATGCCTGGCACACATCAATTGAAATTTTACAACGATCTGCAATGAACGGTCGTATCGTCGATTCATCAAAAGAAGAACAAAATAACCGAGAACGTGTTCTGGACTCTCTAGCTGATTTGTATGCTAGTCTAGATGAGAATGACATGTTTTATGGTCTATGGAGACGCCGCAGCATTTATGCTGAAACTAATATGGCTGTATCCTGCGAGCAGAATGGTATGTGGTCTGAGGCACAGACGATGTTTGAAAATGCCCAATTAAAGGCTCGCAACGGCGTACTCTCTTTTTCTGAATCTGAATACAATCTTTGGGAAGATCACTGGGTTGCTTGCTCTCAAAAGCTACAGCAATGGGATATTCTTGCTGACCTTGCTAAACATGACGGCAACACCAATCTATTGTTGGATTGTGCTTGGAGATTGTCAGATTGGGCCGCTGAACGTGAAGGATTGGAGCAATATGTGGTGCAAGTATCTGAAACACCTACACCTCGTCTCAAGGCTTTTGAGGCTTTTTTGGCATTGATAAAGTCTCAGACTACAGATGACCGCCTCGTCGAGTTCACGCGCATTTGTGAAGAAGGTGTACAATTATCGCTTCAAAAATGGTATGCTTTGCCTCATATTGTGTCCCAGAGTCATTTACCACTGTTACACATATTCCAACAATATCTTGAATTACATGAAGCAAGTCAAATTTTCAACAGTTTAGTTAGTACGAATGCTCAAAACCTCGAACAGCGATCCAGTGAAATTCGCAGTATTTTGGGTACATGGCGGGAACGTTTGCCGAATACCTGGGACGATATTAATATGTGGAGTGATACAGTTGCATGGCGTCAACATGTATTCAGTGCTATCAACCGCACTTACTTACCTCTAATTCCCATGCTTCCGAATCAAATAACACCCGGAAATCCTCAAAGTGCTAACTCATTTGCTTACCGTGGATATCATGAAACAGCCTGGATTATCAACCGTTTTGCTCATGTTGCTAGAAAGCACCATTTGAATGAAGTCTGTCTCAATTACTTGACAAAAATATATACATTACCTAACATTGAAATTAACGAAGCATTTTTGAAATTGCGCGAGCAAGCTAAATGTTACTATCAAGAAACGAGCGAACTTACCGCTGGGTTAGATGTGATTACCAATACTAATTTGTCGTACTTTAGTCTTCAACAAAAAGCCGAATTTTTCACATTGAAAGGTCAATTTCTTGCAAAGCTCAATCAATGTAATGAGGCTAATGAAGCCTTTGTAAATGCTGTTCAAATTGATTTATCGTTACCAAGAGCCTGGGCAGAATGGGGTAGATACAATGATGGGCGATTCAAAGAACTGCCAACCGATTTAAGCTGGGCCAACAACGCAGTTAGTTGCTACTTACAGGCTGCTGGAATTTATAAAAACTCAAAGGCGAGAAAATATCTCTTGCGAGTCCTCTGGCTTCTTAGTTTGGATGATCAAGTTGGCACTATATCTCGTGCTTTTGAAGGTTATAAAGGTGAATGGCCTGTTTGGTATTGGATTACATTTATCCCCCAACTTTTGATGGGTTTACAGCAAAGAGAAGCGAAACATGCTCGGGCTATTCTTATTCGCATTGCTAAACAATACCCTCAAGCGTTACATTTCCAACTTCGGACTGCAAAAGAAGATATGTTAAAACGAATCAATCCTGCCAGTACAGCTGATCCCAAGAAAACGGATAACGCTGTAACTATTTCTGGCGATAGTTCGACTCCTGCCGTTCCATCTGGTAAAAATGAGGAAAATATTACACATAATGAAAATTATCTAACTAACAAAAATATAAAAGAGGAAAAAGCAAAGAACGAAGCTAAAGATGACTCTATGGATATTGATACTGGCTCAAATGAAAAGATTAACGGAGCTGAATCTAAGGTTCAGGATAAAAATGAAAATGCAACTGATGTACCCATCAAGATAGAGGGAAATCTGAATACGAACAACCCTAAGGGAATCAACCTCAATAATACAGATGATGTCAAGACCGAAGTCGATACCAAATCCTCCGAAGACGCATCTTCTGCTAAGCCTAAGCCTCCTCCTCCTGTGACAACTGGTGCTGTTATGGCTGCTGCTACGGCTGATTTCAAGGGAGCCGGAACACCTGGTACACCTACAGGGACCGTAGCGCATCCTTTGGATGAAATAATGGCAATGTTAAAGACTGGATATCCATTGCTTGCTTTATCCATGGAAACCATGGTCGATCAAATACAGTTGAAGTTCAAACCTCAAGCGGACGAAGATATGTACCGCCTTGTTGTAGCTTTATATAATGAAGGAGCGCAAGTAAGTTTTAAATGGCATTAAATATAGTTTTACTGACGTTTTGTTTTTAAAATTAGCAATTACTATCCAGATTAATGAGCCCGACAGACACACTTCAATTGACTCATGCAACTATTGGAAATATTGCTCGATTTGCCGATAGCTTATATCCAGGACACATGAAAACAGCATTTGTGCATGACTTTGCCACTACAAAACTCAATTTGGAAGAATACGTGGCCAAATTGAGGTTGTGGAGAGACAAGTTTGAGGCTATGCTGGATGCTAGACCCCGTAAACAGAAACTCGAAGCATGTAGTCACTACTTGGTAGAATTCCAGCACCAAAAGTTCGATGATGTAGAAATTCCTGGACAGTACTTATTGCTTAATGATAATGCTAACGACTTTCTACGCATTGATCGTTTCTTACCTGAAGTAGAGGTTATCCGCAGTTATGGAAATTGCTTCCGTAGATTAACAATCCGAGGACATGATGGCAGTCTTCATCCGTTCGTAATCCAGAACCCTGCTGCTCGACAATTCCGCCGTGAAGAAAGATTAATGCAGTTGTTCCGAATTTTAAATAGTGTTTTGGAACGCAAAAAGGAAAGCCGTATGCGTAATCTTCGTTTCCATTTACCTGCAATTGTACCTTTGGCGCCCAATGTCCGTATGGTTCAGGATGATCCCTCGTATTGCACATTGTATGATATCTATGAAGACCATTGTGATAATTCCAATATTCATAAGGACGACCCTCTTGCGTTCTTTGTTGAGAAATTGAAGAATAGTGTAAGCAAGAACACAGATGTAAGTATCATCAAGACAGAACACGAGAATCAAATCTAATAATCCATTTAGGTCATGAACTTGAAGACCGAACTGCTGAATCTTCGCATGGAAATTAATGAAGAAATTGCAAAAAAATTGGTTCCTTCTAACATCTTAAGCAAGGTATGACAGGAATTTAATAATGTAGACACATTAACTAAATACTGCTTATAGTATATGTTACGTACCCTTGGTTCATACACAGATTACTGGATGCATCGTAAACAATTTATCGCCCAATATGCAACTGCTACATTTATGTCATATCTGTTCAGTGTTGGCCATCGTACCCCTCATAAGATTACTCTCTCTCGCAAAAATGGTAATATCTGGATGACTGAATTATTACCTGGTAAGTTTGAATAGCTTTTGTGAAGTTTTTCGTAACTAATGTGCTTTGGAAAATAGGATGGAACCAATCGACACCTTTACTTGGTAACGGAGAATCGGTTCCGTTTAGATTCACACCCAACATTCAAGAGTATATTACTCCTGTGGGTATCGAAGGTCTATTTACAAGTTGTTTACTGGCTACTGCTCGTAGTCTAACGGAGCCAGAACTTGAATTAGATCAATACCTCAGTCTTTTCATACGCGATGAATTAATAACATGGCATATGTCTAATCATCGGTCTGTTACAGATGTTCAATTCCGCGACAGAGTACAAACAAATGTGCTTCAAGTAATGACAAAGGCTCAATTCTTATCTTGCAAAACAGATCGTGAAAATGTAAGTATAATATAATTTTTAAGTGTTAATTATAGCCACTAACAAGTTTTACTACTTGAAAGACCAATACAGATAAACCTGTGAGTCAAAACGTGATTGATCTTATTTCTCAAGCAAGTAATCCTCAAAAAATGGCACAAATGGAATGTACTTGGATGCCTTGGTTGTAACTAGTTTTACTTTAAAAACTATATTACTAATAAAATATTATCAATAACAAGCGTTCTTAATCTTATGACCGTGTAAATAAACCAGATGGAGATGTATCCGGATCTAATTCCAAATTCAGTTAACAGTAAAAAGCTTGTAAGTGGACTTACCTCGATGGGACTACAGTTTCATGGGAAATTTTTATGCAAAAAGCCTTGTTTAATATATTACGTGAAACTAGACCTATCCCCCTCAAACATTTCTACGCTATCTAATCATCTATAAGTATATCTCAAACTTTTACGGCGCTTCATCCTCACTTACTTTGAACATGCATAGACCATCACCGCAATTAATCTTTATTTTTAATTGCCCGACACCTTAAAATGAAACATAAAAAAAAAGGCCAATTAAAATAATTGCATGAGATTTCCTGCACTAATTTTTAGAGTATATAAGCATACCCAAGAGTTATGAATCGACAAATTTTAATTTTCAACTTCGAATATCCAAAAATATGTCTCCATTAAGTCAATTCTTCAAGCAATCCCTCCGCGAGCCCGAAATCGTTCCACTCATGGCAATCTTAGGAGTCGCCTTCGCCAGTGCTGGCTATGTCGGCCTCCATCAAGCAAAAGCACCCGATGTTGTTTGGAACCACAAGCAAAATCCTGAACCTTGGCAACAAGTCAAACAGGGTGATCAAGTAAAATTGGCTGCCTTCAACCAGAAATACGATGAAAAATTCACTCGTAAAGAATGGTAATATCACAACAGTTTTTCAGTTGTGTTACTGTCCATAATGTATATAATTCCCTCTGTAAATAAATTTTTTTCTTTTCTAAAAACTTAATCGCTTGACTTTTTCAACCATACATGTACAGCGTCTAACAAAATGTGACGTATAAGATTATATAGCATGAAACAACCCCCATTAGCGCTTGAAACTTGTACTTAAATAACATATTCACTTAAAGTAGTTACTGAAATATTTCAGTGGAAAAAGGGATCTTCTATGTAAGTACGGATTTTTCGAATATACCGTTATCCGGAAGATCAGATGAGAGCATGGATTAAAACAATGTATCAGTTCTAAATGAACTTTAAAGTAGATCATAAACTGGATGTGTGGTGGATATATATGTTACAGACAAGTTTCATAATTTTCTATATTTTAAGACGTACCCTCTTTTAGATGTAGGTACATGCAAAATACAACTTTCAAAGAACTAAACATAATTTATGACATTTCAGCCTGTTTTAAGTAGTATTGGTAGTTTTATTTATAAACTTAAAATGGTAGTAAGTGTTCTTGTTTATCTTAATGGCTGAATGCCACTTAAGATGCTATAATTTCCAAGTGGGGCCTGCGTTTCAGCGACATTAACAGGGGCAACATGAGAGTCATGTCCATGGTGGGTACCGGTATGGGCATGTTCTTCAGCTTTATGGGACTTTTCTGCGGCATGATCAGTCTTGTCTTTGGGTTGCTCGTTGGCAATTTGATTATTGGGAATATCAGATGGATTGGACATGTTTGTATAGATGATAAACAACGAATCTGAAAAATGAAATTGCTTTTATACAGAAAAATCAATATACGTCATATCCCCTTTCACAAAATTTTCGTCATATAATTTATTACACAAAATACATCATAACCGGGCAGGTGATGGTTTGAGCAGCATCCAACTTGGAAAACCAATAAAATCCACCTCATTGTTGCAAAACGTCGTGCAACCATAACCCAGAATAGTCATTTTTTCCTTTTATGTATCTATACCTTTTCATGCTTTTTCTCTTCCTTCTTGCATGAATCTAGAATCGAGAACACGTAAGTCTGTCTACACATAAAAAAAAAAATAGATTGACCTTGTAACGAATTATCTGACGCGGTGTTAACGTTTCGTTGCCACTGACGTATTTTCTTAAATAATATCAAATGTGTGCTCGGTATGACAGCGTACCCGATAAAAATGCGCGTGTGAAACGTAACAGTCATATAAAATTGTGATTTTTTTATGAAATGTGATCATTACATGAAATCAATAATGTGGCGCAACAAAATAGTTTAGCTGCTTCTAGATCCATAAAATACTATAGTTTTTGCAGGATGTAGTGCTCTTTTTGTCTGTAAATGCAAAAAGACGAAGGATAGCTCGAGCTTGTAGAATATCAAATTATTTATTGAATTAGTCCTAATACAATCCATTGACATTTTACCCACTTGCACGTCATACCCAACTAGTACAAACAATATATTCAAAACGACACTTGAGTTGCAAAAAAATTAAATCGGCAATAAAGAGCATAGATACTAAAAACAAAGAGGGAATTCTTAGTTAGAGCGTGTAGTTTTGATTTCACGTCAATTGTGTATACAAAAAAGGGGGCTTCTTTATCCCAAGCAATTTGCATAACCTATTTTTTGTACTCTAGGTATATATTGGCTTTGTGTCTTAACTTTAGCTTTTAACGCATTTGTCTCTAAAACCTGGATACAATTGTTTATCAGTTTAGAATGTGATATGAATTATATTGGATAACACAATACATGGGCTTAAGGGGTAACCACAGGTCAACAAACGATGCAGAATGTTTGATCCAGCTTTTACAGTCTGGTAGAGACACTCATTACTTAAAGAAGTTTATGCATGATTACAATGTGGTTTCTCTAGACTGACAAGAAGGTGAAGTCGATCTGTTTGTTTATAGAGCGAGGAAAATTTTTTATTGCCTTTTTTTTCTTCTTCTCTTCTTGTTCATGCCAAAAGTCTTCATTGGGAGTAAATTCTTAGTGATTGCACTTGAAGTTACACGGATCCACTTGCCCTCTATGGTGATCGCTTCGTTCAGGTATCTTGTTATCATGTGCCAATAGGGGTGACTTCCGAAAATTCCAGGTTTCCCAACTTTTGCTGGGATACTGGACGCTGACGATTAATTATGGGTAACATCACCGCCTCCATTCGGTATATGTAGCTAACGGTCTGGGGATACTTTATGAGCTGTTGAAGGTGAATTCAACCTCACTTTTACCGTAAAGAGCATATTTCGAGCACCCTAGCTTAAGAGTGGGAGTTGCCTTGTTGATTCAAAGCAACTCCACTTGCCGGTCGCACACTCCTGAGTTTGGAAGAAACGGGTTCCTCGTCGGGTTAGTCGATCATTAGTTTGGGATTAATTAAAGTTTTAAAGGGTGGAAAGATCACAAATTGAAAACACGGTGTCTCGACTTCTTTGTAGTAATTTACAAGAGTTTCTTTTGAGAACTATCGAGACTTAAAAACAAAAAGCGGGCGAGTGCACAAGAAGACTGACTTCCTTGCAGTTGCATTTGGCCAGTTTTATTTACTGAAACCGACTAGCGAGTCCCCACCTTTTTATAATAATAAAAACCTCAATGCTTCTTTTGATATTTGTCTTAATGTAAACGTCCGGTATTTCATGTGAAGGAGAAGATAGTCTCATTGACTCCACAACTTTCTGAGTGCAGGATTCTGCCTCTGAATAAGATTTATTGTGAACATACCCTTTTGTCGTGCTGTAAAAACTGATAAACATGACATTATCTTTGTTTAGAATCAACGGCCTATGAATACGGCTGAAACGACCATAATAAGGTTGTGAGAGAGTTATGAACATCTCTCCTTCTCATTTCTTTTAAACGTTGTACATAATGAGGTTAATTTTGGAAGAGAAGCATAAGTTCCAAAAACTTCTACTCAATTTGACGGCGAGTTTTTTTCAGCGTAGATAGGAATCGAGTTGAAGATATGGTTGCTATGGCTGGGTCAAATCGTACAAAGTATGGCTTCCACTATCTGGCCAAATGAACAGTTAATAATAGTTAAAAATATAGCTTAAATTCTGCATCTATAACTTATTTCTGAAGATGTGTGTTGTCATGTATCGAAGTAGCTGTATGAATGTGGATAAATAATATTCACATAGGTCATATTCGGGAGCAGGAAACAAAATGGTGCTCTTTCGATGAGTGAGTGTACAGAGAGTATGTTTAGCCAGGTAATAAAAACTTGGACAGCTTGAACTGAACAAATGACTGAACTTCTTTATTCTTTTCATATGACAAAGTATATGGAAGATGGTTTGACAGAAGGCGAGATTTTGCCAGAAAGTTAAATTTACTGATTTAAAGTCAGGCCCAAATGTTTTAACGATCATTCTTCTTCTTCTTGATAATGTTTAAAAATACATTTCAGGTAATTGAAACAAAATGATTAGTGCATGTTCAACTTGATTACCAACGATGCCCAGTCAGGTTTCCTTTCTATTTTATACAGTCTAGGGTAAAGAGAAGAGTGCGTGAAAAAAAAAAAATGGTCAATCTAAAAATGCCTTAGAAATGAACCTTTACAGCTTTGGGCTAGTCATGTACCCGATCAGGAGGAAGGCGAAGCTCATGTAGAAACAGTAGCTGACGATCTTATAAGTTCTACTGTCATTGAACTTGTTTCGACTAATCTTTCAAATACATATATAACCTGTCCAGCGCAAGCGAACCGCACGCTTGGTATAAAACTTCCTTTTTTGGTGTTAATAGTGAAGAATTTAAACAAGTATTTTTCTTTTGAAGTGGAAGTTCTGGATGATAAGAACGAAAAGAAAAGGTTTAGAGCATCGAATTATCAGGTATGTAAATCGAGGCAGATAGTGTTACTATTGTCATTTGACAGTTTGCTTCTAGATGACCACACGAGTTAAACCTTATATCACTACAATGCCAATGCGACTGGATTCAGGATGGAATCAAATTGTGCTTAATCTGGCTGACTATGTTAAGAGAGGATATGGTACAAATTACAGTGAAACGTGTCGTGTTACTGTTCATGCGAATTGCAGAATACGTAGAGTTTATTTTACAGACAGATTGTATAGTGAAGATGAGTTACCTGCCGAATTCAAATTATTTTTACCGGTAAGTGTTTATTACGGTTTTAGCTCTGTAATAGTTATTAACATCTTGGATTAAGATTGACAAGGTTTAAAATAACCTGGGAAAAAGAACTCAATTTCTTGCTTGGCTGATGTATCTGAATCTGAATAGACGTTTTTTTTTTTAATAAAAGGGAAACCCGTTTACATTAGATTTGATGGATTACCTGATCCGTGAAATGAATTTCTTGTATCGGTCAGTCCATATAGTGCTCTCAATGTCTCTGGCTGGTTGATCCGTGCGCTTTAGTAGTGGGTACATTAGCATCCCATATATACTTTTTTGCTTCTTTTCTTACCGAACAGGATGTGTAGGACCAATAAGTGCACGCCAATCTTTAATAGCATTGGGAGAAGACAAAATCAAGGCTTTAAAGGGTCCGCTTGTCATATATCCACATAATCGATGGTAGAAAAATTTGCCTTCATGTTCTGCATAAAATTGTCCTGCTTCCTTTTCGGTCCAAAGTACATTACGTTCCTCAAGAATCTCTAAATCTTTGTTTAAAATGGCCTTTCTGATCTTTGGTGGTAATGCTGCATTAGCACAAATGTCTGGTTTCAAAAGCGCCAAGGTGATTTGCTTTGGTTTTAAAAGGTTTTTTACAGACATTTTTATAGTGTTGGAGAAGAAAAGAAATGTTTAAACAAGGGGACTTTTTTTTTTTTAATTCTACCCGGTGCTTAAAAATATCACTACAATATAAATGAAAACTTTATGTAAAAAAAAAAAAATAGAGCTTTTAAGATCTACGGAAAGTTCTTCCACTATAAAAATGACAGGTTAATGCACATTGATCAAAGTATGTTGATAATTAACTTACCTTGCTGTCTTCCTTTCAGCGTTTGTAATCTCTGGTTTAGCTCTGTTTAAGACCTTCAAGAAATCACGAACACGAGCTCTCATACGTGTGTGCATATATGCCTTTGAACATTTAATGTGATAATGAAGATAATCACGGAAAATTTGAATACGAGAAATAGTTTCCTCACGCACATCACCAGTAGTGAAATGGTTAGGGAATAAGACTATTGATTGGGGTTGATATCTGTTTCTTTTTCATTCCTATTGTCACTTACCAAATGTAACATAACTGACATCGTCGCTGTCCTTCAAATTTAAATGGCGAAGTTCCAATGGAGGTTCACGGATAGAATACAAGACTTGAGGGGCATTTTGTAAAGCAGGTACACGACGACGAGCATCAACAAATTCCTAATAGTTTATATAAGCCTCTCCGGCATATATATACACACACGCACATGCACACAGAATATTTATATTACCTGCAAAAATACTTTTCCGAAAATCTTGTCCGTCTCATCCTTAAAAGTTGTACTGAAGATAACTGTAATACGATCAAAGTTGGATTTGACATAGATGGCTTCTTCTTGACGATAATGAACGGCCATCAACTCTGATTTGATTTCAGTTTTTTGTTCCTTTTCGCATTGTTCCTGTTCTTGGAACGCTATTTCAAAAGGAGCAGCCAACAAATTACGCTTTAAAAGAGAAACTTTGCGCACAAGCTCATCCTTAGCCTCTGAATATATAAAGCATTAGCCAATAATCTATAAGCGCTATTCGTCATTTTACCAGCATCTGCAGGCAATTGTTCCAAATCAATGGCAAGAGTGACATCATAACCTTGTTCAGGCGAATCTAAAAGTAAGGTGCCATACTCGCGTTGTAAAACTTCTTTGGCACCATGACCAAAGAGTTCAGCAGCACAAGCCCAGCCAAGAGAGATGTGAATGACATTGTTGGACTCTGGTGTGCTAATATGATATGTAACACCATCGAAATCAGCTACAGTCATATCAACGGGCTCGACCTTCTCGCTATCATATTTCTGTTAGAAGGGATGGAAATGTTGTTTATCTTCAGGAACTTACCCTTTGAGTCTGGCATCTAAAGTGTTCTTGATGATGACGTTGTGGTAATCTAACAAAATCATGGTGTGTTTGCTGTGTGAATAATAGGAAAAAGCAAAAGCATTTTTTACTTCTATGAGGATTACAAAATGTGCCCGGAATTTCAATTTCGCAGTCTACGTCATTTGAATTTTTTGTAACACTTCTTTCTGCATCAGTTTGAATACTTTATAAAAGTTTCTAACTAGATATAAGAGTTTTGTTATGCTCTCTCACTTCAAATTTTAGTTATGGTTTTATGATAAATATGACATGTTCTATAAGCAGCCAAAACAAGTTATTTTAATCCCATGCGCTTCACTTTATTAGATTTGCATTACTATAAAGTTAAAACATCGATTTGTAAACTTACTACTACCCAGGCCAATAATTCATTAATTCAATCAGCCTTAATGTTTTTATGCAACAGAAAAATAGTATATTTAATTAATCGTTCGTCGGTGACACGAACTTGTATACATAAAAATTTAAAATTAGTTATCTATTGCCAATTCATACATCTACATGTCGCTGTATTATATCTTGGCAGAAATTAGCAGCATCATTGGTCTTCGGAGTTCATTAGGCATATGTTGAATCATGTCGTCTTGAGGAAGGGGTTCGGTGACTTGAGTAATCGTAAATCCATACTTGATGAGAGTATTGATATAAGTGCTCATTGTCTTATGATACTTGAACACATCTGTCCCCAAGAAATTAGCTTTTCTTATTCCCTCTGAGAAATAGTTATCCACGGGCCAATGTAAAGGTTCGCCCTTTTCATTATAATACCAATCACCTGTGCCATAAGATGTAAAAATAGGATTTTCTACTGAGAATACAAAATCTCCACCACCATCCAAAAGCTTCTTCACCTTCAAGACGATATCATCAAAACTAGCTACGTAATGAAAAGCCAAAGAGCTTATGACAACATCAAATGAACCGATGGGATAATCAATTTCTTCTATGCGTTCGACTGTATACTTTATAATAGGTGAATCGGTTCTTGACCTAGCTTCTGAGACCATTTTTACCGAGGAGTCAACACCGAGTACACTGGCTGCACCATGTTCTGCAGCATAAATACAATGCCACCCATAACCACATCCCATATCTAAAACCCTTTTGTCATTGAAATCCGGCAACATTTTTTTTAATTCATGCCATTCACCAGCTTTACTAAGACCAAATTTGGAACGAGCCATTTGGCTATACTTTTCAAAAAACTCGGGATTATCGTATTCATTCATTTTCTTTTTTCGTATCTAAGAGAGGTAAAGAAGGAAGGAAAGAGAATAGATGTAAATGATTGTTTTACTGCGGAGATGGCGCAATTCCTTAAACGCGGTTTAAATTCTTACAAAACGCTTTGTACAGAATTTAGCGTTATTCCGGTACCTCATTCACATTATGAACACGGCTGTAGTATCTTTGAAAAGACAATTACGTAAAGACATGGCTTCTCGCTTGGAGAAATTAACCTCTGCAGAATTGGCAAAGCAATGTATGTCAAGCAATTCAGAAACTTGAACATTCCATAATTAATTTTTAAAATAGCTGATCAACTGTTTGAGAAGTTGCAACAACTCGAAGAATACAAGTCTAGTAAAAATATCAGTATTTACATAAGCATGCCTACCTGCGAAATCATGACCAGCAAAATTATCTATCAGTTGCTTAATTCTGGTATGTGTATAACAACATATGACTCACGTATTTACTAAAAAGAAAAAAAAAAAATCTTCATCAGACAAAAATTGTTTTATTCCACGCTGCACAAAAAATAATATGGATATGCTAAAGATTACTAGTATCGATGATTTTGAATCACTTCCTATTAATAAATGGAATATCCCAGAACCACCTTTGGACCAAGTCAGGGAGAACGGTAACTCAATTATGCATACTGTTATATTAACGATATATTCATATGCATACGATAGCGCTCAGCAATGATGGACCTGGATTAGATTTGATACTGGTACCTGGGGTTGCCTTTGACAAAAACAATAATAGAATCGGGCATGGAAAAGGGTAATGCAATCATACTTATTAGGACTAAGACAAAACTAACTTTCCATTCGTCGAAACAGATACTATGATAGATATATCCGAAAATGTAAAGCATGGGCTGATGAACATGGGACCAAACCTCCTAAAACAGGTACTATGCTCAATATGCAAATGAACTTGAATAATAGGATTAACATGTTTGACTAGTTGCACTTTCTTTGAATGAACAGATAATCGATATAGGGACGATTCCTCTCGAGGATACTGACCAAACGTTAGATTGTGTATTGACACCTACCGAAATATTTTAAGAATGTTTTATTAATATTTTTAGGGAAAAAGAATAAGAAAAAATAGGCCAAAAGAAGATATAATAATTATGAAAGGAAATAATAAAAATGAATTTCTCTTTTATTTCCCCTTCCATTTTTTGTTCGTAGTTTTTTTAAGTTTTTTTTTTTAGAATGATGCTGAACCGACCTATAAACGTATACAGCAATTAGCCTCAGTAATATAAAGTAATCATAGATATAAACTTACTCTATCCTTAATATGTTGTAAAAATTGTTGATAACTCATAATGTTATCTGTGCGATCTTCAATCAAATGAGCCAAGAACCATAATCTGAGATAAGGATCGCCATCTTCCTTAACTAAATAAAGTGTAGGGTAGTAATTACCACGACGCATCTCCCTCAGTTTGCCGATTAATGTATTGACCTTTCTATTAAGGGGAGTTTCGAGAATAGGCAAAGTGACCTTGCCACCCTTTAATCCTTCATAAGACTTGACATCGAAAAGATCAGCACAAAGTTGAGGAACAACATTACGTCCAACCCACAAGTAAATATTTTGTCCATTTTCTAAAAGGTAACATCCATGAACTTCCAAGTTCTCGGCAGTTAAATTCAAAGCAGGAGGGAATACAACACCATTTTCAGTGATTTCTCCAGCATCAGCTGGCATATTATGTAAAGAATAAAGATTGGCGTAAAGATAGGGAATCAAAAGTTGTAAAGGCATGGTGTTTAACATGTTCATAGCATTGGATCTCATATCGGTAGGGATTTGAGAGCTTTGACGCAAACCATCGTGCTTGATCAAACCAAGAGCAAACAATGGGAGAAGTTTGAGATTGTCAGGAGCTGTCAATTGAGGTGTGGATCCTTGACCTGATCCTAAAACGTGAGTCTTATAAACGCCCAAAATGTCAACGATCTTGTTGACGATGGCATCACGAGCATCATCGAGCTTCGAAGTAAGAGCACGTTCAACGGCTTTTTTTTTAAAAAAAAAATAGAAATATAAGTGTTAGTTTTCTAACCCTAATGCCAATCCCATTAAACTCTACCTTTGACTCCGAGATATGCTGTAATAGCTTGTTGATTAGCGCTGGCATATAATTCAGAAATAGAATTACTGACAGGCAAGCACATAGTGATAACACGGATACGTCTTTCACCGGTACAAGAGGTGTGTAATAAAGCAGTTTGGAAACAAACAGTAGGAACCTTAAGATCATCCTCCATAGTAACCTCAACGACATAGTTTTGGTCACGAGGCACATTAGGAAGAGCCAAAAGATCAGAGGAACGGATGAAGAAGTTACCATGGAAAGCACTCATACGCAAACCACGAGAAGCACGGATACGGATAACAGCTTCTAAACCAATTTGTTCAGCTAATAATTCAGAGAACTCGTGGGCAAACTTGAGAGCATCTTCGGTACGACTAGCATTGAATCCAGGGTAGTAGTATGTTTGACCACCAGTATAATGGGGAACACAACTAAGGGAAGCAACGTCAGAATACTGACCACCAAAGATGATCATGTCACAAGCAACTTGAGAACGGGAGCAGTCCACAGCAAAAGACTTGTAGAAGGGAGAAGCAGCGGTAAGAAGAGTGGATTCCTTAGATGTACCGAGAAGTTTAACATCTTCACGGGGTTTCAAAGTACCGGTACCTGTGTTGGGTAAAGTGGATTGCAAGCAAATAATTTTACCACCGACAGGAGATAACATCTTGAATGCAGCTTGAAGACCAGTACCCAAAGCGTTGTTAACATTAACGGAGTCCTTAAACATATCGGGTAACTTTTCCAATAAAGTTTTCAAAGTTTGCATACTTTCGGTTAAATTGGCTAATAAATCATTAGGTTGGGGCAAGTAGATATCATCTAAATCAGAGACAATCAACATTTGAGGCTCAGGTAAACTGGGGTTCAAGTTGTAAAAATGAATAGCAGAATCAACAGTAATAATACCGACACGAGTGCGACTTTCATAATTGGGCAAACGATCAAGAGAGTCAAGAATAGTACGGGCAGCAGTTGCCAACATACCAGATTGAATGGCAGAATAAGAGACATCAATCACAAAAACAAAGGAGGGGGCTTGAGGAGGGCGCACCATATATTCAGTTGGTGCAACGAATTCAACACAACCATAGTTTAATTCGGGTCTCTTCCATCGATCGGCAGGTTGTTGTGTTTGGTTGTCATAATCAAATGCTGCGGGTACATCATTCAACAAGAAACACATATTACACTTCCAACGTTGACCACCTTCTACAAATGTAACGAAAGGATTGATATAAGTTCTACAACGTCTACATCTAGCAATTACGCTATCTTTTACAACTGGGACGGGTTCCTAATTATAATTTCTTTGTTAGCATAATAAAAACAAATTTTGACAATTAAAGCTTAAACACTCACATCCCCTTCCTTCAAACTTCTATAAGGTGCCAAGACAAGCGCAAAAGGCAATCTTGATTTCTTCAATAAAGCTTCGGTTGCGGGGATAGCATTAATGGTCGAAGCTTGGTAAGAAGGATCGCAATTAACATTAGGAGAATCGGTTACTGAAATCTACAATAACAAAAAAAAAGGGAACAAGATGTTAGGTTCTACATCCCAATATAATGACAAGTCATCCCATCATCTCTATATTTACGTTAGGTGGTAAACGAATGGCAGGTCCAGAATATCCAATGTCTGCAATCTGAGGGCGAGCACCTAACAAAGGAACAGCGGGAGTGACCTTTTGAGCAAGATGAAAAGAAAAAAAGTTAAAAAATAAACACAGCCATGGTACATAAATAACTTACTGTGGCAGGAGGAGCACCCACACTCATGTTTCCAAATTGAGATGACATCTGGTTAACAGGATCTTGATTATACGCGTTGTAAGCAGGCTGTTGTTGTTGACCATATGCCTGTTGTTGTTGTAAAGGTTGTTGAGGTTGAGTGTAAGGGGATCCGACAGCGGGTGTACCCATGGGAGAAACAAACTGCTGTTGTACGGGTTGCTGTGCTGACATGGCAGGTGAGCCATATTGTTGTTGTTGTTGTATAGGAGGGTATCCAGGCGAAGTGGGCACGTCTCCAGAGTATGCCTTTGTAATTTGTTCAGGATACATTCTCTTTCTTCTATGATGCTCAGCAGTGGAGTGTTGTGCTGTGGGTGACATTGGTGGCTCCTGTTGTTGTTGTTGTTGTTGCTGTTGCTGTTGGTGTATTTGTTGTGGTTGCTGGTGTTGTTGAATAGGAGAAGCAGCGGCGACAACAGGACTTCCAAGGCTAGGACGAGCATGTGGTTGAATAGGTGACTGACCTACGGGTCTCATCATAGGTCGAGCTTGATTAGGTACAAAACCTGGACGGATGCCACCAGGAAGCCCCGGATGAGGAGGGGGAGTGCCTCCATTAGGTGCTTGAAATCCCGGTCTAGGTTGCATGGGAGGACGGAAACCAGCTGGTACTCCTTGAGGTCTAAAACCCATAGGGCGGACGGGTTGTTGTCCTGGGGGAGGCCTTTGTGCAGACTGCGATACAGGTGAAGGTTGCTGCATTAGATAAGAAGTTAGTAAAGAAGAAGAAAAAAGAAAAAATTTATGTGTTCAACATTTTAAATTTTGTTGAACCCATATTGGGAACCAGTCGTTGGATAGGAAAAAAAAAAAAGTCGCGTTATATCATGTATGAGTAAGGATACATAAATATCATTCATTGTTATTTATACAATGAACTGAAGGTTTTATTATTCTTTTATATCTATCTGAATACTGGTCACTTCATGGTAACACTTCTTAATTGCTGAAGCTTTTATTTGTTATCGACGTGGCAGCAATGACGCACGAAGCACCCATTGGAGCGGTTTTTAAAAGTAGAGGGCTGCTTTGCTTTTGATTTTTAGGCAGAGGGAAGGGGCGCGTTTATTATTTGTTATCTTTGTATAGTAAAATTAGAATGTTTGTAGAATTTATACGAGAGAGAAACCAGTGATTGAAGCTGTTTAATTCTTCGAGCTCAGTTTCGGTCAAAGTATATTGCTGGCGTTTAAGTTTATGAATGTTAGAAAGCAGAGTGTCAAAATCTATTGAAGAATTGCTTGGAGCGGTGAGAGGAGCTTGTTCAGTTGGAGTAAGAAGAGCTGAGCTATCAGGCGAGCTCTGGGGAATGGTTGAAAAAGTGGGGTCGAAAGAAACTATTCGATTTAAGGTTAGTAAGAAAAAAAAATGAAGCCGTAAAGAATTTAATAGTATTTATCTTTACCTTCAAATACAGACAACCAAGACATATCACACTTCAACAAATACATGTGTTTGCATGCGATATTGTTAAAGCGGAAGTCAGGGCAGCTGCAAGTGATCATTTGTAGATTGTCCACCACAACATCATAACTTACACAAGAAGTTGAGAAAGAAGAAATAACATAACCACTTCTACCAGCAGAATCAGTTCTCGCAGTTTCGATGCAATACAGTGTTCTTTACTACATTTCAAGAGTATTTACTTTGGCTTAAGATATCGGGTTCCTTTTTTTTTTTTTCAATATAGAATATCTCTTTATATATCCATAAAAATATGACACTTCAAAAATAAAAAAACAAGAGGGGAACAGGCTACAGATTTTTGATGGGCAAAGCAACCATGGAGCTTCTAAACCGGTTTTTGAAGCTGATGACTACATTTATTCTCGCGTTAGAACAAACGCCATCTAATTTTTAGGTCTTTCGGATGAGCCTTTGGTCCCCAAATAAACTTAAATGTCCAATAAAAACTTTACATATGACACTTACTCCCGGTCAATCTCTCACTTAATTTGTAAGAGTTTTCGATTCTCAAACAGCTTCTTTATTTCAAGCCGAAATCACCCACTTAATCTGTAAGATATTTCGATTTTCAGTCAAAATTCACAGTCTCATGTTTACTTTATCCTACAATTATATGATACCATTAGTAAGAACCTGGAAGCTTAAGACAGAGAGTTTTCTTCTTCTTCTACAAACAAAAACTAAATATAACTTAAAACCTAAAACCTGAAATTGATCCTGATAGTGATATATCCACAAACACCTCTTTTATTGCCATGTAAAGCATACACATCAAATCAAATTCATAAACCTGGTTCCCACCATCACAAGGTAGAAAAACTACTTTTCTCAACTTGTCGTCGAAACCGCTTATTATACAAAATGACGTCTCTAACAACATTTGATTTGATATATTATTATTTTTCAACTTATAAAAAAGCCTCTTGAGATTTTTTTTTTCTTTCTGTATTTCTTTGTTTACCAAAAGAAAGGAAAAAAAAAGACGGAAGTATCGTAAAAATAAGCAAGTATAAATGATACTTAATCTATTTTATTTAATTTTGTAGACAAAGGATCTATTCAAATATCAAAATGTGGTTGTTTACTTTCAAGCTGATCGTGCTGACCTTTGGTTATCTTTTCCTTTTGTACTGCCCAATTTTTTCCTCATGAAAGGTTTTTTTAAATTTTCTTAGGGACAGCCATTTTTCTTAGGGACAGCCATTTTTCTTAGGTACAGTCAGGGTGCACGTAGTCGTAATGTTGGGATTATGATACTTTAATAGATATCAAGAGGTCAATAAAACTTAATAACTTGAAATATATACACATTTATCACAACTAACATAGTTTAAACCAATATATGTGTTTTAAAGCTAACTTTCAGCTTCTCGTTTGGACTTAACATTAATATTTCTGCGTAAGATTTAATTCAAACGAGCTGAAAGGCGAAAGAGTGATAATAGAATTGTCAAAATAAGTATAAATCGTTTGATGTACATTTATTTGTAATTTTTACATTGTTTTTGATTGTATATCCTTGTTCCCATGTCTACAGAACATCCAAACCATAGATCTTACGTTGCGACTACGTGCACTTTGGCTGTCCCTAAGGAAAAATTGGCTGTCCCTAAGAAAAGCGTTTTTTTAATGGAGGCAAAAGGTTTTTACTGATGCCGGGGTTGGTACCAATACAACATTTATCTATCGGAGGAAGAAGGCAGTCTAGAATTTGGTTTCTGTTACAAACAGTGTCTTACACTGCCACAGGTATGATAATTTTTATATATTTTCTATGCAAAAAGTCAGTCTTACAGTTTATTTTATCATTTTAAAGCATTACTTCATGATGTATAGCCTATTGGAGCTGTTCCCCCAGTGTCCAGTGGGTGTTATCTGATTAATTGGTAAGTGATATAACTTTTTTCTCTATCACATCTGTTTATGTTCATACTAACGCGAAATTTGTATTACAGCTAGCTCAAGACGATGCAAATTACAAGGAAACTTAGAAATGTTTCTATAGCCGCGGTTTCAACACTGTTCGGTCCCATCTCTTTACCAAGTAAGGTCATTCCGCATGAAAAAGCCAAAGGAAAACTCTGACGTCATTCTTTTTTTATTCGGGTGTAAAAGGAGATGCCCCATTGGATGTGCTTGAATCGCCGACGTTTTTTCCTGGACAAATCGTCAACCAATAAAAATACATTTTAAATAAACTTTTGAAAGACAGCTGCGCTGCCTTTACCTACCAATAAAAATACATTTGATTGTAAACAACCACAGGCTGTACTCTGAAATCATGAACAATTAACACAATGCAAAGTCGGACAAACGAATGATATACAAGATGCATTTTTTTTTCTTTTTTTTTTGAGGTTGAGTACTTTTTTTTTATGTTTATCAAGTATAATACGAAAGTTTTTTTTATTAAAACATGCAGATAGATATGGGAAAATAAAATGTGGTTGAAAAAAGATACAAAAGGGGATTAATAGAACAAGAAAATCTATAAAGTATAAAAGGTGTAAAAAAATGATTGTTTTTTTAATCGAAAACAATCTTGGTGGCCTTCTTAGGTTCTCCACCGGTATCCTTGTAGAAGGCACCATAAGCACTATGTGTCTTCTTCTTAACGGTAGTACCGAAAGCCATCAACTCATCGGGAACATCCATCTTGGCTTGCTTCAAAACGTTGATCAACTCACCAGAATGAGCCTTATCCTCAGGTGTGAAGAAAGTATAAGCGACACCCTTCTTACCACCACGACCAGTACGACCGATACGATGGACATAAGCCTCAATAGTAAGAGGGAAAGTAAGGTTGATGACAAATTCAACATCAGGGATATCAAGACCACGAGCAGCAACATCGGTGGCAACCATCAAAGGATATGAACCATCCTTGAAACAGCTTAAAGCTTCGGTACGTTGTTGTTGATTTTTATCACCGTGGATACCAACAACCTTGAAACCATGGTATTCCAAAGATCTTTCAATACGGATAGCTTCTTTCTTATAGAGACAGAAGACCAAGACACGGTTAGTACGAGACTTGTGAACCTTCTTTAATAAATCAACAAGAATACGCTCCTTGTCTCTGGGGTTTTCGATAACTTGGACAATTTGTTGAACATTTTGAGAAGCGGAGAGATCGGGAGAACCGATAGTAACACGCATGGGGTTGTTCAAGAAATCACTAGCAAGCTTACGAACACTCTCGGGCCAAGTAGCAGAGAACATGAGAGTTTGACGATCCTTGGGAGTATAGCCCATGATAGCACGAATATCATTCTCGAAACCATCATCCAACATACGATCGGCTTCATCCAAAACCATGAAGGAAACTTCGGTCAAATCACAAGATCCTTCGTTAATAAGATCGATTAAACGACCAGGAGTAGCAACAACGATATCAACACCTCTTTGGAAAGCCTTACGTTGGGGTTGCTTATCAACACCACCATAAACACAGACGGAGGTGACACCGACAGCCTTACCAGCGGCCTCAGCTTGTTCAGCACTTTGCATGGCTAATTCACGGGTAGGGGAAACAACCAACATAGTGGGCTTTCCGCTAGTCTTACCACGCTTCAACTTGGCAGCAATATGAACTAAACCAGGAATGGTGAAAGCAAGAGTCTTACCGGAACCAGTCTCAGCAATACCAACAATATCACGACCGGAGAGGGTAATGGGCCAGGTAGCGGCTTGAATAGGGGTGGGGTTGGCAAAGTTCTTGACAACTTCCAACATGTTGTTAGGAAGACCGGCATAACGGAATTCAAGAATAGGACGAAGCTTAAGGTCACCTTGTACATCGATAGTATGCTTCTTATAAAAGTCGTCGATAGTACTTTGAGGAAGAGCGGAAAGATCATCGTCTTGCTTATACTTGTAAGAAGCAAGAATATCCACATTCTTGTTGACGTAAGCCTTCTTGGGCTCAGCGGCAACAGGTTCCTCTACCTTCTCGGCAACTTCCTCTGACTTCTTCTCCTTCTTCTCCTTCTTCTCCTTCTTCTCCTTCTTACTCTTCTTCTCCTTCTTCTCCTTCTTCATGGGAGCATCTTCCTCTCTCTTTCTCTTTTCAACCTATCAAGCGAGTTAGTTACCGTCAATATCTTTCAAAAAGGTACTCAATTACCTTTTCCATTTTGCTAGGTGACATGATCAAATTACAAAAACAAAAAGACTTTATTTGTGAATAATGGAAAAAAAAAACTTCAATTAAAGAAAAAAAAAGTGACTTGACAATTTGACCGCCACCGAAAAGCTTAACGGAGAATGAAGTGAGCCTCTCATAAGGAGTCCAATGTCTTGTATCAGTACGAGCGACATACCTTTTTTTCCAGTCATCCATAATTACATAGAATGCCCATTGATGCAAAAAAGAAGTATCAGTTGGAAGACATTTTATCTGATAATGTTTCCATTATGGACACTGAAGATTTGATGTACGAAGGAACTCCTGTTCCTACTGATGAAGATGCCGGTGAAGGGTTTTGTGTAGAATGCAAGGATCAAGAGGTAATTTTGAATCAGTGTCGAATCGTACAGTAGAAACGAGCAAAGAAACTTTAATTCTTACTGTAAAGTTGTTAGGCAGTTATCTTTTGTATTCAATGTAAAGAACCTTTTTGTGAAGTGTGTTATGGTAAAAAAAAAAAAAAAAAAAAAAAAAGGTGTTTTTACTTGAAAACACGAAACTAAAGATTTATATTAGGAATGATCCATAGAACTGGAAAGCGTGCTTCTCACACAACTAAAAAGTACTCAGTTGCTATTCAAGCCGTTGAGTCGGATGAAAAGGAAGACAGTACTAAAGCCTTAGAAAGTAATGATCATGCTGTAAGTATCTCTGTGCGACTTTTTAAAATTAGCATTAATTTGAGTGGGTGAATTTAGGCAAAGCCAGAATTTAAGCTGCCTACTTCAAAATCTTCTGAAATCAACATTGGCGAAATTATGGAAAGAAGAGCAAAGTTTATTCCAATGCGTCTAAAGATCGAAGAGAGAAAATATTTGCGATTGTATGTATGATTAAAAATTAGTATCTATCAAATTTGCTAATTGACATATCACAGACTGGAAGCTGCACTGAATGTTACCGAATATACTGAGAAAATTGACGATGCATCTAGCACTGGTAAAGCCAAACGCGTTGTAAATCAAATTAAGGAATTGTGTGCTATTTTAACTGGCATCGTATTGGGATGTGATTTTAAGCGTGGCCAAGAGTTATTCGCAGACCGAAGTTATGAGGATAACGAGGAGTTTTTCCAGACCATTTTCGAAATCGGGCGTAGACATAAAATTATGAATCCTGAAAAGATGAGATCTGCCTATGGTAAACTCATGTATCTTTTGTCTGTACGTATATCTTTATTGTCCAAAAAACATGATATTTATTGTACCATATAGGATTCAATGATTCCTGAAGTGAAAGAAATGCTCGGATTTGAATGTGTTGTGCCAATTAATACCGTATACAGCTTTTTGGAAGAGAGAAATGGACTGAGTGTATTACATGAAGATATTGTTTTACTTGCTACCATGGAAATCATTCCTGACAGAAAGACTCGACCTCAAATTCAAGCAGAGATTAAGCGCAAAGAAAGAAGTATTGAACAATTAAGTAGGAAATATCAGTCAAAATATCTCTCTGTAGATGAAATCAGACATTGTTTATACAGTATTGGAGATAACAATGCATATTTGAGAGCTAATCGGTAAGCTGGCCGTACTTTTATACTGTTTCAATGTTATTAATCTATGTCACAGTGATCCCTGTGAGAAGATGATTCGTTCTCTTGAAAAGTTCTTCAGCCCTGATGATGGAGATAACAAGGAATTTTCCCTTTCTATTGCCTCAGGCACCCAAGGCCATCGTTTGAGTCATGACCACGAAACTCAATACATTTACGTCAATCAAACATTGAAGCTTTGGCGTGAAATTTTAAATGACATGTTTAAACTTTGGACTTTAGCAGATCAAGATATGCTGTCCACTACTAATCCGTACCGTTTATCGCAGACCGGCCAAGGTTTACACCGTATACAGCCTTGTCCCGCTGTGTCGAGAGAAATGCATCGAACCTTATTTAAGGCACAAAAGAAAGCAGGAACGTGGATTGGTAGCAGTGTCATCCATTTAGGTGACAAAAATGTACCCAATGCTCTTGTCTTTATTGATAAGGTAACTAAGCCTAAACAAAAAGACATTAAAATCAAAGTAGACTAACATTTTGTCATAGTATAATCAAGTTGCGCGTATTTTGAGTCCTATTTGTATCACCATCGATCGACTTGACGAATTAGCAAAAAATGAAGGTATCCGTAAATTCATTGAAAAGAAGTTTGGAAGTTTGGATCTTTGTAGAAAAACAATCTTAAGTATGCAAAACGCTGAGCAAAAAAAAAAGCAGGATTCCCAGTTAATTAATTACTTTCGATGTCTCAGCTGACTTCTTCCGATTTGCATTCGATGGATCTGGTGCTGACAATTTCTATGACGCAGGAAGTTGTATTGATGGCCGGCTTACTTCTGCTTGGAACTGTAACGCGACTTAGTAAATTCATCAATTATAACTTGGATCTAATGATTGTTATTTTAGGGTGTTCACAAATTGAGAAAAAACCATACTTTCCTATATTTTTATTAGCTGTAAGGTTACTAAATTATATTACTTCGATTAAAGGTGCTGACAGATATTAAAATAGGGATTTGCTGGTTTTGACGGCGGAGGATGGTAAATTAGATAGATTAAGATATCCTTGTTAGGTTGGAACTACGTGATGGTTGTCGATACCAGTATTTATCAAATACCTTTGGTGGCGCCTTTCACAAGAGTTGTCTTTCCACAAGAGTTGTCTCATAAAAAATTACTAATAAATAAAAATGTAGATCTCATAATTAGATTGCTAAGCTAAATTAAAGTTTGAGAATCCTTGAGTCACTAAAAATAAAGTTACATAAAAATAGGATATAGACTACTCACCCAAAAGGAAATCAAAAGCTATATCTAAATGAGGCAACTGATTCGATTATTAATTATCGTTCTAAAAACAGACTACTCGCCTGACAAACACAAGTGTTGCGCTTAACTCTTTAATTGAAAAACGAGAAGCCGTATTTTATAGCGAATATTGCGTGCTCGCCTTTTTTTTTTTTTTTTTTTCTTGGCTTTCACAATATATATTATCATCGTATAATGAAACACAGTCAACTAATAGCGTGAAGGATTACACCGCAGTTATTTTTCTTCGTTATCTCGTATGTGCCCATTTTTAAATATCGTACTACAATACAAAATGGATTTCGTTGTAACTCTCCGGCTGTCGCTCTTTGACAAATTGGGACATCAATACTTGTTCTTATCAGCTTTTGGTTCCGACAAATTCTCACGTCATAAGATATTTTGCTCTCCTCGATACTCGGTTTAAGCATGCGCATGTGTTCTAAAATCTTGATAAATCATATAAGAGAGGTGAGACAAGGAAATTTGTGGGATGTAAAGAAAATTTTCCTGGTTACATTAATTCTTAAAAAAGCATCACAATTGTATGTTAGTACGCCCTTGAGTAGCATGCTATATTTTTGTGCGCTTTGATCCCCCAAACTTTATGAAGTTAAACTTATCAAAATTTGTAGACTAACAGAATGAGCCTTTGGGGGTCATTTAATCAAAAACAAAACATTGTGTTACCACATGATGCTAAGAACGGTAAGAAGGTAATTAGACATCATCCAAAAAAACAAAACACTGGCATTGTAGACAGGATGTGTTCTTTTCAGTGTTAACAACATACCGGATATCAAAATCTATGAACATGACACCAGATGTATTTAACAAGATAATTGTGTGTTTGTGACACATACGGACTGTTTAAACAAACGAACAACAAATGTCAATTATACTTTCCTTACTGTTTACGTTCGGGAAAACTGATCAAAATCGAATTGGACCCGTACAATGCGATAAAAATGTATGCCATTTTGGACAAATGATATCCGTCCCTTATATTCTAAATATATCAAAATCAATATGCAGAAACAGTATAAAAATACTTTGGTAACACACGAGCATTTAAAAAGATAATATTTCTCCAATAGGGCATCATCAAAAAGGAAAAAAAAGTTACACCTTATTGTTTTCTTTTCAAAATCCCAGAAAAAAAGGTGAACCGCAGTAGTTCAATTCCGCAGCAAGGCTATCACGGCAACTGCATTGCCTTTTGGGAAATAATTACTAAATTTGGGATGAATCAGGTTTATGTCCTACTTCAGTTCATAATTCATAAAATAAAAAGATCTTTCTCGAGTCCTTCTCTCCTTTCTTTAATTATTTTTCGAAAAAAAAAAAATTTTTTTCTTTAATATTTGAATAAGTTTTCAAGAAAATATTTTCTTTGAAAACTTTCACAATTATGGTATGAACCAAAATAAAAATAAAAAGCCTTAGCAGAATCATTAACCGTATTCATATTTCAGGAACAGCTCGAAATCACGCCTAGTGATTATAAAAGGTAAGACAATAGTGAGCTGTCCCTTGTTTGGTGATTATATATTGACATATCTGAATTTAGGATCGCGCACGCTGCTTCACCTATTGTTGTTGTCGGTTTATCCACAATCCACCTGATTTTAAAAAGATGGCGACTTGGATCTAAATATACAGCTACTCCCGAGATAGACTCTATCACTGTGTCTATTGCAAAGAGACGTGCTATGTTGATAGCCCTCACTGCGTTTGAGACCCTAGGTTGGTTATATCAATTTATTCAGTATTCCCTCGGTTCGGAACAATATGAATTGTACGAATCTTTAGATTTGGCCGTTCTGAGCATTACCTGGGTACGTAAGATATACATTTTGCATTCGATATGAAAATTTAATCCATTGTTCGAATAGTCATCTTTGCTGGTCCTCTCATTTACCTCTCCTACTAAAAATCAGTATAAGGAGCGCCATTATACTCAAGTTTTCACTTTCATCTATTGTTTCCTCTTTGCCGATTCTATTTACCGCTTGTTGTCTATTCCCACCATACAATATTGGAATGTATCTTACGTTGTCGTGGCTTTAATTTTATTTGTCGTTACTGGTACAACTCCTCAACCTTTTCACCCTAGAGATTTGCAAGCTGCAAGTTATGAAAATTTTGAGATCAAGAATGGAAAAGTGTACCGTAATGTAAGTTTTAATTGGTGGAGAGAGGAACCATTTCAAATTGGATGGTATTTAACAAAAGATTATTTAAATAGGGTTTAGAATTAAGTCCTGAATCCACTGCAAGTATTCTTTCTTGGGCTTCGTTTCAATGGGTAAGTGGTAATAGTGGCATGTAGTACGAGTAAAGATAATGATTTTCGTCCTATCTCTTTTCAGATGAATCCCATGGTTGTTTTTGGGTTCCACAATACCGTTACACGCGAAAATATTTTCGCCTTGACCTTTCAACATTTGGCTAGAACTACCTATGAAGATTATGTTAACACCAAAAAATACCTTGCCCATGCCAAAGTGTTACACCGCATTTACACCACCAACAAACGAGAGATCTATTCTCAGTTAATATTCTCCATCTCTGCTACCTTGCTCGGTTATCTTAGTCCCTATTTCCAACAGAAGTTTTTGGAGTATATTGAAATCAAAGAGGATCGTCCACCTATTCAGACCGCCTATTTGCTTACCTTAGGTTTGTTTTTGGTTGGCGTTGCCAAGCTTCTCTGTAATACAGTTCAATTATGGGCCGGTCGTCGTTGGAATATTAGAACTTTGATCATGTTGGATGCTGAAATTTTTGCCAAGACCTTGAGAAGAAAGGATGCATCTGGTAAGATATCTAAGGCTGCTGAAGCTGCTGAAGCCGCTGCCAATGCTGCTGATGCTGCAGCCAGTGCTACTGATGATGCTAAAAAGGACGATAAGAAGGATGATAAGAAGGACGATAAAAAAGAAGAGGAAGAGTCATTTAGTAATGTGGGTAAAATTACCAATCTTATGAGTGTTGATGCCGATAAATTATCTGAACTTCCCGGTTATATTTTCGTAAGTTCACCCATATGATTCAGTTTTGAAAGTTGACTAACCCATTGTTTTTCTTAAAAAATCTGTAGATGATCTACAGTGCCCCTGTTGAAATCTTTGTTGCTTTATTTTATCTTTATCATCTTTTGGGTTCCGCTGCGTTGGTTGGTGCAGTAGTCATGGTGGTGTGTTTTCCTATCACTGCTTTCTTTACCAAAATCACATATACAAACTATGCAGATCAATCGGTCGCCACAGATAAGCGTAACGATCTCATCAATGAGTTATTACAAGGTATTCGTATGATCAAGTACTTTGCTTGGGAAGATAACTGGAGAGAGAAGGTGTTCGCTGCCCGTCGTGATGAAATTAAAAAGATGATCCGCGTTATTACTTATGATGTCTTGCTCAACATTTTGTTCTTGACTACTCCTGTTCTGGTCACAATCAGTAGTTTCATTTGGTACACCAAAGTTTCCGGTAATGAGTTAACTGCCAGTGTAGCTTTCGTTAGTATCACACTTTTCGAAATGTTACGTACGCCTCTTATGTTTATTCCCGAATCTGTAAACATTTTTACCGAAGCTTATGTTAGTTTGAACCGTATTTCCAAGTATTTGGACGAGCCTGAAGTAGTTGAAAATTTGAACTTGGAGCCAATTGAAGTACCTGAAGGTGTATCTCCTCAAGTGGTTTTGTCTCGCGTTGGTTTCGAAAAATCTGTTTTCCAATGGCATATTGAAACCGAAAAAGTTGTTGAAGGCAAAATTTCTCTTCCTATTTCAGAAGATGAAGAAGCATTGATCCAGTCATCCTCCAACGTCCCAACTCTAAACTCCGTGGAACAAGCATCATCTGGACCTTTCCAAATCAGTGTCCCAAGATTCGATTTCCCTACTGGTAAACTCAGTTTGATCTGTGGTCCAACAGGTAGTGGTAAATCTAGTTTCCTTCAAGCTCTCTTGGGAGAAATGGATATTGTTTCTGGTCGTGTATATTTACCATCTAAAACTGTTCTCACGGTCGATAATTTCTCTAAGGTTGATTCCGAATTCCCTGACTTGTATATTGATAAGGTGGCTTATGTCGCTCAACAACCTTTCCTTCAACATGCTTCTATTCGTGATAATATTCTGTTTGGTCTTCCATATGATGCCGAACGTTACAAGAAGGCTTTAATCCAATGTGCTTTGATCAAAGATTTGGTTATTTTACCTGATGGCGATCGTACTGAAATTGGTGAAAAGGGTATTTCTCTTTCTGGTGGTCAAAAACAAAGAGTTTCCTTAGCTCGTGCCGTCTATTCGTATGCGAAGACTGTTCTTTTGGATGATTGTCTTAGTGCTGTTGATGCTCATACTTCCAAGCATATCTACCAAAAGTGTTTCATGGGTGATCTTTTGAAGGGTCGTACTGTTATTTTAGTTACACATCAAGTAAGACTTTGTCTTCCCGGCGCTAAGTTTTTTATTAAGATGGATCATGGAGAAGTACTTGGTTGCGATAGCGTTGAGAACTTGAAGAACAACGGTCAATTGAACGAACTTTTGGGTTCTGAACACCAAAATGATAATGATGAAGAAGAGGAAGAAATCGAAGAAATTGTTGATCCCAATGATCAAGATAACAGCTCTACTGAAATTGATCTTGATAATAAGGCCGAGGCTGCTAAACTTGTGCAAGAAGAGGCTTCTGAAAAGGGTCAAGTTAAGTTCAAGGTCTACCTTACTTATTTGGCTGCTTGTGGTGGTTGGTTTTTCTGGCTTGCTGTCATTGGCTCTTATATCTTTGCTAGAATGTTAACTTTTGCTGAAAATTGGTGGATCAGACTTTGGGCTGCTTCTTATGAACAATCTGCACCCATCAATGCTACAATCTCTGCTCTTAGTGCTGACTTGAACCCCCAATACTTAATTGTAAACAACAAGGTACCCGTTGTTATGGGCGTGTTTGATACTTTGGGTGCTGCTATGCAAAAACAAAATGTTTTCAGATCCTGGGTGTTTCAAGAAAAAACTCCTGTAAATGTTGATTATTATATTGGAATTTATGTTGCTATTTGTTTTGCATACATCCTCTTTGATGGTCTCAGAAATGTTATCGTCTATTGGGGTTCAATTAGAGGTGCTCGTACATTGTTTGATTCTTTGGTCAATCGTATTATGCACGCACCTATGCGTTTCTTTGACACCACCCCTGTTGGTCGTATATTGAACAGATTCGGTAAAGATGTTTCTGTTGTTGATATGCAAATTGCTCGTTCTGCCAGTTTCTTGATTGAATGTGTTACCGGTATTTTTGCTTCTACTATTGTAATTACTACAATTACACCTCCCTTCTTGGTTGTTGCTATTGCTATCAGTGGTTTATACTTCCTTATTGGTATTTTCTACCTCCGTATCTCTCGTGAATTGAAGCGTCTTAATTCGGTCAGTCGTTCCCCTATCTACTCTCACTTTACGGAATCATTGGTCGGTGTAACTACTATCAGAGCTTATGGTGTTGAAGAACAATTTATGAGACAAGTTTACGATAAGATTGATGCATTTGTAGCTCCATTCTACTTCCTTTGGATGAGTAACCGTTGGCTCTACGCTCGTATTGAACTTACTGGTGCCTTTGTTATTTTATTCACTGGTTTCTTTTTGATCATCAACATTAACTCTATTGATGCTGGTATGGCTGGTATCTCTCTATTCTATGCTCGTCAATTTTTAGAAAACATTTATTGGTTTATTCGTCAATATACCACAGTCGAAATGAATCTTAACTCCGTGGAACGTATTCAAGAGTACCTCGAATTAGAACAAGAACCTCCTGCAACTATTGAAGGTCATCGCCCTCCTGCTGCCTGGCCAACCACTGCTGCTATTGAAGTTAAAGATCTTGTTGTCAGTTATTCTCCCGAACTCGATCCCGTATTGCACGGTGTATCTTTCGCAACTGGAGGTCACGAAAAGATTGGTATTGTCGGTAGAACAGGTTCTGGAAAGAGTACCATGGCTTTAAGTTTCTTCCGTTTCTTAGAAGCTACTAGTGGTTCTATTTCTATTGATGGTATCGATATTTCCACGATTGGTATTCAAGATCTTCGTTCACAATTAACTATTATTCCTCAAGATGCAGTCTTGTTTTCTGGTACTATCCGTTCTAACATTGATCCTTTCGAGGAACATTCTGATAGCGCTGTTTGGGAGTCTTTAGAACGTGCGCATCTTTCCAAGTCATCAGATCGTTTTAAGCCTAGTGCTACAGGTGATTCTACACCTAGCTCATCTGCTGCTGTTGGAGAAAGTAAACATGTATCTTCTATCACCAGTTTAAATCAACAGGTTAGTGATGGTGGCAACAATTTCTCTCAAGGTCAACGTCAATTATTATGTCTCGCTCGTGCTTTGCTCAAAAATAGTAAACTTATTATTATGGATGAAGCCACTGCCAGTGTAGATTATGAAACCGATACCAAGATTCAAACCACAATCCGTGAAGAGTTTACCAATTCCACCTTACTTTGTATTGCTCACAGACTTCGTACCGTTATTGATTATGATCGTGTGTTAGTTTTAGATCAAGGAAGTGTCGCTGAATATGATACCCCTTACAACTTATTAGTAAATAACGCTGGTAAGGGTGTCTTCAAATCCATGTGCGAGAAATCCGGTGAATATGAAATCTTACTCAAGATGGCTACAGAAGCATACAACACCAAGGAAATTGGAGAACAATCACCAGATAACCATACCCAGCTTTACTAGACACTTTCATCTATTTGAAAGACGTTCATATTTACCTTTCAGTTTATTTAATTAATAAAAACATTCATATTTTTTCCGAGAGTCTTATTCTTAGTCAGCTTTAAATGTGTTATGGCATGGCGCTATTTTAAAGGAAATTCAATCACTGTAGATGATATATCAAAAATTGTATACATATACCAGATGTTGAATATGACCATACACCCAACATGCACTGTTGTAGTTATTGATATAATTATGTTGTCGCTTGTAGCATGAATAACCTTGTCACTCGCAAGCAGGTGGTATCATAACTAAAGTTAAAGGACTACTACTTAGACCAACTTCAACAAAAATTAGGTGTAAATTTTTATTCTTATATCTATTTTTGAACGAGAGGGAATCAAATGCTCAAACTGGTATAAAGAACACATTTGTCACAATTTTTATTCGCTTTTCTTGGGGACAGCCAATTTTTCCTTTGGGACAGCCAAAGTGCACTTAGTCGCAACGTAAGATTTGTGATTTGGATGTTCTGTAGACCTGGGAACAAGGATATACAATGTAACAATTACGAATAAATGTATATTAAAGGATTTGTACTTATTTTGACAATTCCATCATTACTCTTTCGCCTTTGAGCTCGTTTGATCTTAATCTTACACAGAAATATTAAGGTAAAGCTCAAACGAGAAGCTGAAAGTAAGCTGAAAAACACATATACTGGTTTAACATATGTTGCTTGTAATAAGATTGTATTTAGTTCAAGACGATAAGCTATATTGACCTCTAGGTGTCTATTAAAGTATCATAATCCCAACATCACGACTACGGGCACTCTGTCTGTCCCTAAGAAAAATGGCTGTCCCGATTTTTATTCTTCTGGATGGACATGTATTTTTGGCTGGTTCCAGCCTAATTGTTGATAGAGCCCTTTAATATATGGCCTAATGTCGCCAGCGGTATTTTATCCTTGTATCTATCAACAAATCATTATGATGTAATTAGTTTTTATCCATATATTTTTTTCGCGACATTTTTAACTAAGCCAACAAAAGTTCTTTTAAAGTTGAGATAAGCCCTTTAATGGTTTACTTGTTACAATCTCAAATTATGAGAGGTTGTCTTATATACTACAAACAAATTTTGTAATTATCACTTGGAAGCTTTGTGGTTGTTTATTTTATAAATGTATTTAATGATCTACAAGTTTCCTAATACTATGAGGTAATATTACGGAAAGCTGAAACCGCAAGAAATTTTTTGGTCGGATAGCTGATAAGATTTTTTTAAAAGTGGGAACTAGTAACAGCGAAATGAAAATTCGAATGGTCAACTGTCATTCCCTTTGGCTATAAAAATAAACCATGTCTACCTGTAGTGTCAGGAAAGTCATAAAATTAAATTTTAATTTAGCAAACGCAAATGCGTGTACAACATAAAAACGAGCATTTTTGGGTGAGGCGGGGCTTAGCGGCTCGAGAATAATGAACATTTGCCCTGAGCCTCATTAGAAACGTCACAAAATCCTAATAAGGTTATTTGTTTAAATTAGCATCAAAAGTTATTTTGGACACTTTTCTCTTCTTCCCAACAACAATATATATAAAAAAAAGTACACAGTAATGGGATTTCGGAAAGTATCCGACCAGGAAGATATTACAAACCAATACACAAATGATTTTGAAGAAGCCGTACCTTTAACAGCAACATCACCTAAAACTGGCAATGAGAAACAACATGGCAACATTATTGACGACGTTCCAGCACATCTTGAACCTTTTCTTCAAACACAACCTACATTTGGTTTAAATGACGAACAAGTCCAAGAGAGAATGGCACGATTTGGCCGAAACGAATTAACAGAAAAAAAGAGAAATAAGCTACTACATTTTCTTTCGTTTTGTGAGTGTTACCCCCTTTCTTTATGTTTATGATGTTGATACTAATGATTTACTATAGTCACTGGTGCGATTTCGTATCTAATGATACTAGCACTTGTTCTTACCGCTGTTACTGCAGATTGGCTTGATTTTGGGATCATTGCCGGTATGCTTCTTATCAATGCGATTATTGGTTATGTTGAAGAGGCCCGTGCAGAATCCTCTATCGACTCGTTAAAAAGCAGTCTTGCTTTGCAATGTAAATGTTGGAGAAACGGTCAGTTAAAAGAAGTTCGATCCTCTGATCTCGTAGTTGGCGATATTATTGTTTTAAGATTAGGTGACATTGTACCCGCAGACGCTCGATTATTGGGTATTGGTGCTTCAGGCGAAGCCATAGAGACTGATATCCAAATCGACCAAAGTTCCCTTACCGGTGAATCATTGCCCAGTAAGAAAAAACCTGGAAATATTGTATTTTCATCCTGTATTGTTAAACAAGGCCAGCAGCAAGCTATTGTTGTACGTACCGGTCCCGATACCTTTATTGGAAAGACAGCAAGCCTTATTTCAGTCACCACTGGCTCGGGAAGATTCCAAAAAGTTATCAACTACATTGGTAATTTTCTTATCGTTCTCTCTGTCGTTCTGGTTACAATTATTTTTATCAATGAATTGGTCCAAGTAAAAAAGGCCTTTGGATTTATTACAAGAGAACAAGTCTTGGCGGCTCTCAATGAAATGGTGGTGCTTACAATCGCAGCGTATGTCAACATAAAATTGAAATGTTAAAATATGATATTAATATGTACTTTTTATTTTAGTATTCCTGTTGGTCTTCCCACTGTCATGTCAGTCACTATGGCTATTGGTGCTAAACAGCTTGCCAAACACCAAGTGATTGTAAAAAGATTGACTGCCGTCGAAGAATTTGCGTCTGTTTCCATTTTGTGCAGCGATAAAACAGGAACACTTACCAAAAACGAGCTTACATTTGACGAACCTTATCTTGCTGGGTCGTTTGATAAGAATGATATTCTACTGTACTCTTACCTCGCTGCAGAGGCCGCGACCGATGATCCTATCGAATTTGCTGTTCGTACAGCCGCCGAAACTCATCATCCACAAGTCATTAACGATGGAAGTCATAAAGTTCAAGGTTACCAAGTGATTTCTTTCAAACCATTCAATTCTTCTGACAAAACCGCTCAGGCAACCGTTCTTAACACCTCTACTCAAGAAACGTTCAGAGTAGCCAAGGGTGCGCCTCAAGTGATCATGCAGCTTGTGGGTGGTGATGAACAAGCAGAGGACATGGTTCAACAATTTGCCAGTCGTGGGCTCAGATCTTTGGGTATTGCACGTACTGTGAATGGCATTGAAAAATGGGAATTGATTGGTTTGCTCAGTTTAATTGATCCTCCCAGAGATGACTCTGCTCAGACAATTGCCGAGTGTCAACAATATGGTATTTCAGTCAAGATGATCACTGGTGATCAAGGCATTATTGCAAAAGAGGTGGCTGGTAGACTCGGTATGGGCCAACATATTCTAGATGTGGATGAATTGGTCGATTCTTCTAAATCCGAACAAGAGGTCTCTGACATGTGCGTTTATTCTGATGGTTTTGCTCGCGTTGTTCCTGGTTAGTTATTATTATTATTATTATTATTCCCATCTAATATATTATTAACGTATATCTCAGAACATAAATACCGTGTTGTTGAGATCTTACAACAAAGAGGCTACTTTGTTGCTATGACTGGCGATGGTGTAAACGACGCCCCTGCTTTGAAAAAAGCCAATGTAGGTATTGCTGTTGCTGGTTCGACTGATGCTGCTCGTGCTGCAGCAGATATTGTATTATTAGCTCCTGGTTTATCCGCTATTATTGACGGTATTAAGATCTCGAGAATTATTTTTCAACGTCTTCAATCATATGCATTGTACCGCATTACGTCCACTATTCACTTTTTATTGTTCTTTTTTGTCATCACCCTTGCTGAGGACTGGAAAATGCCACCTGTGTTCCTTATTTTGATCTCACTTTTGAACGATGCCGCTACCTTAATCATGGCTGTCGATAATGTCAGTGTCTCAAGTAGTCCAAATATGTGGCGACTCAGACTTTTGATCGTACTCTCTTGTGTGCTCGCAATTGCGCTTTCAGGATTTTCATTTGCACACTTTTACATTTTCCGTGATATTCTTGGTGTCAGCGGTCCTGAGCTTTCAACTATCATGTACCTTCACATGTCATCTGGTAAGCGCAATAGCATGCTACGTTTTTATTTAGTCTAATCTTTTAAATAGCACCTCATTTTGTTATATTCTCCACACGTACCAATACTTTTTGGTGGAAGAGCTTACCATCCTTGGTATTTGTTATAGTAATTTTAGGGACCCAATTGGTGGCATTATTCCTTTCAGTATACGGTGTTGGAAACAATCCTAATGTTGCTGGTATTGGTTGGGTTCGAAGTATTATTATTCTTGCTATTTCCTTTGCAACTTTTTTCATTATGGACGCCATCAAGGTGACCACCATCTTCCTATGGGAAAGATTCGATAAATCATCCTCTCAACCTTCTGTACCTGCCTTTGTCAAATCTAAACCAACCAAGGAGAGTAAGGCAGCTAAATTTGTTCAAAAGCAACAAAGATCACGCTTTGGTTATGACAGGGCGGAAAGACGTGAGTCAGTTGGCTCTGTCAAGTCATATTAATAGCGGTAGGCTATTTGTAAATTATTTTTCCATTATCATATATCCCTTTTTCTTTTTCTTTTTCCATTAAACTGAATACTATCATGAAAATATGGCATTCTTATTTTTTAATATTATGTAATATGCTGATGACTTGATTTATTATGCTTCAAAAATATTATCAATTATTTATTACTATTTACAATACGCGAACATCGATCATTATTTGATTTTTTTTTTCTTTTTTTCTTTTGTAATGGTTATGCAACTAAGTGATGAACAGCCCCTGACTTCTTTATAGTTTGTTTGGCATCTACGCTTATACCGGGACACTGACTGATATTTAATAACTCTAGTTTGCTAGACTCTAAAATAGAATTAATGCACATGTCAGTGATACGTACACAGCCTCGAAGATTAAGTGAGCTCATGGATTCAGCTGAATTAGAGTTCAAAAGTGCCCGAATGGACACATCTGATACGGCAGCACCACAAAAGCTTGCATCCAAATTTTGTAGTTCAGGTAAGGAGATCAGACCCTCAATCGCACTATCGGATAAAGCACAACAGAAACTGAGCGATAAACTGTGAAGATTGGGAGCAGCAGATACTAAATGTGAGATAGCTTGATCGGTAAGGAAGCTACAGTCTGTAAGGTTTAATGCTTTTAATTGTGGGAATTGAGTATCAGCCCATTTAACAAAGCCTTGATCTGTGATCCGAGTACATCTCTGGATATTAAGCGAAGATAAAGTTTTGGAGCAGAATTCTGCCAAATGACTCATGGTCATGTCTGATAATTTTTTGCAGTAAGACAACGATAGTTCGGATAGTTCAGGGTAACCTCGCGTCGCCTTTTCATCCAATAGTTTGAAAATACCAATATCACTGATCTTTCGACAATTTGAGAGATCCAATTTGGTGAGATGAGGACAAGTGGCAGCCAATAACGTTAAACTCTTGTCGGTCAAGAGCCAACATGAGTTTAGGTCGATTGATTCCAGATTTGTCATATTTTCAATCAACGTTTTAAATCCTTCGTCTGTTATATAAAAGCATTGCGATAAATTCAATTCTCGTACACGATTTCCAATAAGTGCAGCAATACTTGGTGCGGCGCTGTCAGTGACATGTTTGTTGAAATGACTCAGGTCTACAGAATGCATAATCTTGTCGTTACGCAAAATGAAGTCTCTACATTTTTTTGAGACTGCTGAAAATTGAATGATGGTTGCAATATCCATGCTGTTTACAATAAGACCCAAGATTTCTTCGTTAAATGAAACTAATCGACCATCTCCCTCAAAGCCCGTTTGGACAGGTAAAGTAGGTACGATGGGATCCTCTCTCATTTTAGACTCTTCTGGTTCATCTTTGGTGGGTTTCATGGCCTTGTTTGCAAGTGCCACTAAACCTGGGTCTGACCAGATAGCAACACTTCCTCTCCTTCTTCGGGTTTCAACTTTTTTAAGGACATTTGCTGCGGTGGGCGGTAATAAGGTTGGATCTTGGTCACTTGTGGTGCTACATACTGAACTTGCTTCTATCGAGATATTGACTGGTATCGCAGGAGAACTTTCTGATGGGGGACTAGATACGTCTATGATAACGGTGATCAATATCATCAAAAAACTTGTTACTGCAGGATTATCCTGCAATTTTTTATAATTTTACTGAACATACCTGTATCAGCGTCTACTTTATTTAATAACGAGGCCTGAATACAGAAAGAAAAGAGAGAAACAGTTAGGATAAGGAAAAGACGATCTCGTATCATTTTGTTTAGATTGGTAAATTGTAGATTACCTTCAACTTTAAATTACATAAAGAACTTTCGGCCATTGCTTTAAAACGTTTTTGTAATTCAGGAAAACGACTAATGACATCAATGAAGTCAGATTTTTTCAGGACATATAATTCAACAGCGGTAACAGCTCGGACATCGGCAGCACGTGGTGCATTTAATAGGACCGCTATATCACCAAAATAATCACCTGCGGCTAAGCGTTCGATAGGAGTCAAAGGATCTGGAGTGGCTGTGCCAATGTTTGTAACTTCAACCGTGCCTAATTTGGATACGTTAGTAAATACGTATAAAATTGCATTTCAATTTTATATCCAATTTAGTACCACTTATTATGAAAAACAATTCTTTTCCTTGTTCTCCTTTATGAAGGATCAAGTCGTTGGGCGCATAGTGACGTGGTTCAACTTTAAGTGATGTCAAGTGCAGAAATTCTTCGGGACAGTTTTGTAGATAGGGAATCTAGACAAATAAGAAAAAAAAAAAGTGCGCTAGTTTTAGTGATTTATCATTGGACCGTCATCGTATTGATATGTGAAAAATATACCAACCTTTTGCAGTAAATGTCGGGTGCTAGTGAAATCCTGCACGTTACGTTCTGTCAATGGTTTTGTGCTAATTTTCTCTTGAGTGTTTAAACTTTTACTCTTGAAAAGTAAAGCTAAACGTTCTTCTGCTTCAAAACGAAGCACTTTCTCAACTTCGGGATATAGCGGTAATAAGGTTCGTACTTCCTCAGCGGTGAGAGCTGCCACAATGCATTTGGTACTCGCAATGACAGTTGCAGTACGAGGCATGGAATATAAGATACCAATTTCACCAAAGCAAGACCCTTTAGGCAGTGTAGCATATATGCGTTCAAAATCAGCAGAACATACGTCGACTGAACCTCTTAATAAAAAGAACATGGCTTTAGCTGGTTCGCCTTCGACAATAATGACATCACGTGGAGAGTAAGTACGTAAATGCATACAGCAAGCCAACTTTTCAAGAAAGCTCTCGTTATTAGCTCGCTGAAAAATAGAGTGTTGTCGAAGAGATAAAAGTAATTCGGGTGGGATCGACCGATCTTCTGTTGTCTCCATTGATGAAGTCCAGATAGATTCTTTGTGTATATCGATCATTTGTTGTGTTTTATTAAAATAAAGAAATGGGAAAAAACAAAAACAAAGAGAAAAGGGAAATTTAACCTTGGAGATTTCCCTGCCTGAAACCCACAAATAAAAAAAAATAAAAAAAACGGCCTTTTCGGAGTTAAACTCTCATTGTCCTTTCGTGCGCACAATACAGTTTTCACACTTTAAATTCAGACAATGTTATTTTTTTTTCAGACGAATCAAACTTTACTTTCAGATAATAGCTTGCCTTTTTTGGACAAATTACATAAGAATTCAGACAAACGAAATTTTAGTTTTTGGACAATTTGATAAGCTACTGTGTCGTTTACCTGTAGAACCTTTAAACCTTCTCCTCACTTGAGTGAGACGAGGTAACCACATTGGAGGTGGCGTTTAGTCTTTTAAAGACAGTCGGTCGGCCTTGGCCATCCCAAATGGATTGAGATATAGCAAGCATATTTTTCGCAGCCATCACATCACGATTCCAAAAAATATTGCATCGTTTGCAAATCAATATTTGATGGATGTGCGAGGATTTTTCGTCAGTACCGCACCTCATGTTTTTTAAATCATTACTAAAACAAGAATTGCATGTCTATAAAACTATTATTTCAGTCGAAGGTATTGATATACATTAATATACTAACCTTTGATGTTTTAAAATCGTTAATATCAACAAGAAGTAACTCTCCAAGCTTCTCTCCTCTTTTCAATTGTCGATAAAGCTTGTCCGTTACACCGGAGCGCAAACCCTTAAACTTTGTTTGGCTTTTGTTCTTAAGTCCATCGCCAAAGATGATTAAAGGCATTTTATTACGATCCCCTTCTTCGAATTTATCTTTATGTTCTCTTCATGCAAGTTTCATTTTTAAAATACAGTCATATCATGGTTTGTTAGTACGCTTACCTTTTGATAATTTTCGGTTTAGATTTTAAAGAGTCAACTATTTTAGATCTCCTTCTCTTTTTACTCTTCTTCTTAGTTTTCCTTCTTTTCTTGTTATACTTTGTTGATCCGTTTAAAAGGATATTAACGGCGTCCTCTATACTCTTTTGTGATGCGATATAATTACACCATCTATTATTGGTAGTTCTAAACCCGTATAAATTAAAAAGTGTATCAATATGTTGGAGAATATACGTAATATACAGTATATAGGTATCATGAGACGTGGTTTTAGGTGAGGGGATATTGGTCTCAATTTGATCAATACCCAAGCTTTTCTTGAGTTCTTGTTCCTCTTTATGTCTTTGCGTAACACCGCCCATATTGTAGTATTCTTTTGAAGAAAGACGTCTCACATCATTGTCTCCATGGTAGGATACAAACACATCCTTCCTTCCGGGATCAACAGTACATGGCCTAAAATAAGTATTTACCTCGTCAGAGTTAAAGTCATCGAGTTCTAGGGCAATGCTTTTAGTTGACGAAGATGGTTCAGTACGACGACAGAATAGTAAGCGGCAAGTATAACCATCGGTGTACATCCCGTTCAAAAACATCTTGCCGTTGGTTGCAGGCAGCTCCTTCAGATCTTTAAGGCTAATAATAATAGACAAAATGTTTATTATTAATATTATATGAAGAAGGTTCTCAATACTCTTTCTTTCGTATGTACCTTCTAATTTTTAGCTTGGCAAAGTTAAAACAATCATAAAAATACCTTTGTGTGAAGCTAAATAAAGTCTCGTCCTTTTCTTTCTTTAACTTTGAGCCAGGAAATATACCAGTAACGTTTTGACTATCGATTTTGATAAATCGCCACTGCAAACCTGGATTGGGAAACAGGCCAAATATTCTCGGCAGTACAAAATGCTTTGCTTTATCATCTTTCTTCTTTTTTTCATCAAATTGAACCGTATCTTGAGGTCTTCCTGGTTCTGAGTCATGCTTCTGTAAAGTAGAATTTTCCGCAATGATTGATTCATACTTGGATAGAATGTGTCTTAATGCCGGTAAAATACCAAAAGGGGCAGTGTTCTGAGTTGCCTTTGTAATTGTGAACGATGGCAAGCGGTTCTTGAGCTCCACAATTAAAGGGTTTATAAATGCCTGTAAACCATTTTTGTTTCTTGGCTTAATGGTGGGAGGATATCATCATTTAGAACGGCAACAGGATCAGATGATAGTACTTGATCTAAAACATGTTCATATACAAGTTTCCTTATGACAGATTTTTTAAGGTCCTAAGTTAAGTTTGTTAATAACTTGTAAGTTAGTGCTTCCTGCTAGTAACTTACAGGAAATTCTTTACAAATTATATAAATGAAGTAGTTGCAGATAATGTTCTGAAAATTCTCAATGTAATAGTTATTATAACACGTAGCAGTAGTTTCACATGCAGTCGCAAGCACTTGACCATAATTTTTCAGCCCATCTTTTTCTACGTTTAAGTTTACCCCCTCTAGATTATTAAGCTCCATCCATGCGTCTTCCAAGTGGTGAATATTGGCATAATTTAACTGAAAGTCTCTGATCGACAGCTGTTTAAAAACCACTCTACACAATAAATACCAGAAATTTTGCTGAAAAAATTCATTGGACAAATTATTGGGGTATTGTAAAATGTAGTCATTGACAAAGATTTGAGCTTTAAACAAAACAAGCCGTAAGAAACTAGATAGATCCTGGATCTTGTTTACGGCCTTCTGTAATCGGTCATCATCATCATCTGTTTCATTTAAAAATCCCTTTAATGGAAGAGATAGTATATCTTTGATATTTAGCACCAATATCCTTTTCGATCAATTCTTGCAAGGTATAGGTATGGTTAGGGCACAATTTACTTCTCGCAGAAGAATGACCACTTGTATCACAAGACTTGCAAATCAGGGTCGATGAGTTTGAAGACGCAGTGGACCTGTTTCTTTTAGCCACACTCTTTTCTTTTTTCGCTTCAAATGTTTCTTTTCTCTTTAGGCCTGATTTATTTTATGAGTTATTATGTTTGGCTATATACTTGAACATATACAGTGCATTTTTACCTCTGTTTCCACCAGCAGGTTAATTCATTGTGCTGGTACTCGTTTCGTCTCCCATCTTAGCAAGTTTAGCTGTTATTTTGGCATTTATAAAATCTTCTGTGTCTGGGTAAATACGAGGTCACTCATATTTTTTTTGTGAAAGAAGCACTGTTTGATTTATTGTCAATTAAATCAAGTTATATTATAATGCTCTAAGTCAACGTCATCTATAGTAATTGAAATTTTGTTTCTCCCCCTTTTTTGCTGTTATAACATATTAACTGAGATTTGCGTAAAAAGAGCTCATAAAAATACACCTTTAATTACATTATGAACTGTCAACGCAGGATATGAAAACTGTAAAATCCATAGGATACATCCTTTGATAGCCTTTGTCTGGAAACTTTTTTATTCTCTTTGTATATATATACACATATGTATTTTACGTTAGTCTGAACCATTTTTTCACTGCTGTCTGAAATATATTTTTGTTCATCTGAAAACATTTTTAAGTTTATCTGAAATTGAGTTCTCCTTGTCTTCCCTTTTTATTTTCTTTACTTTTTTTGTTTTCTAAAATGCCTATCATTTCGAAGGAACAAGCTGTGTGTATATTTTACGGCCAAACCTATAACGAGTCTAATGTTGCTGAACTGACGAAAAGGATCGAAGAAATGAAAGATGTTGAGATATGTTATTTGGAAGATCCCACCGAACCTATTTTGGCGTGTATAATAATTATAAACAGCCGGCCATTTCGCTATCACTTGTATCCAACAGGAATCTCACGCACAGATGATAATCAACAAGAGGAAAATAAAGTTCGATTTGGTAATGATAGATGATAGCTGGCAGTTCTCCACGATATCTAATCTTTTTTCTTTTCTTTATTGTAGTCAGTCATGCTCAGGTTATTCAATTTCTTAACATAACATACTTGCACAGTGATCCAATGAATGAAGAAGTCTATGAATGCAAATCTTTGATCAACAGCGACATACTTTCAATGGTTTGGAAATATACCGATTTATTTGACAATAGGACCGTTATTTCTTTTGGCAAATGGTGTGTAAATAGTGTTCGAACTTTTCGAGCTTGCACCGATCTTGCGCCAGTTCGAACGAAGCTCGAACCGAGTTTTTGTACTCGAGCTTGCGCCACTTTTTTTGGGTTCGAGCGAGCATCGATCGAAGCTCGCTCGGCTAAAATGTCGATAGTAGTCACTTTAAAGTTAAGGTCCTTGAAAGACTACAGATGGCATTTCCCCTTGATTTTAATCTTTTCTTCCCTTTACCATTTTTTTTTTTATTTATGCCTTAATAATTCCAACTAAAATGCTTTGGACTTTTATTTAATTGTACAACCAACAAACACATTTAGCATAGAAAATGATACAGTGTTGCGCACTTAACCCAACTAAGCCAAATTTTTACAGCAATCATAGTAACATGACGTAGCAGAATTAATTTAACTGTATTATAATTTGTGATTTATCCGAATTTGGTTTTAAGGCTGGTGAAAAAAAAGTTTTTTTTTTTCTTTTTCCAACTTCTATTTCAATAAATAACAATTTTATTATCATAACTTTCTGTAATTAACATCACTTTGACGTGCACTTTGTGTAATAAAAAGGGCGAGCGAGTTCGAGCTATCGTATTCGCAACCGAGCCGAGCTTAAGAAACTCCGAGCGAGCTCGAGCTGCAAAAAAACGCATTCGAGCGAGCTTAGACTGGAACACGATCGAAGCTCGCTCGAGAGTTTCGTTCTTCATTCCGAACACTATGTGTAAATAAAGTAAACTTCGCAGCTGTACCTTCGAAAAGAAGACAATGTGACAGCGGGAAAGTCAGCGTACGCTCACTGTTTGTTGCAAAAGAGCAGTATATTGGTAAAATAATTTTTAGGATATCATTTATCTCTGTTAACCCGATTTTCAGATGATATAGCAAAAAAAGTACTGGATTACTTGCCTCACTATCAGTTGTTTATTAAAAGTCTCAAGAAGAAAAAATACAACATTGTAGGCTATGCAAGAAAATCTCGAATGTTGGCTGATGTTCAGATGTCAAGTCGGTATGAACCAAAGAGACCCCAAAAAAAGTCTCTCCTACTGGTGGCTTACATGGTAACTATAACAGAAAAAAGATAAAAAAATAAGGGCAAGCTCTCAATAGTACTTTATTTGTTTTGTCTAGACACTCCTTATGGTAATAGCTACCGTAACAGCGTGGATATCTCTGGCACTGCAAGTTTTGTTTATTTCACCAGGTTTGATATAAATTTGAGTAATAAATGAAAACGATGAATCTCGTATTCGGCTATTGCAACAGATGGCCAGTAGATTAAAAGAAAGATCGTTGGTCGACAAGATTTTCGTTTCCCCTCGTGCCAATGCCAATGAATTGATGGTAGAAAGGGATTTGATAAGAAATGAAGATATTTTAAAACAACTGACTGTCGATGGTGACGCTCAAGGTAAAAAAAAGTCTTCAATGCATTTATCTTTGATTCTAACAACTTTTTAGATTTGCTTAATTACATCAACCAAAATAAGAAAATTTGCTTAATTATTCTCGGTTATGCGGGTTTATCAACCAATTGTAAAGATTTGGAAACCTTTCTACGGTAATGTCGTAAAGACACGTTTCACGATAGTAAAATACTGAATTTTTTTTTTATAGCAACAGCAAGAATATCTGCAAAATTATAGTCGATCACTTGCCATTTGACAACACAATTAACATTTATGATTGCTGCGAATTACTTCAGGATCCAAAAAAATTGGAGATTTTCAACTGTCGAAGAAGGGCATACCAGCGATCAAAGTGATTCTAATTTTTATGATTTATCTACGATTATTCAGTCCATCTATCTTAAATCCCATTATCATGTTATCGATTATTGATCCCCTATACTTTTTTTCCCACCTTTCTCTTTTCTCTTCATAAAACATAGTTTAAACCATTGTATACGAAATGACTATCTTGACTGCAGTTTTATTTGTGAATAAACTTGATTGACCAAAACTGGTAACAAAAATCAGCTTGGAGGAAATAAAGTAAAATATATAAGAACGTAAATTAGAAAGATGATGACTCCATTAAAGCATAAGACCTCTTATTATAAAAAGCTACGCTTTCCCTCTATTTTTCTTCTTGAAGTTGGTCTTTTCGATGAAAACTGTGGCATATCGCCGATATTTTGAAGGATAAGACTTCATAGACAAGAGACAAACCAAAATAAATTCGGTGGGATCTTCCAAATAACATATATCAACATCTTTCATTTCTTCGATCCTTTTCGCCAGTTCAGCAACATTAGACTCGTTATAGGTTTGGCCGTAAAATATACACACAGCTTGTTCCTTCGAAATGATAGGCATTATAAAAAACAAAAAAAGGAAAGGAAAGAAAAAGGGAAGGCTTTTTTCATGGTGGACACTGTTGTATACACAAATATTACGTAGTGTATACAAGCACTATTTTGTGAGTTACTTTAGCGAAGAAACTCGAAATAGCTATTTTGCGTCACCTCACGCACACGCGGTTTACACGTAGCATCTGCATTAACAAATGATAAAAACAACTTATAAATAATACCACAGCTTACAATGCACGCATGGTCCACACATGCTTACTGCAACATGTTCACATTATAAATCATTCTCTCAGCCTGCTCTATTAATTGACGAGTACCGAAAGGACTATGTCAATTTCTATATAAACCATCCTCTAATTCAATAATAAAACGATATTCAATTTACCCAGTCTCACAATTACCTTTTTCTTTATTTTATAAACTGTCTATCTTGTTTGATAGAACTTTTTTTTTTGTGAAGAATATAATAATTTGAAACTATCGTTTATTACCCCCCTTTTTTTCCCTCAATTTTTAATTTTAAAAAAACACTTGTCAATGACAAAACCCTATGCTCAACGCTACCATCGCTACGCGGTCTAGAGCCGCCAGTACAAATTCTAGTAACAGTGGTGTCATTGAACCTATTACTACTACCTCTTTGGATGTCTCTGACGATGCTAGCACATCAGCTGACGACATCAATGACAGTACGTCAGGCAGGATTTCAGCCACAACGACCACCAACATCAACTCCAGCAACATGGATCTGGATACAGCCAATATGAAATCCCTCGCAGATCTGGATCTAGACAGCTTCATGGATGTTACGGAAGTCCTCCACAATTTTAAAGTAGAGACAAATGCTTTAATTATTAGATTGTCGTAGCTGCTTCAGCCAAAAATAAAGATATCAATATGGTAAACAGCTTACACCAAGAAGTGAAATCAAGACAATCAGTATTGAAGACAATTTTGGAAGCACAAAATCTTACATCTGATTCAGATAAGGAAAGTAACGCAGACAATAACGGAGACAAGCGCTCTACGGTGCCTAACAACATGCCCTTATTTAAGTAGAACACAGCCACCAATTCTGACACTGGTTTTAACAGCCTCAAGGAATGTCTAATGAGGTTCGAGGACATACTAAACGCACGTATCTATTTCCCGGGATTTATATTTGGGTCTCCTTTGAATGTAAGTGACACGCCTGATTCAGTATCACCTTTTAAAACGTGGCTGCTGCTATGAAAATCGGTATAAAAATGCACAATTTGGATGTAATGCAATCAAGGAGTATCATATATATAATATTAGTAAATACATCAGACCTTTGAATATGATATAACTCTTTATATACAATGGGCTTGTTGATCTGTTCTTGTCCTACTATACAGCAAACCTTTTGTGCAACATTTCGGAGTGTTTTTGACATTTTAAAACTTAATGTACGCTCCGCTACCAAGGAGACAATGGCAAGTCTCACTGTGATTGATAGCTTTATAAAATATAATACACTAATAAACAATGTAATGTAAATTAACTTTATCCTCAAAGCTTCTGGTAGCAATTTTAGACAGTGAATGTCTTATCAGAAAAGAAAAGAGCCCCTAACAATTGTTTTATTTGGCCTGATGGAATTGTACGTCGGTACGCAGTTCCCTAGATGGAATTGTGAGAAACCTGATCCAAAATCAGTAAAAAATTTTAATAGCTCTCGTAAGTATTCATCTCAGCATGCGTAAGCCCTATTTTTTTTCTAGACCGATTGAAAGACTCAAAATAATTATCGTGAAGGGTTCACTTTGGTATCATGGAAGTGTGCACTTATCCGAAAGGTAATTATTCCACATAAAAACTAAAACTAGTTTTTCTTTTACACGACGTTACAAAACAATATGCTTTATAAACAAAGAATTACTTAATACGTAATAGATGATGCAAAGACATTGCTGTGTTAAGCATACATATGGTCCCAGCTACTCCATAAGGAGGGTGTAAAAACTTATTGATTACATGCTGATGAGCAAGCTTTAGAAGCCTGTTTTATCGAAGGGTAAGCCTTCCCCCTTCTCGAAATATAAAATCAGCAATGGCTCTGATTGGTTTCAAGAAATATACATAATAATGCGTCACTCTGCAATGAATTTGTTTGGATTGTTTAAAAGGTCACCCTTAAAAAGACCAGCCTTCATGTGAAATTAAATGTGATGACTCTTGAGACTAAAACCAGTCATCTTTGTCACCAAACCTGTCAAGTGCCCTGGGATGAAAAAGGTACAGAAAGTTTAATTGCCCCAAAAGGAAAATCAGTTAAATCGCGTATCTTTAAACCGGAGCTCCACAAATTCTCGACCAACAAAAACCCGTGAGGTTCATGATTCCTTTTCTCTTTCCTTTTCCCTTTTTCTTTTTTTGAAATGCTTAGATCTCTTCTCCGTACAACAAAGGCATGTGGTGTCCAAGTCAACCAACGCAGCGTTAGACTTTCATCGACAAAGCATGGTAAGATTTCGCGTTCTCTTTACATTGGCAGTCGTTTTGACTCTGTTTTGTAGGTAAGGTTTTGACAGTTGAAACCATGCATCCTTTGGTCAAGAGTGTCGAGTATGCTGTGCGTGGTGCTTTGCCCATTCGCGCCGAAGCTTTGAGTGCTGTAAGTAAAATAGTTATAAGCCTAAATGGGAGACAATGGCTAACATTCATGTTTTTCTTTAGCAATTGAAAAAGGATCCTTCCAAGTTGAACTTTGACAAGGTGGTTTTCTGTAACATTGGTAACCCTCAACAATTGAACCAGAAGCCTATTACTTTCTTTAGACAGGTAAGGAAATCAAATAAAATTAATGAAAAGCCTAGTGAGGTTAAACATGCTGGAATAGGTTGCCTCTCTTTGTGAAAACACCGAGTTATTAAAGGCCGAGAACCGAGAACTTGTATCTAAGTTGTACCCTGCAGATGCTATTGCTCGTGCTGAAATTTTGTTAAAGAACATTGGAAGCATTGGTGCTTATACTCATTCAAAGGGTGTGCCTCACATTCGTGAAAATGTTGCTAAGTTCATTGAACGTCGTGATGGATACGCTGCCGATCCCGAGAATATCTTCTTGACTCAAGGTGCTTCCGAAGGCATTCAAAAGATCATTCAAATGTTGACTCATAACACCAAGTCTGGTATTATGATTCCCATTCCCCAATACCCTCTTTATTCTGCCACTCTTTCACTTGTGGATGCTGCTCCTGTGCATTACTACCTTGAAGAGAAAGAGGACTGGGGATTATCGCGTGCCGAACTTCAAAAATCTGTGGATGAGGCCCGTAACAACGGCGTCAATGTCTGTGCCTTGGTTATTATCAATCCAGGTAACCCTACTGGCCAATGTTTATCTGAAGAAAACATTCGTGAAATCATTCGTTTCTGTCATGATGAGCGTATCGTCATCTTGGCTGATGAAGTGTACCAAACAAACATCTACCAACCTGAGCGTCGTCCTTTCCACAGTTTCAAAAAGGTATTGCAATCTATGGGCCCTGAGTTTAATGAACAAGAATTGTTCTCCTTCCACTCTACCTCAAAGGGTATGATTGGTGAGTGTGGTCGTCGTGGTGGTTACTTCGAGTGCGTCAATATCGATCCTGCAATCATGGATCAAATCAACAAGATCTCTTCCATTTCGTTATGTCCTAATGTCCACGGTCAAATCATGGTTGATCTTGTGACAAATCCTCCCGCCGAAGGAGATATTTCTCATGCTCAGTACAAGTCTGAAGTCGATACTATTTATCAATCTCTTGCCCGTAGAGCTACTAAGCTTGCCCATTGTTTCAATGCATTAGAAGGTGTTACCTGTAACGAGGCCGAAGGTGCCATGTACTTATTCCCCAAGATTGACCTTCCTGCCAAGGCTATTGAAGCTGCTAAAGAGGCTAAAATGGCCCCTGATATGTTCTATGCTTTAAGCATGTTGGATCATACCGGTGTCTGTGTTGTCCCTGGTTCTGGTTTTGGTCAAGAGGCCGGAACCTATCATTTCCGTTCCACTTTCCTTCCTGAGGAGCATCTCTTTGATGATTTCTGTGGTGGTCTTGAAAAATTCCACAAGAGTTTCTTGGATAAGTATAGAGATTGAGGTGCGATACTTTCGTATAAATAATAAAAAAAGAAAAACATGTATGTACAATTAGCTTTTTTTTTTTGTCTTCTGTGGCGTTAAGGAAATTAGGTACGCAGTAATGTGCTCATGACAGCCACCAGATCTGGGTGAGTAAGACATATAAAGGGCAATAATCCCGATTTATTTTTCATTCCTTCTTTTTCACTTTCATTTTTTTTAAAAAAAAAATGTACAGTTATCCACGATATCAAACGCACAGACCTCAGCCTTATGGTTATGGCTCTGAAGAAGAGTATTACTACCCATCAAGAGATATTGATTATCACCATCAGTATAACTATATAGACAGTCCACCCATCAGGAAGCGCAAAAATCATCGCCGTAGTCGAAGTTTCTCTAAAATGGATGAGGAGCGCTACCATTATATGAATGAAAACGCATACTATCAGGGGCCACATCGATTGGACGGAGTAAGATCCGTGTCACCACCGTTCACAGGAAGGCATTATGACTATAATAGTATAAACCGAAATATGTATAATGAAGAAGCTAATAATAGTCGGCGAGCACAACCTCCTTGTTTTGTAAACTTGAATGGACCCATGATAAATCCCATGACAGCCAATTATTGTATGCCGCAAAGTCTGGGCACTACTTGTCCCACTACCACCACAAATACGTTTATTCCTCAAAATAATAACGATTTCTTTTACATGCCACAAAATGTACCCATGATACAACCCTATTTTATGAACCAACCTAATAATAGCAATCATTTCCTATCATCATACTATCATCATCAACCAGTCTTCCCAACATTTATGCCAATGCCAGCATTACATCCAGATATTATCCTTCCACAAACATTACCTTCAGAAGAAGTGGTAATTTCATCGCCCGATAAAGAAGTTCCACCTGTAATTGAGACAGAGGTAACTAAAGAAACGACGGAGGCTGTTCCAGACCAGCAGCAGCAAGTTCCACCAGCACTACCAGCACCGGCACCACCACTTGTGATGCTGCGTCGAAAAAGATCCATAATGGAGGAGATCCTTTCGTCCTTTGCCCTTTTAGGCGATGGCATAGATTATGCAATACCACAAACAGTTAGCAAGCCTCAAAAGAACGATAGTCAGCCTGTTGATGATACCAAGGAAAAGGCAGTAACACGAGACCAACCCTTATACACTTCCTTAAGCGAAGCCCTAGATTATGGCGAGAAGAAGCCGTCTAGCCTTTCAAGAAAGACGTCATTGAAATTATACAAAAAGGCCAGTGCGCTACAGAACAGACAGTACATTTGGTGTTACCGCCCATTCGTAGAACCCAAACAGACCACAGACGAAAGCGAAGAATCATCTAATGCGCTGTGGGCTGCATTTGATATGACGAATCAAGCGAAATTAGATTATCATTACTCGTTTATCATGACCCACAACCAGAAACATCATAATGGTGATGATGCCACCGGCACTAAGCCTAATATAGCAACCGTAGAAAATAATTTGCCTGACATGATAACCGATGATCCTTCGCTAATTCTAATGCTCCATCGGCAATCAACTATACCAAATCCGGTGATGATCTCTTTTGGGGACGGTAAGGCCTGGTATTATACGATGGGAGGAGAAAACGAACCTGAGTGTCATATGCTTGAAATCACTTGCTTACCTACGCATGATCGTCGACTTGTCGTCTCTAATGATCTCCTACAAGAGGAGCAATCTAAACCACTTCGTCGTTCAAAATCCATGGATGGATTAGCTACCAAGTTTTTAAACACTGTCTTTGGTTGGTAGCTTTCAACTCTTTACCTGAATAAAGTTATTTTTTTTGCATAATTATTACTTTTTTTTTTTGTAAATTAAAGTTTTTATTGAACTTAATAGTCACACATACACGTAGAGGTGGGACTTGATGAGCTTGAGGGGATAAGAAATTTGGGGACGTGGATTAATTTAGGTTGTGTTAAGAATAGTATTTTTATCTTATTCGTTGATCGAATTTCTATTCAGTATGATGGATATTTGTCTGTTGCTTTTGTTGATGATAGTTTCAGCTACAAATGGTATGTTATGGATGATGAATTGCCAGTAAAAGTACCATATATAATAATTTGTTGTGGAAATAATCACCAGGAAAGGGATGTTTCGACTAGATTGTGTACCGAATGGAGTTTCCATATTATATAATGCTTCCAATATATTACTGTTGGTTACATTGTATGTAGGATAGTGACTTGTAAGTATTCTGTTCCATATTGTTGATTTGATTGTACATTGAACTATGAAATGTTCTAAATTGTCGACATAGTTGTGACATAGGCGACATCTTGGACTGTCAATTGTTCCAATTTGATTTAGGTATTTTGATGTTGGTAATTTCCTTGATGCATAATTATTACTGCGATTTTTTCCTTCTCGCATGTTCCGTGACCGGGATTTTACTGTGGTACTTTTATGTATCCGATCTTTGTTAAAGAACGCGTTTTTCTTTCATAAACAAATACCATCATGTCCGCCTTCCTCCAAACAGTGCAGAAGAAGTTCAACGAAGCAAAGGAGAGTAAAGATTTAGTCTCGTTTGACACAACTCAAGTAGAAAAGGAGAGCAATGGCATGAACGTAAGACTACTTTAGACTTGTCATATTTTAATCTACTAAACTTTGACGCTCCCTTTAAAAAGTTCACCATTAGTTTAGTTCCTGCCCTCAATGAAAAGCCCAAGAAAGAAGAAGGTGCTGAGAAAACAGACCCATTCTTAAACCCCAATCCTGCGTTGGTTATCAAGGAGCTCGATGATCACATTGTTCTCTTAAACAAATTTGCTGTTATTCCCAACCATTTGCTTGTAGTCACAAAAGGTATGCTTACATAGAAAATATAAGTTAAAAAACTGTCTGGGAATCGAAGCTGACATATATTGATAATAGAGTTCAAAGAACAAAGTGAACCACCTATGCCCAACGATTTATACGAGTCATTTAAAGTGTTGAAAGATTTAGGTTCTTCTCAACCCAACCTTGCATTTTTCAACTGTGGTGAACAATCAGGTGCAAGGTAAACTATACGCAAATACCAATAATTATCAGGCCATTTAATTTTCATATTTAGTCAAGCACATAAGCATGTGCAAGTAATTTCTTTGAAGAATGACAGTGGGCCTCAACCACCCATCAAGAAATTGTATGATGAAATCCACGACCGTCACATTGGTAAAATTACACACAAACTAGAAAAGAATTGCATAAACTGATATTAAACGATTGTAGGCCAAATCTACGCTATCAACAAACTCCCATTTGTTCATGTTATTATGGCGCTTGATGGAAACATTATCCGTGCAGCCACCGATAAGGAAGATTTGACAGACTATTTAGCACAAATGTTTTTCGGTATTTTGGATGCCATGTTCCAACAGTTACGTGAAAACGAAACACCCAGAACAACGTCTTACAACTTTTTGATGACAGACGAATTTATGATGTTGATTCCCCGTAGCAAAGATACAGCTACTGTTGAATATGATGGTAAGAAGTTTGACTTCTCCATCAACTCGCTTGCTTACGCTGGTTTGCTGTTGTGTAAAACACAAGAAGAGCTTGAAGTCCTTCAAGCCCAAGATAATTTAATGGAATTGCTTACTCAAACTGCAGTGGCCTGGAACCCCAAGGCTGCTCAATTAGAGGCCGATAGAAAAGCAGCCGAAGATGCCGGTTTGGCATAGTTTTGTTTGTTTTCTAAATTTTAGTATGTGTCTATGCACATTTAATAAACGAGTGCTTTTTTTTTTCAAATGTATGTATGACGGCTCAAACGCGTTATTATAAGAGATGATACGCGATTGGGGTTGAGAAGTCGATCAATGTACATCAAACAGATGGATGGGCGTGACTGATAAATCATATCTTCGCGTCTAGTCTAGATATCCAGTCCCTATCCAAAAAAAAAAAAAAAAAAAAAAAAAATAGCTTTCCTCCCTTTAGGTCATGGGCTTCGAGAAGAACGGAAATGAAACGATGAATTCTCAACACAAAGACCAACAAATACTCAGAAATAACCAGGCTGATTTAAAAAACACAGGTACAATAACTAGCGTAGTGTTTCTTTTTGTTTTTGCTGAATTTTGTTTCAGATCTTCATATGGATCAGTCTTCCAAATTACCAGACGATCCGCTCCACATTCCTGCATCGCATTTAGACACCCATTCAGTCGGTTCTGATGACTTCGATGCTCTGTTTAGTGACGATGCTGAATTTGAGCTGGCCCTTAGAAACAATCTATTGGAGGATGACACATTTATCAATAATTCACATTTGGATACGAATCACAAACCTCCAAATAACGAATATTCAACGGCTAAAGATGATATAAATTTGCCACAAGATGAATGTTTGTCTTCCACTGACTATAATGTTGATATTGACTTACCAAAAGATGAATGTTTGTCGCCCATTGACTATAATGATGATATTGGCTTACCAAAAGATGAATGTTTGTCGCCCATTGATTATAATGTTGATATTGACTTGCCACAAGATGAATGTTTGTCACCCATTGACTATAGTGTTGATATTGATTTGCCAGAGGGCATAACGGATTTGCTAGAGAATATTTGTTCGCCACCTATGAAAAACACTGTTAATATTGACCTGCCAGAAATCGTTACGAGTCAAGCAGTAGGAAACCTGAAGATCAATCAACCGCTTCCAATCATAGAAATTGACAGTGCCGCAGAAAGCCGTGAAATTTCTCTGTCTCCACCACCTAGTCTTCCTACTCCATTATCTGAATCATCCTCCTCCTCCACCACTACCACTACCACTGCTATTACTAATGCCGATATTCCGACAATAACCAAATCGATTTCAGCGTCTTCTTCCACCGCTGTCAGAAAAGAAATGCTACCTCCCAGACGTATATCGACAAGACAGCGAAGCGAAATTCAATTAAAACCATACACTCTCGAGGGCGCACGATATGCTCAATTACTAGGTCGAGCACCATCCAGTTCTAAACTGAGTAATACTCAAATCATGTCTCTTAATGATGACGATGATGACCAAGATTTCACGCTGACTCAAACTCAACCTACATATGAAGATCTGGAAGAAATATTTGAAAATAGTCTGATAGAAAATCTCCATCGTATACAAGAGCGAAATAAGCAGGCATCACTCACTAGAACTGACAGTTCAGGACTCGATTCGCTTAGTAACGCGTTTGATGGCTTATCTTTGCCAAACACAAGTAGAGTCAAAGATACAGTGAAGAAAAAGCCGATAACATTTCAAAAAAAAGGAAGAAAAAAGATACATCCTAAGTTGTCTTTACCTTCTAGAGCGGCAAAGCCCCCTCAGGAAGAAATCTTTAATTTCGATCTTTACGAAAAAGAAAAGGCCCAGAAAACATCCACCACAACCCCGATTGTCATTAACGATAATGTCGCGTCAAATAGCCGAGAATTGGACATGGACTATGATCAAGACATGATGGATATTGATGATATTTATGATGGTAACGATTATAATGAAGATTCTGTAAATAATGAAGGTAAAATTAATGAAGATGATCCAGATATTTCAGGTAAAGCTAATGAGACTATCTTAGATAATGAAGATTCTACCAATTTTGAAGACGTTGACAATAATGATGATGGTGATGATGATGATGAGGATGAGGACGAGGATGAGGATGAGGATGAGGATATGCCTGTATTTAAACGCCCCCCTTTGCATAAAAGGGGTATTTTGTTAAGCGATAGCGACGATGAATCAGACATTGAAACAGAGCGAAATACCACCCGAAATAATCAAGAAATGACTCAAGAAGAAATAGATGCGGTATTTGATTTCCCCACATACTCCCACAGACGCCATTTACGAAAAGCAGAGGATATGGTAGTGCCTATTGTTAATGATGAATCTGAGTATCCAGAAGTAAAAAGAACAAGAATGAGTATCAAAGATTTGAAGGCGCATACACTAAAAAATGTGCTGCCGGCATCGTTCTACAAGCTAAATGAAAGTAAATTTCGCGAAGAAATTCAGCAACGCAAATTATCACGGCAACAACAGAAAAAAGTACACCATGTTACTTCAGCTACAACCTCTCATAGTGACCGTGTACAAAGGGATGCGGAAGATGTGTTTGCTGCATTTCGTTCGGAAAGTGATGAGGAAGAAGAGAATACTGCTTACACCAGCAATGCATCCTTCTTTAGTCCTCCCCCTTCAGTAGGAACTAGCAAAGAAAAAGAAAAGGCCCTCCAAGCTCGAAACGACTTTTTCAATACAATAGCCAACCCCTCTCCTTCAGTAACAAGTTATAAAGGGAAAGAAAAAGTCCCTCAAGACAAGCATGACTTTTCAAGTAGAAGGACCAACATTCCTCATTCCGTGGGGGTCAGTATAGGAAAAAACACAGTTCCTTTTACCAGGAATGATTTTTCAAATGTCGTGACCACACCAAGAAGTTCCAGTACAAGCGGCATAGCTCATATCTCATCAGCGTCTCCTACAACACGTCCATTGCAACGTAGAGTATCCGATCCGAATTCAAGTGTTCCAGGACGTCCTTTAGAAGCTATAGAATACAATAGAATACCTGGACAACGTTATCATCCTGGTGAGAGTATAAAACGTATCCCTTCAGCGTCTTCTACAACACGCCAGTTACCACGTAGATTATCCAACCTGGATCTAAGTGCTCCCAGACACCTATCAGAAACTAATGGAGACAACAGAATGCCTAGACAACGTTATAATTATGGCGAGAGTACACATATCCCTTCGGCATATTCTACAACACGCCAATCGCCACGTAGATTATCCGACCCGGATCCAAGTGCTCCCAGACGCCCATCAGAAGCTACAGGTGACAACAGAACGCCTAAACAACCTTATCGCCCTGGTGAGAAAATTAACATGGTATCTGCTCAGCCTGATAGATCAGCTACAAAGTCTTCCTTTTCAGCCTCCAGTTCTGCCTGTGTAAAAAGACCTGGATCCAATGCAGAAATAACGAATAATTCAGAACCACAAAAGAAAAAGAGAAAACCAAAGAAAACACCACATAATGTCTACATGCTACCACCGTACTATACGCCCGAGTGGCTGGAGGAACAAGGACTAAGAATACCCAACAATAATACCATACCTTATCCTAATCCTAATCCTAATACTGCCGGTACAGTTCAGGAACGTGCCAGAAAAAGAGCATTGGATGACATTTGTGTGAATACAAAACGATCAAAACTATGGGTTAGAAGTGGTTTAGCATTTAATCTTAAAACTGCAGCCCTTATAAGAGCCAAGTACGAACAACAAGTTTCTTCGAATAGCGCGATACAGCCCTATTCCCTGGAAAGCGTTGCAAAAAAAGTGTATGAAATAATGGATAACAATTTTCGACGTCTATCTGGGTCGGAAAAGACGGTATATTTGCATCACAAACTACTACTGCCTATCTTAAATCCTAATTTTGACACAAAATTATATTATGCTAATTTAAAAGAAAACTATTCTGAATTAGTCTTTTTTGAAAAAGATTATCAATGGAGCCAATTTAGCCCTTTCAGAAGAGAAATCAAACCTTTTGACGGTCTTTTTAAAAAACTATTTCGAGATTTTGCCGAAATGCGTCGTCGCTCCAAAGATAACCCAGAAACTATCCAAGACGAATTACCTGGTCATGATCACTTTTACGTCTTTATTTCGCTTTACATCTCACAATGGATTCCTCTCCATGACGCTGAAGATCAACAACGATCGGTAAATCTTCTTGCACGCCATATTGGAGGGTTAACGGGATTGATCTCAAAATTATCTGAGGCTGAGCAACGTGAGAATATACCCTGGAAACCAATCATTAAACTTATGCTGTTTATTTTGGACTGGAGTTGTAGACTTTATAAATTAGGTGCGATCAAAGTGATTTGCTCCGTCACCAACTGTACTGCTATTCTGTTGGATATCCTTGTCTCTATTGGCATTAAGCCTCTCAAGGACAACAAGGAAGAGTATGTAATCGAAGCTTGGTATTGTCTGTTTCACGTCATGTCAGTTTCCTATCGAAACAGTGGTTATGGATTTAAGGCGCGGGTCTTCGTTGATCAAATGACAAGTAGCATCCAGCGAAAATTAAAAAGGGAAGTGGAAAAACGACGAACAATTTACTTGTGGGTTGAAACTTTGACAGATTTGCTGACAAATCATATAAAGTAATAACAAATACTGTTCCTTTTCTTAAATATATCAAATAGTCTAGCTTGCCTTTCAAAAAAAAAAAAAATACCCTTTGTCATTAGAACAACTGTTCATTGTTTGTGTACAATAAAATTGAAAAAAAAAAAAAGGCATTTTATTTCTTTTATATACATGTAGCTACGATTCGCTTTAAACGTGTCTTCTCTTTGGTGATACTTCGTCATCAATTTCCATATCGGCATCTAACAAAGTACGTTTACCATTGTCTCTTACAGCTAATTCATCAATATCATCCATATCTTCTTCCATTAAAACAGTGTTAAACTCATGTGCGGGAGTCTCGGCATTGTTGGCTCTTTTCGTGGCATCTGTTTAGATAAAAAGTGGTGAGTCGTTTTACAAACGTATGTTAAATGAGGTATAATTTTACCGTAACGAAGGCCCTTCTTTTTCAAGAAAGAATCCATAGTCTTGACATAGGACATATAGAATTCCCATTCCTTCTGGTCTTCTTCAACCTCTAATCCATTTTGTCGTAAACTATCTTCCAAATGGTTATGGATTCTGGCAATGTCACGAGCACGTGTAAGCTCCTTTGCAAAGACAGCAAGGACCTTAAAGAACTTGAGGGCATTGTCTCTCTCGTCATCCTTATTACTTTGATATGCTTCAGCAGCCTTCGAAAGTGCAAAGGTGATGCCATCGATATGAATACGCTCGCAAACAATCTGTGCAGGAACTTGTCGAACCACATCAATTCGATTGGCCTGTTTTAATGATAGTGTTTCAAGACGGGCAAGTTTTAATGTTCTGTCAATGGTTCGGCTTGATCCACCAACATTTGTATTAAAGGACTACATGTAAAGATCCGAATATATTAGCCTTTTTTCCTTCTATCTTTATTTCTTGTCCATATACAACTTACGGTTTTTAACGACTCCAAATAAGATCTACAGATACCGTCTGCTGTGTTTTCATCTGCAATAAGATCAACTTGTAACTCCGTAACCAAAGCCTGGATAATTTCATCAATTTCAGTACCACTGGTTCCATATTGTTCTAATAAAATGGCAGTGTTGTTGATTCCGAATACACCAACAACAATACCACGAGAGTAGCTTGAGACAAGTTTCAAGATCAACTCCTTTTCTTCAGTTTCGTTATCCTTAAGTGCATTGAATGCCTTGATTTTTTCTACGACAAAAGTGGTGCATTCGGTTTGTAAATCACTGGGGCAATGCGTCTTGAGACGCGATAATCCATAATCATCAAACATATCACTGGTGAATAACCAATATATATCCACCATGTAACCAAAAGCGGCAATGCGAACCTCAGGAAGAGGGCTGACGTCTTTACCTGTTACTAACTCGACGAGTTTATCGAATGTCCAATCACGACGACGCTCAATGATTGGAATCACATCACTGGTAGAAGAAGCAGATAGTGCGTTGCATTTCCACATCATGTAACGAGAAAGTATGGTCAACGCATTTTGACTAATGTTTTTTTCTTTCTCATTTCCAAATGCGGCACGGTCTATCAGAGCACCTACATACTCAATGACATTCATACTCATGCCTTGTGAATCGTCCATAGCTGTAGTTGCGTCGGTAAAGTTGATCAAACAAGCCAAACGAAGTGTGCTTACAGAAACGGAATGAATAAGAGCTGGAGTGTAACGACATGTGACCAAATCCTTTCCACTACATGCGTCTCTAAGTTGATTTACGGTTGCCTCCTTTAATGTAGCCAAGTGAAGATTGTTCAATTCAGTCATGCTAACGTTCTTGCTCATGTGTTGAAGAGAGTCCGCGCAGTTAATTAAAAGATCTGTTTGGATAGCACCAAGATAGACCTTGACCAAAGTTTCTAATAACTCTTCGTACTCGGTTTCGGCACGCAATTCTGAATAAACATTAAGGTTCATGACAGAAGGTATACAGATAAGTTGAGTCATTCTGTTGGTGTCGTCAGAGTGTTTCGATAATAATTTGGGTAACACTTGAACCAAGTGACGAGAAATTTCATTCTTGTTTTCCTCCAAAGCAGCATCATCCATCTTCTTCTTTGAACCTCCTTCGCTGACCATATTCTTGTCAAGACCCTTACTGATGGCAGTACGGATACAAACACCGAAAACATCAATTAAGATGGTTTCTTCATCCTCTGACAATCTGTAACATTCCTCGATGGTGTTTAATCCAGTATCCATATCGTCGTCCTCTTCATCTTGTTGTTGAGATTGAGAATGATCACGACACAAATAATCAGATAATGATGAATAATCTTGTAATTCATTCATTTGGCCCCAAAGAGCTTCTACAATATTGGTAATCATAATACTACGCTTCTCGAGTAATGAGCTGGACAAGGACTCCAGATCTACTTGCATATCGCTTGAAGTTTCGATACTGTTGATACCGGCAGTTTGCTGTACCAAGAAAGAAGCAAGACCCTTGAAGCTGACCCAAGTATGATTGATAGGAACAGCGGCAGCAGCGGCAATGGCAGCTGCAGATCGACGACCTCCCTTTGACTTTGTTAAAGTGGTAGTAACCTGTTTAAGCAAAGGTTCAATCACGTTTGTATCAAGCATTGCCTTGACAAAAGGTGCAGCGGATTTACGAACACGAGGCACATCTGAAGCAATCATGTTGGATAATTCTGTACGACCTTTAGGACTCAAAATATCGATCTTCAATTTAAACAAAGCGCTACATAAATTAATAGTATTTACACGAACGGATACATCGACATCATAAAGCGCCATTTCTTCAATACGTGGAGTGAAACGGCGAGTAAAAGCAGTGAGCTTGGAAGCGATATCTTCGATTTTGTAAAGACGAAGTAAGGACTTGACACATTCGGAACGGACGCTTGCACTTTGATCGTTAAAAGCCCAACCCAAGAATCGAATATAATTATTATCTACAAAATAAGCTTGATAACTTTGCATCCAAACGCATAATTCCTTTATACATTCCGCACGAATGACAGATTCAACATCACGAATACGATGAACAAAGATACTGTTGAAGAATTCGGCTAGGAATTCTTCTGTATCATTACATTTGGTTTGTGTTGTGGCGGATTTTTGCTCCATAACATTCAGTTTTTGTCTGCTTCTAGATTTTTCGGTCTTCTTCTTTTCGGCTCTTAATTGTCTGGCAGCAATAGCTAAATCATCTCTAAGACTCTCTCCGACATCACATAAAGCACTGATGATCTTTAATCCAACGAGAGTGGCTGTATGACGGAAAGGACGATAAACAGAACTATAAACAAATTAGGAAATCATGCACCAGCAACAAAAAAATAAGAAATAGTCTATAATTCTTACCTAGACATTGTAGCCAACCAACTTTGTAAGGTTTCGATCAAAATACCGTCGTAAATAGCATCGAATTTACATTGTACAATAATTTCGTGGAATAAGGACAACATATTAACCTTCAGGGCTTTATGTTCTTTTGTTTTGGAGATAATGGGATATTCTGTATGAGGAAGCTTGCTTAATGCTTCTTGAAGCTCTTCAATAGCTTCGACGGAACCATCATCTTTATTAACAGCATCAGCTGTAACTGCAATGGAACATCCTGAACTCTAACGTTAGAAGATAAAAAAAAGGTTAATTTAACTTTAATCCGATTAGTCCGTGAATGAAAGCTTACACGAATGACAAAGTTAATGAGGTCCTTTAAAGCGGCCTTCTTGTTTCTTTTGTAGTCTTTGATCCAATCTTTAGCAACTACGTCCATAGCATTTTCAGGTAAAATGGCGCTGTCTATAAACAAACATAAGTTACGTAGTCATTTGCAGAAAAAAATTGTAGCAGGGACTTACCATAAAGACTAGTTTGAGTGCTCAAGCTAGATTGGTCGACTTGTTCTAATAACTGACTACTTGTGATAAGAGCAGCATTGCTTGCAGAGCTTGTGGTAGCGGCTGTCTTTCTTCTATTTGCAGTAGCTTTCTTTTTCTTTCGTCCAAGTTCTGAATCGCTATCCGAGTTATCGTCAGAAGAGTTTAATTCATCTTCCTCAGCACTAGAGACGTCCATGGTTTCAATTCTTCTCTTGCTCGCAACTAATCACGGGTTATTTCAGTCATTGTTTAGTACGTTCAAGTAATATTCTTCCCCAATTTACCTGCTTTTTGTCTGGAAAACATATCAGGAACAGTCTTTGTACGAAGGGGTCTTTGAGAAGACGCCCCGCTCTAAATAAACCATTAAGACATGCCACTTCTTTTTTCTCTTTTTCTTCTTTTTACACTTACAGCTGACTTCTTTGGTCTGGCCATATTTTGAGAAAAAAAAGTGTTGTAGAAGTGGAAAAAATAAAAAAAAATAACGCGTTAGGGGTTTATTCAATACGCGATACAATTTTAACAGTAACGCGATGGACTACATGCACTGGCCTTGGAATAGTGAAGGAACATGAATGATGAAGACTTATACAAATCAAACAAACGACAGTATTAAAAATACAAGATGAGTGTAATTACTGTCTACTTTATTAATGTAAATGTAAGATATTTGAGCTTTAAAAACCAGTGTATGACCAACTTATCGACCATAACAGAAACATTTATTACTGGTTAAAAACCTTCCAGCCTGTTTCATTCATTGTGTCGATCCATTGATTTAAACCCTCCATGCTTGACGGCAGTTCCCAAAACACGTTATTCGGATCACTTCTGAATAAGTCGTGACCTTGTGTGGCAAAATCTGCATAGGCAGCAGTCTCCGAAGAGAACCCGGATAATCCGTTCAGATTTTGTAAAATATAATCCAGAGATCCTGTATCTGTTGTCGTATCATAGCCAAACTGACTTAACGAAAATGCTTCCGGTTGTACGTTAGATTTTGTCGGTTCATTATTGGTAGGAAGCATAATAGCATCCATAATCGAGGCCATAGTTCCTCTATTGTCATCACTTCCATCTTGGCTTACACTTTCGACCGATTGTATTTCTTCGGTAATTATGTCAGTATCAGGTGTATCGGACATGTCTTTGAATAGTTCATATAAACTAGCTGCTGTAGATGACATATTTTTTATTCTACTTAGTAATTCTGTCCCTTTTTTCAAGTAAAGTTTCGCACTGGTAGATACTTTGGGATCGGGGTTTTTGCTGTTAAACATGTGAATAAGACCGAATTGTCGAAGCGGATACAAAGTAAATGAATAGGGACACATGAGGAAATCTCGTGCGGTCAATCTACAAGCGATACGCATACCTCGTATTGCAGCACTTGTACAAATTTGTAGTGATGTATGTGATGACTTCGACTGACTCGTTTTTTGAATAAAGGGTTGATGGAGTAAAATTAAGCTACTACAGTAAAACATCAACATAGATGCAATAACAGGTGCAAAATGGCCTACATCTTCGTTAAAATCGGGCAGTTGTATTTTTTTTAAAGCTTTTGGGAATTCGTTTCTCCATTGTGTTAATTCATAATCTAGTCGTGTCACCAAACCATCACTTCCATGCTGAGAACTGAATTTTTTGGCCTTTGGTGTATGCAGTCCTTGTAGTATCCTACCCAAAATTTCGGACAGTTTGATAAACTGCACAAACAATTCATAAATTTGAGGCCATTCTCGGTTGGAATTTGTCTTGTAATTGTAAGGTGCCGTTAGACAAGGAAAGCGAGGAAAAACTTCGCTATTTAGAATACGATCTTTATCAGCATCGAATGCGTCCAAGACTTCTTCGATATCTGCGCCAGGGTCAGGATAAGGAACATTAATGTCCTGTTATCAAGAATATTTAATAATCTTTCAAGTACCCTTGAAAAGCGACAAATACTTTACCTCATCGCGAAGATTGATAGGTCGTCCAAGAATGGCTGTTTGAAATCGATCTGTTATGTACAATGCCCACCAAACCCGGTTACGAGTTTCCTTCTCTTTTTTTGGAAGATCCCAGTCTTCACACGATCGATGAAGGCCAAGTAAATGAGCCTGCAAAGATTATGGTAAATTAATGATAGTACCGAAAGAACTTTTATGCTTAAAATTACCAACCGAATAGCCTATAAAAAAGAACAAAGATTCAGTTTTTGCTTGTGATACCATTTAAAAGTACTTTACGTATCCTCCCAATTGCCAGCAAGCAGATGATTTTGAGTCTCTATCACCGCGATGATTTAAAATAATAATAATGGCTTGAACATTGGTTACAGTCTGCAGATTTGACCATTTCGAAATTATATATTCTGCTTGATCAAAGAAGTGGTTGGACCAACCAACAGGAACATCCCAAATTGCATCTGCAGGTAATTTCTTTTTTCGATGTGGCTCCAAACTTTCACATTCGACAAACCGTGCAGCAGCGCCAAACATTGCATTTAACAATTCCCCAGGCGGATATGTATCAACTCTGTCACGATATTGTTTCAAAAATTCGGTCTTGTTGATAACTGGCAAGATAGGATGTATATGAGAGAAATATCTGCACACAAGTATCAGCGTACACATTGGTCATATTTTTCATACATTTGTAAATTATATTTACATTTTTAATAGTCGAACTGCAGTATACCTATCCACCCCAGTTACTGTATATATGTATTTATGGATATCTTCACCTGAATGCATGTCTTCTGGTAAATGAAATACTGGTATTTTGCTAGGTCCCGGTTCACCGGGATCTGCGACCAGAACAACATTACCTCCGATTTTCTTAATCTTGTGGCCCTGAAATGTGCCTTGTTCATCTATTTTATTTGAAAAGAACTGAAGTGTCGATAGATCGCCTAAGTAGTGTATACTATCATACGCTACACCGGATGGCCATTGTCTAGGGTCCAAGACACCATATTCCTCAAAAAGATTCGTCAAAATTGGTGCGCTCTTTTTTTTTGAAACTGCTATTTCAATGGTTGTTTCCATTTGATCAATACGTTCCTCTAATTCGTTCGTATCATATCTAATTGTTGACAGATTAATAAGGTGTTCTCTTTTTAAATAGGCACACAAGATTATTGTACCTCTGGGGTCCTCTCTTCTTTGCGCTGTACAAATATTTAGAGGTATGGCTTTACAAGTAATGAAACGCCCTACCTGAATGTAAACTCGCACTTCTCATTGTAAGCTTTGCAATTGAAACATATGTCATCAGCTTGAAGTGTACATTTAACTTTTCTTCGTCTACAAAAATCGCTAAAATATTTCTTTAAACCGCTTGTTCTGCTCTCATCAAGGATTACTTTGTTTGTTATTTTTACCAGGCTTTAGAAACTCGAGATTTCTTAGATTTGGGTTCCATTATAAAGAAGGAAAAGGCAAAGTTTGTTATTTGAGGTAACTTACAGTTATATGGGGCTAAACAGTCACGGGCCAACTCCAATTAGTGGAGGATGAACCTTTGCGTGCTGAATCCTGCTCGATGTAAGCCGGAAAATTTTAGATTTGCATCACTTATGATGTCAATTAGCTACGGTATACTCGCCCGAGAATTATTAATGACCGACTTTAACGTGCCCCCCCCCACTTGTTTGTAAAAAAAGATATCACCAAGATCATTGTCTATTAGGTCTTATTACACTTTTAATTGACTTTATTCCCGGTAGAACATGTATTATTTTAGGGTAGAAACTAACTTAAAACCATACGTAAGTTCATTTTCCACAAAACCCATTCTGTAGAATAATTATGGATTTGTTTGTTACATAGATTAAAGGATTCGACATGATTCTAAAGTTGCTTTTGATAGCTGGATAGATATGTATGAATTGCAAAGTTTATTCAAGCAAATGCAATTTGAATAAGTATTTATTGTTTTTTGGAATTCAAGCTCGAACTTCATTTATGTCTAGGTAAAGAATCCAGAGTGCATTCGCATTTAAATAGTAGTTCCAAACACGTATTGTGGCATTTTGAGCATTCATCTCCGACCGGTACAAATAATGTATTCAAAACGACGCTTGAGTTGCAAAAATTTGAAAAATTGGCAATAAATAATCCAGATAAACTAAGAATGAATAGGGAACTCTCAGTTAGAGTGTATAGTACTTGATTCACGCCAACTGTGTATGCAAAAAGAGGGCATCTTTATCCCAAGCGATTTGCATAACCTATTTTTTGTACTCCGAGTGTCTCTTGACTGTGTGATTTAACTTAGTACCCGCCTCCAAAACCTGGATACAATTATTTACCTCCCTTAAGACAGTGATACCCGCTACATTGGACACAATGTATGGGATCAATGGAAGACCACCAGTCAACAAACGGCACAGAATGATCCAGCTTTTACAGTCCGCTACAAACACTCGTCACTTAAAGAAGTTTATGCATGATTCCACTGTGCTTTCTCTATACAGGCAGGTGAAGTCTGTTTGTTTATAGAGTGAAGAAAAAAATTATTGCAAAAAGTCTTCATTGGGGGTAATGCATTGGTGATTGCACTTAAAGTCTTACGACGCCACTTGCATTCCAGGGTGGTTGCTTCGTTTGATATCTCGTTGTCATGTGCTATTTTGGTTGATTCCCGAAGATGGCTGGTTTCGTGGCTTTTGCTGAGATATTGGAGAGCTATCAAACCTAAAAAAGCGGTCGAGTGCACACGGAAATTGGTATCCTAAAACTGGCTAGCGAGTCTCCACCTTTTTATGATATAAAAACCCCAATAATTTTTTTTAATGTTTGTCTTAATGTAAATTTCTTGTATCTCGTGGAAAGAAGTAGATAGTCTCATTAAATCCGAAACCTTTTTGATAGCTGTTGTCTATGGAATGTATTTACTGTGACCTTACCTTTTATCATGCTGCACAAACTGATAAACATGACGTTACCTTTGTTTGGATCAACGACCCCAATAAGGTTGTGGGAGAGTTATAAATTTTCTCTCTTTCTTGTTTCTTCTAAATGTTGTACATAATAAGGCTAATGTTGGAGGAAAAGCACAAGATTCAAAAACTTCTACTTATTTCGATGGCAAGTTGTTTCAATGTAGGTAGAGTCGATTTGAGAATAGAGTTGATATGGCCGAGCCGAATTGCGTAAAGTATAGATTAATATCAAGCTTAAACCAGTACTCGATCAAAGTCCTCTTTAGAAAACTGTGTCATCAGTCTAAACTCCTTAAGCAGCTTCTTATTTCAATAGATAAAGGTATATAATAAAAAACTAAGGGCCAGATTAACTGTTTTTTATAAATTTGCGTTAGTTGAAGACTCCGTGTGCTCCTTTATATAATCCATTTATCCACAATCAAAAATTAATTGCAGCGTTAAGCAACGAACAAGGATCTGAGTGCTTATATTACGACCATACTCTTCTTTCTCTAAAGTGCTTGAAGAATTTAGATTACATGCGAAAGCTGGTGCCAGAAAAACGTCATTATTAACGGTAGATGATGGAAAAATAAATGCTCAGGCTATCATAAATTATAATTGTCACGTCACATTAAGGGTAGATTTAGAGACATAAAATGTATCCATGAAGCATTTTTTTTCTTCATTATTGTTGAAGGCTGCTCATAAGGTGTTTCACCTAGTGGCGAGCAAATATTTTAATACCGCTTATGAATAAATTCCGCATATGAATTTTCTCTTGTTTGATGCAATCAATATTGTTATAGCTACAATCAAAAATTTGTGTCCAAACGATCGTTATGTCTAAACTGTCAAAACATTTCATGCTCTTCTCAATAAGTTAAAGAATGTAGTTTTTACAAAGATTCCATTGTAGAAGATAAGCAAATATAAGCAATCATTCTCTTTGGAAGTTGTCAACCTTTTCATTGTTTGAGCAGGAACTGCAGTAAGAATATCACAAGTGGTCCCAAGGGGCCTTATTGTCGTTCCCCTAATTTAAATTTTGTTAACGGGTTGCATGGATTTATATAAATGCTTTCTTTATACTCGAGTAATTTTCTTAGTCATGTGAGGAGCGGAGAAAAGTAATGACAATTAGCTTCTAAATTTGCAAAGTCGATGAACACATAGAAACACAAAGAGAACCAATCTCTTTGTATACCTTTTTTTACGTCATTTTTAAAGCTTGGTGTAACTAACAGCAGCACAAACAGTTTTTCTACATTTGGATGCACAGCATTCAGCCAATGGGTGCAATTGGGGGAATACCACACGGGTTAGGTATAAAATACTATTTTTTTTTTATTACTTCCGTCTTTTTTTTTTTTTCTCTTTTACTCAATTTACCCCCATTAACAACAGATATAATGAAAAAACTCAACAGTTTCGCTTCCAATATGTCTTCAGCCATGAATTCTCCCATTCCTACTAGTTTAGCAGGCAAGTCTTCTCGCAAACCCCCTTCCTTTTCAGCAGCGCGGGAATGCTTGGCATTAACCCTTTATTTATTTTTTCCTAATAGGCGAATGTAAGAAAGCCGCTCGAATTCTCAATAGTTTTGTTGGTAAAGAAAAAAAAAGCTAATAGCTTGTAAAGTACAAACCTAAATAGCTCGCTTATTTTCTTTCTTTTATAGATCCCGGAACAGGCATGGATAAACTCATTCCTGCTGGCATCATTGAAAAAGCGCAAGGTTTAGCTATTTATACAGTTCTTAAGGCAGGATTTTTATTCTCTGGGAGAGCTGGCAGTGGTATTGTTGTGGCAAAGTAAGCAATTTATATACACCTAGAAAGAAAAACAGGGCTAAAAAAATTTTTCTTCTTCTTCTTCAAAAAGGCTCCCAGAAGGCGGTTGGAGTGCGCCATCGTGTATTGGTACAGGTGGTATTGGTGCAGGTGGCCAGATTGGTATATATAGATATTAATTTTTGCAAAAGGGACAACATGACTGAACAACAATTTGTATTAGGTGCCGAATTGACGGATTTCGTATTAGTTTTAAATACAAAGGAAGCTGTCAAGACTTTCAGTCAAGGTGGTAATGTCACTTTGGGTGGCAACGTATCAGGTAAAAAATAGGCTCAAATAAGGAATGGATAACTGTGAGAGAGATACTAAAAAATGTGCCTAGTTGCTGCTGGACCTATTGGCCGTAATGCCGAAGCATCCGGTAGTGCCAGTTTAAAGCATATTGCTGCCATTTATTCCTACAGTAAAACAAGAGGTTTATTTGCCGGTGTCTCATTAGAAGGCTCCGTTGTAGTTACACGTGGTGACGCCAACGAAAAGTTTTATGGTCAACGTGTTACAGCTAAGGAACTTTTAAGCGGTGTCATTGCTCCTCCCCCTGAAGCAGATGCTTTATACAGAGCTTTAAACGCAAAGTTTCATACCCTGGGCGCTCAAACGTATTCTCCTAGTTCGGATAATACAAGATCCCTTGGTCGTAGCGGTACTGCCTTCAAAAGCACTCATATCTCTGCTCCAGGCACATTAAGACAACCTCCCCCAGTTCGACAGATTGGTGGTTATGGCGCCCCTTTAGCCATCCAGCAACAACCATACAATCCATCCTCTCCTCCTACCTATCAACCTGGCCCACCACCAGTAGCAGCAGCAGCGGCTCCTCCACCACCCACCTCAAACTACAACAATGGGTACAGTCCAGATGTGAAAACACCTGCTGCATACAATAATAACCAATATAATGCATCTCCAAGCTACAGTAATAACGCCAGTCCATCTTATACCGCACCCGCTTATACGAATAATCAACCCGCTTACACGAATACTCAACCTACTTATAATAATACTTATCAACCACCACAACAGGACGCCAGCAGTTATGCAAGTCAAGCAGCTACAAAACGAGCTCCACCCCCTCCTCCACCTAGCAGAAAGCCTGGAGAACACACTGCAAAAGCATTATATGCATTTGATGGCCAACAACAAGGCGATTTAAGTTTCCAAGAAGGAGATTTGATAACCATCGTTCAAAAAACAGATAGCCAGGATGATTGGTGGACAGGTAAATTAAACGGTAAACAAGGCATTGTAAGTATTTTAAGAGTTGTGAGGTTAATGAAAGGATGGGACCATTAATCGTGTGTTTTTCCTATAGTTCCCCGCAAATTATGTTCAGTTACAATAAATTATAGAATTATAATAAAAAAGAGAGGAAAAGCAATGTATCCTAAAAATGATACGTGTAACAAATAATAGATCAAATTGGTTTACATATGTAAATTTTGCACTTCATAAGACAACATCTCGAGAAACACGAGATCAGTAAAATACGTGAATTAGGCATGTGGCGTACACTACCAGTATACAGCCTCTTCCCTACTTCATTGTGCGGGTATTGACGCTACACACATACGCATCCTTCGCCACAACGACTTGGATCGCTTTTATTACCTCTGTAAAGAGAATGCTTCAGTACATACGTTCTGATAATCATGGTAAATTGACTATATCAAATTGCTCTTGGTGGTAAAGTATTATGCAGACAGGGTCTTACACAAGAGACCTCTTCTTATGAGTAAATGGGGCTTTGACCTAAAGTGTTCCTCCAATAAGAGAGAGTAATAAAAGTGCTGTATTCTGGGTAAAAATATTGCATTGCTTTGTAATCTTTATTTTTACCCGGTACGTAATTTATCGATCGGAATCTGATAAATCATTTGAAATCAGTAAATTTATAGAACCCCATGATAAAATCTCTGTGTTATTCTGTAATAAGTAAGGTCATTCTACGTTACAGCGGAACGCGGAATATTGTTAAAGAGCCAGGTTTCTGCAAGTACTCGAGTTATTTATCCTAATGCAGTCTCGAATACAGTACTTCAACATCGAGAATCTTCTATGTGATCAATTGTACAAAAAAGACTGTCAATGAAATAAATGTGAGAACCAGTGTACTTGAAGGGATTAAGAAAAGTTACACCAACTAGAAGTTCTATTTTTACGAAAACGTTAAAGTCTAAAAATGTGTGTAAATTTATTATGATGTATCAAGGAAGAAAAAAGAAGATTTCTATACTATATTTGAAAAATATTGGCAAACTTTGTTACTGAGCGAAAGCCCATCATCTCCACGAATGATGGTGCCAATGTATCCATCAGGTCGGACAAGAACAACATGCACTTGTTCACCTTCGGAATGATTCTTGATGGTTGCATCATGTTTACGGTGATATGCTCTATGGCATTGTGCTTGATTTAATTTATCAATAACCACACGTTCGCTATCTAATAAACTCTTGTAATTGGCAACCTGGTCTGCAGTACTTGTAGTAACCACCACGACATTTGTAGGAGGTAATAATGTATTTGCTTTTGCAGTTTCATTCAAAAACTTGGAAACGATATCATGAGTGGATCTTAAATCATGGGCTAATACAAACAAGGTAAAAGTCAACCAGCTGGGCACTTGTGAGTTCTTGACGACGGCATCAAACAAACGAGTCTTTTTACCAGAGACATAGCCAAAGACCTTGTAGTTGGGAGCACGCATACCGGGTTGCATCACATAATCTTTTGACTCATTTCCGGACAACCACATGAGAGATTGCTCATCCTCTGAATTATATTCGTATTTGATTCCGTAACCAGCCGTGAATAATCGATTCTTTTCTACCACATCACAATAGTCAGCAGCTTCATGACCTGCAGCTGCTTTGGCTGCTGTTTTATCAATACTCAGAACTTGTTGGGCAACTCCCCATCTTTCGGAATGGTATGTCGATAAGAACTTTCGATTTAACTGACCCTTTTCAACCATACAAACTTTCCAAATCTAAATAGATTAATTTTTTTAGCCCTTGTGTTGTACAATAGAGTAGACCCCAACACCAAAAATAAATAAATAAAAATAGGCTTACCAAGTTAAAAATGTCACCAAAACCAGTATTGACACCCTGGCCAAGTGTAGGACTTTGAGAATGAGCAGCATCACCACACAAGAACACGCGTCTATCTTCGGAATCCAATCTAGAAGCATAACGTTGACCAACGACATAGATGGACCAATAAAGAATACCCAAGAACTCGATACGATGAGGCAATAAGGCTCTTTTAGCTTCACGTTGAATATCTTCCATTTGAATCTTATTTCTGTTGTGTTGTTCTTTTCTTTGTTCATGCTCATCTTCGTTAAAGTGCACAAAGATACGGGTTAAGCCATTTTCACGGGGGAACATACTGATTGTTTTGGCATGATCACTTTGAACAATACTATAATAAGAAGTGTGTGAATGTCGGTTACCCTTGTTATAGTTTCCGGGGTACATTTTTTCTTACCAAACTTCTTTTCTACTAGCGAAGTTGGTTCTGATTAAAGCATCTAATACACCAGCATGTGTTTCACTTGTTTCACCTTCATTTGTGATGCCCAATTGTTGACGAATATCACTATGAGCGCCATCACAACCCAAAACATACTTGCACTGTACCTCTTCTGATCCTTTACCTTCTTGTAAATGCATGACTGTTGCTGTAATAGGGTATTCACCTTCATTCTCACGGTCCATACTGACGACGGTAGCAGGACGTTCTACCTGGACATCATGCTCGGATAATTGACTTTGAAGACTGGATTCGGTGATATGTTGACCAACGCAAAGTAGATATTCATGCTTGGATTCGGTGTCTTCAGGCACAAAAGGGATCTCCTTTTGAAGTTTACCGTTCATGTAAGAAGACATTTTTTCAACCTTGACACCTGTTTTTATTAATTCGGTTTCTAAACCTGCTCTTTCTAACAATTCAAGTGTGCGACCATGGATCCAGTCACCACGTCCCCAATGGCTAGGTTCGTATTCAATATCTATTTACTTGGGGTGAATATCACATTTATTTTACTTAGTATTAAACTTACCAAGAATACGGACGGTTAAGCCAGCTTGGACAATAAGATTGGCAGCCAATAAACCAACAGGCCCACCACCCACAATAAGAAAATCAACTTTAGAAGGAGGTGCGGGTATATTTATTTCTGATGCAAGCATTGGTATGGTTTTTTTGTGTATAAAAGAAAAAGAGAAAAGAAAAAATTAAAGTTTTCATTAAAAAACAAAAGATTGTATTTATTTATACGTCAGGGGCAATTTTTGGTCTAGTGTATTTTGCATAACGTGTCGCTTGGGAAATAAAAATTGTGGCATGATTTTTTGTTATTTAGAGTAAAGATGGCCCGATTCTGACCTTGAAAAAGGGGTGTGACAGCATGCAAAAAGGTCAAAGAGAATTTATTGCTGCTTTTTTGTTTTGTTTTTTGGAAAAAAAAAAATGGTTAAAAAAAAGAAAAAAAATATATAAAAAAAATAAAAAGTGTATGTATAGGTGGTAATAATGACAATAATAAGTATAGGTAATAAGAAGGAAAAAAAAGAGGAGGAAATAATAATAATAATATAAAATGTAGTTTGTAAAATATAATAATAGGTACATGTTTTTTTAAACCATTGCTTGTGGCTTTAATCGATGATTGCCCCAACCCAACATGGTTTCTGCACCTAAAAACAAAACTTTCCATATTCTAAACAAACATGTAATAAATCCAGTCACACTCTTGTTGCCATTGCTGGCTTCTGTGTAAGTTTGAGCAATGTCCATGGCCACCCAAGCAGCGTCAACAAAGCAAACAGAGACTTGCATCAGTGGCGAGACCTTCTTGGTGGTGACAATTGATCTATTATGGTGTGTTGGTAATGTGCCATAATCACGGAATTGTTCTTCTTGAATTATATCAGCTAAAGATTGGTATGATTCACTTGAATGACGTGTCACACTCTTTTCTACTTCGTCTGTCACCGATCTAGAGTCTGTGCGCTGACTACCACTGTCATTACTACATGTACTACTGCTGCTGCTAGTGCTGCTACTGGTGCTGCTGCCACTACTGCCGCAATCTTGCTCTACCAGAGCCAAAACAGGTCTGGTGTCGGCAGAACGATACCAGTTTAACACCTCGGGTGACATGGATAATTTGCTCTTTTCCACTCCTTCTTCTTCTATTGCTTCTTCTTGGACCTCTTCCTCCTCTTCCTCTTCCTCCTCTTCCTCATCTTCTTCCTTTACCATTTGAAGTTGTTGGCCTTGGTAGTTATTATGACTAATGATTGATTTATATGGATTATGATGATACATAGGATCTTCCTCTTCTTCTTCTTGATTGTCTGGATTGACTACATGTAAAGTAAGGCCGTTGGAATTGTATCTACTATGACCCATCCACATATTTTCATCCATGACGAGTGACGGATTTTCATGTTCTCCGTCATCATCCTCATCTTCATCAGCCGCCGCCATAAACTGAGAAGCGTCAGGAGCAGAAGCACTCATAACCATAACGCCTTCATCGCCGATAACAAAGGCATCGTCATAATAATCATAGTCATCATCGTCCTGTTGTTCGTTATAATACATGTCAGATTGTTGTTGCTGTTGATTATTATTCGCCATTTGATGCGGGGTATAAATAAAATCGCCTTCAGTCATCATCACCTTGGGATGGATGACGGGAAACCTGAGCAAGATTTGTTGAGACTTACTAAATACACTATGAATCAACCAGTTTTCTAAAAAGGTATAAGGAGGTCTCTTTCGATAAGAAGGGCTATTTTGACGCGATATTTTATGGCAAGTAGTATAGAATGTTCTATTTGCTAGATAGAATGAATCATCGTTGGATTCCTCTTCGCTTGTTGGTTGGATGAAATTGTTGCTATTTGTATCAAGATGAAAATCCACCTGTTCATCCATGTAGGGTATAAGGTTTTCTTGCAAATAATAAATATCCTCTTCATCCACCTCTTCTTCCTCCTCTTCCTCCTCCTCCTCTTCTTCTTCTTCGTCTTCTTCTTCTACATAGCCCCTCTCTGCTTGTTGCTCATTCTCTTGTCTTAAATCCAAGAGATTAGCCTGTTCGAATGAATGACTCACCATGGTCATTGTGTGCTATTTTTTCTTTTTAAATTGAAATGCTAAAAAAGTTATGGCGTTTTATATATACAAAAAAAAAATATTAACAAAAAAGAAAGAAAGAAAAAAAAAGAAAATTTTTTTTCTTTTTTTACCACACACTATCACTTCATTATTTTTTTTTTATTTTGTGAAACGGATCTCATGACGACACATTTGAATTACACGCATACTTATAAGCAACCGTTTCCATGGCGACATTGCCCTTTTTATTTTGTTTACCTCCATACTCATTTGCCTTGCTTCAAACAAAGCCCTTTCCCCTGAAAAACAGGATACGCGGCGGGCTTTTAATCAGTGGGCTTTTTTTTTAAAAAAAATGAGACAACAGTTTTATTTCCCAAGAGAATGAGGCACTTTTTGTTTTTTACTGATTATAGAAACAATAGCAAACATTTTATCGCTCTTAATACCGGTTTGGACATTTGTATATTAAAAAAAAAAAGAGAAGAATAAAAATAAAAATAAAAAAGATCTCGTGAAACAAAGGCGGAGAGATTTTTAAAGAAGCACAAGGAGGGAAAATACAACTTACTTTTTTTTTTGCTATCGCCCCCCTTTATTTCACCGCTTGGAGAAAACAGGGTTTACTCTCTCCGCCCCCAAGGGTATTATAACAAAAAAAAAAGACATGAATAAGGTATAGTCTACATTGCTATTTCAACCTCTAAATCCGCCTTGAAATATAATAGATTAATTTCTATTCTTTTTTGATGCACATGATGTTTTATTAAATTTAATAAAGAAAAAAATGCATTGATATCAGAAGGTCATATCATGCGAGACACAAATACCAATTTTTTTTTCTTTCTTCAGTATTTATGCAAGTTACACAAACACTACAAAAACGATAAGCATCCCTTGTTTTTCTGTTGCCATCGATACAGTTAAGCCAATCAAAATCAATGGCGACACTCTCTTTTGTTCCATCCCTTATCGTCATAAGAGAATTATCTTCTCTATTGACGGCCGGAATTTTTTTTTTTTCAGGATAAAAAATTCATGCCGCAAGAGCAAAAATCTCACTTACAAGATTCCCGTATTCTCCCCTACTCATCCTTTTTAGATAAATGGAAAGTGTTATTTCGGGTAAAACGTTCCACATCTTTTTCATCATCACAATAGAATTGATTTCCGCCTTGTCTTTCGAAATCAGTAATGTTAATTGATATTTTACCGATGATATTTCTATTTATGCAGGATTGTGAGCATATTGGAAGGCTCTTTGACATTATGTCATATACTTTGCTTTCTACTCCCAAGAGTTTTTTGATATAGACATTAACCCATTGTTATAGCAAAATAGATTGTCGGTGTTTATCCCAATGTCTGTGTTTAGTAAAAGAACTCAGCATAGCGCTAAGAGTTGGGTTGAAGTGAGACTTTGGTAGAAGAGTCAGGCACCCCGTCGTGATACTTTGTACATATGCATGGTTTTCTTGGTGGAATGCACAAGAGGTTTTTTTTTTAATTGTTGTATAAACATGTTTGAATCGGGTGGGTGTCATCCGCCTGTCGTTTTGGCAAAAAAAAAAAATCATTTTACTATGTCATAAGCAAGTTTTCAACGTATGCGTTAGCAAGGTGGAAAGTGTAAAAAGAGGAAAACGAGGAAAAAGAAGTAGCAATCAGGCAATGATTTCTATTTTATTTTGTAATGGTAGGCCTGGGTCCTGGGTGTGCTGATGTTATATAAATGTACATTACATATCTCGATATCCTTCCAAAGATACAAGATTTTTCATAACTTTAATAAGAGTTTGTGGCATGAATTCCATGATTGGCTATAATATCACTGATTGGAATTCACTGTAATCGCACTGCCATGATGGCATCATTTCGTCAGTTGTCCTACATTTTCAACCAATTTTTTATTTTATTTTTGGGTCACGTTTGATTTACTTTTTTCAAGCAGAACGAATTGTCAGCTGAAGCTTTTTCTTTTTTATCTCTCTACTTTTTTTTTTCTTTTTTAATATACAAAAAGTGCAAATGACAGACATTAGTGAGCAACATAGAGTGGTGGATAACACTGAGGTTGAAGAAGGGGATATCGCAGAAGGGGTGCCCAACCTAGAGTTAATGAGAAAGCCATCTCTTCCTGAAGAGAGGTTACACAACACGGGAGATTCAGAATCTGAAGAAGACCTTACAGAGGAACATGTGGACACACATTTACTCTCGACTCAATTAGAAGACCTTAACCTTATACCAACACATGAAGAGCCTACAGAGAGTAATACAGGAACGTTACAAGTAGAAGAACAACAGGACATGATTGGCCCATTAACACCTATAGCAGCACCACAAACAACGATGAGTAGAGGTAGAAGCAGTAGCAGTGTAAATCCTACTACTACCAGTCCAGTGGGACTTTTACCAAGATCACAGCGTGTTTGGGAAATGGATAGGCAAGCACCAGAGTGTAGACGATGTCATCGACGATTTAATTTCCTAGTGAGAAGACATCATTGTCGGTATGTTTTCCACTGCTGTTTTATTTCTATATCATATAAGTGGGCTGATAGTTACATCTTATAGTCGATGTGGCCAAATTGTGTGCGATAAATGCAGTTCCAATCGTATTCGATTACCAGTAGAAGAATTGATTGAGGATCCAATGGTTTCCACATCACAATACCCTATCATTGCTTTACAAAGTCAGCGTGTATGCGATACTTGCTATCGTGAACCTATCCGAAGATCTTCCGAGTCAAACACTCGAAGATTACGCACAAGACCCACACCTTTTGCAGATCAAATGAGACGAAGTGATAGCTCACAGAGCTTGATGATTGATTGTCCTGTGTGTGGACACACCTTTTTAGGCATGCCTAAAAATGACCAGGAAAATCATTTGCAGCGATGTCTGAATGTAGGTAGTCCGCCTGTACAGTCTCCCAGATATATTGTATATGAATTATCACAGGATTCAAGTCAGATTGGTGAGGAATGTCCTATCTGCTTTGATGAATTTGAACAAGGTAAAAAACACATTTAGTATTTTGTCATCTCCCACTAAAATCCTATTAGGCGATAAAATATCGAGGATGATTTGCTTGTGTTCCTATCATCAACGTTGCTTAGCAGATTGGCTACAACGAGGCAAGGGTTGTCCTGTTCATTATGATCCTCTTCAAGATTAGACTTTATAGATTTTTTTTTGTGTATTTATATATATTTATCATTATTAAAGAAAAAAAGAAGAAAAAAAAACAACAAATTTATTTACATGTGTGTGTATGTGTCTACTCGTGACCTAAAAGAGGTTGGTGTTCACCAGCTCTGCCATTGTGCATATCAGGAGAAGTGGACAAGACAGACCCATCAGGAATAGCTCCATAAACAGGCTTTAAATAAGGTTCAACTACCTTGTGGGAACTAGTGGAGTTTTGACGAGCTCCGGGAACACGCTTCTTGGTCAATAAACGGCCTAAACGACTATTTCTTCTGTTGGCTACTTGGCGACGAACAACTCTAATCTTGTTATGAACATCAACATAGACATCAGTTTCATCAATGATTTCTTCACCAATTAATTCTTCAATCACATCTTCCAGAGTAATTACACCAAGAGCACCCTTATTGGCTCCAGGCTCCTTAGAAATCAAGGCCATGTGACTTTTACCTTCTTGGAAAAAGTTCAAGATGTCAAGACAGCTGGTATCGGGACCTGTCTCTGGCAAAGTACTGATTTGAAGATCCTTGACGGGATGAGCATCTTCAGGGTCATAAGTGATCAAACGTTTAGTTAAAAGCATGCCAACAAAGTTGAGGTTATCTCCTGGGGCGTGAACGGGAATACGAGAATAACCAGCAATCAAAATCTTATCTACCAATGCCTCATCCAAGAGATCTTCAGTAGAGAGTGTAAATACATCAGCAATAGGGGTCATAATCTGGGAAACTGGCTTAGATCTCAAGTCAAGAACAGCCCCAATAATAGTAACTTCATCTTCGGTAAGTGCGTCCACATCTGAAGAGTTGACAGATTGATGTAACGAAACAAGTGTTTTAAGACCTATAAATGATTTGTTTTTGTGTTTATATCTCTTTCTGTATTCTGTCACATAAATTTATTTTTTACTAACCTGCTTTCTTATAAATAGTACCGTGAGATTCACCTAAAAAGTAATCCAAGAGTAAAGCAGTAGGATAGGCAATAGGATACATGATATACATCAATGCAAGAACCATACCGGAGGTCTTGGCACCAATGGCTAAACCATAACGGACACAGATAGATTGAGGAATCACTCTACATAAAAATGTTAGTTTCACATGTTACATAACTTATAAATTTTTTTTATGACTTACTCGCCAAAAATAACAATTAAAGCAGTAGAGATGACAACGGCCTTCCAACCACCGCCAAGCACACCGTCCAAAATGATTGGTAAAGTTTCATTCACAATGACGTTGGACAAAAGCAAAGTAACCAAAACCCAATGCTTACCACGGTCTAACAATTTCAATACCTTGGTAGCATTCTTTCTTTCGGATTCTGTACCCGATTGAATAAGAACATGGAGATTAGTTTCGTCCATTCCCATTAAGCCCAAGGTAAGACCTATAAATCCCGACATTCTTTTTAGTTAGTAGTTGTTAGTGCGGTATAAAGCCTATTCATTATTACCGGCAAAAGCACCACCTAAAAGAACAAGCAACATAACTACTGTCATTTTTTCGATGAAGTCAGCAGAAGTGTAGTCAATAGGAGGCTCTTCTCCCGTTACTTCTTGTTGAAATGCTTTTAATGGGTGACCATAGATACTCGTGGTAAATGATGTTGCGGCAATTATTAAAGTTCGTATAGAACCTAAATGTGATACAGGCATATGTTTATTTGAAATAAAAATAAAAAGTAAAAAGAAAGTTTTTAGAAATATAAAAAAATAAAAAAAAAACCTTATATACAATGAAAATCTATTTTTTCTCTATTGGGTTTAGCTCATGGGTAAAAGGACTCCGAAACCTGAAAACACAATTTTGCTGCGAATCAAGAAGTTTCCCCTATTAGGATTTCTGCCTTATATCCGATGAATTTTTTTTTCATGACATATTTTTTACATAAATGGTAAGAAAAACCTTAATTATGTACGACGATCAACAAAATGTAAATTTTATTAATAAGACCAATACATCATAAAATGAGTCTAGCTCCTCAACAGTTTTTTTTTTCACCATTTTAATGTACTTGTCCGCTTGCCAAGCTTCTATGTACAGAGGGAGCCTTTGAAGTAATCCTCTCTTGTTTCGATCTGACGTAATACCACTTTGGATCCCATTATAGACAATAAGCCTTCCAAACCAAAAAGTTTAACTTGTGATTTTACGTAATCGTTTAATTCTACTCTCCAGCTCCCAATGTCCGCCAAACTATTTTCATAGGCGTACGTCTAAAGTTAAATGATATCCGAAAGGAAATCCCCACATTATCGGGTCAATGGGTAATCAAATGTATCGAGAACATCAGACGTTTCGTTGTTCAATTGTTGGAATGACGGATATAAATAAATTTATATCGTGAAACGTTACATATAAAAGAATTACTTAGGAATGCTGCCAAAAGAGCTCGTCTTAGCATAATCAGAACACTCTTAATAATCCCTCACTATCTGATAATCATCTGTACGGAAATAAACTGTTTCAAGTAGCATTGTGAGCGGTATAAATTCATACATTTTTATATTCTGCTTAAAATCCCATATCTCGTTTCAGCTTGTCACTAACCTATGCAGCTGCGCTTCTTCGGGAATGGCGTAACCAATGTCAATAAAGAATCAGGCGCTGTCTGTTCCCTTTTTCTCTTCTTTGGATTTATACAGCAGCACCACTTACCGAAGATAGCAATAAAATATTTACTGCTTAAAAACTATACTCCTTCTATTACAGTTACACAAAATTGCTAAATTATATCCTTCGTCCATGGTCGCACATCCGTTTGTTCACAATATCTACAGCGATTATGGTTTGTAAGCCTTGCCTAATATATTTGCGTTATTGCTTAATCACTATGAAACTTTTTTTAGAATAATGATCTAATCCTATGAATCCATACGCACGTATTGAATATAGTTCTGTAAATGTACTTTCAATTCTTACAGAAAAGGTGGACCACGTGATCCCTTTTTTTTTTTAATGAATTGAGTTTCACTATTGACACATATTGCAGAATCACTACTGAATGCATCGTTATTTGTATGTGCATTGAAAAACTGATTTGAATTTTCCCAGTATTCTTTCAATGTGCTTTATACGTGTATGAAGCGCAAACAAATCCAACTGATCGTCTCCTTCTAATATAAACCAGTCCCTGCCTGTCCTTTGTTTCAAAAACAGACACTTTCTCTTCTTTCATTTTTATCCAATATTTGCTGTAAAAGTTGGTGTTTAATATTATCAGATGTCTGCATAAAACTTAATGTCATTCTGGTAGGCTTGTTCTCCAATTAGTTCAATTTTAAAAAGCTCAAGATGTCTTAAGTAAGCGTGATTTTTGCAGACGAATAACCTGAAAACCCTTTTTTCTATTAAGACTCTTCTTCTCAGAATCATTTGCCTTATATCCGATAACTTTTTTTTTTCATATCAAAACAACTTTAAAAATTTTGTATGACAATCAACAAAAAATTTATTTTTTAATTAACGAAGCTAAACCATCACAAAATGAATCCAGCTCCTCAAAATCTTTCTCGTTCACCATTTTAATAAATTCTTCCGTTTGACATGATTCTGTCATGTATTGACTGATGGCTTTTAATGATTCTCTTGTCAAGACAGCAAACGGCCACGTATTTGATGTAATACCGCCATCTGATTCGATTGGATCCCGACATTGACGATAGAGGCATAATAAGCCTTCTAAATAAATACGCCTTTCTTGTGGAGTGATTGTATGCAAATGTTTAACTCTATCCAACACCCAATGTTCACAGCGCTGTTTCACAAGTGTGGATCCAAACCTGTCCGATATCTGAAGCAGCTCCACAATATCCGGCCAATGGGTAATCGATGTATCGAGAACATCAGAAGACTCGTCGTTCAATTGATGAATGATGGATATAAATAACTTTAAACCGTGAAACGTTACATCATGTAAAAGGATTGCTTGTGACGATGCCAAATGGCTTTCTTCCGCATAGTCAGAGCTTAACAGCGCCTCAAAAATAGGTGACCTAGCCCGCAAAAGTTGTCGATTACCTGGTATCACTTCACTTGAATCATCTGCACGAAAATAAACAGTTTCAACAGGGTTTTGAAGCTGCAGACAATTGGCTGAAAACCCTGTATCTCGTATCGAGTCTGTTTCAGTTTGCCATATAATCTCGAATTCAAACGCCAGACTCTCCATCACTTGTGCAGCTGCATTTCTTCGGAACGGCGTAATTAACGTCAGTAATGAATCAGACACCTTTTCTTCTTCTTCTTCAAGTTCGTACACTAACATTTGACAGAAGATGCCAAAGATATGTTTACTATTTACTATTCCTCCTTCTAAAATTGACACACCAAGCGCCAAATTCCATTCTTCGGCCGTAGTCGCCCCAATAGTAGAATAACCTACAGCAATAGCCGTAAATTCATTCAATTTAATGGCATGATCACCTGATACCTCTGTAAATTTATACAAACTCATAAAATCCGAAAACTTCTTTTCATATAAATCCTCACAAATCGCTCGACGCCAATATTCATGGGAGGTACCTGTAGCTGGGTGTTGAAGCATCGAACAAAAGAAAGTGGTGAATGCATCGCTGAGGATCGTAAACTGGATATTATCATGACAAGTCAACATACGAATCGCGCTTTTACGCAAGTATCCAGCACATTGATAGTTTAGAGATTCTTCCGTCACTGCAGGTTTATCTCCCTCCGTCATCATCGTCTCCGTAAACTCATCTAGCGCTTGTCCTTCAATTTTGTCTTTGCACATTACCATCGTACTTTGATCTATTTGCATCTTTTCCTTGCACACAGCTGCTGTTGTAAGTGCAATCATTAGGCTTGATAAATTACTGAGCGCAGTATCATCCATGATCATTTGTCGACCACATAGTGGAATTCCTGATAACTGGTCCAGTACTTGAGCTGCCAAAATAATGACCTGATAATGATCGCTTGATTTCAAAACCTCCTTGATATCCAATTCTTTTGATCTCCAAGGAAATAATATGGTTAATATGGAAGGCAGAATAGATGCATGTCTTGGTTTAGAAGCGGGTAGCATTGTTGAATCTACGTCGGCCATCTCTGTGTCATCACTCTGATCCCCTTGAATCCAAGAAAGCCACATTCTCATAGAAGCATCATCGTATTGGAACGAACTTACTACTAATAAACAGCTGGATATGACATGAGTCCAGCCTAGTCTTATAGTCGTATCATCCCCTTTTGCCTCCTTATGCTCAATGGCTTCTTGTAACAGCTTCATGATCATTGGAAACAAATTGCATTCATCTCTTAGCCGAGTTCTAACAAACGCTGTTCTTCTTGATAATGCAGCAATAAATCTAACAAATAGTGCATACACAGCCAATAGAGAGGATGTCTTTTCCATGATATCTCCTGATGGTATTAATGAGATATCAACCAACTGTAGCACGTTGCAATCCACCAATCTCTCGCATGCCCTTGGGTGGGTCGAAATCATTTCGAGAGATACAAATGCTCGTTTAGCTTTGTAGATAACATTGGTTTGATGAGTTGTAAGATCGGTGTCAAGAGAGAGTGACATGGCTGTCAGTAATCCATTTTTGGCCAATTCAATGGTGGGACCCCATACATAGGGAGAGATTGATGTGGTGGAAGTGGCTAGGATATCGATAGCATCATAATAGTGCAGAAAAAACACGATCAATTTCAAAATACGTGTACGAAGTCCCGAGGTTTCTAGTTGACTGGCTTTTAAGAGTACGTTCAAGATGGATTTTAAGCACCAAGCAACGCGGCCTGATATCAACTTTATGAATTCAACAGACGCTAATTGCACATGTTGAATAAACGATTCGAATAGCAAAACAAGGAGATCTTGGTGTGTGTTTAGCATTTCCCCCGTGACAGTAAATCCACGCTCTTCGACGTCGATACAGAGGTTGGTATGCAATAAGGTGGATTGGGTGCCAATTGTGGCGGCTTGTTCTGGTAAAATGGGTTGTGAAATGAAGGCCATAAAAAAATTTGTTAAATCGCAAACGGTCTGATCTACATAATCTTGCCAAAACATGTGGTGGTGTAAAATTGGCGCCATATCTAAAGATATTTGCAAAAGCTTTTTCAGTATGCTCTTTTCTGTGTTTAAAGTAGCTTGTGTAATTACAACGGTATTCATTGAACAACAAGTGCCACGAATCCAACGTTGTAAAAGTAAAGTCATGTAAGGCTGCCATTGAGAGCGAGGCCCCTCTGTAGCTACACAACTAGCAGCCTTTTGTGATATACATGTGCATTTTTGGATAATGGTCGTAAGTGAATAAATCAACCATTGCTCATTTTTGATCTTGAGAGGTGCCTGATCATTCATCAAGATAGCGTATTCATGATGACATACCTGATGCCATACAAATACTAGTTTGAAAAAGACTTGGGAATCCGCAAAAGATTTTCGTTGTTCTGAAATTTGATCTAATTGTTCATATTTAAAGATCGATTCTAACAGTCGACAAGTCATGATGCATTGTTCTAACTCTGCTCGCTTTTGTGAAGCATCGGATACAGGCGGCTTCAGCATTAAGAGGTGCAATAAATTAGGTATGTCGAACAGGGATTGAGATAATATTGCATAGGCGTCTAAAGTGATCAGATGTTTGGCAAAAAACTGTAATTTGGCTGATAAGGCTCTAATACTATAAGTACGGACAGCATGGTTAGCGTGATTAGACCCGTCTAAAAGTAGTTTGGGACCATGGCGTGCCTTTATTTCGGTTAAGATATCTACTGTGTAAGGAGAATCAGGTAGCTTTGTAGCAAGCGTTTCAAGCAAGTTGCAAATGAATTTCACGGTGCCTAACTCTGATTCCTCGTCTACTGCAGTCAAAACCCAGCGCACACAGGCCTTGAGTGATGGTAATTGAACAAGATCTTGTAAATCGGGTGACGATTTAAACCCATGAGTGAAAATATAATCAAGGCAACGTACAAGCCGACGAGGTGGCCAAGTCGCTTGCTTCGTATAACTTTTTATTTTTCGTAGAGTGTAATCAAGTTGTTTGACCGAAGCCGTGTGTAGATCGTGACGACAGGCAACACTTGTTGAGGAGTGTGGTTTTTGAAGCGATTGATATATTAAGGTCAAACTAAGGTCATGTCTTTTATCTTGATGAGCGACCTTGTTAGACATTGAAGTAAAGAGAGGAAAAAAAAAAGAAGAGAAAATAGGAAATTCTGAAGCAGTGTGACGAAATGCGAATTTCTGAAATAGTGCACCAAGATTTCTAAGGTATTTTATTGGGTAAATTTAATTGAGTCGACTTTTGTGACAGGAGCTAAAGGATTAAGGCAATTGAAGATAATCGATAAAGAATAGCTCTTCTCGGATACGAATATAACAATAAAAATAGTAATTTTAGTGAAACTTCTAAAGAAACATTATATCGATTCAGTGAATTAAGTCACATCAAAGTAAGGGGATCTTCATGAGAAATAGCCTTTCTTCATAATTGTAACCTCATACGCTAGGAATAATACTTATATTACTATTCTTCGTGCTTTTACTGACTGCGTAGCGATTTGAGCAAAATGTAACTGCTCTTTTTGCGTACATTACATCTTTTAAACAAATAGAAATAGTGGTTTCTTCTGCCTTCATAAGTCCAACTGTATTTTATTCTATCCTAGACTATGCTTAAATAGAACTTTAAAGGACAAAAAAAGTTTCTTCCCGCATAAAAAAAGACCACAAGATTGTGTAGCAAGACAACTCCTTTTAACAGTAGTATCAGTAACGCACAGCTCAACAGCAATTGGATCCGACCCGAAAGTTGACGACAATCTTATACACTTTTTTTGCCCAAGTATGAGAAGAGTTATACTAGGGGGGGGTGATAACATCATTGGAGCTAGTAATTGATGTTATTGCGATTATGAATAGAAATTCTAACCCTTATTACATCTAAAAAGTACTTTGAAATAGTAATCTTAATTACATTAAAGGAAGCTGATTTATTTCAAAGAAATCATTGATATTTTGAGGTTTTCACGAGAGATGCTAAATGACATAATTAGTGTGATACATTATACGGAAAAGGTATGATGTACTTCTGCATACTGAAAAGCAAATCACTGGTTACGTTTTTTTTTAAACCAGTCGTTTTAACACTCCGTTTTCTCATAAATATTTTTTTGGCGCGGAAAAAAACTGTTTAGCCTGTTTGCTCTTCTTTAAAGTAGCAAACATTAAGCGAAAGCGAGATAGTTTTTTATTTATTTTTGTACACATATTTTCTTTATGCATTTCCAAACAATTGTTTTTATCTAATTCTTATACCAACATGAATGCCAAGGCGCCCAGTTTTGTACCTCCCGGCACCAATTCTAATCCTCCTAAAAAACGACAACGTAAGACAATAGAAGCATACATTAACAAACAAGAAAGTAAACTGATCATGAGTGTATAGAGAAAAAACGAAACAAGAATGTAGATCAAGTTGCTCGTGGCTTTAATGAGTTGAATTTGGATGGATCCACTGATAAAAAAGGACGTGTCTCATTAAACCATTTGTTAAGTTTCTCATTTCCCGAACGACAAGAAGAGCCCATGCCCGTTTTACGTAAATCAAAGGCGACTTCCTATCAACCGTTTAACAAGGAGAGATTTATCAATGCAAAGTAAGCCCACAACTCTTTTAAAGAAATAGAAACTTATTTTTTTTACGTAGTTTTCGATTCATGTTAAATGCATCAGGAAATTACATGTATCAGTTATCAGACCCTGATATAAATTTTGATTGGGATACAATTGAACAAGTGGTAAAACACTGTAAATTGCTGTTAAAGGATGAGTTTTCTAATGCAGTTCTTATTTAGCTCATTTCGTCCTCTGAAAGTCAATCATGCCCAATTTGTTTGTCTCCTCCGAATGCAGCGCGTGTTACGAAATGTGGACACATCTATTGTCTACCTTGTATACTACACTACCTTGCACTCCGTGAAAACCAAAAACGATTATGGCGTAAATGTCCCATTTGCTGGGACTCTATTTACGAAGCGGATTTAAAGCCTGTACGTATCATGAAACCTTATGCCGTAGCAGATCATCGTAGTGCAACTGTTGGTATGGCTTCCTTGGCCTGTGGTGTAACAGAAGGGGATCGTATCGATATGACATTAATGCAACGTGCCAACCGTACAACTTTAGCATTTCCATTATCCGATACATGGCCTTTACCTCCTAATGTTATCTACAACTATATTAAGCCAGACACACCCATCATCCCATGGCATTTTACACCGGGTGCTATGGAATTTGCCCGATTTATGTTGGCCAGTCCTGACTATTTAGAAGCGGAATACCGACGTGATTGTATTGAATTGAAGGATGCGATGGATGATGCTAAAGGATGGGGTTCGACCGAGGAAATTGCCTACATTGAGAAAAGCGAGCAAATGGTGCGTCAGAAGATCAAGCAATTGAAACTTACGACAAACGAGGTACAATTGGCTGTTCAAACCTGGGACATGATTTTTGAAGCCGTGATCAAGTATTCGAAAAAGAACGGAAAGGCACCTTCTACGATTATGCAAAGAACGGAAGAAGCACCCCAGGCATATGAACAGTCGCATGAAGAAACTCAATTAACACAACAACGTACACATCAGAATGCACCTGCTACAGATTTTTACTTTTATCAGGCTGTGGATGGTCAGCATGTGTATTTGCATCCGTTGGATATTCGAATTTTGAAACACGAGTTTGGAGAGTACGAACAATTCCCGCATACATTACAAGTACAGGCAACCAGTGTACAAGAATCCACCTTGACAGAGGATTTGAGAAAGAAATGTAAATATTTAGGCCACTTACCGCTTGCTTGTGATGTCACATTTTTGGAGATCAATGTAAAAGAAATCGTCTCTCCCCAAACCATGGCAGTTTTCCAACGTAAGTTTTTTTTTTTTTCTAAAAAAAAAAGAAAAAAAAAATTAAGAGTTAACGGGACAATAAGAAACTGATCTTGGGATTATTAGAGGAATTGTCATCGCGTGTAAAAAAGAGAAAGGATAAAGAGAGACGCGAGGATCAAAAGCGAAAGCAAGCAGAAACCAAACAAAAGCTCCATGTAGCAAAAGAACATGAAACGGAGCGACAGATGATGGAAAATGATCCATTTTTTTCCATGTATCGTCCTGCTTTATCTCATCAGGAAAGCGAGGACCAACTATCATTGGCTCTTAGTGAATCTGCTTCCATGGCATCCACACCCACACTAGCGGAAGAAAGCGCTCCTTCGGGTCCGCGTACAGTTTGGGGTACGAAACAAGTGGTTTCGCGTGAAGAAGAAATGAGCTATGAATCCAATGACTGGGCGGATCATATTGTAATTAATAAAAGTCAACGCAAGAGACGAGGTAGAAAATAACTAGACATTTTGCCTCTTTAATAATAATAGTAATAATAATGAACAATGGGTGTGTGTTTGTGGGGGGGGGGAATGATATATATAGTTTTTTTTTTCTAAGAGACCCAAGCGAAAATAGCAGCAGCAGCAGAAGAGACAACAGTGAAAGAAAGTATTAAAGTAGATGATGTTGTACGTTTGGCTTGACTTGTTGTTTGTTTACTAGTATCAGAAGCACCACTTATATCTCCGTCTTGTTGAACATTATCTACAACAACACCCATGGATTTTAAATCTTCTACAGTTTTACCATCCAGTGCTGCTGCTTTAGCAAGTCCACGGCCTGGGTAAAGTACCTCCAAATGTTCATGTATCTTGTCTTGAGGATCCGATAATAATTTCCAAGCATAGGAAGATTTCATCTCACCACGTGGACAACCCTTATTACAGGTATGATAACAATCATCCTCAGGCCATGCGGGCGGCTCTGATGCGTTTGGATGGGACCAACCCAAATCCAAATCACAATCGGTGAATGGTTCGAACTTTTCAGCCCCATAAAAGTCAATCAAACCAGCAATAGCACCTGACCAAGCAGAATTATAGTCTTGGGTAACTTCTGAGTATTCATAATTGGAACGATCATCATACCAAGTATCGTCAATATTAGGACCACCTTCCACAGCACCGTAAAGAATGAAACGTTGGTTGGTCTTGGACTGAGAGAAATCATCCTCCACCTTGTCTTGGAATTGACCACGCATGGGATAATCGATATAAGAGTTATACGATGACTTGTGATAAGGTTTGGAAGGGTAATTATCACCGAAACCCACAACCCAACTGTACCCATAATCACCCAAGGCGTAATTGATTTGCTGCACAGCAAACGTGGTCATGGCTTTGGATTCATCGGTTTCATAGCCAATAGACTTGGCAAAGGCCATCATCAAGAAAGCAACATTACCGGAATAACCGACTGAACCCCAATGTTCGATATAGGCCAAACCACGCGGTGTGAATTTGACGATTTGTTTAGGGCTTCCCGGTAAGAACTGGTTAAAGTAGTCCATGGCATTATTATAAAACATTTTATCCTTAGTAATGGCGTACAATAAGACGTGAAGTCCTCCTCCCTTTTCATCCCAAGAGTATTCAGTCCATGAATCAGAGGATAACAAGTACCATCTCTTGGCTTCTTCCAGATAGAAAGGATCCTTGGTAGCAGCATAAATCCAGGCAGCAGACCAAGCCAATTCATCTTCATAACGTGTGGAAGGGTACCAGAAAGCAGCCCATTGGAAAGCATTTTGTCTTGAAGTGACATAACTACCTGGGTTATCTGTGGCAAAGGTATAGAGTCTTTTTGCGTGATCAATCAAGGTATCTGCATAGGTCTCATTGTGTTTACGCCAAGTGATGGAAATAGCAGCTAAAGCAGCACTGTATTCACCAATGATTTCGGAAGAAGGATTTTCGGGTGAGAGATAATAAGCCTTGTGAGGTAAACCTGTGGGTACCCATTCCTCATATTCTTCCGGTGGACCCCAATAATTGAAATCAACATCCAATTCTACTTGTTTGGAGATAGGACCGATGGCAGAAGTTCCTAATTGACCCACGATATAGGTATCATTGTAATGGGCATTTACAATATAATCTAGGTTTCGATTAAAAATTTCCGTTAGTTGTCGGTGGTACAGATACGTATTACCAAGAATGATTTACCTGCACCCCATTTTAATAGTTCAAGACCTTCGGCTAATTCATCCACGGAATTCATCGAGTCTTCAAACATCATGATATTAAAGGCTAATTGGGTGACAGTCCAACCCAAGGGCAAACCCCACTTCATGGTATTGGCGGCTTCATACCAACCACGGGAAAGATCTTCACCAAAGTCACCCACACATACTTTACAAGAATCTGATCTCCAAGCCAAACGTTGATAAGGCAAAACGCCGGATTTTTGAGAATGATAAAAGAGATAACTCTTGTGAAGCACTTCGGCATAATCATATTTGGGTGTGGTAGGAGCGACATAAGGGCCCTTTAAGGGACCTTTGGAAGGATGCATCAATGGACTTCCAGGCAACGGATTAGCTGCATTGACCAAGGTCAAGGACACCAAACCCACGGCATAGGATAACCACGAGAGCTGCATGATTAGATAATGGGAGAATGGAGATAAATGGAAAAATGAAGGGCGTTTCTCTCTCTCATTTTTATAGTTGAGTTGGCAGGTATTTATTTAGGAGACTTTCAAAAATGTCAAAAATAATTATCCGGTTAGAAAGCCATAGGTGATGGAGGGTTTATACCGTCAATTGGTCACTTTTTACTGAAATAATCGGCCGCTTTTCAAATTTCAATTGGGGAATTGTTATTTTCACTCCCTCACCCATGAAACTGCGAATTTTGATTTCACTTAAATTTTATCTGAACTTCTATTGTTTCAGTGCCTTTATCCACCTAAAACACCTCTTACCCTTCTGAAGACGATTTTCAGGGGTCCCTCCCCTTTGGAACTAGAAGAAATATTGAAAGCGAAAATGATGTAGATGATCTTAACGCTGATCTCAACGCTGATCTCGACGAAGATCTCGAAGACGAAGCTTTAGAAGTTTTGGCTACTCCTACCCCTTCCCAACCTGAGTTACGTCTAACGAAACTCTTGTAAATTATGTGATCAATCACTGCAAAGAGAACAGTTACTGCGAGAAGAAATGAACAGAAGAAATCCCTCCGCTTTCGAGCATGCTGAAAGAAGAACAGAGCTTTGTGGAACTTGCAGACAGCCAGGACACGACACTAGAAAATGTTCCCAAAGAGTCATATCACAAGCTTCTCGCTTGTCTCAACAATCTAAGCAACAGCAAAAATCACTATGACTATTCTGATTGTCTATTCAACCTTTATTGTTAAAAATGTCTTGTGTATAATAAGGTCATAAGAAAATAAGGGGTGATTTAAACATTCGGAGTATGGATATGACGCCACAAGTGTTAACGCGCTTTTTCACTCACATACTTTCGAAAGTGTCTAGACCTCCGTATTTATATAAAACAAATCGCATGATAGTCTGCTCATAAGTCTTAGAAAAAAATTTACGTCGATTGACATACCGAAACATCTTGATTTTTTCTTAACTTCATAGGATGGTCGATTTTTGTTTTTCCCAAAATATGCTTTACTATCAGTACATGCTTCTGCTGAAACGCTGATAGACAACTATCATAATGACAAAAATCTCGTTCACACACTTTTATAATTAAATCACCTTTTTAGACTTTTTTACTTTAACATACCCCCTTTTTTTTTGGATGAAAGTTAAAAGGTTAGTATATAATTACTTTTGTGGTTTTTTTCAAGAAACACTAAATTATTGGTTCTTTTTTTTTTTTAGAAAAAAAAAAGACACATTACAACTCTTGCAATATTTGCAGCTACAGTTAGTCTTTGCTATACGATGGTGACCACTCCCAAGTTGAGTTCTTGGGGTTTTTTTTTAATAACTCACTGGATAGACAGGTTGTAAATAGCTGGGATTGGACTGTAAATAAGCCTTATCAGACTGGCTTGCTGGTTCTTGGCATCAAGTGGTATATTTAAAAAAAAATACGGAGGTCTAAACATTTCCCCTAATAGTATTTTTAACATGCCTCCAAGAAAAAGAAAAAACCACAAAATCATAGCAGCGCTTGAAGAAGTGAGTGACAAAAAACTCCTTCTTAAAGCCTCAGTTGACAAGAAACGATACCAAAAGTTAACAAAACAATTCGCACTGACAAAAAATTGAAACTCTTTTTAATCGTCTTTATATGGACGATTATATTTTAATGATTACATTTAGAAAAATGTAACATTTCATGAAAAAAAAAAATCTATATTTAAACAGACCTTAATCGGGTTCTTTAAAAAATAGTTTGATGTCCTTGCGAGGGCCCTGAATTTCCCTTCCTTCTCTATGTCTTTCTCGCTAAGCATAATATTTATATTATGTCTTTTTTACTAGGGAGAAATAAATTAAACTAACTACAGACCTTTTGATATATCAAGGACTAAATAAACAACGGTAACCTGGGTAGGTATCTAAGACTATTCGACTTCGGTTCACCAACATATTGTTTGTTTGTCGATCCTAAATCAATATCAGTTGGTTCCACTACGTCTCCTAATGTGATATTTTTTTCCAGTGAAAAATTGAATTAACGAAGTCTGTGCTGTGGGCTTGTAATAGAATTTCTCGAACGTATTTGTTATGAGACTCCAGTTGACATGATTTTTGACGTCTTGTATAGAGTGACCTTTCTCAATGGCTTTTGTACTTGCAGCCAACCTAATCGAGTGAGCCTTCTACGCCCTGGTATCTACCCCAAATAATAACACGATTCTCTTAAGCCATACTAATAATGTTGAAGCTTGAATGGAGGAGACCTTTTCGGGACTACCAATATACGCTAAAAACAAAATATGCTTATTTGGCAAGCTTGCTCGTAAATGCTGGTATTGCCAATTTTGTAAGAGTAGTCACCAGAAGAATGAACATTCTACCAGTTAACATAAACATTCAGTCCATAGAAAACACCTTGGTCCGGCTGAATTCTGTAAATACACAAGAACTAAGAAGATCTGCGACCCCATCTTAATTCATTATCCAACTTGATACAATAAGTGATCCTGTAAAGAAGAAGTATGACGATGCTAATAGAAACTTGATTGCCACACTGAAACGTTTATGCGAGCCTTGGTTCTTCAGGTAGAACGACTATTGGAGATTCCTGGTTTGACTCCCCAGAAATAGCTTGCGTTTTGCTGGACCATGGATTGCATTCAAGCATGCAGGTAGCCAAGGAAATGTACTGGCCTCAAGGCAGGCCTCGCAATGATATCATACAGTGTCTTAGTACTGAACATGGTAGTTCTGTCGCCATGTAAAAGTCGGATCACAACGGTTACAACATCTTTGCATGTTTTAAGGTTGAGAAAGCCAAGATCTTGGTATCATCTTGTAGCTCTTCAGTGCCATACAATATACCACATGCGTACAAGGTAAACAACGAATAAATTGTTACAATCACCCGTCCCCAAGCTTTTCATGATAATGAAAGCCATAAGAGTAATATGCAGCCATATAATCCAAAGAACAGCTTAATTAACACATCTTTTTTATTATTATTATAGGCAGTGTCGATGCGAACAACAATCGCAGAGACAGCATAATATCTTTTCATAATATTATAGAAACCTACCGCTTGAGATTTGTTTCCTGTCGCTTGGATTTGGCATTAGGGAAGATAATGCCTTCAGTTACTTTAAGTTCTGGGGGGTGCAACCGGGATGGACTCTTCCATTCCGACTTTGAAAGCAGACTTGCACACTCTTTACTTGTTACCGTAAAGAATACGGAACGTTCTGTGCAAGCAACTGAGGCAGAACCAGTGCATACCTGAAGCAGTTATGCTGAGGGAGCACATGCCTACGTTGCTCTTGGTAGCATGTTAAAGCGCAAGAGACAGACTTGCGAGTTTTGTGAAAAGCGGCGATTTAATCCCGAAAAAGCATTCAAACGTTGTGCGTGTAATGATAAGGCCATGTGCTCTAATAGCTATATCTATCATTTTACTGAAGTTTTGAATAAAAAAACACATATAAATAGTTTTGAAGGTATTTAATATATCTTCTAAAGAACGTTACTTTAAAACAACCTTTTTTGACATACTTTATATTACAGTCGGCCCTTTGGGACCGATTGATTTTTTTTGTAAAACCGATGATTTTGAGTAAAGGATATTTACGAGGCAAGTATTCATATTATTTTACAAAATTAAGTAGAATAATAGATGATATGTTAAACAACATGGGCGTAAAAGGTTGGCTGAAAAAACCATCTTTACTGTAATTTTTTTATTTTTATGACCGTCCATTTAGGACCGATTTTTTAATATAGTATTTGTCAATTAAGGGAAAAGGGGGCCAAGGATATTTACATTTTTTTATTTTTGTTGTGTGTGAGTGTGCGTGTGCGTGTGTGTGAGTGCGAGTTTGTGTGTGTGTGCGTGTGGAATTTAAGGTTAAGCGACGCATGAGCTGCTAATGAGCGACACGCACTTGTTGCACTACGCATCTTGAAATGTCCATTAAAATTCTAGCCGCCTATAAAAAAAATTGATTGGGTTTAGTTTCAGTTTATTATTAATAAAAAATTTTTTTTAGAAATGTTACCTCTAAGACTTGATTTTCTTGTTGTTTAGCATCATCTTTAAATTTCTTATTGTAGGGTCTCTTCTTTTTGGATACGACTACGACTTGATCCTTCACTACTTCGTCATCATCATCATCGTCGTTGGAAGAGGCAAAGGAAGCTAAAGTAGCAGCGGCAGCCGAAATATCATCGTTTGCTTTTTTGTATCTCTTTTTAGTGTTGGTTGTTGTATTCGTATTCATGATGGAATTGGAAGACTCTCTTTTCAATCCGGGTGTGTTTACAGGACTAGGATAGTAGTATTGGGGGTGATATTCAGTGGGTTGGTGATAGTAGTAGGCAGCAGGAGGCGTTGAAGCATTATTTGTTGAGCCTGTGGGTGCCGGTGTAGCAGCTACTTGTGCTGCGGAAGGAGGACTGCCTGTCGCCGCTGATGTTGTTGATGCCACAGCTGCTGTTGATGTTGATGTTGGTGGTGGTGGCAAGTGGTAACCAGGTAATGAAGAGGGAGGAGGGAGGATATAGACTTGTCTTGAATTGGGTGAGACAGGTTCATTCATCATGGCTGCACTTTGACCGTTGTAAAAGTAATTTGGATCAAACAAGGCAGAGGGTGGGGGTAACTTTTCTACTTTATGATCTGATGTTGTCAAACTATTATTATTTGCTGTATTGGTCATTTTATGAATAAATATTCAACAAAAAAAAAAAAAAAAGGGAAAAGAGAATTTTTTTTTTCTTTAGAAAAAAGACCTTATATTTTTTTCGGTGTTTTAATCAAAGAAGAATTTTTTTATTTAAACTCGAGGTTTCTTTTGATTTGCAAACATGGAGCTGCGGAGGGCAGATAAACGTTCGTTAGATAGATTCTGACAGGCATTGAGACACGTGTGATCATTTGACTTTCCACCGCAACGATAGCAACTGGAGACAATAGGCATAAGATGACACAGAAAAGGAAAAAAAAATTAGGTTAAAAAATATAAACTTACAACAAGGTGCCACAAATACATTTGATGGTATAGCAACCACTCTAAAAAGAATAGGTGTGTTGATTACGTAATACATGCACATTTTGTTCTTTTGTTCTTTTTGTTACCATTTTCTCAACAATACGTGAACAGTTAGGACAGCGACACCATAAGTTCTTTTCGGCCTTCTTTAGGGTTTTGATAACTTCGGCTTCGTCATCAAACACTTTTATCTCGCCTAAAAAATAAGCTATTTTAGATGGAGGAATTTGAAAAAAAAAAAAAAGATAAAATACCAGGATGCCATGGACTCTGACAGGCTACACAAAAACCCCGATGACATTCGTAACATTCAACAGGCGTACATTGTCTTGTCAATGAATCATGAACGTCAAACATAGCAACACAGCCAGGCATAGGGCATTGAATCTATAATAGTTGCTTGATTAGCTATCCTTTACTTACTATTTTTAGGGCAAACCTTATTGTCCATGTAAGCATTGGTAATAGCTGAGCTCCACCATCTTTTGATTTCTGCCTTGGTATAAAAATTAATCAAAACTTTATCAGTGATAAAAGTCTCTTTGCAGCCAAGCGTAGGACATTTCACACGGTCAAACGTCTCGTAATGCTTATCCTTCAAGACATCTATGAAATAGAGTCTGATACATGCCCTACAAAGCTTGTGGTGGCAACCGTCGGTGCCATGAGGAATGTTAATCTTGAAAGTGCCTAAACAAATGACGCATTCAAACGGGCTTCTTCTATTTAGACAAGTGATACTAGCAGTGTCGGTATAGGCAAGACTAATACTACTCGGGTTAGCTTCATAGACGGGTGCTACCGATTTCTGTTCTGCCACCAAAGGTCGTTTCTGAGGTAGGGTCATTTGTTTATTGTTTCTGGAAAGAAAGGTAAAAGAAATCATGTAATCTCTCTTTCACAACTCGCCCTCTCTCTCTCTTTATTTTAACTACTGCTACATGTTAAATTAACATTGTGTGTGACGTCATTGTGTGTCGATCTTGAGATCAGAGAAGGGGGACAAACAATTGGCTGAAAAAAGTAATTCGCGTGAATAACTGACATTGTTCAAAAAGAACGTGTATCTATTTCAATTTTAACGTGTGAATAAATGAAGGAACATCCCATAAAAGTAAACTTTTTTTTTTTTTAATTTACGCCCACAAAGGAATAAATAAGAAAAAGGGCATTGATTGTAAACAAGACACAATCGCTTTTAAAGCAACTTCATTTGGGTTAGCGCGTGAGAAAGGAATACAGTAATTCATCATTCGTTTTTTTTAGTTTTTTTTTTTTTGTATAGATATATATAAAAAGGAAAAAAAATTGCCGAATTTTCGTTCTATAACTTTAAAAAGGGCTGTTCTAGACTATTTTACCTTTTTAAATAAAACAAAAAAAAATGAATTATGAAAAAAGATCGACACAAAAAAAAATTCAGCAGAAAAAATAGAGACTCCGCCATTTGTAAAAAAGCGTTTGTTCTTCTAAATATAGCCATCACCTAAAAAACCTAATTAATATTAAACAAGGGCAATTAGACACACACTAAAGAGATGAACATTATTAGTTGCAACCGTGTCCCGAACATAAATAACATGTAAAAAAAATTATACACATAAAAAAAAAGGAACCAATAAAAAAACTAGTAGAAAGGCCGATCAAGGGCAGAAATAGCTTTTTTTTTTTTTTTTTTTCTGAAAGAGATCGACGGATGATTGGTGTGCTGTTTTTTTTACCTTTTTTTTTTTTAGGTATTTATTTAATTTTTTTTTCCTCCCTCTTTTTCTTTTTTTTTTCTCTCTCATTTTTTTTTTTTTTTTTTTTTTTTTACGAAAGAATATATACATATACAAAAAAAATAATGATCATGATGGCACCCTATACTTCGACAACATCTAAAGGAAAGAAACCTTATAAAAGCTGGTTGAAAGACGGCGTGAACGGCGGACCATCTTCCATGGATGTACTTGTGAACTGGTTATCAAAAAAAGCAAATTACGCAAAATGGAAAGGTGATGATTGTGAAAGAATACCCAAAAAATCATTACTCGAAAGTATTATCGATCAAATGAGAGAAGTCGGCATCTACCATCGACTCGCCAAAGACGTTGCTTCTAAAATATCCACCTTACAAAGCAATTACCGTCTGGCTCGTGAATGGAAAGAAATTGACGGGAAAAAACTTTTAGATACCGGCGCCAGTGAAGAAGGCATCCATGGTAACCATAAAAAAAAATTATATTAATGTGAAACACTCATCATGACAACCAAAAAAAAATAGAGGAACTACTTAAGAGATTTCCTTACTGGGATGCATTAAATGAAGTGTTCAACAGTAGTAGAAGTTCAGCCTGGCCAATGTCGATTAGCAGTATTATGCATAGTGAAGAAGACGAGCTATTTTATATCAAACAAGAAGAATACGGTTTTGAAGAAGAAGAATCGAGCATGTCACCAATATCCAAACGAAGACGTCGTTCCAGTGACCAACAGATCATTGATAATACATCCGATTCAGCTAGTACAACACACTCGACACAATCATTACCTTGTACACAAACCATACAACAAACACCCGTTATTATTAGACCATTACCACGTGTCCTACCTTCACCTACATCAATACATTCCATCGCGACAGACTCCAGCAGACGTGACAACATACTGGCCGAGTCTCTGCTTCAAGTAACACGTGAAAAAGAAGCCGGGCGAATGAAGCGATCTCAAGACATGTTGAAATTCCTAAGGGAGAAACGAATGGAGCGAGACCAACTGCTCATTGAGAAAGAGTTGACGAAAAGAGTCAAAGCCAAGGCCGAACTTGTAAAAAATTTGATGGATGCCGGCTTTGACAAAGCGGCTATTACTGAGCAGCTCAACATGTTATGAATCACTGCTCTATTGCCATTACCACTACTATGAAAAAAAAAATACCATCTTTACGCTCTCTTTCTTTCTACCTTTTATTATTACTACTACTACTATTACATACATACATACAGTTTACCCCACTCACCGACCCACACAAACAAACACATACCTTATGTACAAAACTCAAAAATCCTACTTTTCTGTCAAATATGAATAAAGTCCTCTCTTTCCCAAAAACCCTTTTTCTATAAATGGGTCCACCCAGTTTTGCCACACCTTGAACGACGGAATAACCCTTTTTTGTAATATTTTACTCGGGTTCATTGGAACCAACGAAAAATACCCTTTTATCCCCCCTCCCCTTATCCCCTCTTTCCATACTTTTTGTTGCCGTTGAGATTCCAGAAAATCATTTTTTTTATGTCGCACCAATCATCAAACATGCTAAATCGCTAATCACTCCATTTCGTAAATAAATAAAAAACAGGTTTTATACATTTGTGGCTGTGTGTCGTTGTATCTCTCTCTTCCATGTCGATGTGTACCACACCGCGCTTTTTTTTTTTTTTCTTTTCCCGGTAACTTGGGTCTTTTTTTTTATGAAGCATCTTCCCATTGACACTGTTCCAACTTATTTAAGGTTTGAAACCCCATTAACTGTGTGGAATAAAAGAAGTAAAATGTTGCTTTTTTTTTTTTTTTTTTTTTTTTTTTTTTGCCACTTTTCACAAGAAATAAAATCCATCATTCATGTGTGACAATGTATCTCGTAACGCCTCGAATAATTCATATTAAAAAAAACAAACAGATCTTCCCTTTTTCCTAAAGAAATCTCCGCTCCCTTTTGCTTTTGGGCAGTGCCACAGCATGGAAATCAAGGATTAAGATAGTGCATGTCTCCGCTTGGATCAAAACTGCGCTGTGCCAAGTACCGGATTTACCTTTGGAATAGGTGTGGTTACCCCCCCCCCTCTCCCGAGATAATCATAAGTTGAAAGGACCGGCTGACTTTTTTAGTCATTCTAAATGCAGATCGGACTGGACGGCAACAACAACAAAAAAAGAATGGATGGGCTCATCCATGTCAGAAGACTCTGGGAATCAAAATAGCTTTTTTTTTTCTTCTTTTTCATCCAGAACTGACTGCGGAAAAGCGGCCCTCATCTTATCGTCTCTCTTGGCGTACATCATCCGAATAGGAACCCCGTATAAGTGGTTATCATATTCATCCAAAAAGTGTCGCGTTATTACAAAATGATTTTTTTTTTTTAAAAAAAAAAAAAAAAAAAAAAAAAAAAAAAAAAAAAAGTCAGGATATTGCTACAATCCTTTTCTTAGTTATCTCTATTAAAAAGAAAACAGGGTGAAAAATTACAAAAGGTTTCATTGGTGGTTTCGTGCTAAATTAACCAAGCTACTTAATTTAGCTCTCGTAACGAATACTATGCGTTATTGACGCGTTCAAAAACAGGAGACGCGATCAAAAACTCTACACTTTTCCATATGTGGTAGACGCATTTTTCTTCTTTAACGTTACGCGACTATTGAGCATTTGTAAGAATAATTTCATTTTAGCGCGCCTTCATTTTGTGGGGTATGTATATCAGTTACATCTGCCGGCTTTAATTTGCTCTTTTAAATATATTATGATATTGCTTTAATGTTATTGGGTCCAGCAACCACCTGCTCACTTGAATAGAATCAATGTCAAGTTGATGGCTGTCTACAAGAGGTAAGAGCCCAAAGCTAATTTGTTCTTTTATTTAAACAAATAAAAAAGTCTGTCGACATCGTTTGCACAATGTTCATTCTGCAAGTCTCCTGTTAACCATCCCAAAGGCGTTAAAAAAGTAGCCTTCGTAAGGACACCCATGCAACATAAAGCTGCCTCTGAATATATGCACAAATACCAGTGCGATTATTATAAAACGCAAATATGCAGAGATAAACACGCGGCCTGTCGTTAAACATTGATAGATGGCCTTTAAGGCGACCTTGAGAAATCTCGCAAAGGTTTGCCATATATATACCGTTTTAATGATTAGAAATGAATTAAGGAAATAATGCCACAGCAGTCACTAGTAGATAACGTTATTTAGAATTGATATCAGAGTTAGGATTAGTGGAACAGGTCTTTAATAACTCGTGGCTTTCCAAGTGTTTCTTAAGCCCATTCAAATGGATTATAAAATCGGATTCGAGATTACAAAGTTTTCTTGATAAATTAGCCATTTCATAGTACACAGTATATCCTCTTCAAATAAAAATAGTGGGAAAGAAAGAAAAAGGAGTACTACTTGATAAAAATGATAAGCAAGGACTGATATTACGTCAATATGAGTTAATTAACTACATCGGTTGCGTCTTTTTATTTAAAATGGAAGAGCGACATATTACATACAAACATCGTTTTGATAGCAAAATTTATCAACACTTCGAAAAAGTTATTACACAAAATGGAGACATCGTCTACTTCTCTCTCTCTCTCTCCTTTTCCAGACACTTAAAGTAAAAGGTTACATTATTATAACCAAAGCTTTGAATATAATATATTTACTGGCTTGATTAAAACAAATGTTGGAGAGAGAATTGGTATTTACGAACCTTACTAAAAATGCTACACAGAGATTACGTATGCATACAGTGGAAAGATAATCAATTGGAAAATAATTAATTATTGGTGTTCGAGAAAACCAGGATAGTAGTTTAATTTTTGCTGATTACGTTGCAAATACAGTTATATTAGATGAAGCTACGAAATACGGTTGCAAGAAATAGTCTTTCTGAAAAAACGAATGCCTGACAACGCATAAGAATAGCTACATTTTACATTAATATCTTCGTTTAATCTGAATAATGAGACTATCTATTTAGAAATTAAGAAAGCTATGGGCGGTATACAATGTGGCACAGCATACAAAGCAAGTATGGGCTTATGGGAAGCCGACATAACACTCTGTAACAGTAAATATACTCAATAGTAGTCATTCCATTAAGGTAAACAATGCTAGAAAGTATTCAGAACAAATGGATCAGCATCTAAACCAAATAATTCTGGTAACTTGCTTTTTTTCCGACACTTGCAGTTGACGGTCCGTATAAAATATGGAACAGCCATAAATATACCATCCGTGGGTAATCTGACATTAAATATTGAGTATAATACCTCTGGATGCTTGGTTTCTCAAATACGTCTAATACTCGGACATGCGTATGTTACGTGTTTATTTAACTTTCACACCCACAGAGAAAGATTTGATCTTTACTGATTATTGCAAACCAACCTTTTTACGTCGGATTTAAAGTAAGACAAAAACCAAGTAATAAAATTCTTTGTTGTATATGCATAACAAGAACTTCTCATCTTTGTAGAACCTTGAGTGGAAAGTCAGTGCTTGTTGTGTAGCACCAAAACCACTTGAAATAATGTGACTGTCATCTATTTGTTTCCACATAAAAATAAAGTTTTGCAGGTTTTTGTTTTTTTCTCACCTGCGATATTTTTAGTCTGAATACCTTATTATTAAACTTTTATTCAACAACGAAACCAATAGCAACTAAATCACGACTTATTATCGAAGTTTTATTTACCCTAAAAAAAGATTAACATCAACCACATGAAGGGAATTCATGCATTGTCCCCATTGTTGGAAAAGGTTCAAAAGCCAATCCATATTAAGGAGCTCAGTGGAAAACGCGTGGCTGTGGATGGTCATGGCTGGTTACTCGCTGGAGCTCTCCCTCATGCCTCTGAACTTGCAAGAGGTGTTGAAACAAATGAGTTAGTATAAAAAAAACTTGGTTGACGAAAAAAAAATACTCAATTCTCAAACTTCGATAGTTACATTACGTTTTTTATTGGTCTCATCAGTATGCTACGCCTCAACAATGTCACTCCAATCGTTGTCTTCAACGGCCAAACATTACCCATGAAGCAGCACATGGAAAATGTCAAGACAAAGTAAGTCATATTCTTTTCTCACCTACACACTAGCTTTTCTTTAACACCTCCTTTTTTTCAAAAAGGCAACGAAAGACGTTGATCGAAAGGGGAAACAATCTGTATGAAAAAGGCAAGGTCACCAACGCCAAAAAATGTTATGAAAGGGCGTTTGTTGTAACCCAAACAATGGTTGCAAAGATTATTAGGGTACAGCAACAAAAATCGTTCCCTTCTAGATGTTTATCTTAACCGAAATTCTATACATTTATAGGAGCTTGACCGATTAAAGGTTCAACATGTTGTGGCACCTTACGAAAGCGAGCCTCAACTTGCTTACATGCTGATGGAAAAGCAAGTCGATGCTGTAATTTCGGACAAGACCGAGGTGTTGGCATATGGTGCTTCCAAGGTGGTCCGCGGCATGGATCGCAATGGTCATGGCCAATTTGTTGATCAATGTCGTCTTTTAAGATTGGTGGGCTTAAATGCATATCAGTTCATACACCTCTGTATCTTGTCTGGCTCAGATGCTTTTTCTGCTTTACCTGGTGTTGCGTTTAAAACAGCTCTCGGTATGGTCCGAAGACACCGTACTATTGATGAGGTAAATAAAACAATTTTTTTATTTATTTACATAGACTAATACATTCTTGTACAATAGCTTTTGGCCGCAGTACAAAAAAAATACCAGAAACGAATTGCAGACAACTATACAAAACGTTTCAAGAAAATTAACGATGCACACATGTATCAATTCGTATACAATATGAACTTGAACGTTTACAGACGAATGTATGCTGTACCAAATGGTATCACTATCCAAGATCCTGGCAAGACACCGGATTACCTTGATATCCCAATGCTTCGCACAAACAACGCCATTGTGATTGATCCCTTGGATGTCATCAGAGATGAAAATAAGGAGAACCTCTGGGTAATTAATTAACCTTATCTTTAGCCCTTTTTCGTATTAACCAACCTTTTTCTTTTATATTTTTAGCCCTGGGATGCTGTATCCGGACAATACCAAAAGGTGTCCAAGGGACTTGGATATACAACCATCCACAAGATCGAGCCAAAATCCAGTGCAAGATCAATACCATTGGAATTTAAAACATATACCCCGGAATCAAAGAGAAAAAGCTCCTTCATCAATACCAATAAGACAAAAAGTCGTCGCTTATAAAAGATGGCATCTTTTTCTTTCAAATAGTAATAATAATAATAAATAATAAATAAGGCCTTTGTAAATATAAAGAAAGGTATCATGATAAAAAAGGATGTTTGAATGTTGTCGTAATCTTAATGGCTTGTCGAAATACCAAAAGGCAAAATGTTGTCTAAGACTTTTTATTTCCGAACAGTCATCGATGGAAATGCATTAGTTATAAGTGAAATGCGTAACCAACAACCCGCTTGTCATTTCTCCCTGTGATAGGTTTATTGTAATGTATGTTTGTATGATATGCAGCTACATAGATAACAACTCCTTTTTTTCTAAAATAATAAGCGTAAATGAATGTGGTCAGTTATTTCAAATAGACAAAACCTGGTTTTATTATCATAAATAGTTACGATATCAAACATCATCATTGATCAATTGTTGGCAGTCGTTTGGAGATTTGGCTTAAGGGCCCGTCTTGATGAACCTTGAGCCTAGTTATGGTACATGGCCCTTTTCTCATACGATTGCTTTTGGGACGCTTGGTGAATTTATGCATCATTGTGCTAATGCTTTGGACTGGCTATTCCATTAATTCTTCACATGCTTGACTGTAAACAGATTGCTTATATGTTGTACAAGACAAAGCAAGGAAGCATGCGTGTATTAAAGACAGCTCGATAAGTCCTTTGACTTATAACCTCATAAAAAAGACAATGTTAGTTACTTCTAAGTTTCGCAAAAGCAGAATTGTCCTGTTTGACCATTATTTTTGATGAACGCAATAAAGTCCTTCTTGTGAGAATCTCTAATACATTTAATCCGTCCAATCAAATGTTTACTTTAAGGATTGGTCTAGTCACTGGACATACATATGTTAAGTAGTCAAAGGCCGTAGCATAATGACCCCCAGCTGACATATCATAATTTGACATATTTCCACTCTATTCCTCTGCGCTTAATAATGTAGAATTTAGCAATGTTTAAATGATGCATTTTCATCAATGATAGCTTGCAACTAAAAAGCTTTTGGACATCACTTTGCCTTTGGTATTCCAACAATGCCTTAAGATTACAACAACATTTAAACATCTTTTTTTATCATTATACTTTTTTTTATATTTACAAATGCTTATTTATTACTAGTTATTACTTAAAAAAATTATACCAGCCTTTACAGGCGGCGACTTTTTGTCTTGCTGGTGTTGGTAAAGGAGCTTTTTCTCTTTAATTCTGGGGTATATTGTTTGAATTCCAATGGTATTGATCTTGCACTGGATTTTGGCTCGATCTTTTGAATGGTTGTATATCCATGTTCCTTGGACACCTTTCGGTATTGTCCGGATACAGCATATACAACGGCATCCCAGGGCTAAAAATATAAAAGAAAAAGGTTGGTTAATACGAAAAAGGGCTAAAGATAAGGTTAATTAATTACCCAGAGGTTCTCCTTGTTTTCATCTCGAATGATATCCAAAGGATCAATCACAATGGCGTTATTCGTACGAAGCATTGGGATGTTGAGATAATCCGGTGACTTGCCAGGATCCTCAATAATGATGTCCTTAGGCACATTATTCATTCTCTTATACACATTCATGTTCATATTGTAAACAAATTGATACATGTGTGCATCATTAACTTGCTTGAAACGTCTGGTGTAGTTGTCGGCAATTCGTTTCTCAAATCTCTTTTGTACCAAGGTTAAAAGCTGTTTTCCATAAATGTATTAGTCCATGTTAATAAATAAATAACAAAAAAAAGGAGGCTTTTTTTCTATCGTTTTGTTTACCTCATCAATGGTAGTATGTCTTCTGACCATACCAAAGGCTGTTTTAAATTTAACACCGGGCAAAGCAGAAAGGATGTCTGAACCAGACAAGATACATAGGTATCTGAATTGGTATGCATTTAAACCCATGGTTCTTAAAAGACGACACTGATCAACAAATTGACCATGACCTTGGCGATCCATGTTGAAGATCACTTTGGAGGCTCCAAACGCCAACACATCCGCCTTGTCAGTGATTACAACATCGACTTGCTTCTCCATCAGCATGTAAGCAAGTTGAGGCTCGCTTTCGTAAGGTGCCACAACATGTTGAACCTTTAATTGGTCAAGCTCCTATAAATAAATAGAGTTTTGGTTTAATATAAACATCTAGAAGGGAAAAAATATTGTTGCTGTACCCTAATAATCTTTGCAACCATTGTTTGGGTTACAACAAACGCCTTTTCGTAACAGTTTTTGGCGTGGGTGAGCTTGCCTTCTTCATACAATTTGTTTCCTCTTTCAATCAATGCCCTACGTTGTCTTTTTGCAAAAAAAAAGGGAGGGTGTTAGAGAAAAGTTATTTGTAACAAGAAAAGAATATGACTTACTTTGTCTTGACATTTTCCATGTTCTGCTTCATGGGTAAGGTTTGACCTTTAAAGACAACGACAGGAGTAACATTATTGAGGCGTAACATAGTGATAAGGCCAATAAAAAACGTAACATAACTATTGAAGTTTGAGAATTGAGTATTTTTTTTTTTTTGTCAACCAAGTTTTTTTTATACTAACTCATTTGTTTCAACACCTCTTGCAAGTTCAGAGGCATGAGGGAGCGCTCCGGCGAGCAACCAGCCATGACCATCAATGGCCACGCGTTTTCCACTGAATTCCTTGATGTGAATTGGTTTTTGAACTTTTTCTAACAATGGGGACAATTGTTGAATTCCCTTCATTTTGTTGTTATCTTTTTTCAGTAAAGTGAAAATTTCTTAATAGGTGTATTTCAGCTGCTGTTGATTTCGAAGTTTAATAAAAATTGAATAATAAGGTAAACTGGCTGGAAATATTGTAGGTGTGAAAAAAAAAAAAAAAAAAAAAAAAAAAAACTTGCAAAGCTAAATTTATATGAAAACAAATAAATAACAGTCACGTCATTTAATTGGATTTGTTGCTACACGACAGCACTGACTTTCCACAAGGCTTTACAAACATGCATACACAACAAAGAATATGTAAACCTACTTTAAGTTTGTCTTGAATTTGACTCGGTTTAATAAAGAGATACTTTAAACTAAATGGAATACACCCTTTTCCTTTCAGTTGATATTGGATGTGAACTTGCCGTACAATGTAATCTGGTCCTCCAGGTGTCTAAGGATAGCACACGTATGGATATTCCACATTTTCCATGATTGTCAATCGTAAAAAAGCCCGAATCGAATTATTTGAAAGGCAACAGCATGGTACTGCAACATCTTAATTCGTACACATGGTTTACATGCAAAAAAAAAAAAAAAAAAAATTTCTTACATCAGCTAATAGTCTCCTCAGCCCAGTATAAATATTATCTCATCATCTATTTTAATAAGCAGTGTAACCAATACTCGATTCTATAATGCTGTGCAACATCAATTAGGTAAGTGTTACCATCTTGTCTACGCCATCCCAGTTAATTCAAAACCTAATTTAAGGTTGCTTCATAAAGTGAATTTTATTATATGTAAAAAAAAAGAAGCAACGTAAACTAAAGAAATATAAACTATATACAAAGAAAAGAAAAGAAAAAAGAGAAAGAAAACGAAAAAAGAGAAAGGAAACGAAAAAAGAGAGGAAAGAGGGAAAAGGAAGAAAAGCGGTATTTACAAACGTTGAGACTTTGGGTCCTTTTCCCTATCCTCGTCCTCGTGCTTTCGCTTTGCCTCACGTCCGAAAGGAAGCGGCATGTTGGCAAAAGGGTCTCTGTAATTAGAGACCCATACCGGTGGCTCTATTCCAGCGAATGGGTTAACAAACCCGTTTTTAAAAGCATCCCGGACCAAGGGTTTTCTTGCCTTTTGAGCAGGTGGGGGGTTGGGATAAGGAGTGAATTTGCTCCTGTGCTTGTCAAAAGGGTTCGGCTTTTTTGGAGGAATGGCCGTTGTTGGTGTTGGTGCTGATGCTGTTGTTGTTGTTGAGGATGATGTTGATGTTGATGTCGGTGTTGGCGAGGATGATACCGGTACTTGTGGGGGAAGAGGAGAAGAGAAGGGCTTTGGTATTCTAAGTGCCGGTGGTGATGGTGGTGGGATGGGACAAGGCGGACGAGAAAGAGGGAACTTTGGTCTGGGTGGTGATGGTGGTGGTAATGGGCAATGAGGGCGAGAGAGAGGGAAACAAGAAGTAACAGAAGGTGGTGGCGATGTCTCCTTGATCATATTGTTTTTAGCCGGTGGTGCTGGTGGTAAAGAATCTTTGGATAAAGAAACCTTTTTTTCGGCTGTTGGTGGAGGTGCAGTTGGTGGGAAGGTTGCAACTGTCTTTTCGTCAGGAGGCGTGCTAAAAAAGTCTCCGTTGATTGACTCAAGGAGGACTTTCGCAATCTGTTCGTCAGTGGGACGGGTGGGACGAGCAGGCTTGGTCTCCTTCTTCACGATAGGATCTACCTTACCCAAAATACCTTCAACATCCTTTAACACCGCTTCATCAAACTCAAGCTCTTTAAACTCAGAATCCTCCAACTCTTCAAAAGGCTACATGTAAAAGAGGTAAGTATAAAAGGTCTACCAGTCATCTTTAAACTGTTCTACTTACATCATCGTTCTCCTTGGTATAATCTGCCGTGTCCAGATGAATGGCTCCGTTCGATTTCAGGATATCGACAGAACGATTTTGAGGCGACTCGCCCAAACCAACCAAATGATCGACCTTAATATCCTTTGGAAGAGGATTCAAGCGCTTGTAAGTGCGGGAGGCAGGATCGAACACGAACTGGTATAAGAATGCCGCATCAGCCTTCAGGTATTCTTCCTTGTACTCCTCCACCTCATCCATCGCATGAGTTCGTAACAAAGCCAAAAAAATACGTGGAGTATTTTGGCCTCGTCTTACGATATCTTGTGCCTTCTTTAACCCGATTCCTGGCAAAGAAGAAAGGTAGTCGCAACCGGAAAGAATACATACGTATCGGAAAGTCTCCGGAGTGAAATGTCGCATGCACAACGCATTGCTGAACATATCGGTATGGACTACTTGTGTGCCCTGTCCAAAGCGGTCCATCTTCACAATTACGCGCGAAGCACCGAACGCCAACAAATCAGAGTCCTCGGTGATAACAGCACTTGCAAGCCCGGACTTCACCAAGAAGGTAAGTTGAGGATCAGCCTCGTAAGGCGAAACAATGTGCTGAACATTCAGCTTGTCGAGTTCCTATTAAAAAAATGACCAATTTAGTTTTAGGGACTCTTATGGATTAATGTGTAATAGACGAACCTCGATCACGTTGGCTACCATAGCCGGAGTGATGCTGATAGCTTGCTGGAAGCATTTTTCCGCTTCACCCACGCGCTTTTTGTCAAACAATGACAGGCCTAGTTCGCGTTTTTCTTTACGGAGCCTATTATTATACATACAGAAATTAGATTTCCGATTTTTATAGCCTGTCTGTGTACTGTAAAAGAATACTTACTTGGAACGAGCCTCGTTGGTAACGCTTTTGATAGGCAATCGTTGACCGTCAAAGACTATTATGGGAGTCACCCTATTAAAAAGCAACATGTTTACCATGTGCATAAAGTAAGTCACGTAGCTACAAAAAGATAATTCAGTAACCCGCCATAATAATTTTTTATATATGGAACTTACGCCTTAGTAGGCACGCCTCGTGCAAGTAGAGAAGCGCAACCAAACGAACCACGGTGCAACCAGCAATGGCCGTCCACGGCTACTGTTTGTCCAGCATACTCCTTGATGTGAATATCCTTTTGGATTGGTTTTAATAAAGGGATTAAACCTTTAATTCCCATGTCGTTGTGTAAAAACGAGTTTAAAAAAGTATTCTTTCTGTTGTGTTTCGTAAGTGGTTTTTTTCTTGGGTGCTAGTTGGTTGTTACAGGACAGGTTGAATATTACGCGAAAAAGAAATATACTTGTAACTATAGTGAATAAAAACAGTAATAAAAACAAAAAAAAAATGTCTCAAAAAAATGTAATTTATAACACGTCACAGATGTGTTTAAACGGCGACTCAATATTGCTGCGCATCGTCAAGCCAATAAGATTTGAAAGCTTAGGGACAGCCCAATTTTACTTTGGGGCAGCCAAAAGATACGTGCAATTTAAGTGTACTGCTGGTGAAACCGCCCTCTATCCGGACTTCAAAACTTGAGGGAAAAACTCTCATGTCAATAGCTACCTCATCCCATATATCTACCTGAATAGTGATGTGTATAAAATATTTGGAACATGATAGTATGGCCGTCTTCAAGTCCATGCGGCGTTATTTGTCAATCAATTGCAATAGCTTATCATACCGGCTGTTATTATGTTTCATTTACCTGTCTTGCATGAATTATAGTTCATAAATGCAAGCCTTGAATCACAGCCATTTCCTTTATCTTTTTACTGAAAAATAGATTATACTTTGTCCTTTTATTAGAATAATGATAGCAGAGTTGTATTTATGGTGAGTCATATGGACACAGATTTTTAAAAGAATTTAAAGTCATGACTCACAAAAGGCAACAATTATTTAAACAGCACAAATATTTTTTCTTTTTATTTAACAACTCTTATTTTCAGTTTAACAAAAAATGGCTAAATATATTATAGAGCATTACAAAACTGGGGCAGATTTTTTACAAGCGACAGGACCTCACTTGCAGGAAAAGGAAGCTTATAACTCTGTTTTTCTAAGCTCTTTGCCAAAAGACAGGGCATGTTATTATAGCGCTGTCTTGGATGCTACCAACACTGTGGTATTTGCCTTGTACGCTATTCAAGACTCTTTTCTTTACACTTCTTATAGCAAGGATGTAGACGCTGTTCAGATGCTTGTCTCCGATATTTTGGCCGCTGACTTTTCCTTTCAAGCCTTCTTTGCTTACGAACCTTCGCTCGGTGTTATAAAAAAAGTGATGAAGGAAGCCAATCGCACCACAAAATGTGTGGACCAGATGTGGAGTCACATAATTAAGCAAGTACAATGGTCGCCAAGATCTTTAGCTCTCAAGAAGACAGCGATATTAAAGCAAGCTACCTCTGATGATTTTTCTGTGTTACGGGAATATACCCAAGGCTTTTTACATGACGCATCACCCGACTTGGTTCGAGTGATGGGTGTGGATATAGACCAAATGTGTTGTAGTACCATTGAGAGTGGAAATGCATACTTGCTATTTGCGGATAATATACCAGTGTCAATGACATGGAAACGGAGATCATTGAATGAGGGATGCTCAGTAGCTTATGTATATACGCCTCCCAAGTATAGGCACCAAGGATTCGGAGGCGCATGCGTGGCCATGTGTACAGAATTGTTCTTGCAAGAATTCAAGTATGCGACTTTGTTTATTAAAGGGTCTCAAGATCCCCATAACAATATGTATACCAAGATTGGATATCAGCTTATTGGTGAAGTGGGGAGATACACCATTGAATAAAAATGATTTTTTTTTTTAACGCATATACCTTTACACACTCCGTTTTAGTAACTCAGTGGTCCATCGGCCTTAAATCCAATTGACCGATCATGCTGATAAAAAGCCAAGATATAAATGTAATCTTTTTGACAGATTTCAAGCCAAAAGTGTCAGAAAGAGTCAAATTGATAGATTACACAAGAAAAAAAAATAGAGAGGTGATTTGCACATCACGTGGAATGAGTCATTGTGGAGGATAGGGTGTTGGAAGTTGAGGGGAGCATAAATATGAGAACTGAGTTTTTACGAGAGATAAACCCCAATTCTCTCTCTTTTTCTTTCCTAAAACATCCCAAATCATGTCCTTGAAATTAAAACCTACACTCGAAGAAGTCCAAGCTATTGTATCTGCTGGCAAAGGAAACACCATTCCTATTTATGCTGAATTAGAAGCTGATTTTTTGACACCTGTTTCAGCCTACTTGAAAGTCGCGGATCGTTGCGATTATTCATTCTTGTTTGAGTCTGTGGAAGGAGGCGAAAACATTAGTCGTTACTCATTTATCGGCTCAGGTACGCTTCTGTATATAAACCAAAGAAAATAGTGTTTATTAACATAGAAAAAGAATAGATCCTTACAAGTTGATCAAGGTGGGTAAAGATGAAGCTGTTCATGGCGATCCTCTTGTCCCCATTCAAAAGGAGTTAGCTGATATTAAATATGTCAAAGTGCCCGGACTCCCAAGTTTTACTGGTAAAAGATTATATATATACTTTTTAGGGGTTTCCCGTATATAAACTTTCTAACAAAGCAAGGAAAATGTGTGTGTAGGTGGTGCTGTGGGTTACATTGGTTTTGACTGTTATCAATATTTCGAGCCAAGTATTACAGGCGACCTTGATGATCCTTTAGGTATTCCTGATGCCATTTTCATGATGTGTGATACTCTCGTCATCTTTGACCGTGTGCGTCAAATTGTCAATGTCGTGTCTCATTTCCGTAGTGATGCTACGGACCCTATTGAAGTAGAAAAGGAATACACTAAGGCAGCGGAAGAGATTGAAACCACACTTTCACTCTTAAATGAAGAACGTATCCCTCGTGTTCCTCAAGGACCGGTTACTTTAGGTAAAGAAGCCGTATCTAATGTGGGTGAAGATGGTTATAAGGGTTTTGTAAGTACCTTGAAGCATCATATCAAGGAAGGTGATATCTTCCAAGCCGTTCCTTCTCAACGTTTAGCTCGTCCTACCGACCTTCATCCATTTAACGTGTATCGTCACTTGCGGTCCTTGAATCCCTCTCCTTACATGTTTTATATGAATTTGAAGGGATTTACTATTGTCGGTGCTTCTCCCGAGATGTTGACTAAAGTACAAGATGGCATTGCTTTCACACATCCTATTGCCGGTACACGAAAGCGAGGAAAGACCCCTGAGGAAGACAAGGCTTTAGCTAAAGATTTATTAAGCGATCCCAAGGAGCGTGCCGAGCATGTCATGCTGGTTGATTTAGGTCGTAATGACATCAACCGTATTTGTAAACCCGAATCAGTCAAGGTGGATAAATTGATGGAAATCGAGTTATATTCTCATGTCATGCACATTGTTTCTAATGTGTCGGGCGAATTACGTGATGATAAAACTCCATTTGATGCGTTCCGTGCCATCTTCCCTGCTGGTACTGTGTCGGGAGCTCCCAAGATTAGAGCAGTTAAATTGATTCGTGAATTGGAAAAGGAAAAGAGAGGTATCTATGCTGGTTCAGTGGGTTACTTTGATTACTCGGGTGGATTAGATACTTGTATTGCTATTCGTACTATGGTTTTTAAAGATGGTGTGGCTTACTTACAAGCGGGTGGCGGTATTGTCTATGATTCCGTTGAACATGATGAATACATTGAGACCATGAATAAGATGGGCTCTAATTTGGCTACTATTGATCAATGTGAACGTAAAATTTACGACCAACAACAGGCTAAGCAATAATAATAATAATAATAATAATAAAGATTATGTATTTAAGCAAAAAAAACAAAAACAAAAAAAAAGAAAGAGTGGGAAGCGACAATATATTACAAGAGATGAAAAAGGAAGTAGATAGGAAAGGATTTATGGTGTGTTGATGGAGTTACGAGGAGAGGCAATGGGTTCAGTGGGCTGTTGTTGCTTGATATGAAATAACTTGATGTATGTGTTATTCCAGGGTCCATAGTGAGATACGGATGAAATATAAGTTTGACCCCATAACATACTACGGAACCAAATCACTAGTGCATCACACCAAAGGAATTTACGAATACATACTGCATGAGCCGGTGGTAAGATATCCGAACTAGATACGCCTCGTAAGAAATCAATGATTTGCTCATTACTCATATTTTCAGATTCAACCTTGGGTAATAACTCTTGTATTAAGGATGAGATTGTATCTAGCGGAAGACGAGAATGCCATTGATAAATCTGATAGTTTTTTTCGGGGGTGCATTAGTTTTTATAAATGCATTATAAAAAGACGTTATGAGCAAACTTACCCAGTCATCTGTGGGAATAAATCCATTCTTAGCACCAGGTAGGAGGCTTGTAGTAGATAGGACAGAAGAGACACTGGATTGTCTCATTGGTGAATTGGTAGCAGGAGGGATACTAGATGTACTAGAGACACGCGAGAGAGATGCTTCTGGTAGTTTACCTTTGGCCTTTTCGGATAAAGGTAAACTAGCTGTAGAATCTGGTGAAGCACCCGCTGCTGCTTCGTCGATGGAGTGTCTTGGTAATCTGTGTGTAGCTGCTTCTTTTGACTGACGTAGTCTTTCGATCTCGATCAATGCATTATCTAGACTAAACTCGGCCAATTTTTGAAATTTTTGGTGGTTGCGAAGTATAGCATAGATTAAATTGGGATTATCTAATATTATAGGTTAGCGTTTAGTGTATTGAATAAGTTTGCAAAAAAAATAGTTACTGGAAAATTGGAATTGTATGGTATTGTTCAATGCTTCAAGTAAATACTCTATTAAATGGTGATTGGATTCATCAGCCAACAAAAATCCAGGGGCGGACATGGAGCTGAATAGAGAGACTAATTTGTTTGATGTCAATGCAGATAAATTCTTTAGATAGGGCGATATGTTTGTAATAATCTTGATGAATGCAGGATACAATGTGGATAATGTTCCTCGAGAAGTTGCGATCAAAGAAAAAATGGTCTGATTTTCTATCGCATTAGCAAGTGCATTTCGTTGTTTTTCATATCCATTTGTGTCTTACCAAAATCAAATAATTGGCGTAGGATCCTTGGAAATTAGGCAATCGTATATTAACTGGAAGTGATGCATGACCTTCAAATTGCTTGTTTAGCTTGTCACTAAATGTTCTATCTGAAGAGAGTGTTTGAAGGATAAATGAACACATACGAACAAGTCCCACTTGCGCTATAAAAAAAGGAGAAGATGAGAACTAGGTGATGGTATATGAAATGTGCAACCTACATGGATCGAGCTTGTTTTCACTGGCATAGAAGAGGAGAACAATCATGAGGTCCAATGCTCTTTCCGTTTCCATCAGATAACTTCTAAATCGCTTTATACATGATAAATTAACCCTCTCTTATACCATGAATATTCCCGTACTTACCCCATTCATCTCCAATAACTTCCAACACAACATCATCATTTCTACATGATATCTGACTCTTTTGGAAGTACCAGGCAAATAACTGTTCAAAGTCTAGTAAAAGGATCAGCAACATACTGCGAGTTTTTTTTTTCTCGGGTTACCTGCATAGGACTACTTAATATTCTGTAAATGCCATCTATTAAAAATTGAAAATCTTGAGCCCTGTGTAACTTTGACAAATAATATCGGAAGGCGTTCTCCATTGTTTCGGGCTGATCCCGAGTGTCCACTTGAGGTTGTGATGGTACTTTGGCAAATGCATCTGATTCATTGGAGCCATTAAGATGAATGATATCAGGTGATCTATAATCCAGAACGATCAACAAGACACGCAAACAAAGAGCTACCAATTGTTCCCTTGGGTCGGTGTACATGATGTGATTATAAGGAACGGCTGTCCAACCCATAGGATTAAATTTGCATGCAGTATTGATCATACTACACAGGAAGGCAAGCACAACTTTTCGCTCTGTTCTGCTTACCATGTACTGTAGCCATTTGTCATCCTTGGCCAATATTTGGGGCGGAGGAGTGTACATGGATCGAGAAAGCAAGACGGTTAAGAGTCGGAGTACTTCGGTTCGGTTCATATCATTATCTCTGGAGGATCCGATAGGTGTAGAGGATCCTACGCCTGTTTCCCAGATCACATAATTCACTCGAGATTCTCCTGTGCCCATTGTGGGTGGTAAAGTAAATCCTGCCAAAAACAATGCCTGCAAAGTTACTAGGGAGTCTAGTTAGTGAAGGCCCAAAATGCTGAATACACAAAGAAAAACTCACAGGTTATCAGGACCTCAGCTCTAGGTGGTAATGTTATATACTGTGTAGCCTTCTTTCCGTCTGTTTCAGTGGGTGATGAATCTGATTTTTCAATTAATCTTGGTGTCCAAAAGAACTTTTCTTCCCACTCTGCGCACTCTGGACTTTCAAATACATAAGGCATAATTCGAGTTAATACGCGACAACAGTTGAGTAGATATGGAATCTGAAGTGCTGAACTAGAGTGTAATTGTGCATCCATTTGGTCCATCACCTTTTAACGGGGTAAGTTTTAAATTTTTAATTTTCCATCTCATTATCATTACCTTATCAATTAAAGTCTCGAGATTCTCTCTTGCGCCATCTCTGGTTTTTCTAATGTCGGTAGAACCGACCAAAGTATATACATCGTCAACGGATTCAGGTAATGTCCAAAACTAGAATTAATCAACATTAAACAAAGACTGTTTTTTTTTTTGTAGTAGTAGTTTTTATTATTTTACCAAAGTCCAATAGTCATCTGCGGTTATAGGTACATTCTAATTGAAGAGTTAAAGCTACCTTCTACTTGAAAATAACAAAAAAAAGAGGCGAAAACTTACTCTTTCTTCAAATAAACGGAAAACACCTTTTCTGAAAGCTAATTTACTATCGGTTGCACCCATTAAATATTCTATTCGGGCTAAATAAAAAAAAATAAAAAGAGTAAGAAAGGAAAGAGAGAAGGAGAGAAAGATAAAAAAGGGAGAATTATACTTTATATTTATTTCGGAGACCTTTTTTATTCCATCAATGTGAACAATAAGACAATTGTAAAAATGACGTTTTTACTGATTGTTGTATAAAAAAGTGCGATGATGATCGCATAGTTTATGGTAGCCGATACAAAATGCCATTGACATCAACTGTTTATGGAATGGCTGGCCTTTCTGGAATTGAAATCCTGAAATTTATCTTTTTTTGTTGTAGATCACTATACGTGTGAAATAAACAAAATTTAATTTCTTATCAATTAAAACTTCTTTCCAATTAACAATCATCACTTTCTTGCATTTTGCACTTCATTTCTTTTTTTTTTTTTTAGTAGAATTTCTTGTCTTTTAAAGCCAAATACAACCCACAAGTTGAACATAAACCGAATTTAACCCAGACGAAACGGACAAGTTTGCAAGGCTTTTGAAACTTTACTCATAAGGGCACTTTATTGTAGTTACTGCTGTTTTTGATACGCATGTAACTCTATCCGTGACTCGAGATCGAGTAAAAAGTGGAAATTCTATAAAGAAGGTCAAAAACAACAATTGCCTTGATTTTCTTGAAATTATTCAGTTACATTTTTTGTTATTTATTTATAAAAAAAAAAAAATGAAAAAGAAGCAGTCTTAATGTTGTCATTGGCATGGATTACATAAATAAGGAGTGTTAATTTGCTGACCTTTTCTTCCGTGTTCTTTACAAACGCATGTCAGATTCTTCCATGAGCAAACGAGCTCCTAGCAGTGTGTTAGGAAAACGCGCGTATAGTTTAATCAATGAAGTTACTTCGGATATCTCTAGCATGAGCTCCAGAACAGAATCCTCTGGACCCAAAACTCCTACACCATGGCTGCCTCCTTTCTCTAGCTTATTGATCAATGATTATCCTATCTCTTCTGCCAAACTACATGTCGCAGCAGAAACGACTCCTCCATCCACTATCCCTCCACCCGCAGCAAATAATAAGAGAAAGACTCGCCCACAAGTATTTATGCCGATGATCCCATACTACTTTCATCACAAGGACTTTGGCATCGAGTCCTGTATGCTTCAATTAGAAGGTCAAAAGAACTTTAACAAGTACTACTACATCTAAATGAAAGCAGTCCTACAAAACAAAAAAAAATCTAAATAAAAAAACTAAAAATATTGTTTTTCTTTCCCCCTCTCTCTCTTTTTTTTTTTTTTTTTTTTTTCTTTTTACACTGACAATGTCGATATTACCAACTACTAATAATTATAACCCGTCATCTATGTATGATGGAGGAAGTAGACGCGGTAAACAAGGACCAGCCTTGCTACGAAGATTATTTCGGTTTCCACAAATGGACTTTGAGGTATATCAAAAAAAAAAAAAAAAAAAAAAAAAAAAAAGCGTAACATTCGAATGCTTCATTAACTATTTACCTGGCAGTTTGCTATATGGCAAATGTGTTATTTGTTAATAGCACCGAGAAGAGTGTAGGTTTTTTTTTTTTTTTAGGAAAGCAACTTTTTTAATTTTTATTTTTATTTTTATCATGCAGATATCGAAATATTTATTATCATAAACGTATGAACTTATTTTGAAAAACAAGTGTCTAAAAGAAGCATTAATTCTTTGATATTTATTAGAAACGAAGAACCAATGGTCAAGAGATGATCCAGCATTCCTTGTGTTATTGATCTTGTTTATCACCCGTAAGACACATTTAAATCAAATGTCAGAATTATGTCAATAACCTATTATTATAAAAAAAAAAAGTCAGTGCGATTGTGTGGAGTGTCACATATGATCTGGGCATCTATGGTGCCATCAAGACCGTTTTATCCATGATCTTTTTAGAGTTTTTGTTCATTGGATCTCTGATATCTACCGCTACATGGTATAGTTGCGAAAATATAAGGAGGAAAATATAGTTAACCTTTTTCCTTGTTAAATAACGCAGGTACATGACAAACAAATTTCTTACGCAGAATATAAACACTTATGCAGTGGCTCAAAAAGTAGAATGGCCATATGCATTTGACGTTCATTGTAATTCATTTTTACCCGTGTACATGATCCTCTATGTCGTACAATGGTTTTTTTTACCACTCTTGCTCAAAGATAGTTGGATATCCATGTTGATGGGTAACCTCATGTATTGCATTGCATTAATCTGGTACATGGTGGGCACGTTTCTAGGCTTCAATGGTAAAGAAAGAATAGGTATACACAGATAAACTTTTACTAAGAAATTTGTTTTTTTTTAATAGCCTTACCCTTCTTGGTGCATACGGAATTACTCTTATATCCTATCGCACTTTGTATCGCTTTATTTATTGCTTCCTTGTTTGGTTTAAATATCTCACAATACGTACTTGGACATTACTTTTCACAATAGATTTTTTTTTTTTTTTTTTTTACTTTATTTTAGAATAAATTACAATAGGGATATGTACATATTGGGGGGTATAATTTATTAAGAAACATCGACCATACTATAACGTCTTTGTGTGCCTTTCTTTGGTTGTTGTTGTTCTTCATGACCACCCTCTAGACCCCCAGCAGCCATAATGACCCAATGTACAGTACCGTGTCTTAAACTCTCCGAGTACTCACTTGGGAAATGATCATTCAAAAAGAAGGGAAAAATAATACGAAATAGGATCCGTATCTTATTCTCGCGAGCCAGCCTACGGATCACGTAACGGTTTAAAAGACCCGAAAGATGTAAAAAGGAGATATGTCTGACTGGCACAGGTTCATTGGTGTATGGGTTGGGAGGGTAGATGGTGATATTAAATGCCGAGTCAATATAAACAAGGGTTCCAGGTGGTGTACTTTTTGGGGAAGAGAGGAAAAAATCATATGTCAATCAAGGTTATACGTAATGTAATTGAGGTCACTTACTAGTATTTCCACATGGTGGGTGTTCTTGGGACAATATCATTATTATAAACATGGTGGAAAATCTTACTCGTCATGCGAGGGCTAAATACTTTGGAGAACTCGGCGTCACCAATCTTGGGTTGGCCATAAGTGTATAAGCCGGAGAAATGTTCAAGCAAAGGGCTTTTAGACTGTAACATCTTTGCCAAAAATACTATTTATAGCTATTAGTTGAAAGTACCATTATCAAATATAGCACTTACTTGTGCTCAGGGCACCGCCTAGTGAATGACCCGTAATGAACAGCCTCTTTTTTTATTTGATGGTGCAGTTGTACTCCCATGTGATAAACCCGATCTTCTTCTGGATGATTGAGTCGCATCATGATCTCGTTTGATCAAGTGAAGGATGTGCTCTTCGGCCAAGGCGTACATACTATTGGATCGAATATCCGTATCAGGCCCCATCCAACTACTATCAACAGGCTCCTTGACATGGTGAAATAAATTAAACGTGACAAACTTAATAATCTTTCCCAGCCCTTGAACAGCAGAAACAATCGTTCGGTACACAGACGTATTAATCAATTCTATCCTTAAAATAGCACTATTTGACACAGGTTTGTTAGTGTCTTTTCGGACTTCTTCGGTCGCTTGAGGTCTTTTTTTATTGGGCTCTCCCATTGCATTCCAAAAGCCCTTGTGCACTCTTCCCATAGGCCCCCATTGTGATTTCACATCCGTCATGCTGACAGTAATGTTCGTCAAGTAGTTTTGGATATTAAGAGGATTGGTTCTAAATGCAATTGGTGTTATTTACTTTTACATATTTTTTTTACAAATATATCTTGTTTGTACCCTCTGAACACCAATAAAATGTCATCATCCTTTTCCGTAATAAATGCGCAAATGTTCTAATATAAAAAAGTTTAATATAAAACCGTGTGTAACCTCCCTTCCCCCACACATTTATGTTTAAAATGTTTACCCCACCTTGTACGCAATAGGACGAAATGTGTGATCCACATCAAATCCAGCCTTCTTCAACTCATACTTGATCACATCAACATCTTCATATACCAATCTGCTGGCAACTGAAAGCGTATATGCTAACGGTACCGAGTACTTGGGTCGTTTTAACAAGGAAGTGAGTTCTCGGGATTCAGCTCCACCATCCTCTGTCATGCGTAATTCTTTTCTCTTTTTAAATAATTCTCGGTCCTCTAAATGCTTGGTTCTCGGGATACTGTCATCGAACATTTCTATGCGTGGATCCATAGCATTCGTAATAGCTACGTGACAATATATTCATTAGTATCCATCTAAAAACAGTAATCATAAACTTACAGTAGTTTCGTTTGGACGGGTGTCTGCCTACAACAAATCTTAGCAAGGCTCGTACAAGCTGATCACTCATGAGTAAAACAATAAATCCCAAGAAAAAGAAGAAGCGAATAACAATAGAAAAGAGTGGGCCTATAAATGTGGTGCCTGATAAATAATTAGCGATGGGAGCCAGTGTTTTACTGACATTGTTCAGCATAGTGAAAACAATGGGGGAACCGTGCTTGACTGTCTTGTAGCCCAAGAACAGAAATGTAGAAAGACCCATGCTAATGAAGGACAAAGCGAATAAAATGGTGCTTAGGAACATGAGATTGTCTTGTAACGCATAAATTGCAAATAGAGCAGGAATCGAGGAAATCACGGACGCAATTGCAAAGTAAATTCGGTTTTTTCCTTGAGCCATTTGTCTTATTTCATTGACTCACCTTCTTTTCTTTTTTCTTTCCTTTTTTTTTTACTTAGATTACAAAGGAAAAAGAAAGAGAAAATAAAGGGGCAAAAATAAAGCCTATATATACATACTGGACAGTGTGTGAAGCACATGCCATTTCAGAGCGGAAACACAAATCATCAGTGACTGCAGGACATCTCACAACATTTTTTAAGGTTTGCCACCATTGACCCCGTGCTACCCGTGCGAAATACATATCCTATTGACCTGACACCTTCAACCCGAACGCCTAAAAGTACTCTATCTCCCTTTATACCACTGACCGTTTCAGCTACATTCATCGGTCACACAGATCACTTAAGTCTGTGGGTCAATTATGCTCAATGTCAGCTATAATTTCTGGATCGAAAAGCATCATCTTATAAAAATCTTTTATTGCTTTGTTAAGATTGTAGTGTCATTCTCCTTTAACAGATAGCATCAATAATTGAGGTTTCACTTGGAGTGGATTTAGGTTGTTGTGCAACTTTTGGTGTCAAGGTAATAGTTTCCAACGTAACCACATTCTCAGTGGAGCACTGGTATACCAATGTCTTTTTTGTCTCCTTTGGCTCAGATTTGTTGGGGTTGACAGCGGCTAAAGAAGGCGGGATTTTGGAAGGATCTTTATCTTGCATTTCAAACATTAGGTGAGTGCCAATGGTTTCATCGACAGTGCCTTCTAATGTAAGTTCACCTAATTGTAAGTAAGGTTTTCCTTCTTCCAGTCCCTGTCATTTTCTTTTGGTCAGTTATAAGATTGACAAGTGAGTTTAGGCGTTTTACTTACAATGATTCTACAGCCACCATTTTTGATAGAAACTTCGTCTATAAATTCTGAAGGGGCTATGCTTCCCAAGTCGAATACGACATAGGTCGTCTACTTTAACATGAACTTAATATCGGCCTTGTTACAAAGCAGAAAAAAAAAGAGAGAGAGAAATTACCTCTTCCTCGTATTCTGAATCGCTCATATGAAAAAAAAAAAAATATATACAGTTTCACTGTGACAAAAAAATAAAGACTGTCTGATACTTAATGTATTTTTTTTCAAACGTACTTTATACTCCCCGGTCCTGTCCGGCCAAAATCCGGGTTGGACAATATCAAGTTTTTTTTTTTTTTTTGATTTCACAAAGTCTTACGTTCATTAACGTGCCACATCACACTTAACTATAGGTAAATGCTATTACTAAAACGCTACTAGACAATTACTAAGTTCGGAATTTCTTTTTCCATAAGCTTGGGGGTATTGTCAGATGTTTCCATCATAGATAAAGGCTGAAACATTATAAATGATTATCTAAATAAACATATAAATTGTCCTGACATAAGCTCTTGTTTATCATATTATAAATAAATTCGTTCACACACTTTTTTAGTTAAATAAACAATTAAATCATCCTGACGTAAACCAGTCCTTGTTTATCAGTCAACATATAAAACCTGTTCACACACACACTTTGTTCTTTTCTTCTTCTTTTCATTTTTTTTTTTAAAAAAAATTATGCATAGTACTATCTTTTGTATGAAGGATAATAATAAGTATTGTAAAAAGGTTGGTTAGCCAATAATAATTTTCGTTTTTTAAAGAAACGCTGACACGCTTCACTACGTTTATCTTTTTCGTAGTATTCATCAAGCTATCAAATGTCACAAGAACAACTAAGCTCTCTCTCTCAATGTGCAGATACACATCTTATGCTGGCATCTAAAGTGCAATCACAAAGAATCCGGTTATCAGAAGAGGTGCTTGATTTAAGGGTGTTCGATTTAAGGGTGTTTTCTATTTAAGGGTTTATTTATGAAAAACACCTTCGGCACTATTTTATTTGAGGGTGAGATTTCATATCTCTGACCCTTATTTTAAGCGGTGTAATACCTTCTTTGGAGGTTAGTATTCACGTTTTTGATCAACTTTATTTAATGTCCGAATAACAAACATTTTTTTCGCAGCAATGATAGACAAGTTTGCGTCTGTCGCGTCTAACCTAGGTAGTCGCGGCTTTCGATATAAGGGCGTAATTTCCAGAAGTTTCTGTCACCCTTAAATTGAGCGGCTACTGTATGTGATCAACTACTATGAACAAGGTTTCTCCTCTTTCTAATTCTTTATTCTCTTTGTAACAACATTTGTAACAGATATTTGATGAAGGTGAAAGCTCTTCAAAGCCAAAAAAAACTCAAAAAGTATGTTTTGTATTGCGCGAATAATATACTTTTTGGATTAATTGACTGACTACTTACATATAATATCATACTGCATCAGATCGGATCAAAAGACACAGTTCGTTTTTCTGGTTTAGATGGTACATTAGGAGAAAATCTGCTGAATCTTGCAGATGAAATGGAGGTCGAGGATGCAAAATCTAGATACTTTTACTAGTAAGTTTTTATATAGTCTCTAGCATAAATATTATGATGTTATAACTCTTCTCTATTATAGTTTGTCCAAAAATTGTATCTTGGACCTAACAAATCAGCCAACAAATTTGCAACTGAGCCACTTCACCGCTCCTGTTCAAAAACTAATTAAGGCCAAGTTCACACTCCTTGCACTCGATTCAGAGTCTATGAATATTCCTACACTTATCAAGCAGATCAAAAAGGTAAATACGTTTGCTTTGCAAATGAGAACCATGATGAATGATTTAACGAGTTTTATGTGCAATACTTTCTTGTTTAAAGATCAAAACTGACAGACTCCCCTCGTTAAAAAAAAAATGCATCGATTGTATCCAGTAGGTTGGCTGAAGCAATTGTACTACACGTGGTTGGTTGTGTTGTCAAGAGCCTGAACGCCACCATCCATACCATCTACAAATACCGCACCAGAAATCTAGAAGATAAAAATATCAAAATAATCTATGATTACATGTACAGTATTTGTAAATTGTAAATGCGGAGATAGAATCTAACAAAAACCATTGTAGTTTGTCTATGCACGCAGAACGACATTGGATTTACTTACAATACCCCGTCCATTTCATGTCGTCTGCATGCGATTTATCATTTTGAAGTATAAGCATTATCATTCGCAAATACAGCCAAGCAGCATTTCCGCTACAAGGCCTATCTCACAAGTAAAGGTTTTCAAGCACGAGGCTTTATTTTTAGTACGCATCTGGTACAATTCAAAACACAGTAGCATCGTTTTCAGTATGGATTCTGACTTAGAGGCTTTCGGCCATTATCCAGCAGATGGTAGCTTCGCGGCATTGGCCTTTCAACCAGCCGCAAATACCAATTATCTGAATGAAGGGTTCCTCTTGTACTAAATGCTCGCTCTAACTACAGTGAGGAAGATTACAAGCTCAAATTCTGGGCCCACATCATTGAGGTTTTTTTGCTCATAAGTAAAATATGACATTACGTTGGTAAGAAAGTTTAACCCAGTTAATATTATCTTGTTATATTTCCTTATTGACCCAATACTTTGTCTATTTAAAAGGGGGGTTACAATCACCACTCCATGCAAATCCAAATGCCTCAGATTTAAGCTGGATTTATATGTCCTCGTCATGAATGATGAAAAAGTAGTAGTCGATGGTATGGCAGCAGAGATTGCAAAATGGCCATCAAGAATAAATTGTATAGTGATAAGTTGAGGTCGACCCTGGCAAGCAAATGTCACCTCAACAGTTTTTTGGAGACAGCTCCTTTTGCCACTGTAAAGGAAATCAGAAGCATGAGGTTCCCAATCATGCAAATCATGGGCATGGACGCTCATGTCTATGTTGTAAGACTTCCTTCCCGTGGCGTTTATGTCATTGATGAAGAGTTCAGTTTTTCTTTCCCTTCCAAGCTCAAGCAATTACCTGATTTAGAAAGGCTGATCGATGGATTGAGTATGGTGGAAGTAAGTATTAAGTAGCTATCGAAAGCTTTCAAAGGGAAAAATTAGAATTGAAGGCACTAATAATGAAATATTTAGACGATGTTGGACGATCTTTCCTTGATTTATGAAACTTGCCAGAACAATCCAACTAATGCCATGGAAAGAGTTATGAAAGAGTCTAGTCGTAAGAAGAAATTAGTTTTTTTTTTTTCACAGAAAAAATTGTCGTTGGCAGGCAAAGACCGCAAATACATCCAATTAAACGTGAATGTGGCAAACGGTATTGGTTTACACAGAAAAATAAAAAGAATAAAAGAAAAACAGGGACTAAGTTAAATATCTAGTATGGTTTTTATTCCAGGTTAAAGATTTATTGCTTTGAACAAAGAAAAAGTTGTTTATTTCCTTGACCAACGAGCCACATGAAATGTAAGCGTCACGGTTTGCTCTTGTTGCCTTCAGTCTTCGCCATTACTTTGTTATTCTACCATTTCCCTCTTTTATAAATACTGTCAAAAATATTGTTTCTTTCTTTTCTCTTTTCTTTTCTTTCTTTATTCTATTTCTCCACTTTAACGAACATTACACTTTAGTTGGTTTTTTTTTTTTTTTTTTTTTGCTTGAATAATTAAAGTCACATATTACACATCATAAATCGTATCGATCTTTTAATGCTGTCAGACTTCCAGGCCTGCCTATCGAAAAGCTTTTTGCCACTCTTGACGCATCGGAGATTTTCATGGGATTGCTGGATTTAAAAAAGAACTTGAACTTTAGTGTTTTTTATCGGGTACTGCTGGGGATGCTCTAATCTATTGGCATACTTAATAGCGTAATGCTCACTTCTTTTGCTAGTCGGAAGAAATAGCAACTCTATAACATGTACGCCAGTATTAAAAAGCTTTAAGTTCCATACGTCACTCAAGTCAATGTAGGTGCAATTACAGCGCAGATGGTTATTGCGTTTAGCCGTAATTTTTTTTTTCATTTTCTTTATTTTAAGGATTTTATAAAGCTGAAACTCACGAAATTGCACATAATGCCATAAGTTGATACGAAGACCAATCCTAACCATTCTGTGCACCCATCTCATGTGTTAAAAGGTACTCTTCAATTGTTTGACGATTTCGATGTATCAGCGATAATTACCGAGGTAACCATCTCACACGAATGCTTTTTATTTCAATTGGTGATTTTTGCGTTGTTAAGGAAAAAAAAAATTTGCAGCTTTTACAACCAATATTTATACTTTTTTTTATTTGGTTCGGGGGTTATATTTTATTTAGCCGTCCCCGAACAAGCCTTTTGATAAATTTAACTTGTCACAGATACAGTATGTAGCACCTATCCAATCGTAGCTTCAATAAAAAAAAAAAGCCGTAAACTCCTTTCCCAAATTGGTCAGACGATCTTCAACATGTTTACAGCGGTGCATAGATGGATACTAAAGCCATAGACACTCCGTCTTCTACTTAAATTTTTCACATGAATTTGTGGGTGAAGTATCTGCTTATTGAAAGTGACTAAATTCGACTATTGTGAGCGAGTATTAAGCAATAGAACTTTGGTTAACAAATCTATTAAATAACTCAGGTTTACTCGTCTTTGTAACAAATAATTGTTTATAAAATGAGATAGCATTTATTAATTAAATTCTTTAAACGGAAGTTCCGGTCTGAGTTGCTTCAGCCTGTAAATTGCTAGAACATGATACACAGATATCTATGAGTGTCCTCTTTTTTTGCTGTAGTCCGAAAATGACTGTTCATTGGCCTGAATTTAAAGTGCGAGTAATGCGTTATTTTTAGAATCTGTTTGTAATTTTTCAAAGCGTACCCTCTGTGTTGATGGATGTACGTAGTGGTAGCTACAAACAAGATATTATTATTTCTTTCAAAGATTGATTACTACCAGTTGACTAGAATTTTTTCTATTTGGCCTTGATAAACAGAGTTGTACATGGTCGACATAATCGTTCTGGCCTTTTAAAGTCCAAGCAAAATACGTTGTAACCCAAAGCAACGGTCAAATTCCTGTTCCACACAAGAGAAATGAAATTTTCTTCAGATATAACACCAGCTCATTGAAAACTTGAATATAATTTTGGTCACCATTAGAACTTAACTAAAGACGATCCCATGTACATAGTAGAAATTGGTTGAAAAGAAAAAGCGTATCATTATACTGTGGTCTTTTGGTCGTCATTGATGTATTTGTCTTTACTTACCAATGATTGATTTGTCTTTGATGTTTTAGTTCAGCTGTCCCAAATATTGAAACATCTAAATTTATTATTTTGAAGTAGATTAAACACGGTATAAATTTGAAAAAAAAAGGAGTTGAGATGATATATACGCAGTTTGTTGTATTAAGTAAAAAGAAAAGAAAATGAAAAAGAAAAAGAAAAGACTAAAATGTATGCTTTTTTCTTTTTTCTCATTTTTTTCTTTGGAGTTTTTGCATTAAGAGGGGGAGGAAATATTAAGAAAAGATAGATGATAGAGAATATACAAAAAAAAAAAAGGGGACCCATGATTACAACATGCCAGAATCCCTTAATGCATTTTGTAATAAGGTTTCTCTAACAGCAGCAAACACAAATCGAATCTATAAAAGAAAAAGGGTTTAATATCTTTTAAATGTACATAAATGGAATAAAAGTAACTTACATTAGAAGTGTCAGTAGCTTGTGTAAGACTATTATAATTATAAATCAAAAAATAAGAATTACTGGAAAGAAAAGAAAAATTAAGAGCGACTTACTGAGGATAGATGTTTAGCTTGTTTCTGTTACACTGCAAAAATCGCCATAGGATATATTTAGCAGCTTTATTTGCATCGTTTCCCCCTCCGTAATCAGGAAAGTAATTTTCAAGTGGAGCACCGGCAATCTTTGCTTTAAATATATCCACCTTGTTTAAAAAGAGCATGATAGATGAATGAATAAACCATCGACTGTTCACAATAGACTCAAATAAGGCCAAACTTTCAAGCATTCGATTCTAAGCAAATATGATTAATAAGGTAGTAGATGCAAATAACTCTAAAAAATACCTGATTTGATTCTTCCAATAGGACTTGGTCATATTCACTTAATGCTACACAGAAAATAATGGATGTCACTGCGTCAAAACAGTGGATCCATTTTTTCCGTTCTGAGCGTTGTCCACCAACATCAAACATACTTAAAAAGGAATTAAAATCACATGTTAAATATGATGTATATGGATTTGCCTTACTGTATTAATAAACTTCCTAATTGAAACTGTATTTCTGTAATTCCTGTAGTCTTTAATCTTGCCCGCAAGACGTCTTGTTCATTTGGTAAATAATTTGCTTGGCCTACACGATCAAGTGAATCAAAAAAACTAGGTATTCGTTAGTTTTCTCTCTCTCTCTCTCTCTCTCTCTCTCTTGATCTATTTAGTTTGCTATTTACTATGGTGCCGAGTCCATCAGATATAATCCATTCTCTCGTTTTGTGAAGCATGTAATCACAGAGGGGTCTTTCCATAATAGCTTTATTAAGGCAATGATTTCTGGGCTTAATTGACTCTTTGGGTTTCCTGAAACTCTATAGGCTAATATTCGATCAACATTGTTCTAAAAGGGACAGGTAAGTTAAGGCAGTATGGATAAGGAAAATGTTTTTTTACGTTTAATTCAGGCCTCTCATAGGTCATGCCCGCTTCTGCTATGGTTTGGATAATTGTCTGTGCTGACTCGACAACATTACGATATACTGTTGCTCGCCATGTAAATAATTCGTCTTCTGAATATCCATTGAGGTTGATAATCTTCATCTGCTTTAACAATGTTGACTTTCCAGATTCACCAGACCCTATATGTAAACACTTCAGTTTCTTAATGACTCATACATGTGAATATTAATATGAATGTACCCAATAACAAAATCTTGCATTCTTTTTCTCTGTTGCTTTTCTCTTTTTCAATGAGTTTATCAATTTCATTACTACGTTGATGCTCATGGTTGTCTTCTTCCGAAGAATGACATAGCCCCATATTAAGTAAAAAACTAACGAAATAATATATAATTTTTGAAGGTGTATCAGACAGAAAGAAAAAAAAATTCAATTGTTTTTTTGATACCCTCTAAGAAAACGCATCAACTCCGATTTAGGTGAGGTGAAACACCTGCCCCCCACCCCCCAGGTCCTTGCCACAAGTTTTTTTTTTTTTGTGTTAATTTGACGCGCTTCTTTTTTCTTTCTATTCAACTGCAATTGCTTCAAAAGGTTTCACCAGAGCGTATCTCAGCTTAATCTGATTCTTTTACGACAAGTCTAATATGGACACTCGTCCATTAGATGGTCTTTATGAATGCACAGAGATAACTATAATGCGCATATAGTTGCATCTCTTTGTTGTGCATAATTGAATTGTTTGACTTGTGGACCGTATTACATCCCATAATTACCTTCTAAGCATGGATTATTCTACAAATTCGGGATAGTTACTGTCAATACAGTATTGGTGTAACTATACGCTTTTTTATTCATACACTATCGCAGTAGGCGAATTCCAAGTGTTACATTTTAAAAAAGCAGTACAATGTTACCTCACAGACTGTGCACATGAAATGTCAAATGACAATATAAACAATGTGTTTAAGCTTTTCTATTATGGCTTTTAAAAGGAAGCAACCCCTGCCTACTAATGGATGTTACATAAATGCATTATGATGCTGAAGGGGCTACATACTTATTGCACGTGCGGGCTGAACAGGGCAAAAAAAAAAAAAAAAAAAAAAAAAAAAAAAAAAAAAAAAGGATTGGCTTGTATTTGGAATATCTATGCAATTAGTATGTTATTATCACAAATTGGAGTTTAATACGGGAAAAATATAAAGTATGAATAGTTGCCACGAGTATAAATGTTACCACGGCTGGTGAAACACGTACCTATCATCGTGGCACTTTATATTTTGTGGGGGTAATGCTATCTAAGTACATTAGTCTGGAAGTCTAAGCAAAAACAGAACCATACCAAAACTAACCATAAGGTATGATGAAGCTATTAAAAAAAAGGGTATGAATACAAAAGAAACTTACCCATAATACTTTCTTAATCCGTGCAAAATCCAATCTCCACATTGTTACACTACAAGATCTCAGATTATAGTTCAAAAATAACATATTCGACGCTTTTCTGTAGATGTACCCGACGGTGCCCGTACAATGGCAATATATGTAACGAGACGAACAAAAAGTTACCTTTTTTATACAACACTTAGATAAAAAATTGCTTCTTTACAAATTATAAATAAATGTAGACATTATATGCTGCCGATGTAACTGGCCATTGAGACAACAAAAGATTTAAAGTTGATACGACGGTACAGATCTATTGATCAGGTATTACAACGTAACAGCTATATGTCTCCAATTATACTAGAGTTTATTTACTACGCTGTGTAGCAACACCATAAATACTGTCATACTAACTTTGTTACAATTAAAGATTTGCTGCCTACCATGAGATTTTAAAAATGCCTCAAATATGCATAAACTGTGCAATCTCTTCTTTTTGATTGTTTGTAAGTACGAATTTAATAGAGATTGTAACTCCGTTTTAATGATCAATAGGATCTTATCAGTGTTTTATTTCATCTTCTATTGACTTATCCTCACTTCTACTTTCTGTACCTTGGAACAAATTTGATGCAGATATCCTTGTTTGGTAATTTTTGTTTAGACAGAAATAGCGAAACAAAACTTAAAAATTAAATTGCCAGGACTACCTGCAGCCAAGCGACTCATTCTATTAGCTTCTCTAAGAATGTACTGTGATCAGTTTGGTAAGAATAATACCTCTTGCATATCTCCATAGGAAACCCCGAGGTAGAATATATATATGATATTCATTTGTGGCGAATCATATCAGTTCCCGAGGTCCCAAAAAAAATTATGCATAAATAGGCGATGCCTTCCAAAAAAAAAGAAAAAAGAAAGGAGATTATTTTTTTATTCTTAACTCATTCTTTGTTACCAATTATGAGATCGACAGCTGGTAGACTAAATAGATAATCACTTAAAATTATTTATACTAACACCTAATAAAGCAGTATGTATTGTCTTAGTCGTGTTTACTGCAGCAATTCATGCAACAGACATCACTTACAAAGTCATATCGTTGGTCCCCAATGGCGAAACAGTTGCTGTCATTGTAAACAACCATATTTACCCATTGACAAATGCCAACTCAAACTCTAGCTTACTTCATTTTGGTGAAGCTCCTGCCCCAAATAATGGCGATTACAAATATGTCATTATTGAAAATGAGAACAACCAAATCGTGGAAAGCGAAAATTTCACTCGTACTATTAGCGACGGGACAACAAGTACACCAAATGATTACTATGGAAGATCGTGGAATTATTTTGATCTGCCAGAAATGCCGGATATTCTTCCTTCACTCCCCATCATTCACCGAATTCAATCCAAGCTTCACATCCACAATGAAATTCCTACAATTCATTTTTATGGTGATCAGTCTCTGGTAGATATGATCCATCAAAACCAGACAGCTGACATTGATATACATTTAAACATGACTTATATCAGGTAAAAGAAAATTCATAGATTCATTCCTTTTTCTTGGTCATAAAAATAGACTTAATCATGTACATGTCTTACCTTTAGTCCTGACGACGTTGTCCACTTTCCCAACGTCACAGTAGCACTGTCTGGACACTCAACGAGGGGTCTTTCTAAGGTGTCCTATTCTTTTAAAACGCCTACTGATGATTATTTGTATGGCTATCGTCGGATCAAGTTACGATCCATGTCTATGGATTCGTCTTACATGAGAGACTATATGAGCTATGGCGTTGCAAAGGCCATTGGTCAACCTTCTAGTGAATATAGTTACGCACGTCTATACATCAATGATCGAGCTATTGGGCTTTTCGGTGTTGCCGAGGCATTTAAGGCACCCTGGATACGTAACGAATTTGCTAATGGAGATGCCAACTTTGACCATGGTGCACTTTACACGGCAGATATCTTTGGTGGAAAAGAACTATTTGGTGCCCTTGAGAACGGCGATGGAAGACCTAAAGGTTCTCCTGACGGGGAGATGCAACCTTTAGACAGTCCCGCTGAACTATCCTATCTAGGAAGCAATGTTAGTCTTTATAGTGCAGGTCAATATGATGTAAAAGAAGATCCCTCGTCTGGCTCCCCTAATTATACTAGAATCATGGATGTAAGCAAATTTATCTCAGAACAGCCCACTATACCTCTCGACAATGATTCTACTGTTTCACTCTGGGAAAAAGAAATTGATGTCGTGAGTTTTCTTCGTGGTCTGGCTCTTGAAATTATTTTGTCTGATACCGATGGCTATCTGACAATGGGAAATAACTATATACTTTATAATGACCTTGTACACCAACGCTTGGTTTTTAGTGGCCAGGATTTTGACTTAACCATGGGTACCATGTTTTATAATGCTTCTAAAATGCTCAGTGGTAACTATTCCGATTACCCTGGGTTTTACAAGCGTCCCGTACCACCTGCTTTGATGGCTGTGCCTCATTTTAAACAAGAATTCGAGAACTTGCTTATTAATATTACTACGGAACTTGTAAACAACAAAGTACTGGGAAATGTTATTAGAGGAGTTTACAACATGATTGAGCAAGACGTAGCGTGGGATCAGAGCTTACCACGTGTAGCTAGTGATATTTTGCCTGGCGCAATTGGAAATATTAACTCGTCACTTTCAAATGATGCAGAACAGATGTTCCAAGGGGTGTCGTTTCAAACTGCTGTTTTTGGACCTTCGGTTTCTAATTACACAATGAGCCTACTGGATTGGTTATCTATTCGCAGTAATAATATTTTAACATTTTTCAACCAGCCGTTGATTGAATGATAAACATTATCTTAAAAAAATAAATAAATTCAGTTTAACAGATTGCCTAACCTTTCTTTACGTAAACTTACTGAGACATCATCTTATTTAACGTATTGACTGCTCTAATATTTATAGATTCTCGTATTACATTGTCGATACATTTATAAAATAGTTAGACAATTGTGTGCTACTCCTGTTTGAAGGATTGTTTTGGTATCAAATTCTTAATCTTACTCAACTTTACCTTTTTTTCTGAAAAAAAAAAAACAAAGCAAAAGAGCCATATTTTATGGTGCTTTGTTATCCTGTCAAACACAATCGCTAAGCACACTACATTTTGTGAAAAAGCGCAAAAAATGCTCTCTGGCGGGCTCGAACCGCCGACCTTCAGATTATGAGACTAACGCTCTACCAACTGAGCCAAGAAAGCATTTGGATGATTTACTGGTTTAGCAAACAGTTGATATGGCTATAATAAACAAAAAAGTCACGTGATAAACACGTTTCGAATGTTTGATTGGCTGACGCTATTTTAAATGTTTCAAGTTTCTACATGTCTGAAAGCTTTTTAAAAGCCCATCGTTATAGGAATATCTAATTCATTTGAGATCCTTTACCTTCTGTTTTTAATATAAACTTGAAACTACTGTTAAATGTTGAATACTATCACGAATAGCACTGTAGGGTGTACTCTTGTATCAGGTATAACAATAGCCAGATTGTATCCCTCTCCAGATCATGCTACATTACTCTGTTCTGTTTAACACAGGTACGTTCTGCTGGAGGAGGTATGTTCAGTTTAATGTTAATAGCTTGGATCTTTACCCTAGCATACTCCCACAAAAAGAAAACTTTTCCTTGTTCAAATATAATTCCACATTTCTGTTGATTCAGCATTCAACAACGGTAACAACAGTTGTTGGGTACCTCCTTTCAAACTTGCTTTTGCTCTTTTTCTAGGGGTATAAATCGCTCTCATGATGGAGAATGTTGTCATATATGATGTCTATCACCATTTTAGAAACTTCATTTTTCTGTCCATTTATTGGACCCCAATGTCCATTTTCACTATATCATCCATTGAGAAAGAGTGGGTTTTATCGAATCTTTCTTGTTCGATGATTTGATACATTCATACCCTGATTTATCGTAACAAAAATTAACTTCTCTACATCATGTAGTGCTGTTGCAAACTCTTGATAGACAAACTGACATAAACAGTCTATATGCAGTAATTCTGACATGACATCAGTGCTCATATTTTATCAAAAATGATCACAAAAATTAAACCTGACCTCATCATGAATACAAACATCAATAAAAATGGTGGAACCTACTTTAAAATACAGGTTAAAATTACTTCTTTGTTTACAAAAGTGAGTGTAGCTATTTATCTGGTACTAATTGATAATCGGTCCAAAGACCTTTATTTTTCCTTTTTTTTTTTATTATTATTATTCAATTTTTTTTTTAAATGTAAAACAGCAGGTTAGTTTTTTCTGGCTTCAAATGCCTCAGTAGCCCATTTCGCCATATCAACATCGACATTTTCATACTTTTTAATAAATGGATGTTCTAATAAATCGGCATAGGCTGGTCTTTTAAGTGGTTCCTTTTGAAGACATGAATTTACAAAATCAACAGCTTCAGGGGAAAATATATCGGAAGGTAATGATGGTGGTTCGTCGTCAATAATGGCTTTTAATTGTGCAAACATGTTATCATATTTGTAAGGATAACGACCAACACCAATTTCGACAAGCGATATACCCAAGGACCAAACATCAGATGATACGGAGTAGGTATTCGCTGCTCTGATACGTTCAGGCTTTGAAAAAAAATAGGATTGTATTAGTAATTCTTCATTACAAATGTAATTTTTTTAATACAACTTACTGCCATGTAACTTTGACAGCCAATATTTGTTTTTGCCAAGGATTTCTCTAACTGGCCTGACACGCCAAAATCACAAAGTTTAACTTGTCCCTTGATATTTGCGAGAACATTTGTGGGTTTAACATCTAAAATCACAATATTTAATACAATGCTCATGTTTATATATGTCTGCCCGTAATACCTCTATGAATAATCGAAAGCTCATCCTTGAGAAACTTTAAACCTTTCACCATCTGATAATTATAAGAAAAGGGTAAACATTTATAATTTCTGATAATAATAAAAAAAGCATAAACAATACCGAAATGGCTATTTTTGCCAAGACTTCTTCAGGCACACCTGAACCATACAATTTATCGAGTGAGCCAGCATCCATATATTCCATACAATAGTAAACACACGACTCGATAAAGAAGGCACCATAGAATTCAACAATAAATTCACCAGAACTTTTGTGTAAAATATCCAACTCCATCAAGATTTGATGCAGCTTAGTTTCATCTAATTCCAAACGAATTTCCTTCATGGCCATTGTAACATTAGTAACACGATGCTTGACCTTTTGGACGGTACCATACTGCCCCTTTCCAAGTTCCTCTTGCAATATCAGGTCATCCATTTTAATTGCAAAACTATTTCCATTACTGAAATCAACACCATCTGCGTGAATAATGGCTTTGCCGGCGAAATTTAATTTTCCAGAAGGGTCACTATAGAGTAATGGATTACTAAAATGAGGCTTTCAAAAAAAGAAGGGTTACACTTACACATATTTTGAAAAATTTGCGAATGGGGTTTGTTCTTGCTTTGGTGAGAGACCAAGCTGAGATAAGTTCAAGGCAGGTTTTCCCATTCTACCCATACCAGGTCTTCCTCTCAAACCTCCAGGACTTCCACTTAAACCACCAGGACTTCCGCCTGCCATGGGCGGTAAAGGTGAACCACCGGGTCTACTCATGGGTGGTAAAACAGAGCGACCTGACATTCTTTGTGGCATTGGTCGAGGAGGCATTGGTCGTGGTGAAGGCTTTTTATCTTCAGTTTCATTAATAGACATTGCTGAAAGCGAATTTTCGAGATTCATTCGTTAAAGGATGTATAAAAAAAGACTTATGCAATTTGCATAAAAATAAAGAGAAAAGAAAGAAGGAAAGAAAAGGAAAAATAAAGGGAAAATTTTCTTTTGTTCAGTTACAAAAAAGAAAAGTGACGTATTTTATCAACCAATCAACATGAATAGTACACAGATCGCTTTACAATGAAAGGACTGACGTAAGGGATTACAAGTGCCGATTACAATTTTAATTTGACTAGACTATCTTTATGTCGACGATCAATTACAACCAAATCAGCAGCAACCAAACTGTAAATAATTGTTTGTGTTGTTTCGCTTGAGACAACATGGTTTCTTGAAAAGTCGTCGACATACGTAACAAGGTTCTGCAGTGTCATAGGACCTTCGTTGTATAATTTCAAAAGAACTGCAGTAATCCTGAGTGACGTATCTGATAACATTAATTGTGGTACGGTAGTATTGGTGATGTGGGGAAATGCTTCACTAAGCTTTTCAGAATCCACATCAATTTCGCGATCGTCGGGGTTCAGGGCTCGGTTGTGAAAGAATGTTAACAGCTGATTATATACGGACCTGTAATAATCAATTTTTAAAGATACGCTTTACACACATTTCATGTGAATTCATAATACTTACATCTCTTTCTCGTTCACATCTATAGCTACCAGTCTATCCAGTCTTTCATTCATTCCGGCCATGACTGATCCTAGTTTATCAGTAAGACCCTGAATGCTTAATCGTGAACCATCCTCAGCAGGACTCTTTATTAAATCCTCTATTTCAGCACAGATCTCATTATACAACTCTTTACTAGATGATAATTTGGGTGGAATTATTGACTCCTCTTCTAGTAATGCATCATCATTTGCAATGAGTCGAACCAATTCTTCTTTCTCCCGTTCTAATTCCTCCATTTTCTCCCGCCCATTTTCGTCTGGTAATTCTGGATTTAAAGACCCTTGTAATGCTTTTTCCTTGATATCCTGTCCGATACGTCTATAATCATTTTCACGTTTTACAAGCAATCCGTTGTATGATTTAAGTTTATCTAATTCTGCCTGTAATTTCGCAACCTCTTGTTCCTCTTCCTCTTCTGCCTCTCTAACTGCTTCGTACTGTCTCATGCTTTGAATATTTGCTGCTGTATTTATTTCGGTGAATTGGGTTGTTAATGTTTCAATTTCTCGACATTTCTATGACAATAAGTAACCATATCGACAGTATGCAATACATGCATTTACCTGATCATGATATTTTGAAAGGTGTCTGCTACGGGTATAACTCTCATCAATAATAGCCAGTAAATCCTGAACTTTTGATTCTGTCTCGGGGTTTTTGCTGTATCATGATAATTCTTTTAGGTTCATAAATATTTTGTATCTCTAAGAAGATCTTTACCAAATCTCATTCAACTTAGTCACTACATTTAGAATATTTAAAATTTCCTCTTCTATTGTTCCAGCATTGGATGAAATATCGGCTAATCTGTATATAAATAAGTTTTCCTTTCAACGTTGAGGAAGAAAACATTCTTGCGTCTGGTACCTTAAGATGGGTTCGCCTGTGGAAATGAAAGCTAGCGTCTCCTCAATCTCGCTGGCGTCTCTAACACGTCGTCGTTTACCTAAAATCTTGTCTACTATTTCTGAGGTGTCTGCATTCCATTCTCTGGTAATTGTACTATCAGAAGCAGACTCAAATGCTTGTAATGTTTCTTGCAATCTTGACATTTTAAATACGCAAGGAAATAAATTTGGTGATTGTGATTTTGTAAGAAAAAAAAAAGTTTAATATGCCGTGTGACTGTCGACGTATACAATGTCTGTGTGTTAGGAAGCACAAAAGAAAACTTGGGAATGTGCATTGACACAAATATCACCAAGTGGCTAAAAGAGAAGACAAGTGGAACCAAAGCTTTTACGAAAAGCTCAGTAAACTTGCACTGGAGTATAGAGACCAGAGGTAAAAGTGATAAAATAAAGAGGTTACTTATAACAATTTGGAGATAAGTTGTATCTCTATGCTACTGCTTAGTGTAATGTAGGCGTATCCATATATATAATTACAGAAACTTGGCTACTTGTTCAATCATATAACTTTAAGGGTGTCTAAGTTGTAATACTACTTGGTCATTAAGGAAATTTCATAAAATAAAGGACATCTTTGCATTTAATTTGGGGTTAGTTAGACAGTTCTAACCAGGATTTTTACTCGGACTTTCTTTACAAAAATTTGAATGATGAACTATTGACAAAGAAAGCATACGAAAGAGTTTCTCTTTATTCATAAAGGTAACACATAAGAAGTCTTTGGGGTGAGCTTGTGGAAAAGCTCTGAAGTACGATTTCGACGACGAGTCTAAAATTTCTATATCATAGCTACAGCTTTGGCTGTTATAATGAATGCAAGTAGTATAATCAAATGATTTAAGTAAGTTAAATAGTCCAAATTATGATCCGACATTTAGAGCTTTTTCCAAAAAATAAACGTGCTTTGGTAAAAAATTATGCTAAATCGCTTCGGATAACCAATGAAAGTTAACCGCTTCGTATCACATTAGGGCCATATAAAGTAATTTTCAATTTCTGGGATAACTCATGTTTTGGAAGTTCGGAGTGGAGCCTTAAGAGATGAAGAAAATGTTCGGCAAGTGAGTCACATAAACTGGCAAGAAGATCTTCTTTATGAAAAGACAGTAAGTCCTTCATTTAAAAGACAGCGAGATATAATTTTTCACCAAGAGTTTGAGTGAGTGATTTACTGTAGCCTTAAATTAGCACATATCTACGCCCAAAAAAAAAAAAAAAGTTATTTTTAAACGTGTTTGGAAACAGTCACCCTATTACTTGATTTTTTCTTTTTTTTTTTTTTTTTTATATTTTCTTTATCCCCTTTTTATATACTACGTGTATTGTAATGAGTCAAGAAGCTCCACGTCAATTCGGTGTCACACCACCCATTTCCTCAGCTCCTCCAACAGAAAAAGAATTAAAATTAACAGAAAGCCTCGTACAGACACTTAAGGATTTCGGTCTGTTTGAAAGTGAACAAGAAGCCCAAAAGAGGTAAAATTCCCAGATGCGAAAAAGCGATTTGGAATTCGAAAACTAATCGTTATACAGAGTTGTTGTTTTGGGAAAATTAGACAAGATGGTAAAAGATTTTGTTTATACCGTTAGCAAATCTAAAGGTTTCCCTGACACTCTTGCCAAAGAAGCTGGTGGAAAGATCTTTACCTATGGTAGTTACAGACTTGGTGTTCATGGCACAGGTATAACAAATAAATTATTATATATGTATGTATATATTAACAGTGTCTATTTGATGACAGGTGCCGATATTGATACACTATGTGTGTTTCCTAAGCATGTTGAAAGAGAGCATTTTTTTACAATCATGTACGATATGTTGAAAGCAAGACCTGAAGTTACCGAGTTATCTGTAAAGTATTTCTATAAAGTAGATTTACACCTGTTACTAACATAATTCTATAGGCTGTTTCTGACGCTTATGTACCTGTTATCAAGATGCATTTTTCTGGTATTCCCGTAAGTGTGGTATATTAATTGAAAGCAGTGATAGATACTAAGATGAATTACAGATCGATTTTATTTGCGCAAGGTTATCAATTGCACGAGTACCCGACGATCTTGAACTTGCTGATAATAATGTGTTAAAGAATTTGGATGAACGGTGTGTTCGTAGTTTAAACGGTTCCAGAGTCACTGACGATATTTTACGCCTTGTTCCTGACGTGGCAACATTTCGAATTGCATTGAGAACAATTAAATTATGGGCAAAATGTAGATCCATCTATTCCAACGTGATGGGATTTTTAGGTGGTGTTGCTTGGGCCATGTTAATCGCACGTATTTGTCAGTTATATCCCAATGCTTGTGCCTCAGCCATTGTTGCCAGATTCTTTACAATCATGTATAGATGGAAATGGCCACAACCTGTCTTACTTCGCCCTTTAGAGGATGGTCCTCTTCAAGTACGTGTTTGGAACCCCAAATTGTACCCAGCCGATAGAAGTCATCGTATGCCCATCATTACGCCTGCTTATCCATCCATGTGCGCAACCCATAACGTTACTGATTCAACCCGTGCTATTATGATTAATGAATTTAAGCATGGAATTGATGTTGTGGAAAAGGTGATGGATGGTGAGGGAAAATGGGCTGATTTGTTTGTAAAGAGTGATTTTTTCCATTCTTACAAAAACTATCTTGAAATCACTTCTTCTTCCATGTCTTCAGAATCCCAATTGACCTGGTCTGGTCTGGTCGAAGCCAAGTTGCGTCAACTCGTATTGAAACTGGAATTACTTGAACTGATCAAACTCGCGCATCCATACATTAAGGGCATTGACAAAATTCACTACTGTTTAACAAGCGAGGAAGTTATCAATGCATCCAAGGGTGTATATTCACAAGAGCGCTCATTTACTGTAGAGGAAGGTAGTTTGGAAACAAACCATATGGATCTGTTAAAGGAAAAAGGTTTAGTGACTGAAGAGAATGAGAAGGATGTTGTAAGAGTATTCTCTACTACATTTTATATTGGGCTCGAAACGTTGCCCAAGATTGGTAAGAAGAGGATGATCTTTAACGAACTATTAATATGCTAATAATTATTTTCACATGTAGCTGGATCCAATGAAACCAGAAAGCTGAATATCGTGCACCCGTTACAAGATTTTCTTAGATTGGTCAAGGCCTGGGATAAATACGATGAAAATGAGATGAAGATATCCGTTCAGAGTCTTAAAGGGTGCTGCATAATAAACAATTTGTCTTTTTTTATACAAATCAATAATTTTTGCAATATCCAAGTGCATTGGAACTAACACCTTTTCAACCTTTTTCTTTTCTAGATCTATGTTGCCTTTTGAATTAACTGGAGATGAAAGAAAACCAAAGAGACCTCAAGATGATGTAAGTGACAGTTTATTGTTGTGACATATATGCTAATTATGTATATCTAGCGCAAGAACAATCCATCATCACAACCTAGCAAGAAACACCGTCCCAGTAATACCACATCTGTTACTTCTCAATCACAGGAGATTGCATCTACTCCTCCTCCTCCTCCTCCTCCTACTGCAGTAACTCCAATTCCTACTGTAGTTACTCCAATTCCCACCACCATCACTACTCCTACCACTACCGCAACACCGGTTGAGTAAAAAGAATAATTAAGAATACTAACACATTTTGTATATAGAAAGAAAAAAAAAAAAAATTGGTTTTTTGAACTTTTTTTTCTTTTTTTTTTTTTTTTTTTTTTTTTTTACACCTTTTTCCCTCTGGATTTTGTTGGACCCCTTTCCACAATTACTTGAATTTTTTTTTTCTATTAAAATAAAAACCTATACTTTTTTCGTTGTTTGTTATTTCCACTTTTATTGTAACCACAAGCTCCGACTGACGTAGCATATTTGTCATGCCATAGTCAGCTCAAACAAAATGGGTAAAAGTAGGCAAGGGTAAATTATTTAGCATATGGAAAAATAAAGCCTGATTTGGAAGGTGGTATACGTAATACCGTAGCCGTTATCTTCAAGTTACAGGCAGGGTGACGGATAAAAAGCTGAATAATCTATTAAAAAGATGGCTGTGTATCAAAGTACCTGATCCGGAATTTATAGTCTACTTTTTTTTTTTTTGAAGTATAAATACAAAGGATTTATCCATAAAAAAAAAAAAAAAAGAAATCACTTTTAAATACATAGAAAAAATAGAAATAATGTCTGGACCAAAAACATTCAACGGCTGGGTTTGCGAAGGAAAAGGTAACATGAATCACCTTATTGAATTATTATAATGCAATATTGACATATCACATAAGGCGAGTCTTTGGAATGGAAGGAGATGCCACTTCGCGCAGAAGATGATTATAGTGTAGATATGGATGTCACCCATTGTGGTATTTGTGGTTCTGATGTTCACACACTTGAATCCAACTGGGGACCAGCAAATTACCCTAGTGTCGTAGGCCACGAAATTGCCGGTGTCGCAACTCGTGTTGGCAAGAAAGTGACAAATGTCAAAGTGGGTGATCGTATCGGTGTTGGTGCACAATCTGGATCGTGCCATGAGTGTGGTCCCTGTAAATCTGGCTGGGAGAATTTATGTAAAGGTACAACTCGTACTGGTACTTATAACAGTTTCTGGCCCAATGGCGATAAATCCTTTGGTGGTTATGCTGATAGATGGAGAGGTGATTCAAGATTTGTTTTCAAGATTCCTGATAACATGACAAATGAAATCGCATGTACCTTTTTCTGCGCGGGTGTTACCAGTTATGGTCCTTTAAAGAGACACAATGTCAATAAGGATTCTGTTGTTGGTGTATGTATACCATTAGTTGTCTAGTTGTCATGACACTCAGTATTAACATGTGTATTTTGTAGATTATGGGTATTGGTGGTCTTGGTCATTATGGTATTTTATGGGCCAAAGCAATGGGAGCACGTGTCATTGCCTTGTCTCATAACGACAAGAAGAAGGATGTTGCTAAAGAGTTGGGAGCAGATGATTACGTTATCACATCAAGCGAAGAGGATTTAAAAAGTATCAAGGGTCAATTGACACATATTCTTTGTACTGGTGCTAGTGACGATTTTGCTTGGAAGACATTCATCCCCTTATTCAAGCCTAACGGTACCTTTATCAATGTCAGTCTTCCTTCTTGGAATTTCCCTGAAGTTCCTCCCATGATGCTTTCAATGAGTCAAGTAAACATTTGTGGTTCTGCTATTGGATCACCAGCCGAGATTGAAGACATGTTGAAATTTGCTGCTGAACATAACGTATTGCCCTGGATTCAAAAATACCCTATGAAGGAAGCACCCAAAGCACTTGAAGATTTTAACAAAAATTTACCTCGCTTCAGATTTGTCTTGGAAAACTAGAATCTCTTGAATATACTCAAACCTTATATAATAAATTACACTTTGTACTTTGCATTCATGGAATATGTTCTAAACAATGGGGAGTTTCACGTTATGCCAGTGTATTTAGTCTAGAACAATGGTCACATAATGCTTACCAATCCTGACCAAATCAAGATTTAATGTTTACAATTAAAAACAAAACACTTTTAGTTGTTTGTGTATTTTACCAATTATTTCATGTTTGTACTATAGTTTGACAGAGCCGTTAACTGGTAATTCCACGAGAAGCTCTGCAGACATTCATTATGGCTTTTGCCGATTTGTCAACACACTTCAGTGACCGTGTGACTCGAGAAAGAGGGTATGATAGGCTACATATATTGCCACCTTGCGTCATTAAGAAAGAAGCCCTAAAATAACAACTACTGGTTACATATTTGTCAAGTCAATAAGACAACCCCGGATGCTTGAACCGATGTGCCCATTACATATTTTAGCCTAAGAAACTGAACTCAGTTACAAAATATATATTTATATATATATATGTCCGCGGCTGTATGCAAATTGGGGGGTGCGTTCAAAACAAAAGTTTTTGTCAAGTCCCATTGCATATTTTCTGATAGTTTTCTCACGGTTCGTGTTACTGATGGAAGTCAAAGAATCGTCTATAAGTTCCGTTGGGTATAGTTTTTGTTTATTTACTTTTATTACAAATGCAATGGGAAATTAAATGGTTAAATGACCAGCACTATAATATTGCTGATAGTATTGGTTCCAGCCATGAAGTCCACCTCCAGGCTCACCACCCATAGGATCTGAAGTAGGTGCAGGAGGTCTCATTGTTGTGTGATTGTCATATGTGTTTGTAATGAGATTTACGTATTTACTGGGAGTAATGTAGCCAGGTGAGAAAACGTTATATGATCTTTGCATATTATCTTGGCTATCAACACGTTGGGGAGCTCTATCCTTGACCCAACCTAGACGAACATTATTTCCAGCAATATTGACCCCTTGTAAAGCGAATATAGCAGTAGCTGCATTTGCGTGCGTATCCAGTTTGACAGTTGCTTTAGATCCTTTAACATAAATGTCCGATACAAACCCATATTGCTGTAAATGTGGTATTATATCTTGCTTGATAACTTGTTTTGGTAAGTTTGAAATATATACAGATGTATTGTAAAGTGGTGTTTGTGCAAAAATCTCCTCATAGGACATATTAGAGAGGACAACTTTTTTTTTTAATGAATAAAGGTTAGTTTTACTGCAATTGGGCCTTGTGGAAAACATTAAACATAAAAATATATACCATGATCACTGTCGGACGATGAGCGTCTTGAACTATTGGTAGATACAGCATCACTGTTGTCAGGTGCCATATAACAATGTACATTTGATGATAAGATGGGCTGAGAGTCCATTTGACGAATAGCTTCTTCAGCGTGCGATTTTTGATCAAAAGTTACGATTCCTTGGCCATTTATCACACGTGCGTCACTATTAATAGAATTAGTTTATGCAGTCTGTCTACATTAGTTTTATACACATACGCAATGTGGAATTGTTTGAAAGTATTCCTCAAAATTTCGTCATCTACTTTGGGGTCCAAATCAGAAACAATAACCTGTGATGGAGCTTCCTGAATGATATCATCGTCTTTATGTTCATTATTCCAGTTTACAGCAATTTCCTGATCGGAAAAAGGAGTGTGTGAGTGTGTGAATTTTTCATTGTGTTTATTTAATCATTACCTGATTATATATTACACGCTTATCCATAGCATGTAATGCTTGTTCAGCAGCTTGATATTCATGGAATTCTATAACGGCACAATTTAAACCATTCTAGAAAGCATCGAGTAAAAAAATTAGCATGCATGATAATTTCAACTAGTGCCATGATGATTAGATTTTTGCTGCAATCTAATCTTGTGATCTACCAAGATTTTGATTGAACCGTAAAATCTATAACCATAACTTTTTTTTTGGGTAAAAAAACCCCGACTCTGTAACTTACATTTCTGTTATCACTTGTTATCTTGACACTCGCTATAGGAGAGATCAAAGCAAATACATTGCTCAGAATTTCTTCTGTGATGTTCTTGTCCAAATTATGGATGATGAGTGATGTACAGTCTGTCATTTTCAAGTTATGTATTTTTTTTAAAAAAAAAAAGGTTTTTACGAAAGTTTTTTACAAAAGAAAAGAGGGAATAAAACTAAAAAACTTTTCTGTTTTATAAACAGAAACTGCGATATTCCTAATTGGTATAGTCTCATTTATTTGGGGGGAGGAGGAGGAGGAACGGGGGCAACAAAATATACGTCATGATTGGACTTGAACCGAAGTTCTGCTTTGTTAGCCGCAAGCAAATGCACCCACATTCTTTTTAAATTCCCCAATTCGTCTCAAATCATGTAGCTCCTTTTTCTACTTCGATTAATTACAGAAAATAAAAGATATAAAACCTGCGTGTTTCAACCAAATAAAATCTTAATGTATCTTTATTCTTTTTGTCAGAGCTTGCTACATCTAAACTATTGATTCTCTACCTGAAACGCCACCTTATCCCTGTTAAAAGTTTTTATGAACAAACAATAGCCATTAGGATTATAAATTAGACATAATAAAGATACCACATATTTGGTTCACTTTTGCTCAATATCACCTTATTAATGAGACTGCTGACTCACTTTCATGCACTATTGCTCAATAAATTCTAGATGTTGCCAATAAAGATGTCGTAAATCCTACTTCCACCCTCTTTTCCCATCTACTTTAAAATCGACTAAATAATTTAAGGACAAGAAGGATATACACTTTTTGAAAAAAAGGAGAAATCCAACTTATTAACAGCCGACAACAATGTCAAAATTGATTCACGCATTGCAGCCGACGTCATTGTTACAAGAAGCACGTTTGTCTTCTGATTCTGGTAACCAATAGCATACAACACAGTCGGATGATGTTTGGTTGGCTATAAGCTACTTACCAAATGTCCAATCAACAACCGTTGGAGATTAAAAGGTTAAGGAGATTTTTTTTTTCAAACTTAAGCACTCTGTCGTTTAAGTAATTTATGTATCTGATTTGTATATATGCAACATGCATAATTAAGCGAACAGTGTCTCCAGTCTCAGTTTACTGAATGATTTAAAACACTACCCGCTTCTTTGAATACTTTTAGATATTTGTGCGAGGTTAAATTACCCTAAAGAAGAAGGCAGGTTTGGTTAAATGTTTAAAACTAAATTATGCATCCTTTTAAAAACATGCTGTTATTCGAAGCAACCACAAAAAAAAGTTTACTTTAAGCACTAAGAAGGCATCCATTTAGAATACTGAATAAGATGTTGTGAATGGTCAATAAGAACATCTTCGCTTCCTTCAATGGTCTTTAAGATCAATTATATATGATGGGTTTTGTATTCAGCTACATTAAGCCCTTTGTATACTCACCAGATAAGCAGGGTTAGGACTATGAAAGAAGATACTACTTACAGAAAAATAAAAACCTTTAATGTAGAAAGTACATCCAATATATCGCTAATGAATTGGACATAATGATCAACCGTAACCCTTTTTTTGTACAACGGATGCCTCATCTCGAGGTACCTTTTAGTTTTATGGCGCCATCAGTCTTTATTTTGTTTATGTTTCCTAATTCCTTTAGATTCACAATCATTTCTCTAAAGATTGAAACGCTACCGAGGTAATTTAATCTGCTATCATTAGCTTGTTACACAATTTAATTGCATATCCAGGCACTGGTGTAACTCACTCACGTTTCGGCTAAATATGTTAGTATTTGTAGTGTGGATAGCGACGTTTATAGTTGCATGTAAAGTCGATTTTACGCCATTATGTCGGACCATTGTTATAAAACTTTATTCAAAATGTTCTTGGTTGATTGGCGGTTTTTTATTAAGGATTTAAAAATTACCATATACTGTTCAACTAGATAAATTTAAACGAATCAAAGAAACAACGTGCGGCAAACTCAAAATTTGTTTTTTGGAGCTGCATATCTGGAGACGGTGCAGACAAACTCCATCATTATACAGTGCCACTTTAATCTCGGCTTGGGAAGAGAAAAGCGAAACGGTTAGGGCTGTCATGTATGTATGTTCTTCTAGAGATACCAGCTCACTATTTTCTAGGTTAACTGTCAACCAAATGGCTGTATTGGTAATTACTTTGAGCCATCCCAGGTAGAGCATTAAACAAATTTGTGGTAGCTATGTATTTATGTTGAGAATTTCACAAATTATTAATAAAAATGTTGTCACATCATGCTGGGACAGATAGGCCAATAAATTCATTCATAAATCACGCATTGTCCCGGTTTTTTGTTTAAGAATTATCAAAAGCCTCCCAAAAACTGAACTACCTAGCGGTAAGCATTATTACTTGAATTTCTTATAAAGTAATACAGTTTTGTAGTCCACAATTATAGCGTATTAATCAATTATACTCACTTATCACTTGGCGTAATTGATTACTCTAACTAATATCCATATGGTATAACTTGTAATGAAGGAATAACTTCACGGGAGCTTACATTAAATAGAGATCAAGAGATTGTTACGCCATACAATCACCCATTCGTTCCATGTTCTTACAAAGCCAACTGAACCTTAGTTTAAATATCGGTTGTTTTTCTCATACAACCAAATTTTAAAAAAGTGACAACTGTATCGCTTGTCTTTTTTCAATTTTGTTATCATACAGAACAACTTCTCTCGAAAGCGAAGGCGGGGACATTTTTCTCCTCATTAACTAAATTATATCGGTCAAAACTGCTTGCACCATGAAGCTCAATTTGTGTTGTGAAATATTAGGATATACCGTATGATTTAATATAACTATATTTAAAGCGTAACTATACACCGGTCTTTTTATGAGCGACGTGTTAAAGTTCTCAACACTACAACTTTAAAACTAATTTTAAATTGATATGTAGACTATGTTTAAGTCTATTACTTACTGTAATATAGTGTCTTTCAGTATTTTAAGTCTGTAAATAAAGTAATTCCAATGCGTGCTTCGTAGCTTTCCATGTAGAAGTCGTTGTAGGATGTGGCTAAATGGTTTCACAAGCAGATGATATTAATCTGCCGTGCATCCACAAGACTACCTTTTTGACAAGACAAAAAAATAATAATTTCATCTATATTTTGCAACCGATCACAAGCGCTGTACCTCAACGGTATTGATTTCCCTATCTATGTAATAAGCAAAAAAAGAAAAAGGTATGCGATAATATGGAGATCTTATTAGAAGGATAATTATATATATATAGCTTACTTTATAAATAACAAGACCTAGCTTTTGGCAAATAGGCCAATATTTTTATGATGGAAATAAATGAATTCTCTTCATTATTGCACAGGACTTTTTTATTTAACAAATCATGCTTCCTTTTTTAGATAGATATGGCAGATTTAAACCATAAGCCTTTTTCAATGCTCTTATGTCGCTTACAGCTATTTTTGGAGTTAACACTTTTATATTTTTAAATGTAAAATGCTTTTATTGCGCTAACGAATGTTCATTTATGAATTCAAGCTTCCTCATATTGTATGCTAAGTTCGGTTTTTACAAAATAAGCTCAAATTTACTCTAGTTTTTAACAAACACATAAACTGCTCGTAGAGGCTTTTGGACACATAAGAGTGTAAAATTAAAAAAACAATATTGGAATAAAAAGCGCAAGATTCTTTGAATAAATTCGAATCGCTTGTTTTGAATTATTTGCAGAAAAATTTCAAGCTAATCGAAGTCTCATAAAGCTCCCATGATATCATGTGAAATTGTTACACCATTGTTGTGTCACATATGTTTTAGGAGCAAATCGGTAAATCCTTTCATAACATAACTATGGAGATTTTGTTGCTGTTTTGGGCGATTTGACATTGCTACATATATTATAAATGTACGGTCAATGGTATGTTATCTTGGTAATATTAGACGTGTCCTCAAAAATAAAATAGGTACTGTTGTATTTCGTTTTAAAATAGCGAATTACATACGAATGGTAGGAATTGTATACTCTACAACTACAACATATGCTGTAAAGTACTCAATTATCGACCCTCTGTTTGCTTGCATACAAATGAAGTGTGCGCTAATTGCGTGAGTTTATATAATTTATCAACTTAATCGCTCAGGTAACACACACAGCTGGACGTTCTGAACAATTGAGAATATAACGCTGCTGTAAGTGATGGGTTAAAGTCATAAGCTCTCTTAAATTCTGACATGATTGTTTTTTCCCCTAATCCTAAATGAGCTTGAGGACCCGGAAGTTTAGGAGATTTTTTAATCTCCTAACTTTTTTCCCTCACACAAAAAAAAAAATGGTAAACGTAAATCAAAACCCTGTTTTTCCCTTTTCCCTTTTCCTCCTCTTTTGTCCTTTTAAAGAATTATTTAATGGATTATACTCCCCCTACATTACCGCTGTTTAATAACGATCAACAACAAAGAAAAAGACATAATAAAGTTCATGTATCTGCAGCATGCGTAAAGTACCACAGAAAAAACGAAAAAACACGCCGTAATCTGTCATACTAATAACCATTAAAAGGTGAACTGCAAAAAAGCACATTTAGCTTGTGATGGTAAGCACAACTTTGATTGAATAAGGATCCATTTATTAAATAAAATCTGATAGTATCAAGACCTTGCCAACGATGTGTCTCTGCCGATAAGACAGATACCTGTCACGATGTCCAGCATAAAAAGCGAGGACGACCAAAAATGATGCGAGATAGTAATAATAACAAAGTTCGACCAACAACACTACCGACAAACTATCATGTCATGACATTCCCTTCTGAAGTTACCGCAGTTTCAAATGATACAATGACTGTAAGATGAAGACTATTTTTACAAAACAACAAAGCTGACATCAAAATTAGGTTCTTTTATCCATGGATTTATGTTGTGCCAGAGTGACTGATGAATCTCTGGAATACCTTCAGCTCTATCCGCAGGAATTTTCTCATCGCTCCATCTACGATTTCTTAATCCCAGGAGAGAGTTGCCAAAGCATGTCAAAATTGCATCGCTGTTTATTGGACAATGCTGTTCAGCACCAACAGAAGAAACAACCACCAGAGACAGTTCGTTCGTCTTATGAAGCATTCTTTTCTTCTCCTTTATCGACCTTACTAAATATAGCGAACGGATCTTTAACATTAAAAACAAAGTTAAATTTTCGGACAGGTGGTCAAGAAAAGACGCACGAAGAAATGAATTGTAAGTTATACCTTGGTGGTGGACTTGGGGCCGATTTGTTTGACACAAGCAGTCTACAACAATTATACGTTGTTTGTGTATTATCATTAAATAAGACTGCTTCCAAGACATCACTTCCTTTACCAGCACCCTTATTCAATATACCACCTTTGGCGGTCAACAGTACAGCCTCCGAATCACCGACAACGACCAATTATTCATACACGGAGGAGGATGACGACGATGGCGCTGATTATTTTCACGACGACGAGTCTAAAGATTCTCAAAGCCCACAAGAAAAGGGACCTGCAATTGCTACATCCCCACCAGCACCTATCTTACCAGAAATATCCTTGTTGGAAAAATTTAGATACACTCCTAATCGTGGTAAACAGTTTATTCATCCGCATGAATTATACTACTTACAAACTACCTCCAGCCGTCTTTCTTCTGACGCTATCGCGTATACAACAAATTCTTATCTATCAACCAAAGGCAGTAGTGCCCTAACTACATATAATAATAGATTGAATAAATAAAGATGTTCAATGGTGTCCCATTTATTGTTAAGTTATGTTTATAAAAAGCACTTATACACTGACACATATTGTAAGGTATTTTCTTTTACATTTGACGCATGCTCGAATTGTACTTGTATACATTCTTGAAAGTGTTGTTTGTTTAATCAAAGCAATAACCACTATGATGCGTATTGATTTATTTTTCAATAAACACCGGCTGTACACTATAAAAATAAAACTATGAACACCCTATGACTGTCCAACCTGTTTTCAAAAGAAATTCCATATTTATCATCATTATAAAAGTATTTAGATAAACGGACGATTTACCTGTATAACGGGAGCATGCATTGTAGGGCTGACAAAGCAGTCCATCGGAAGGCATCGACCTCAATCAGTATGTCTACCCAGGCCAATGTTCTCAAATTAAACTAAAAAAGGGTCTGTGTAAATGTTAAAATTTCTATAATTGTAGAAGTGTCTTAACCTTTACTTGAAAATCAAAATGGTTGGAGCAAAATTGTATAATAAAGAACACAAACACGTCTAATACAATAATAGACTGGAGATCAATCAATGGGATATGATAGCTTGATCTCCTACTAATTAAGATATACAAATGTAGTACAATCAAAATGCTCATGAGAGATCTGTTAAAACATCTCGACCACGATAGTTCCGTGCTGGGACAATAGGAAATCTGTGATCCTCAAAGTAGCAGCACCATCAGTTGTACAAGTAATCGGGTAAGCCGAAATCTCTGATTTAACAACGAGAATGATATATTATTGTGTGTAAAACACCGGCGCTGAAAGTTTGAGTTGACTAATATTTAAACCAGTGCTTGCACTTCCTGTTGAAAGTAATTTAAGAATAAATCAGAAATTTTATAATGCGGAGGACTCACTGGTGTATTGCACTCCAAGTCTTCAAACTAAGTTATGAATCATTTAAATTGCTGCTTTTAAACAAATGGAGCTAAATAATGCTTCAAACGCTTATATTTTTGGTAAAAATACCCTCTAAACGAACACAGCAGTACTTGAAATATAGTTGTTATGCTTTTGGAGAGTCAATATCAAAGATTATCATTATCAGCTACCTGATTTTTAGCCCGATAGCTTCGAATTGAGTTTCAAAGAAAGTAAGTTTACCCAAGAGGAAGTTGGCTACATAATGATGTGCAAACGATCGAAAACAGTAGTTGGATCTGAGAAGAGGTCAAAATTTTGTAACTTGGATATTCCCAACATACAGCAACAGTGGAAAGAAGAATATTGTTACAAAAAACTTATATGATCAAGAATCCTATTTGCACGGTTTTCAAGCAGCACGCAACATGAATCCTATAAAAGACCACTTGATTGGACTTGGGGTAATCATTTTTTAATATTTTAAATTAAGAGAGGTAATTAGATTCCCTTATCAGCACATGCCCCCAGTCGCTTGTTAAGCGTAAATTAGGCTCATTCAGTTAAAAATACGTCTCTTCCTGCAGTACCGATCGTATCTCACAATACGATACAGCGTATAAGCTGTATGGATAGCAAGTGAGCTGTATAAAATGCAAAGGGTATCATAATTTTTGATCCTACTGCTTTGTCGAAAGCGTAGGTGTTTACCTGTAACATTAACTATTGTTTTGAGGAAACACAAAAATAAGCCCTACAATGACCTCATTTGAACTAACTTGCACGTGTTAAAATGTTCATAGAACAGATTACTGACTTGTATTCTTTTTTGATTTGGCAATGTTATATTACAAGAAGTGGCTATACCAAGCTTTGTATCACGAAAGGGATATTTTGAATTATTCATCTTTTTCAAATTAGACCGATTCGGATACAAATCATTTTTATAGAAACTTGTTAAATCGTCTGAATAGTAGAAGCCATAACAAGAGACCTCGTCATTTAGTTTCAAAAGCAAATGTCTTTTGTAAGACAAATTTTTTTTAGCAGGATTTCCAAAAGAATACACGAATATCAAGACTGAAGATTAAGTATCAATTCTTTATCCAAGATTGGTACATGGGAGACGGTAGTTATGATGGTGCTTAATGATAGAACATGCAAAACGATAAAAATACTGCCAAACAGGTGATGAAATACAATAATCAAAATTAAGCCTCTTGTATGTTGACGTTTTTGTTGTGTAGCCAGATACATATGAATACAGTCAGTAGTAGTATTAAGAGAGATACCTTTGCACAAGGAAATCATTCGGCTTAGCCTGGTGTATGGAATATACTGCTTAACGGTTTATGAATAGGCTGGTAATGGTTTCATGGCCAACTTAATAACCACAAACACTTGTGAACTAGGTCTTTTTACTCTTAACAACTTAAGAAACCAAAGATTGCTTGTGATTAGAGTCTATTTGAAATGTCGTCTTTTCCAAAAGTTACATTGTACACAATTGTGTGTAGTGGAGGTACTTGACTCTAAATAACAATGGCGAAGTAATAAAAGTCAGAGTGCGCAAATTAAAATTAGGAACCCGCAATTGATTGAAACTGTGTGGGAGCGGCCTGGCCCTGTACGCAGATGGGTACGAAAAAGGTTTTAACCACTTTTTTTTTTGTTTTTGTTTTGCATACAAAGGATCACCAAGATGTTGATTGTCCTGTCACAGCTTTTAGTGACTCTTGGACAGGTTTAAAATAATGGAGAAATTTAAAGTAAAAAAAGCAGAATAAAAAAGCAGTTACACAAGTTTGAACATTTCTTTAAGGATTAATCCAAAGTTTGGAGGTGCGTTAAAAAAAACCCAGCTCTCCCTTTTTTTTTTCTTTTTCTTTTTCCTTTTTTTTATTTTCTCTCTTTCTTCTCTCCTTTATTTTAGAAAGAATGATGACCGAAGATAATAATAGTGTCATTATTGATACACCAGAAGCAGTAGTAGTAAAGAGTGAGAGCAAGAATAGCGATAGTTTTATTATGGATAAGGATACAGTTATAACACATGGATCAGCTATCACAGTGCGTTCACAGAGTTCTTCTTCGCTTGCAGATAATTATTCTGACGATGCAGAAAGTAGTCATGATTCCATCGACACGATTGCTACTAATGAAATCGAAAAGGATGTGATCGAGACTGGTATCAGTCAAGGGAGACGACGTCGTGCTTTAACTGTAACACAAAACCCTCGAGTAAATTTAGACAGTGCGACAGCAGACATTGGAGATCATATTCAAGAGTTACAACAATCTACTTCGTTGATAGGTGATCAAGAGGATTCAGACTCAGATCAGTCTCATTATGAGGATGATGATACTAGTGTGAGAAAGCATAAAAGACATGAAAGTCATCGTTCTACCATGTCCTCCATTCATTCATTTGTTTCAAGTGCTTCCAACTATGATTTATTACTAGCTCGATTAGGTTCTAAAGATGCCTCTGTCACTCCAAAGGAAGATACAGGACCACCACAAGAAATTAGAACTTCGTTTGAAAGGGTTTATAACGAAGCAGTGTGTAAAGGAGAAGAAGAGGACATTGATTGGGGTAAAAGAAATGCTTTTTTTTTAAAAAATCTAATTTATTTTAACCCTTTTTCATTCTTAGAATTTTGGTCAAAAGTAATTTCGGACTTTAATGGGGTCGCAAAGTCAGAACCTAAAATATTGTCGTACCATATTCAAAGAGGAATCCCACCTTCACTTCGTGGTATGATTTGGCAATTATTTGGAAAGAGCAAAAATGTGAAACTCGAAGAACAATACATGCAATTACTAAAAGAAGAATCCGTCTATGAAAAGGCAATTGCACGCGATTTACCAAGAGCTTCCTTCATTTCCCATGAATATTTTCAGCTTCAGGATGGTCAAGAAGCCTTGTTTAACGTCGTAAAAGCTTATTCGCTGTACGATACTGAAGTAGGCTATAGTCAAAGTTTGTTGCATATCACAGGTCCTTTACTTTTGAACGTAAGTTCCCCCTTTGTTATTTTATTTACATTTCGCTTACTAAAAAACAAAAAACAAACAGATGCCTGAAGAAGAAGCATTTTGTGTGCTTGTACAATTAATGAACAAGTACAATCTCAGAGGACACTTTTTACCTCAATCAGACTTAATTTCTCAGCGCTTATACCAATTGGAAGGTTTGGTGGCGGATAATTTACCTCATATTCAAAGACATTTTGAAGCACATGGTGTTCGATCCAACATGTATGCATACCAATGGTTCAGTACCTTATTTGCTTATCGATTCCCCCTAGATACCGTCTTTCGCATTTATGACATGATATTTGCTGAAGGAATCGAAACATTGCTTCGTTTTTCCTTGGCTCTATTAGATCGAAATCAGGCAACTATCCTTAGTCTTGAATTCGACGATTTGGTTAGCTATCTTAAAAACGATTTACTCGATGTTTACAAGGTACGTTCTCCCTTTTATTTGGGCTACATTTAGGCTACATTTAGACTAAACACGCATAATTGTTTCCCTTTCTTTTTTTCGCAGAGTAACTCTAATCAACTTGTCAAAGATGCTTTTCAAATACATATCGTATCCAAGCGGTTGGATCGATTAGCCAAGGACTTCCTTGTCGAATCAGCACGTGCTAATAATGAAGCAGAAGCTATTGAGGCACTGAAACGACAAAACAAGGCACTGGCTGATTCTATAAAACAAATGGATTCTAACTATAGTGAACTTAACAAGGAGCATACACAAGTAGCTACAGAGCTGATCACAGCCAAAATGGATATTGCACGTATACATGATGAAAACGAAGCTCTGCATCAACAATCCAACGACTTGAAAAAGGCTTTAGAGACCTTACCCGGAGAGGTTGAAACTAGAGTAAAGGAAGAAATGGAAATTTTATACACTAAAAATGCTGCACTCGTTGAAAGAAATTCTGCTCTTGAAGATCAGCTGGCTTATATGGAAAACATGATTATCGAGATAAAAATCAAGTACGCTGAAAGTGAAAACGAAAGAGAAGGGTTACGTCAAAGACTAACTGACCTTAAACGTTTAATGGGCTAAAAAAAAAAAAGTCAATAACGTCAAGCTAAAGTCGTTGGATATTAGCCTTTGAAGATAGTGTTTTAAAAAAAAAAGAAGAAAAAGATACCCCCAAGTCATATAAACATACAGTAAAATAAAAATGGTTTTTTATTGTAAAAGACGAGTTGTTTCCGTAGCATCTACATCTGTGGCAGGAGTGTCAAGATCTCGGATACCAAGTCGCTTATTTCTAAAGTGCCAAGTGATACACAAAGTTAAGAGGGTGCCTTGTAAGATGCCGGTAACCATATAAGTGAGCCATGCGGTCCAGTTGGTTCCGGGGCGTACAACCAAAGAGTACACGAATAGTACCGTACCGGGAGTTTGTAACATCATCATAGGTATACTTAAAGCTCCTACAGTCTGTTTCGTATTTTATTTTGTCAGCTCGTGCTCTTCCCCATACCATTTTTTTTTTTGGTTTATTATTTTACCTTGCTTTTCCATGTCTTGTAAATTTGAGGCAAATATTGGAGTGAAGCAAGGACCATACTCAAAACTCCTAAAAAGGCAGCCCAATAGTTTGTTTGCCAGTGCTCAGGTCCTCCCACAAACACTAAAAGTATCACGGAGATAAAGAATGAAATAGCAAGATGACCTATGCACGTAGCAGCAACAATCAAAGAAACTCGCCATTCGTTGGTAATAGGGGTTTCTAACTTGCTTGGTAAGTCTACCACCAAAGTAGGTGAATGAATTTCACGCTTTTTGCTTTCAGGAAAGTAAAGTAAAAATAGAGTGAAACTGTGTATATGTGTTAATATTATGCATAATATATTTAAAGTTTGTTCTTTACACTAAACAAAAGCAGGCCCATTGAAGTCCGATTTGAACGATACCCATCAATCCCTCGATACAAGCACCTGTTGTCTATAACAAAAGTTCCATAAGACTTTGGTATTCTTCTCTTTGTATTTTTATAAGCACTTACAAGCGATTTGCAACACATGACAGCATCCCATTGTAATAGTATAATGTTTAAAAAACTAGACGTACCCGAAACAACTCCGAGCAACAAAAACCAGGCACTAAATCCTTCGCTTGTTTTATTGGCAATAATTCTATAATGCTAACAAAACATATATAAATTTACATGTGTTTTTTTATTAATATCTTATTTGTACTGTACCTGTGGCAAGTAGGAAATAACTAAACCGAAACACAAGAATATACTAATGAACATGGTTGTTTTGTCGTCAGGTGGTATACATTGTCTGGGTTCCGTGTCTACAACATTTCCCAACACTGAAATGAGTATCTCATGAGCATTCTTGTTTAAACTTGTCTCCATTATGTATGAGAAGAAAGGAAAAAGGAGAAATAAAATGAAAAAGTGGTTTATAAAAAGCAGGGCGGTTGTCGAAAGGACTCAAAGCGGTGATTAGTTTTTTCTGGACTTTTAATTTTTCATGCAATTCAGCAATCAAAAACCCACACAGGATCTTTATTGTGAATTCAGAACAGGTGTCCCGTAAAAAAGAAAGGCTTTATAAGTCTGAAGATATAGTGTACTAGTAAATATATTTGTTTGGGGTTATGGGTTTTAGTGACATCATATGACGTCTTTTCTAAGCATCTAGATTATGTATTTTATGACAAACGTAGGATTCTTTTGGTCAATTTCGCGATGTTGTATTTTTCCGTACCTGCATGTAAAAAATTTGAGCATTCCATTCAAGGGGTTTGTAAGTTGATGGTACCAGTTTAATAAGTAAATATTGTTACATTATACAGCTTTTTTTCGAGGCTTTGATTTTAGATCAACCTAGTTTTCATTATTTGTAACACTTTTTAAATCCGCTATATAGCTTCTCCTTTCCTTGTAAACAAGTTGTTATTAGTGTTTCTCTAACAGTTTGTTTGGTTTACACACATTAATCTGATCCCAATGACCTATCTGATCCGTCAGGTTTTTTACTTGCACATGTAATCTATCTTTTACCCATATCTAAATACCGTATTTTTCGCAGTAAAAAGGCTTTATTGGGTTAGGGAATAACCACACAGAACTTATGTAGGAGAATCCAGATGCTGCATTTTGAAAACCTTTTGGCTAATTTTCAGTACTTACTTACTACACGTGGTAGTTGATTTGTTTTCAAAGACTTGACAGATATTTCTAATAAGAACGTAATGTTCGTTATCTTGTATAAGCTTTATATGAATGCCAATTGCTCCTTTGTAAAAAAAAAAGTTGCTCTATGCAGCCATGGTGCGTATTATCAAGAGCAAGATATTATCCAGTGTTACGTGGGAGATTGAAAACACAGTGAAAGTTCAAACTTACAGATTACATCAGATCTCATTGTAAAGGCCTCTTAACTCCTGTCATAAGGTTTCATATATGTTCAGTCGGCAAGAAAACGAGAAACTAAGCGAAAAAAGTAGCGCTATATATTAGACCCTGATGACAATACAAGGTAGCGAACATGATTAAAATGGTCTCCATGGTTACTGAACCTATCCCAAATGAAATATCTGGTATCAGAAGGGAAGAACGCTTTAAAATTCCCATTTTTTAAAACACCGTTTTATTGACTTTTTCCTTCCCTAATATCTAATAGCTGAGTGTTTGAATGGATGAGATCAAAAAACTATTGGATGAATCAGGTCTTTTACCATTGAAGGATTCAGGCTTAACGATTGTTTCTCTTTATGGTGTATCCGAAGAGAAAAGAACTCTGGTTTCATCAAATACAGCCGTGATTCTCGCCAATCGCATCGTTGGAACTAAAGCTTTCACCCCAAGAAATGAGGTAAGCTTTTGAAAACATTATGTGCGAGAGGACAAGTAATTTCTTATTCCAATCTTGATCATTATTATTAGACGTTGCTCAAAAATACTCTGGAGGTATGTAATGGCTTAATACATAGAGTTACGCGTTTTTCTTTATGTTGATTTCCTATAACATTAGCTTGCAGAAGGACTCCAGTTATATGTAGATCATAGTGCTTTAACTGTGTATCTTTTTATGAACTCAAAAATTGACATTGCTAGCCTTAAGGAAGAACAGGTATATAACGATTACACGATAACCCTACGAAGCTTACGATTAATCCCTGTATTATCTAGTCCCTTTCAGCCAGTATGATGAAGCATCAATCTTCATGTATGCGTGGTCTATTATTCATGTTGACCATTTCACATCTCGTTATTGTAAAGTATTAGGTGTTCAATGAAGCGAAACCATAAGCATATCTAACTATTCGAAAAAAAAATGCAGCCTATATTGCCACCATCTATCTTACCATCCGATTTTATCTCGACATTAGTTGCTCTCAATCAAATCAAAGCCAATATGTACAGTCATTTAGCTCAATATCAATCATCTTGTTGGAAGCATTGGGATATTGCCGTACCAAATGCACTTTTCGAAAAAAAGGAACTGGAACGCATGAATCCAAGTTTATTGGGCTGGTGGGGTCCCGCTAAAGGTGTTCCTATGCTAGTTTTCGTAGCGGCTAATGTAATTTGCGATCTAAACATATAGAACTGAACAGACTTCTTACTGTTTATCTTAGATACACTTTCCGACAATTATTCCAGCAGCGATAAAAAGGATGCAAGACGTATTACAAGTGAAAACCAAGAATATCTTTCGTGCTTTACACCTGATACCCGTTAAACCCGAGGGAAATACACCCAACTTGCCCGTGGAAGTTAAATGGTTATTTTTACTGCCATCCAGTTCACAACCTATAATCCATATTGTACCAGCTCCACCTAAGGAATTCATTGAAGAAAAGACAAAATCACCGTTTTCGTTTGACCCACCTCCATCCATTTCATCTTACCTCAGTAGTCTAAGTGCAACAGAGAATCCATCGACATCATTGTACAATGAATATAGTGATAAATTGTTGAGAAATTTTGTGACGATCTGGACAAAGACAGCTTTGACTCGACATCCCTTGCATAATAACAACTTTAATAATCGGAAGGGAAACGAACCTCCTAAACCGTCACCATTACCCAATGCGATACAATTTATCTCGGCAGTTGTTCCATTACTCTCTTTTATATTTAACCAGCCAATTACAGAAGGTGGTATAGATTTTAAAAAAGTAATTACGACAAGCCATCCCAGTACAAGAGGAATGATTCAACAAATTGAAGTGATTTTAAGGAAAAAGATCAAGGATAATATTGAAATCGAAAAGGTTTTTTCGAAGAGTCATTCAATGAATCTGATGGATAAATGTAAAGAGGCATATCTTCAAGATTCTCCCCCCTTTTATACAGAACAGTATCACACTTGGAAGCGTAACAATGTTATGAGAATGTATCGGTCGCTTGCTCGAGGGCCTTGTATGGAAGAATATGCTGTACGACTGGAACGTGAATGTGATTTAATTTGGAAACAAGGTAGACAGAGTTGTGAGCAAGTTAGCTTAACAGGAAAAGCATGTCGTTTGAAGGTAACATGTAAAAACGATAGATCTTCATTGTATTTAATTTAATTATGCAGATTGGACATGAGAAGGAATCACCCCCACAAAAAACATCAAGGGACGACAGATCGATTGCTGTTGACAATACAAAGCACAATAGCGGATTTAATTTCTTTCATGCATGCGACTGTGGTCGAACCCAAAAAATCCGTGATGATCCATTCGACATTGAAGAGGCCAACATCAAATTTTACAACAAGTTTAATTGCTGTTTAGGTACTGACAGAGCCGCATTGGATATTCAAAAATCAACTTTTGGCGGATCTCAGCATCTGGTTTTAAGATATGATGAAATTCCACCGAACGATTCCGCCTTGATTTATTTGGGACCTTCCAGTATTTACAAAAACAATGTCGGTTTGGATAAAGTTGAGGGTTTTATGAACAATACAAATTTCCTTATACCTTGGTCAATCACAACAGTAACCGAGTTGAAGCTACGTCAGCAGGAAGTGATTAACAATGCTGTCTCTATTGACAACAGTGCGAGTATGAACACAAAAGCATCGAACGAAGGTGCCATTAAAAACACGTTTTTACGTTCATCTTCTGTCAATAGAGTCAATCATGATACATCTGAATGGCCTGTTTTAGGAAAGAATACGACTGTATCAAAACCCAACGGCAACAATACGCCTACTGTTGTCGTGGCTTCACTGGAAGCGTTCCCAGCTCTTGGATCTACTCCACAACTACCTACTGTTTCTATACCTTCTACTAAAGTGTCCAATGTTGTTACAACGCCCACCACGAATAATGTCAACAACAGACAATTATTTGATACACGCCGTAGACGTAATCATCGTGTGCGTGACCGCATCCAAGGTCTCATTCGAGGGTATGTAGGAGCCGAATATGAATGCCCTCATGGACATCGATTCTTGAGTTGTGGTGAAGGTAGAGTTTGCAAGTTGGGCCATGTAGGCCATCCCAAGGAGCATGGTAATTACTTTGTACACCAAGATTTGCCAATTTTTGTGGTGTGTCCTTGTACATATGCCAATAACACTAGTAGCACAAACAGCGTAGAGGTAACAGCACAGTTACAGCGATTATACATTGTTACCCCGGAAGAAGCTTTGACCATATCGATTGAACCTAAGATTAAGGTAAATTATAAAAGTTGGTTTAATAGCGAGGCAAAATTAAATCAAATTATCTAGATAAATGTTCCTGGATCTGAAGAGCCATCCATACTGGATTTAGGCATCACAGAAAGCTTGTCATTTGGCCCAAATGGCGTTTATGTTTTACGTTTACCATTTGTATACCGCGACCATCACGGAGAACCCATAGCTGTTGAACCAGATGTCCAAAAGAGATTGAAAAGTGCTACATTACTTAAGGACTGCATCAAGTTTCATTATCAAGAAAGTAAAGCCTGGGAATTATCAATGTAGAAATCTATCCCCGCCAAAATTTGAAAATTTACACGATGCGGTGATTGGGATCTTCAGGTTCATTCTTTTCCACCAAACTTGAGAACGAAGGGGTAAAAATGCAGCTCCTGCTAAACCGAAAACCGAAATACTTAATTATATTTTTGGATGAGAAAAGAAAAATTGCAGCTAATAAACTACTGGTTACATTCAATCTAATAGGTTTATACTTTTGAATTAATAAGGGTCGCGAATGCATATTAAACTTTAGACACACGGGCAATATTTTTCCGCGATTTATAATGAAAATGGAATATTTTGGTTGGCCGATTTTAATCTACGAGGAGGGGCTGCTTTATAAACTGAAGGGGGGGATGGTAAAAACCTTTATTTTCTCTTTCTTTTTATTCTTGAAAAAAATGTCCCATCATCCTACCTATACTTTAGCTGGCTTATGTGCCGTTGGGTAAAAGAAAAAATATCAGCCTGAATGAAAAACAAGAGACTTATAATATAATAGCGGTGTTGTTGGTTTTGCAAAGACACGTTCGCTTCCTTCTTTAGTAGCTGGACTTGGTGTTGGAGCCCTTTACGGAGCTGCCGGTTATTTAATTCAACAAAACAAGGATTATGGTCATGAGACAGCCATCGCTGCTACCACCTTGTTGGGTGGTGCCATGATTCCTCGTGCCATCAAGACCAGAAAGCCTGTGCCTATTGCATTATCTGTCATTTCTCTTGCTGCTGGTACCTACTATGTAAAGAAGGTGATTGATTACGCCTAAAAAATAAATAAAATGAAAATACGCACTGTTTATCGCGAAAGAGCAGTAAAAACCCAGCATTATTTTTACATAATTTGTTTCTCAGTCGTGATGTAATTTTTCACATAAACGTGTTTTATTGCATTTTTTAGTTTTTTATTTTATTTCTTTTTCATCTTTTTTCTACTAACAACATGTCGAATGGTGAGTGAAAGCTCAAACGTATATATAAAAAAATACTAGCTAATGAAGACTACTGTAGCCAATTGGGAATCACAATTAAGTGTGATTGAAAAGAATACGTTTTTAGATCTCTTCAAGAAAGTAGATGCAGATAATAAAGGCATTGTTTTACATGACGAAGCCATGGACTTTTTAAAGAAGTCAGACATTCCACAAAACATTCTCACTCAGGTAAAGAACCCTAGTTATGTCTTACTTTTCCCTATTTCTTATATACTTTTTAAATAGTTTTGGAATGCTTCTGATAATGAGAATAAAGGGTTTTTGACCGAACAAGAATTTTGTACCATATTAAAACTCATTGCCTGTGCTCAGCATGGTGTGATGACAGGTGACCCTATCCTAGCAACCAAAGGTAAAAAAGAAGAATGATGTAAGATGTACATGCTTTCGGTATTAAAATTTGTGCGATGGGTAGTGCCTTTGCCCGAGTTCAATGGGACAGGTGCAGTCAACAACAATAGACCGATGCCACCCCCACCACATCAACAACGGCAACAGCAACAGCAACAACAATCGATGGATGTTATAAGCCCAGAGGACAGACAGAAATATATTGGGTTATTTAACTCATTTGGACCAGAGAATAATATTCTAAGTGGTAAAGTGAATAGATGATGTAAAAGGAAAGATGTAATTTTAAAGAGATAAACAATCATAGGTGATAGAGCAAGAGCAGCGTTTGTGCAGTCCAATTTGCCTCCTCAAACATTACAGACGATTTGGAATTTAGCGGATACTCGTAAATCAGGGTCATTGAATCAAACAGAATTTATCATTGCCATGTTTTATATAGAACGTGCAATGAAGGGATTGAACCAATTTCCTCCTACTTTACCAGCCAATATATATGCATCTGCAACAGGTAGACCAAGTGCCTCACCATTGGTTCGAAACACTACTTTACATGTCAATAGCCCACCTCCTATCCCCAAACGATCTCCTGTATTTCAAAACAGACCTCTTCCAGTCGTCACCATCTCGCCTGACGAGTATCAAAAATACCAAACTTTTTTCAAGCAATTAGATACCGACCAATCGGGTTATGTATCGGGTGCCGATGCAGTGGTATTCTTCAGACATTCGAAATTACCAGAGTCTGATCTCGCCAAAATTTGGGATTTGGCTGATACAGATTCCTCTGGTATGTTATCAGAACAGGAATTTGCGATTGCCATGCATATGATCAACGGACGTGTGAAAGGTGGTGATCTCCCTAATACCTTGCCTACATTCAACATTCAACCACCACAGCAACACCCATTTTCTACTGGTCCCTCGCAACAGCAGCAACAGCAGCAGCAATATGCTCCCCAACAACAGCATAATGTAGACTTGTTGGGTTTATCCGACTTTTCTGGCCCTGCACCTCCTCCTCCTCAGCAGCAACAACAACAACAATATGGGCAGAACAAGGTAGACCTAGCAAGATCACAATCCACCATGTTACAATCCTCTGTTTCTACTGAAACCAACCGTGCACAAACTGCACATCAACAATTCAACCAAGAATCACAAGCGGTACAGGAACTATTAAAACAGATTGAAACACAGAAAGAAACGCTAAATAAAATGAAGACACAAGCAGAAGAAGCCGAAAAACTATTAGCAGCGGAAAAGAAACGAAAAGAAGAACTTGTGCAGGAATTACAAATGTATCGACAAGAGACTAAACATTTCTCTACTCGAGCAGAGAATGCCAAGGAGGAAACGATTAAGGTCAAGACTGAAATTGAAGAATTGAAAAAGGAGAAGGAAAAGGATAATGTATTTTCATTATCCAACGCCCCTTCACCTGCTGTTGGGGGTGGATTGTTTGCTAAAGTTAACGGGCAGAGTCCATCATTGTTTGCCAAGGTCAATGAAAGCCCCTCTTTATTTGCCAAGGTTAATGATTCACCAGTGTCAAGTCACAGCACTGGACAAAAAGCATTTGATCCCTTTGCTGGCTTTAATAAGAGCAGCACAAGTGCACCTTCTCCCACTATAAATACACTTAAAGCGGAAACCGAACAGAAGGCAACACCCAATTCTTCTCATATGGATATCAGTGATATTGAATCCAAGTATCCAGACCTAAACACGATGGAACAAAACTTTGCCCCTGCAGCTGCAGCATCAGCATCACCAGCACCAGCATCAGCTCAGGTAGAAGAAAAGAAGAGTCCTAAAAAGACGACCCAGACCTCGCCGCAGCCTTCCAAATCCGTCTCTAAATATGGTTTTGATTTGTCCGCGTTTGAATCCACCAATAATACAAATAATACTGATACAGCATCTATGAAGGACGAATTAAGTTCCTTGTTTAGCAGTCCCTCTACTTCCAAGGCTCCATTGCCCAGCAACACCAATGGATTTGATGATATTTTTGGTCAATCTGCAACTAAGAAGACCACAAATTTTGAAGACATTTTTAAATAAATTTTTTTTTTATTACATTCTAAAGAGTGAACACTATTATTCTTAATTGACAAATAATAGCCTGTTCTTAAACTGTTTCAAGGTTTTGGTGATCTTTTGGGATAAAATAGGTTGAGTTTTAGCATCCCATATCAGTATTGATTTGGGGTTAGTTTCACCGGTTGAATGTCTTCGAATCACAGGTACTTCTACCTCTTCATCGTCATTATCATCGTCATCACTTTCATCAAATACGGTACATACCACCACGACTTTTTCATCAAAGCTTACTTTGCGTGATCTCTTTTTCAAACTGAAGGCCGCTGGTGAAGAAAATGTGGTAAAGAGGAGAGGACGCACAAGTGGTTCTTCCACCTTTTTAGGCATTACTTTCTGTTTGCGAATAGGTGACAGTGATGAATTCTTTGGCGCTTTGCTACATAGAAATTTATTGTTAGGTCATGCATTCATGTACAAATAATAAAAGTCACGCTTACAAGTGTTGACGGGGAATAGAGGGAATAATTTGTTTCGTAGGTCGTAATGACGAAGTGTTTATTGACAGTTCTTGGTAGAAGCAATACGAATGTGAAGCACCAATAGTGAAGGAGTTTGTATGAGGGGTATGTAAAGCGGCGACAGACATTATTATAAAAGAGAAAAAGAAAAGAGAAAAAAGATAAAAAAAAAAAAAAGAGCGGAAAACCTTTTTTATGATTATCAGGGAAAATCAAATGATTTTTGTGTATAAAAACCCCTTGTGTGTGTTTGGGAAAAAAGAGGGAGAAACGTCATAATTTTATTTATGAAATAGCTAAAAGCACAATTTGCGATACATTTTCATCCTGACTTCGAACAGCTAATTCAAATGCTACACCTGTACTGGTATTAAATGTCATTCTACATTTAGCTAAAACTGGACTACCATCCAAAAAGGTACCCGACAATAATAAGGTGTGGACATTATTGTTTTTAACAGACTCTGAACCTTCCAGAGCTTGCATGCCCAATAATTCAATAATCGATGTACAAGCAGCTAAAAAACAAATTAATTCATGTACATCACCTTTTGTATGATGTCTTTTTACCTTTTAAACTTGGTGCCTTGTCTTTATCTAAAGCAAAGGTATCCACTATCTCATTTTCTACCATCGCTTCAAATTCCTGTTCAAAATGAGACGTGTAACAAGGTCGAATGTAATCACTAGTAGTCACTTCAATATCCTCAATCTGGTATTCATCTTGGTATCCTTCAGGATCTGCTTCTCCAGTGGTGGGATCGCAATCCTTGACAGAGAATCTGAGGGTATTTGTGAATGTAACTAGAGAGTATTATGAGTACAATAAATAAATAAATGAATATATATATGTATGTACACATGTGACATTTTTATACACGTTACCATTGGCAAGCTCTTCAGGATCTTCTTGCTCAAATGCGACGTAAATGATATTCGGTACATCGTATTCTAATTTCTCTGCTGCAACTTCTGCCACTTGAATAAAACCGTCCTCTTCTGGTTGCATAACCATATGGACATCTTCTAATAACTGGTCATTTAACGTATTGGTACAATTAAATTGGAAAACCAGATGCTTGGAAAAGGTGTGTTTAATACATGTCACCACATACTCTGTTTCACTCTCTGTCAGTGCAATAGGGCTAGAGCTCTTGAAAAGGGGGCCAAATGAAGAGAAATGAGATGACAGCTTTTCTGCATACACTTCCTGCTGATCCATCTTGGAGATATGAGGATGTCCTGATGCAGGAGTGTGTGAAGGAACTGACAATAATGGTGTAGATGGATCATTTGCACGAGTGCCTATATTTAGCCATTCTTTTTTTATCAGTATTAGAAATATGTGCTGATTTCTTCTTATACTTACGACGTCGTTCTTCCTGTTCCTGTGATTTACTAATCACAGGTACAGAGTTTAAATTAAATTCCTTGTCAGCGGGTTGATGAATATATTCTACTAATTGACGCTCCAGTGTAGAAAGAGCAAAAGTAGCATCTACACAAATTTAAAAAGAACGAAATTGGTTAGAAGGGAGAGATAGAATGATAAAAATAACCCATCTTTCAATACCGTCTGCAATGTATTTCTTGGCAAGGTTCTCGTTATTCATCATGGCTAAATAAAGCGTAGCACGATCACGCACTTCATCATCCACATCATCCAGACAACGAGTTAATAAAACATGCACCGACTTTTTCACAGCAGCATCATGACCATATACACCAAATTTTGCAAGTGCACTGACGGCAGCAGCGCGAATGACGGAATTCTCCAGAATTACACGGTTATATATATAACGAATATATTTGGTAGGTGTAGCAGTCTTGGGTCCCTCCAGACCCAAGAGGTACAGGACACGCACAGACAGTTTTGTGAACTCACAATCCTCAATAAACTCACACAGGTGGGAGAGGGCTGTCTCTTTGCATTCGGGAATGTGTTGCACCATATCAAATATGGCCTCAACTACTGCCCGCTTGAATGGATAACCTCCTTCATCTCTCAACACGTTACTCAAGAAGGCTAACATCACTACTTGTTTGTTGGGAAACTTGAGACACAATGCTCGAATAGCGTCTACCACAATCACCTTGAACTCGTCCGAGATATCATTCATGAAACCCGAAATTTGTTTCATTAGACGATCTACAGAGGCTTCGTTACCGGTTTTCAATAAAGTGGTGATGGCGAATGTGGCAACACTACGATTGGGGTCAGTAATCAAGTTTTCAATGTCAAGGTTGCAAGGTGAGACGGCGGCAGGTGTTTCACACGATAATTGGTTGAGGGTGCGAATGGCAGCAAAACGTAAAGTGGGTTTGGGCGAGGAAAGGAAGAGTTGTAGCACGGATACGGCAGGATATAATTCTTTAAGTGTCATGTTGGGTATATCACAAATAGCACGAGCTGCTTCTAAATTGACCATGTCGCTTTTGTGTCGTAAAAATCCTTCTAATAATTCATAAATTCTACGTGAAGATCTATTTACATTTTTTTTTAATAAAAAGGTTAAAACATTACAGATATATAATAAAACTTTCTTTCACTTTACCCAGGGTCGTCTTGCATGACTTTACATGCAAAGCGGATCAACATACATATGGCCGAAGGATTCTTAAGTGTGTTAGATCCACCGCCCAAGAATCCGCCGCCGGATTTAGCCGAGAAATTCGCTACTAATTTAGTAATAGCCATACGATCATGCTGTCTAATCAAATAGAGTAAACTAATGGCGTGGTATTGATTGATACTACTGGTAGAAATGACGACTTGTTGGTTATTACTATTTTGTCCCGCTGTAAAGTAATTCGAAGCTGAAAAACTGGAGGCTGGTTTTGTTTGGATCGCTTCTTGAACTTCGTTGGCCCAACGCTTTACAATGTCTTTGGCGACATCACACAGATGATAGGATGAAACGAGTGCAGCGGAAGAAACTGACGGTGTTTTATCGACAATGGCTGCTTTTAAAATACGTTCGATACCTTGAATCATTGAATGCTATTTGAAAAAAGAATTGCTTTTAGCATGTGTGTTGGGTCCTTTATCCTGTTTGTATTGTTACATCAGTGATTAAGCATAAGGCACGGATGGCGTTGGCTCTGTAAATCGTTTCTTGCTTTGACTGAATGTCCTTGATAAGTGATTGAGTTACCATGATGACATCTTCTGCAATGCCTGATAATTCTTTAATCACCAAGTACATCATTTGACGTAGTGAAGTCTAGTGTTACTTTCTGGTTAGAGCAAGAATAACGGATTAAAGATAAAACCTACATCCTTCGATTGAAAAAGTTTAATGACATTGAAAAAGAGGTCCGTTGCTTCTTTTACTGTAAAAGGTTCGCTGGTATGAAGCAAGTAGACAATTTTTGTTAATAAGAGTCTGCATTTTCGAACATTAATGGGTGAGCTATTAAAGACGCGAGCTTCTTGTAAAACGGTAGTCTTATCCACATGTCGAAATAACCCTACATTGCCTTTTTTTTTTTTTGTATTGTTTTTTTGTTATTTTTCACAGCTTAGAAATAAACTAATATAGAAAGTAGATCTTATGGGCTTTTACCGGCTTCTTCGTCACGTTTGCTGTAACTCATTGTGTAAATGGACAAGATGAGCTTTCGCTTTTTTTTTCTTATTGTCATCCTTATAGGTAAATCGCGGCGTTTTAAACATCACGTCACTCCCGCTGCCAAATACAAAAAGGTTTTTTTATTTTTTATTTTGTTTTTCTTTTATTTTTCGTTGCATACATGTCAGCTCTTCACAACGTTACCGAATTCCTCTCGAAAAACCCTAAAGCTTCACGATTAACGTTGACAGCTATTGCAGCCTCAGCCTTAACTGCCAGTGCTTTACTTGGATACCAACGCCTGACCCGACCCCGAATGGTGAGCTCGAGAAAGACGTCAGTTGATCTTCCAACGTTAATTTCCATTATTGATGAAGAAGCAAATGAACCTGTACCCGAGAAAATGGATGAATCTCTTGTGCTTGAACTTTTGGCACGTAACATTGCATTTTTCGGTATCGATGGTGTCAACAAGATTCGTCAAGCCCGTGTTGTGATTTTAGGTGCTGGTGCTATAGGGTCTTGGACATGCCTCATGCTGGTTCGATCGGGTGTTGAGCATGTACGTATTGTTGATTCTGGACGTATTCGTTTAGAGACCTTATCCAGACATGCGGTGGCTAAAATCAATGATATTGGCAAATCCAAGGCTACAGTCATGAAGACTTACATTGCGCAAGTAGCACCCAACGCCACAGTCGAGCCCATCGAGACACGTATCACTATGGAAAATATGCAAACTTTGCTTGCAGGCAACCCAGATTATGTGGTGGATACCTTGTCTAATGTCAAGGACAAGATTTTGTTAGCAAAGTATTGTAAAGAAAATAATATCAAGATTGTCAGTGCCATGAGTGCAGGTGCCAAAGCAGATCCTACTTTGATGCAGATGACTGACATCAGTGAGTCCTTTTCAGAGCCTTTGGCTCGCATGTATCGTAGACAATTAAGAAAGTTTGGTATTGATCGTGGTATTCCCATTGTCTATTCTACTGAAAAGTCATTACAAGTAGGCGAACACGGTAAAATGACTGGTTGACAAAAGAAAAACCTAAAACCCTAACCTTATTATGTATAGTGCCTGATTTTAGAACGCGAGCATTGCCGGTGCTCAGTCCTGTTGCAAGCATGTATGGAATGGCTCTTGTTACTTACATTGTTACACAATTAGCGGAATTCTCAGCATACAAATTGCCCACCAACAAGATGCGTGACAGCGTCTATGCTCGATTACAAAAGGATGTGGCATCCAAAGAAGAGTTTGTTTATGGTAACACGTAAGTTTGATTACTAAATTTGTTGTTGGGTGGAATTTTATTACTGATGCGACGTACAATTCCATTTAGAACCGATACCTTGAACGTGGCAGAGATTGGATATGTGTTTGATGAAATGTGGGGAGGGAAAAGTGCGATCTCTTGTGCTCAAGATCGTATGTTAGTACTGACACGATGGAACAAGCACAAGGTGGGTAATTTGAATAATTTAATCTTATTGACAAAAGACGAAGCCGTGGTTCACGATGCCCTGGATGATTTAGTTGCTCATTATGGTTCTGAACGTGTGGATAAGATCGAAAAGGAATTTGCGCTGGAAAAGCATCTCCAAGAATTATGGAACTCTGTTTAAAATAAAGCAAGATAAAAAAGAAAAATTATTTATAGAAGGTGGAATATGGGAATGATGGGGAGGGAGAAAGCTATGATTTTTTTTAGACAGAACAAAAAAAAAAAAAAAACTAGATTGGTATCTTTTCTACTTCAGCACGAGCTTCTTGCCATGATTCAAGATTCTATAAGAAAGAGATGAGCACACATATACTTTTATTACACACACACAAATTACCTTTTGACAATAACGAATATGAATTTTGGCATAGGCAATTAGCATATCACGCATATCTTGTATCTTTTCAGTCTGGAAACGGTCGAGGTCAGATTGGAGTTCTGTAGAGATGGTTGTTAAATCGGTCTTTGTGATATCTAGAGCCTCTTGGAGGACACCCATAGCATCCTTAGACATGCCAATTTGATTACGACGGGTTGCTTCTGGATTGACGTCAATGATATTCTGCAAGGTATGACCTACAGCACTAATGACCTTCATGGGACCCCCACTCCAATTAGCAGGACGATCGATACGAACTGTACTACTGCTACTGTTACTGGAAGTACGGTATGGATTCTCTTCCTCCTCTTCTCCATTGATCTCATCCACATTGACAGCGTTTGCTCCAATGGTTCTTTCTCTAGTCATGGCTTCCTCCAGACGCTTTGCTTCGTTTTCCATTCTGAGAAGGTTATCCAAGGTATCCTTTTTGTGGTTGAGAGAGTTTTCAATGAGCTCAACTTGAGCATGCTTCATGTGGCGAAATTTCAATACTTGCTTGATGATTTGAGCAAATTGGGCATGCTCTTGAATTGGCTCAGCAAATTCGCCCTCGAGGGAAGTCACCATGTGACCTGTTTCTGTGTAAGAAGCATCCACAGCCTGACCGACTTTCTCAATGGCATTTGCAACATTTCCCGTCTCGTTTAAACTAAAGCCGTTATAGACGGCGCCTAATTCTGCATAATCGTTTGCCAGTTCTACATTATGAAAGTCAGGGACCTATTTTCTCAAACTATAAAATAGAAAGTGATTAAATACCTCCTAAGCGGCGTATGACTTTGCGCTGACTTTTATCGAGATTGTTACTCATGTAATTAGCAATGCGAAAGGTGAATTTCTCAGATTCTTCAAATCTTGGATCCGGATTTTTTAATTGATATGCAGCTGATGGAGTAGGAATTAAATTGCTCGATAAAACCGGGTTAAATGTGTGGGCTTGTAGGTCGGGTTGTTTACTGAGCACCATCTGTAACGGGTTCTTTGGTAAGGTAGACAAAGGGGGAGAATGGAGCACATCCGACTATGTAAGACTGTTAGTATTTAGAGCGTTTCATTATGAATTATCTTTTTTTTTTTTTTTTTTTTTTTTTTACCCAAGAGCCGCCACTTTCCAAGAATCGGTGAAAGACATGATCTTTGCCTAATTCGGGATGCTTGGCAACTCGATTTAAAAATGTTTGAAGCATGCGTTTTCTTTTTTCAACCATGGGTAAGTCATCCTTGACTCTTGTTTGCAATGCAGCATAGTCCACTTTACTGGAAATGTTAGTTTGATAAAAAGGAAATGTCTACACAAGAATTACCCAAGGAATGCTTTTCGGGTATGGGCGGTACAATGAGGGCAGGATGGAGTAAAGTCAATGCTTTTCGAAAGGACTCGAATTCGCTATATCTTCGTTTTGTTTCAATGTCCTACATATTCAGCGTTAGACTTGTGCATTCCAAAACATATAAACAACAACAAAAAAGTTTATTTTTTTTTACACCAATACGGATATGATAGGCAATATAACTTTTACCAGAAGGAGAGTCTGATTGTTTTTGAGCCCCCGTGATAAAGATATAGTTTTCATCGTGGTGTAGTGCTCTGTCAATAGCACAGTCGCAGCTTGGTTTAAGTGAATTACGTTGACTCATTAAAAAAGTATAAAGAAGAGAGGAGATTTAGGGAGTAAAAATAAAATAAAAATAAGGAAATCAAGAAAAACGACGTAATGTAGTGTATGTAACTATTCAAAAGAGTGCATGTAGTCGGCTAACAGTGCACACTCATGACACATTTGTTTACAAGTTGTACCACCCACTCTTTTTTATAAAAAAAGAAAAAGACCCCTACATTTCCTTTACCCAAGTCTGGGATTACAGTCATAACTTTTTTTTATTGTATGTAAGGGTGTATTTAGTTATTGAGCATATACATAAAAAAAAAAAAAAAAAAAATGGGAAGAAGGGGAGGGAATGATTCATGGGTGGAGAAAGATAAAGGGGGAGGGATGCTTAGTTTAATATATATAGTTAATTTTTTTTTTGCTTAAATATCAGATGGAAGGAAATAAGTGTCAACTGTACTCATTTCCATTGTACCTTCACCTCTTTCGAATTCGTAAATCATAACAAGTAAAGGTGGAGCATCCTGTAGTAACAAGTTTTCGGTAGTTGTGAATTTTGACTCAATATCTTCAAACACCTGCATTCAAAGGGGGGGGGGGAGAAGGATTAAGGGAGAGGAGGGTTAATTTATTATTTGATAATGTTATACGCTAGTATTTTACCTGAACCACGCATAGATTATTAATGGCAATATCGACTTCTTCCCACGACTGAAGTGAACGTATGCCCTTCATAAAGGCATCAAAGAATTGATTTACATAGACAAAACTATACATGTATTTGCCTTCATTTAACCAAAGTGCCTGCTGAACTTCTTTTGATTCCAAGACAACATTACCAAACGAATAAATGGTGGTGGTACATTCAATCGTACGTCGATCTCGGGTCTCAAAAAAGGACGTGTTATTAAAGAAGAAATCAGTCATATTTAGATTAAGGTTGAGTTTCACGTTAGCAGAGAGCGTAGTGCTTGCAAAGGTGCTGGTAATCTCATGTAATAGAGGACATTTTCCTTTGGCTACAGCAGTAGGATCTACAGAGGGAAGGCTGTTGGGAATGCACTCGGGTAAATTAGCCAATGTATGAGGTATAGTGATCTGAAATAGAGTGTTAGAAAAGATCAGACTCTGAAATGATATAAAACAAATGTACTCACAGATGGATCATAGGGAAGAGAATATTCTAAGTATAGACAGATATAGTTTGGCCATAATGGATAGATGGATGGATCAATCCAAGCATTATTAGGGGTTGTAGACATTAAATTGTTCTGTAAGATAGAATTGATGGACGAACTTGAATTTTTAATATTGTTCTTTTTCTTGTTGTATTTCTTATAGGTCTTTTTTAGCTTTTTTTCCTTGTTGCTGAGATACTCACTCGTGGGCTGATCTACCAATTCGACAGAGTCTTGCCCATTGGGAAATAATTGCTGTAACACGTCTGTGGTGGTGGCGTTGGCAATATTGGAGAGAGAAAAGGAGCCTGTTGTCATTCCACCCATGGCAGTATCATTTATGGCGCCAAAGAATGGCTCATAAAAGGGATCTTTGATATCAAGCATAGAGAGCGAAGGTTGGCCCTCGCTATACATCATGTCAAATACATAATCTGCGGGTGAAGGAGAAGAAGACATGCTAGACTCATCGGATGATAGGGATTCAGAGGAATGCGTAGAGTTCATCTTTTGTGCTTGTGGCTGTCTACGCTGTAAGTTTTGTTTGCTTGATTTTCTCATCTGTTGCTGCTGTATGGGTTGTTGTTGCTGTTGTTGTTGTTGCTGCTGCTGTGTAGATACGTAGCCTTCATCGGCTTCTACAGAGTCTGTCAACAATCGCATGACTAAGATTTTTAAGGCATTAGTATTTTTTTACTTGTAAGATTATGCGGTGACTCACAGTGAGGGTCTCCTTTGCGAGTATTTTTCAAGACTTGGATATGAGAAGAGACTTGCTTTCGTGTACGTATCTTTGTTGTTTTACGGAAAATAAAATCAGAGATTAGTTCATTTCGACCTAAAATAAAATTTAATTTAATAAAATGGATTAGGCATAATTGTAATTTTTATTTATTTTTTTACCACACGGTTTTCCATTGACGAGTATTTTTCTTCTGCCTAATTTTGGGATGGTTTCCAGGGCTTTTATAAAGGCAGCTTCTACATCTGGTGGCCATACCTGCTGCTATTTATGAAAAAAAAAGAATAAGAAACACGAAAGAAAAGAGAGAGAAAGAGAAATGCAACGAACCTCTTCTTTTTCCTTATTGGAGACGTGATCCATTTGTTGCTGTAGTTGGTTCATTTTGTGTTGTCGTGATCTTTTATCATTAAAATCAGTATTGGATTCCTGCTTAAAAAATAAATCTTGAGGACAAGCCAACATTTTTATATTTTTTTTAGGAACAAGCAAGAAAAAAAAAAGTTTTTTAATCAAAAAGAAGAAAGTTATTTATATTTACAACGAATTGCATTATTTATGTCTGTGAGTTTTTTTTATGGAATCATTGGCTGTCATTCATATCTTTTGCCTGCTAAAAAAAATAGAGATGAAACCATTTATTTATTGTGTATCGACTTTTTTAGGATTGGAATGATCCATTATAGTAATAAATCTGTCCTTTTTCTGTTCTCATCCCAGTTCATTTATCAATGTGTATTTTATCTCTCAATCTCACTCTCACTCTATTCTCTTTTTTTTTCTTCTTTGTGATTGTAACTGTGAATCATCTTTCTTTTTATAGACACTTACATACTGCAAAAAAAAAAAAAAAAAAAAAAAAAAAAAAAGACATCATCATCATGGTTAGGAAATATCTTTTATATGCAGCGTACAAACATGCATGTATGTTAAATTTCATCTTTTCCTAATCCGTCTTGAGCCAATCTAAGGGGGTCTATGGTCTCCTTCTAAATAAAACTCATGTACCATATGACGAAGATATTAATTTTCTCTTGTTCATGATTGAAATGAATGTTGTGTATTAAAAACCCCCCAATTCTGTCGATCAAATACATATACACACACACACACACACACACACACACACAGACATTTTTTTTTTTTTTTTTTTTTGAGTGGGATTTTTTTTTTCCTTTTTATTTATTGACGTTGTTTCTTGTTGTAATTATCATTCTTTCTAGTATTCTTAAAAGTGCTGCTGCTGACAGCTTTCTCAATCTTGATATCGACAGGTTTATCAAATAACTCGGATTGAACCTTGACAAACTGATCGGCAACGGCTTTGTTGGCATCGTCTTTATTCTTGTACACCACAAATCCATAACGCAAGTATTTCAGTGTCTCTGGGCACTACTTTTTATCATCAGTTATGCTGCCCCCCTTTTTTTTTCGTTTACTTGTAACTTACTCTCATGACTTTATATTCAACCATTTCACCATAACTACCCAAGGTCTTGAACACAGCACGAGCATGTTGAATACTGGGAATTGTTTCTGAAAGTCGAAAGAAAGTTCTGCTGGGTGTGAAACTCTTCTTGACTGTCTCTGTAGCAACTGTCTTTAAGGTGGTTGACATGTTTAAAAAAAAAAGTAGAAATTAAAGGGGGGGCCTCACACTATTAAAAAAAAAAAAGAGAGGGAAAAAAAAAGGGCATAAAACGTGACTGTTTCTTAAAACATTATAAAAGATGACGTCCGGGAGGAGGTTTTTTTTTTTTTTTTTTTTTTAGAAAAAAAAGGATAATTTATGTATTAGGTGGTGATGTTTGTCGCGATTGACTTGGAGGTGGAGTTAATGGATAGATGGGATAATGTGTCAGTGTATAATCTACTGCAGAAGTAGCGAATGTCCGTTTTGAAAGTTGATCTATTTAGAGATATTTTAGTCATGATGTGATGTATATAGATACTAAACTTACCCATCAAACTTGGTATTGTTCCCGATGTTTTCCATTCATTATTGCTGCGTGCCGAGTTGGGTGGACTAGGTAGATGATGTGAAGCTCCAGAAGAATGGGGAGGTGAGATGGGCCACACACCTGTGGGGGAAGGTGTGGAGGTGGATGTGAATGGAATTTGGTTTGTACAGGAAGACGAGGATGAGGATGGGGAAATCGATAGGTTTAACATGGAATGGGCTATACTGGTGTGAGAATTTGAAGGTCGCATGATAGATACAGGCGTTGAGGCTGCTGCTGTTGCTGCTGTTGGTGGTGGAGGAGGTGGTGGAGACAGTGAACCATATCTGCTAGATGAGGAATACGGCGAGCCTACATAAAAATAAGTAACAGCAATGATTTTTTTATAAAGTCAACTTACCCCGCCGCTTAATGTCGACTTGTTCTTTGGAGACATTGATGCCTTGTACGGAGTGACGGTGTGGTCTGACCTTATGACTCTCATGATGAGTAGAAAGAGGACTGGGTGTGAATGCAGTCATGAGTCTCTCAATCCTTCTTAGTCTATCTTCTATTCTATCCATGGCCTCTACAGGCTGCTTTGTATTTTGGTTAGACTTTTGTTGTCTCTTTTCCGAATGGTTTACACATTCAATATTGTTGGTGGCACAGAAATTACAAGGATTGCCACCATCACATTTAGTTTTTCTTCTGCGGCAAGTCTCACATGCTGAGCCTGAAGAAAGTCTTCTTGCCGCTTGAGTTGAAAACACACTACGAGAATGGTCAGGTACAACACTGTAAACACAATCCACATTCTCTTCTGTGCAATGAGCACAAGGACGTTGTGAGTTACAGACACGTCGACGTCTTCTGCACTGTTCACACGCCTTTTTTAAAGTAGAACATCTTTCTATCATCATTCTTTGTTGGTGTTGTTTATCACTGGAAGGTGGTGAATTCAAAGGCATAATGGTTTGTGTATTAAAAGAAAAAGAAGAAAAAGAAAGAGAAAGAGAGAGAGAGAGAGAAAACGAAAATACTTTTTTTTTTTTTCCCCTTTTTCCGCCCCTCCCCCCTTTTTTTTTTTTTTTTTTTTTTTTTTTTCGGTCGGTTCTCTCTCCGGACCCGGGGCTGTGAGGTACAAAGAGATAATGTGATTTCGATCCCCACACTCTAGCAAAAGCGTCTAATGACAAAATGGCTTATTTGTTATGTTACATGTTTTCTTATTTCCATGGTCCCCAAGCTTGTCAAAAAAAAAAAAAAAAAAAAAAAAAATAATAGTGAGGGAAGGGGGCACGAGCCCAAACTTTTTGTTTTATTATGCATACACACATCCGTTAACGTACGTACGTACGTACTTACGATGTATAAATACACAGTTTTTTTTTTTTTTTATTATTATTTCCGGATGTTTCTATGGAAAAGGCAAGAAAATAGGTCCTTTTAAATACATATTCAAGAATAATAAAAATTTAAAAAAAAAAAGTGTTTTCCTCCCCCATCCATACATCTTTTCCTCCCTTTTTTTGTTTGTGCGCACCACCGCATCACAGGTTTCTTTTTTATTACTTCCCAAAAATTCCGGCTATTCCGACGGTGATACAAAACCTTGTTTTATCGCATTGAACTGTTTCTTTGCATTGATTTTGAAAAGCCTACGCTGGGTGGACTTTGTCTGGTCATGTCCGTAATAAATTCATGGTGCAGGGCCTCTTTGGGTGTCAATCTTTTGGCTGGGTCCCACTGTAAACATCGGTGGATAAAGTCCACAAACACAATATCATGACATTTCAACGCTTGGTATAACGGTCTTGTGCTAGGCAATCTTTTCTTTCCTTTCGAGTTGACAACAAGCCGAGGGTATCCACCAGAATCTATATATTAAATAGTTAGCACTCATCATTTTTTAGTTTATTTATTTAACACTTGCCAAAAAACAATTTACGTCGGCTGCATCGCTCCACGAGGTGTCGATCGGGTAATCCCATTGTTTCCATAATACACGCTAATTGTTCCTGCTCATTCTCACCCGGGAATAAAGGAAGTCCCGTATATAACTCAGCAGCAATACACCCTACACTCCACATATCAATGGCTTTATGGTATGATAATCCCAATATCACTTCAGGTGAACGATAGAACCGACTTTGGATATATGTGTACACTCGTTCGGATTCAAAGCAACTGCTACCGAAATCAATGACTTTAATCGAACTTTTCGCTGGATGACGCAACATGATGTTCTAGACGATAAATTAGTAAAAAAAAAAAAAAAAAAAAAAGATTAAAATTGTGTTTGTTTACCTCGGGTTTCAAATCACAATGAATGACATTATGGTCGGCCAACATAGATAATGACTCTAATATTTGCATTGTCATCTTCTTGATCAAGCTTAGACTGAAACCTTGAAAATGGTTACTTTTGATAAACTCATACAGGTTCATAGATAGGCATTCAAAAGCGATACACAGGTGATTTCGAAAGTAGAAATGATCTGACATTTGAATAGTATTGTATTTATCATGAGGATCCCATTCAACTAGTTTCTTGAGAATACTGACTTCTGTAATGGCTTGCGCATGAAAACGTTTCTTATTACGGATCAATTTAATCGCTACCATAGTAGCCGTCTTATGATCAAAGCATTTTACAACCTGCCCAAACGATCCTCTGCCCAGCAAATCAACCATCTCGTATCTGTATGCCAAATGATCCTGCATCATGATCTTGTAATCCCCTCTTTCGTCATCAAATCCAAAATTAACAGGATCCATTAAATTGCCATGTTTGTTAGGCGCATGGGGTCCTACAAAATAAATACTCGTATAATCATGAATCTCTATTTGTCGTTCATATTCCGACAGATACTGTCCATAGTATTTTAAAGCTGTATTCACGCTCTTGGGTGATCTGCCTTCCTCTAAATTAGGCTTATAACTGGCTGTACGCCTTACATTGGCAGGTTTTACTGTGGGGGTAGGAACATGACTCTTTCGTTTTGTAATGGGCATACGTTTTTCTTCTAACTTGTGTGTCATGGGCGTTGTTGACATGGATTTTCGTAAACTGGGTTGTGTTGTCGACATAGATTTCTGCAAAATAGGTTGCGTTGTTGTCTTCTTTTTGGGAATAGTCATTAACAATGGGTTAAGCTTCATCGGGGGTAAAGGTAAAATAGGTATAGGCGGAGGTGTAGCCAAACTACCCGGTAGAGTCTATAAATGTACAAATTTTATAGTTAAGTGATACTATTTTTTTTTTTCGGTTGCTTCAAAAGAGAAACTCACCTTTCCTCTTTTGCGTCCAACGGCTTTAGGCTCGCTCTGAGAAAGAATAAATGACTGTCGTTGAATTTCCAGTGCTTTAATATCCTGTTCGATTTGTGCGAGGTCTTGCGAAAGGTTTAATTTATACTCTGGTGACACGGGCCGTTTTTCGTGAGCACTGTTTGAGCGACTACTGGTATAGCTTGAATCGCTCTTCTTTTTCTTGATGGACGAGGTTCTCTGCTTTAATGTGGTAGAGACATGATGTCTGGGTACAGGAGGAACAGGTGGGATATTATTGGGCACGGCTGGTTTTAGGCTGCTGGAACGAGGAAGGGGTGGAGGAGGCGAATACGTAAAGGAGCGATGTCGACTCTGACGAGAATAGCCCTGATATTCTGCCAATGTATTCGAATACTCTACTTCCTTGGGTGATAAACTAGAAGAAACTGTTCTTCTAGGATTTATTGTGCTTGTGTCCTTACTATTCAAGCTAACTTTTCGCTTAATTTTATTCATGAGTGGTTGCAATGTTGAAAATTCCTCTTGTGGTGGTGGTGGTGGGGGAGGGGGAGAGCGTAATTTGGTTCGATTAGAATCTTTTAAGGACTTTGTTTTGCGTACAGAGACGGGTTGTTTCGGACTGGTTTGAGATAGGGTACGTCTGTGCTGCTTTTCGTCTCGTTGGAGTGTAGGGAACTCGTAGGCTTCTAACCAGTCCTTACCAGAAGGCGTGGTTAAGATATCGACATACGACGTGACTTGTGTGTCAATCGGAGGTACTGTTCGTGAACGACTACTGGCGGTGGATGTTGTATAATGACTTGAATCTCGGCCTTCTTGACTAGAAGAAGCCTTGGATGAGCTCATTAGAAAAAAAAAAGTTGGGTCACTGGAAAGGGTTTTAAAAATACATTAGGGGGTGCGGGAAAAATACACGTTTTTTCCACACCTGTGCGCGGATATTTAAAATAAAAGATCTGTAAAAATGGTCCTTAATTATCACCAGACCCGTTTATATTTTCATTGAACTATGGATCTGCTTTCCCACATGGTATCCTAACAATTTCATCCATTCGCTCATACACCAAACGTGTCTGAATCAAACAAAAGCTTACTGCCATGTGCTCATTGAAACACCGATTTATGGTGTCATTTTAGATTTGCAATAACCCGCTTGGGGAGAGATCCCTTGACGAGGCAGCATGTACACATCAATTGAACTCTCCTCCCATAAAAAAGTGCTTAAATAGGCTAACAAACAACGTATTTTTAGCCCATACAAAAAAAAAAAAAAAAAAGGTAAAAATGTTAGCAGTAAAGCAGCTATTCCTCATTTGGGATTTTGATGGAGGAACAATGCTCGTGTTACGTTGCAGTGGGAGTTAAAACTATAAATAGCCTTGGCTGTGCCACAAAAGGACAGGCCCTCATTGTTCATGATTTGCATTGAGCTGCTTAGAATCCGTAAGATGCTCCCTGATAAGACCCAATTCCTGTCATAAAGATGTATTCAATTCAGAATAGTATTAATTGACTGTGACGATGGGTTATTAACTGAAAAACGGTTGTGCTATTGATTGATTATTTTTGTGCAAATCTTTTTGACTGAGTAATATTCGGTACAGACATATGCCTGAAAAAGCACAACACTTTCGATGATATCGTATGAATGCTATAGTAAAAAAAAAAATCATTTATCCGAAAGCTCAAAGGATGGCCTTCGCCAGAAATTCTGTCTGCCCTTTTCTTAATACAGAAGACACAAATACGGTTACTGAAGTGCATGATGTTTATTGTTTCTTTGCAAAATAAACCCCATTTATTTAATCAAGGTTTAATGCAGCTTTATTTAAAATTGTTACGGCCATTTTGTCCACAATGCTTAAATCGTGCACATTCCTCACTTTTTGTCTTTTTATAGAGATAATTTATTTATGTTTATGACGACTTTCCTTTTTTTTCTCTGTGTAGTAGTATTTATAATATGGCAAATGCTATAGGGAGCACTGTGGTACAACGTCAAGTTTTTATTCAATTAGTGTCCATTTGAGTATACATATGAGGGTCATCCCAAAAAAATAATGCAGAATCATCTTTTCTTCTGCGGTTCCAATACTCTCAAAAGTCCTGCCATGATTCTGTCTTTGTTACGTTTCTAAAAAAAAAAAAAAAAAAAATAGCTGGGTCAAACAATTGCACATGAAACACTGATATCTATTTTGAAGGTGGAACTGGCTGTCAACACTACATTGTGCGGTTTTTTACTTTGGTTTTTGCTTCCCAAACGATTCAAAAGGGATGCTGTAATGAAGATTCGCGTCTGATTCAGTACCCTTAAATTCTTCAGCGAATGAAAAGTAGTGCAGAGGATTGATTTCATATTGTAAAGCTCAATAAGGCCAATCCTCGTAAGGATAATTTGGCGGTAGTCCGATGACTGTAGCAATGCAGGGCCATTATGTTCTTGCAATTGGAATGAGCGCAATTTAAATCCCTGAACGGGCATGACTACTCCAGGTTGAAAAAAAAAAAAAAAAAAAAAAAAAAAAACTCGAAAGGAAAAAAGAAGAACGAAATATAGACGGGTAGACAAGAGCTGGTTTATGTCAGGATGATTAATTGTTTATTTAATCACACAATGTTTCAGCCCTAACTTATAGATAATAGATACATCTTCAAACACCTTCAGGCTTATGTTCACAATTGCTAAAGAATGATAATTGACCCTCTTGAATAATCTAAACACCTACTAGCGGTATAGCGCTAGAGTAATCATAAATTAACCTCTGATGTACTTAACAAAAAAAAAAATATCCATCACAAATGTTTATTAATTTACAATCGCACCTGGATAGCTCTATCAAAAGGCGCGGTCTATAATTCTTGGTGTATCACCTTTTGACCACCATTATTTTTACGTTGATGTAAGGGAATATAAGCAGGGGGAGTGTCCAAGAGCTCGTTATAAGTGGAGTACAATGCAGTCACCTTATTTCCACGAATTTCTATAGCACCCTTTCTACCGCCATAAGCTTTCGAAATACCAATATCGATTAAAATGAGTTTGCCTCCGCAACGGGTATGTATAGCTCCATCATGCTGGACAGTATGACCCACAACCATTCGATTAGCCTCCATCATATCTAGAGCTTTATCCAAGACGCTACATATTTCATCCTCATCATCTAACGCATAACCTCTATACCATGTGGGCCCTTCATTACCGAAAATGCCATGCTTATCGCCTCTACGACCATGTGATTTCATGTAAGGAATAATGCTATCGTGAGTTTGGTCGTTAATCCAATCAATACCAAATTTGCTAAAATGGGGAGTAATTCCACCATGGCAGAATACTGTGGAACCCACTTTCGTAGTCATATTTAATAGAGTTAGATATTCGCCAATAAACCCGTCGGCTTCGAATGCCTTTTTACGAGCTTCAACGCCTCCAAAAGTCTCTGGCTCTCCAGGATAAACATAGCGCCAATCACCAACTAAATTCATAATTTCATGATTTCCTAGCAAAGGAATGACCAGTCCACCTTGTAATGGCGCTTCTTTACGCATCTGTTGAATTAACTCATATAAGGCAATGGTGTCTGTTCCGCGATCAACCACATCACCCTGATTAAAGAAGTAGTAAACAAGTTAGTAGAGCACACAATGTATTAAAATTCAACTTACTGTTTGGACAAAGATAGCATCACCACCAATCCAATGGTGGTCCTGATCAATAAGCTTTGAGAACTTGAGGATCGCAAGTGTGTTGGGTAAATCACCATGGAGATCACCCAAAGCAACAATACGGCGTTCAAATTCTGTCTTTTTGGCAGCGGCAGAGGCAATGAACAGAGTTGTGAACAACAGGATGGCTGATTTGATCATTTTAAATAAAGGTTCTCGAGGAAGAAAGGACGTCAAAATTTAAACCAATGGTTTATGTTTATTTTATGTGTGTAACTTGGAGGATATGCAGCATTAAAAAGTGTTAGCGAGGAGCTGGAGATGTTGATCTCGAGCGATATTTACTTTGCTTCAAAGATAGCTTATTAAACATACTACTATCTTTAGGACCGTCACTATCTTCAGAAACGTTGCTAAATGAGCTCATAGTGGGAATATTGCCACTTCCTAGTCTCATTAGACCGCTTAATCTCTGCTTTGATGATTTCTTCACTTTCTTGTCTTCTGGTCTAACTACTGCTACTGGCACAGGTGAATGTTGAAGACAGTATTTGGACACACTACCGAGCAGCATGCCTTTAAATTCGGATAATCCTCTTGTGCCAACAATTAAAAGTGATGGTTGATACATGGTAATCATATTCTGAATGGTTTCCTGTACTTTGCCGATGACAAATTCGATGACAACGCTTATCTGGAATTAAATGTTTAAATATCTAAAAGTAAAATTGCAGGATAGTTTAAATGCTTACTTTTTTTTCTTCTGCAGTGTTTTTCATAATCTTTGCCATTACTTGGCTTGCCTTTTCTCTGGACTGCTTTGCTTCGAAATCTAAAAGGTTTGCCATATTTCCTTTTTTATCTAGATTTCTTTTGATTTAATCTAGCCGACAAGTTTTTTTTTTTTTCAGTTTTGGTTTACCATTCATATCCACAGTTACTACTCTCAACACGATCAGTTCATCTCCTTCGTCCATTATTTCCTACATTATATCTTAATATTCAGAATAATATAATCAAAGAGTATCATGCAACTTTACATCAGTAGCCCAAGTAAGTGCATATTCACTATAATTTGCTAAATCTGTGGCGACCATAAATGTTCGAGAGCGTCTTGTTCGCTTAAATCCAGGTGATTTTCCTCTCAAAGTAAATGAATAGTTTGGCAAGTCCTTATTGGTCATCGTATCAAATGATACAACTTTGACAAAATTCTCTCCATTGGCAACAGTAGTCATTTTGGGATATGTTTGTAAGGAAAAGGAGAAAAAAAAAATTGAATTAAAAAATTCAATATGGACAAATTTTCCTCGCCGGGGTTTGTGTACCGCGAAACAATGAAACACCGCGAGACAGAGAATTCAATTGATAAGCTTTGTGATGTGTACTAATCCCAGGGAAGAAAAAGGAACAGACAATATGCTTTAAAAAATCAAGGAACACATGAGAGTCCAACCATTTAGTTGAAATTAATGGCAAAAGACTGTGTAGTTTTCTGACTTTTTCTTCTCTGATTGGCTGGCTTTTTTAGCCGAAACGTCTTTAAAGACGTCATGGAATAGAGATCCCCCACCTTTACGCTTCAGCGATATAGTGGCTTTATTTTGTTCGGTATTTCACTTTTTACATATGATACTTTTGTACAATATCTTACGTTCTGAATCCTTTCGTTTTTTTTTGAAATCATTTTCTTTCTTACGCGTCAGATGCAATATATATTCTCAACATATTTAAAGCTACGTACGTGATGATATGTCGGTCTTCTTTGACTTCCTGTATCAAAAACTGACGGTGAGCAAGCGATAAATGAGCTTATGGTTTTTTGAAGATACAAATCTAGACAAGAGTAAATCAAATGTTTTGAGTTAGATTACATTAAAATATAAAATATGCAAATGCCACCTATGATTTATATCATAATTTACCTTAGTTACCACCTGCTGTATTACATCAGTTAATCACCTGGGAAGGGATGTCTGATAGATGGTATATCGCGTTGACATTATACTACCCAAAAAAAAAGTTTTTTAGGGCGTGCAAATTATTTTTAAAGAATTGAGTGGGTTACGTTTTTGATGCCATTTTTAATGTGGACTTTGCCTTCACCTCCAGCAATATAGTCGAGAACAGACTAGATATAATAGAATTTAAGCACCTATCTATGGATGTAATGGTAGATGGGTACAGATCTTACCTCTTTTTGGTCCTCCTCCACCCCTTCCTCATTACTCTGACACTCGTCTTCTTCTTGCTCTTCAGTGTGGTGGCTAATTTTATCATACTCTCTTTTTCTTAAATCTATTAAGGCGAACAATTGAGTGAATATAACATAATAAATATACTAAACTTGTCCACTTTTACTTGCTGTTTTGATTTTCGTTATAAACTTTATAATAATTGACTGTACTAATAAAAAATCTGCCGCCGATGTTGTAAATCAATTTGATACCGTCTTAGTACATACTAATTGTAGTCAACCATATTCACTCATAAGTCCACTGTAATTTATAAGAGCAATCACTCCAGGAATATCACCAGTCATACCAAGCAAAAAGATTTTGCTTTGATGAATGGTTTGACTATTTTTCTTCACCATAAATCTTCTGCCGCTCAAAGAGTTCATTGGTCTCAGTGTAAAACTTATTAAATATTTTGGCATTTTCGGTCCAGGTATGATGGTTAATGGGGTCATCATTGACTCTTTTTCTCTATAGACCAAAAGATGAGTTAAAATTAAGATTGCGTTAGGGCATAGACTAATATACACACCTTTTGAAAGCAGAGATACTCATCACCATACAGTGGATAGATAAGTGTCTGGAAACTTCTAGATTTGGATTTATAAGGAAATTCATAGACATTCACATGAAGAACTAACAGATGAGCCTCCTGGAGTAGCTTCGGTAATCAAAAAAGTTGAGTAAAAATATACACAATGACTCGCTTTTTAAACGGGTAGCCTCTGCCTTTGATTTAAAAGCTTTTGAATGGTTTATGTTTTTTTTTAAAAAATATGCTACTGGCAATCATTTGACTTGAATCAAGTGATATAGTCACGAGATCTTGCGATTGATTTTTCGTTTAATAATGCAAGCACCCGTCTTTAAAGCTCTACTGTACGGCGGCTGTGGTAAGTATTGTATGGCAGCTACAGTGGGTACTGTATGGCACTTATAGTAGGCGCTGTATGGCGGCTACAGTACTTAGTGTACGTTGGAATTGGTACTACTTCTCAATAATGCTGTACATACAATAATACAGTTGCGAAAGTTGGTTTAAGTAAAGAAAGCAAGAGAAAAAAAAAGTGGGATAACAGGAGTAAAGAGCTTGTCAAACTCCGCGTCAAGCTCTCAAGATAAAATGGGAATTTGATCAGTGATAACTTTTACATGTACTCGTCAAATTCATAAGACTTTATACATAAGAGGTAAATATTGTAACAACAAATCAAAAATTGAGTGCCATTTATCTAACATGTTATTATAGCAAACTTCTTACTTGGAATAACTGCCCTTTTTCACCAACAAGGGTTCTGATAGATCCTTGTTTAGTAACGCCAGGTACATCTGGGAGTAATATGAGCACATCTAGATGAACAGTTAGGTATCGAAGCTGTTTATGTCATGGGTAACTGGTCTGCTCCTAATACAAGATTTCATGAGCCGGTCCGAGGCTTTGGATTCCGTCGGTTGCTTTAAAAAGCTAGTAAAAGGGTGTACTTGATTGATGAATTTAGAACAAGTCAGTGCTACCCAGCCTGCAAACGTAGAAGTCTTGAAACGTTTCGGATGCTCGATAACCGGCGCCCTCATAGACGAAGAGCAA